TTCTTTCCGCCTCGGCCGTCGGCCAGAGTGGGCATTTGAAGCCGGGCCTCAAAGTCAGCCAGTCGTTTGTTGAAGTAAAGGTCCAGTGGCGGCACCCATGTTTCCGTTTCAAGGTTCCGAGTGGGTGTGGACTTGAAGGCATCTGCCACTATCCGTAGACTTTTATTTTGAACTTTTCCAAGAGCCTTGGTGATCCCTCTCGTTGCTGGCTCACCCCCCTTCTCGGTGGGAGTGTGAAAGGATGATGTGCCGTACGCTAGCGCTGACCGGATGCACTTTGAGTATACCTCTCGTGCTTTGGCCAGCCCTAGGCCCCACGTTTTTGCCGTAATCCTTGACAAAGCGTAGCTCTGTGTTTTCAGCTTCCGCTCTACCTCTCCCAGGTGGGCCTTCCAGTTGAGTTTCCAGTCCAGCCAGACCCCTAGGAATCTGGCCGCTGCCATGGGCCTCACCGGGCTGGTGCCTCCCCCCGGCTGCGCAAGTTCCAACTGGTCAGTCCACTGTTTGCGCCCTCTGTTGAAGTGAATCAGCTCGCTCTTTTCCGGGCCAAAGGACATTCCCCGGGTTTCTGCCCACTACAGGCACGTCTCCCACGCTGCCTCCAGCTGTCGAACGTTAGCCTCCGGCTCCCGACCAAAGACTAAGAGGTTGGTATCGTCCGCAAACCCCGCTATCGCCAGATGGGGGTGTTCCTCTTTCAGCTGCTTGTACAGGGAGGCGATGTAGAGAATGAAGAGGACTGGGGATAGAGGAGAGCCCTGGGGGGGTCGTTTTATTGGGGCCTGAACGTTAGACGGAATAGGATCCCATACGATGATCCATCGAAAATCCCTAACCTGTTTGAGTTCTGCCAGAATCAGGTCAAGGACTGGGCGCCAGGGTAGTAAGCCGGCCTTTGACGACAAGCAGAATTAAACGACGGAATCTAACCGTATGGAGCCACGCCATGATCAGCGCCGGATTGATGACCGGTCAGACGGACAACATCGTTGCTGTTCTACTCCGCGCAAGCAAAAGGCCCTCCAAGCAGTGGCGGGAAAATCTTCGAAGGAACAAAGCGGCCGACATCACCGAAGGCCACCCCAGGGTTTGGCTTATGGGAGACGCCATACATGCGATGCAGCCTAACCGGTATGTCAGCCGCATGCACAATTGACAAAGAATAAAATCTGACGTGCACACAGGGGCATGGGCGGCAACCAGGCAATGCAAGACTGTGCCGACATCTTGCCGGAACTCCTAAGGTTGAGCCAGATCGCGAAATCCGGTCGTACCCTATCGACACAAGACGTCAGCTTGGCTGTCAAATGATCTTGATGATCCTTTGGGCACTGTTTTGAAGGTTTTTGGCCGTGGGGTGTGGCTGTTTACAGCTTCATTCGCCCAACTGTTTGGTTCAGCCAAGGCCAAGCAAGAGTGACATACTTGGCGAGAATGAGCGAGAGACATGCATCATCACTTGTGGTAGTGTGTGGCTTGACAGGCGGTCATACACTGGCCCGGTTCGGGGATGCGTGTGCCTTCCGCGTTGCGCATGGGTGCAGAACAAGTTTGTTGTTCTAGCTGACTACCCCCTAGGCAGTCTCTGCGCAACCCACCTTTTCTCTGCTCCATATGCGCCTACAACAGTAGTTATTTACTTTTCTTCCTTTTGTTGAATTTTCGATTAACGCAATTGGGCGGTATCAACAGTGACTTGTGCCTGCATCATCTGCTCGCTCGCCACAATCCCGTTGTCACTCATGTCTTGCATAACGAGTGGCGCACTTTTCTTGGACCTCAGTCATTTCGTTAAAGTCAACTCAACTACGGCAACTTGGATCAATTGAAACTACTTGGAATCGCTATCTTCAGACGTCTCGCAAACTACCAGATATGTCCGTGCATTGTGGGCGGGCTTCTTGTAGTTACTGCAGCACCGAACGCATGTGTTAGACGGGGTTAAATAACCACCACTCTTAGACGTTCCCGGCAATCTCGACCACTAAGCCTCTGATCGGCTATTAAAGTCATTGCTTCTTTTAAATCAAGTAATCCTACCTCCACCAATTTCTTTTTGGTTCTACGTTGTTTGCTTAGCTGCTCATTTGTTGTACGAAGCTACTCGGTTTTAGCCCGGAGCAACACTATCTTATACGCTAGTTTCGAGATACTCTGCGCTTGTAAGTCGATAACGTCGAGAATGTAGGTGGGTATGCTACCTTGATAGTTTTCTATCTTCCTCTTAAGAGCACTAGAGCTCTAGGCTACTTCATGCGTATCAGAGGGAGTCTTACCTAAGATATGGCTGTTCTGGGGCGTGAGTTTGGAGGAGATGGGGTAACTGCCCTAGGCCAAGGCGAGAAACAACCGATTTTGGGTCGAAATGGATAAGCTTAGCTGCTCTAAAGCCCGCTTATATGTTGTTTGCCATGGTAGAGGCGCAGAGTGCCTTGACACACGCGTCGAAGGAATCTTCTTTAATAATATGGGCAATTTCTTATCTGTAACGTTATTATCTACTTAATCTACTTGCTATATAGAACCTTAAGCGGACTGACACACTGATACTCTTGACATCGATCCTGCTGTCCCAGATCACCATCCGTGCCGTGCTGGTAGTGATGCCAGACATTGATCTACAACAAAGAGTGCCCATTGCGCTGCATGTAATTATGTACGAACTTAGACATGCAGCCAAACGCTACCATTCCCAGCAATGTACAAATTTTGTAGGGAAGACCATACAAGGCCAGGCCTGTACACGACCGTGCCGAGTAAGAGAGAAACAAAACCAGTGCCTGTCATGCCGCCACGAGGATGAAATGATTTTCTTGAAGGCCCCTAGCCAGGTATGCTGACTGGGGAATCTGCTGGGGACCGAAGTAGCAGCTGCCTGAGCCACTAAAATAACCTTGAAGAACCAGATTATCCAGTCCAAATACGACGCGTCCTCAACGCAAACGTTTGCTGGAATCCCAGATCGACGGGTGTCTGCAGCGGCACCTCCGTACACAGTATCGTGCGTACACCACTTGACCAACTGACTGATCCTTGAGGGAGGGAAGTTCCAAGTTCCAATCTGAGTCTCCCGCTCTCCAGATATCCTCCCTTTGTTGCGAGTCAGGTCGCTTCGCCATGAAATCTACAGTGTCTCGCCCGCCAATTGCCCAAGAGTAGGGCTCATGGTGGGGGCCGTGACAGAGCATTCGATGCTCCCATCGCTCCCAGATGGAGCGAAGACAGGACTTCGCGCTCACTTCGTGATTGGCTATACCCATGTCCTAAATGACTGGCTCGGGACCCTCCCTTCACGCCCTACCGGGTCTGCATGCGGCCATATCCGTGACAGTTCTCTCTGAGTAGCTCTGCAGCCCTAGATAGATGCTGATACAGTCAGTCGTAGATGGAGGAAAACCATATACCACTTGCTGTTTCTTCTGTTTCAGGGGGTTATCAATTGGAATCATTGGCAGAGCGATTCTCAGGGGGTAGTTGGTAGTAGCTGGACTGGCTAGTCAGGCTTAGCAGAGAGCTTAGCATCTGAAAAGTCTGCTCCAATCGAGGTTTCGATGCCTCCTTAACTTCTGTACCCACTGCAGCCACGTAACTGGCCGCGCGCAGCTGCAACTGGTATGGTAGATATAATCATCCGACAGCTTTCGAACCGTAGCAGTTTTGTCCGTATTAATCTTGTTTTCATTAGGTTGGCTTCATTTTGCCCAATTCAGTTATGCTTCAGAGAAAACAAATATAAAAAGTTATAACTATAACAACAATATACGGGGGTTAAAGCTTTAGGTACTATGCGTCTCATATGAAAACTTAGGTGCAGTAGATTGCCTTGTACGTCCTATCCAGATTGTTTTGCTGCATCGGGGCTCCTTATAACCCACTCTCCGTAGGAGAGTGGGCAGTTTTAGTGAAGTGGGTCAACTCGCCCAAGCGTACTTACTGTAGTGACATTCCTCAGCTGTTTGTGGCAGGAGCGATCAGTATCTGTTAAGAATTCCAGTTGCAGTGACTCCAGAATTGATGATTCAACCTCGCAATGCTCCTCTTTACACATCCATCTCTCTGCTTGTGGCATCAAGCCGGATTCGCACTCGCGTTTCCAGGTCGTCTTCTACCCCTCCCAACTCCAACTCTCATGTCAGGCATGACTGTTTTTGTCGCTCAACTGACGAGTGGAAGAACAATGTTTATTCCCCTTCCGATTGATCTTCTTTAGTATGAATTGGACCGAGGGCAAGCTCTACCGCCACAGCCGGGGCCGGCTGCGGCAGGCGAACCCTGCCCGGCAACGACAGAAGGAATACTTTGCTCGCGCCCGCGCTCGGGCCGCGGAGCTCAAAGCGGCCGAAAAGAACGGCCCACCTCCAATCTCCTTCCTTCAGTACTCGGACACTCCGTCGTCTCAACGATCTCATGCCTCGAACAAGTCTGGCTCTTCATCTGGCCGCACGGGCTCACAGACGCCCAATCGCAGGAGAGCTGAGTCTGGCAGGAAACGGGACAAAATGACAGTGAAGACAGAGGACATCTCGTTGCCTACAATCAGCCGCTTCTTTCAGGAACACTCCGGGGGAGACGGTAGCAACTCGTCTATTGCCGAATATGATGAGGCGGCTCTGGAGCGGATGAGGCAGAAGCTGCTCGCGAAGAAGGAATAGGTGGCCCTTCGCGACCCTGCGCCGATGCCCATCAAACGTGCTTCCAGCACCAAATCACTAGATCGAAGCCCGACCGCAGCGTCACAAGGGACCAGGAAGCGGCCGTCTCACATTGTTGACGATGGACACGCATCCAAACGCAGGAAACATCTTGTATATCCCCTCCGCCGTGAAGACGTGAGGATCCAGATTGGTAGCCAAGAGAGACGGCCAGGAGAAACCTCCAGCATCACCCGGTCCTGGGTCACGCCTCCAGTCCCCGATTCGCAATCTGCGCCGAGACGCCATGCCAAGCCGCCGAACCCGAGAAGCACAAAAGGCATGAAGTTAAGTTCTATCGTGTTTTGAACTTGTACTGACGGCAATACCAGATCACCTGGTACTGAGCCATATACCGCCAGGCGACAAGTTGCAGCGTTCCTCTTTACCAATGAGAGAGCCATCAAGTGACCAGAGCGAGAGCGGGGAGCGGCGCTGTTGCGTCTCGAGCGATGCCGATGGCCATATCTTGACGACATCCTTCCCTTTGCTCTCACACCCACTCTCGGTACGGCCAGTGCCCGAGGCATTCTACGACCCAGAAAGATTTGACTCCGAGACCACGGGCACGGCTGCCGCACAGGTTGGGCGAATCGTCTCCCCCGTGGCACCCTCTCAGAGAATTGAGAATATCCGGTGGCATCAGTGGTTAGGTCAGCCAAGCAGCCCTGTCAGCAGCCATGTTGCGGTTAAAGGGAGCAAGCGATCGCGAGACTACAAAGTCAGCCCGGGGGTCAGTGAACGCCGTCGGCCCGAGCAGAAACCGCATATACCCTCGCACCCGCCGGGTGGTTTGCAGCCCAGCAAGCCAAAAAAGGCCAATTCCGGGAGATCTCGAGACCCCGCTAAGATGCTCAGTTCCAGCAACTCGTCCGAGATCTTGAGTCGATACGAGGGGCTTGTGGCGAGGCTTCGGCAGCTGGGACAGTTCGATACCCCAGAGTCTAACGGCTCGCCGAGCGAGCCGCCTATTGGAGTGGGCACAGAGAACACCAACAGCAGCATCAAAGGCCATGGAGAGAAGCCGGTGTGCCATTCCAGTTCCCGCGTCCACGACGGAAGCAGCTTTGCCACAGAGTCTGCAAACCCGGTACAGAGGATCGACAGTAGCAACGCCAATGTGCTCGATCTTGAACACAGACCTACTAAACGCTCATCTTTGCAGGCTCCATCAGCAGTACCGCAAGATCATGCAGAACCAGAAGGAGCCGACCCCGACGAGGCGTGGAAAACATTCGTCTTCGGTGACAAGGACAGCGACGAGCTTGGAAAGGCGGCGTTCGAGGAGGCCAGGCATGACGCAGTACGACATTTGCAGCCATCAACATCTCCGACCGCCATTGATGAGGGACTCGAGTATGATGGGCAGAGCAACATCGTAACAGTCGGCACGCTTTACACAAGGCACGATAACGAGACGTCAATCACCGCAGAAGCACGCTCTCCCTCCGAAGCCTTCGGGGGCGTGAACATTTCCTACGATGCATCCTCGATCGAGAGTGCATCCCCATCAGTCATCAGTGTCTCTGATGAGTCTAATTCCCCCTCAAGCGTGGAGGTCAATGCCGGGACCAGCGACGTGTCAGGGCAAGAAAGCATCGCTGGCGCCTCAGGAAGCTTTGAGCCTAGCTCTCTCCCGGAAACGGAGATCAGCGCGTCCCATCTGCATGTCGGCACGCCTTCCATGACAACCTCGATGGCAGTTGCACCAGCTCAGTCCGACATGGTGCCCAGCGAATCGGACACTGCAGGGGAACACTTTCGATTCAGTCAGCCCAAAATATTTGTGGGCCGCTCGAGCCTGACGCAACCCAAACCTGTCACAGACCGCGGTCCCGGAATCACCTTGGCAAAACGAAGGACAGGCCGACCGAGGAGGCGAGCAAACGACGGCCGGGCGGATATCCGGGCTCTCCCCAACTACAGCAGTGATCCAATCGAGGATTTTGAGGAGGGAAAACGGCCCTCCCGGGGGGAGCGGGCGCCCAGGTCGCTCTTCCCTGCGCTTGAGCTCAGTTGAGGCTTGCCAGGGGAAGCTTACGTCGTGTGCCGGGGTGCAGGAACAAGAACTTGTGGTTTCGGGTGCTTTGCTTGTGGAGGAGTGTTGGTTGAGACTACCGAGGCTGCGCATCTTGCTCCAGCTGGCTCCAATGATACGTCCTGTCAAAGTCGTCTTGATTTCCCTCAAGGAGTCATATCGGTTCTCATTGCTCTTGGAACTATGTAGCAGAGCCATGGATATTCAGAGTCCCAACGACCTTCTCGCCACACTGACCTGATCATATCCGTTCTTTTTTCACTCACCAACTTCGGCAACGGTGGACAGCGAGTCCACGTCAGCAACGTCCAGCGGTACCCATGCATATTCAGCATTGAAGTGGACGAGACGTTCTCCCTTCTCTTCCTGGCATGTTTGATGGATTTGCCTACCTGTCTACCATAGCAACCCGGAATGTTCCAGACCTTGTGGTTCGTTTGTGTGTTGGTTCCACACGTAGCCAAGCAAACTGTTCAGGGAGCGAGGTGTTCAAGAATCCGAAATGAACATGGATGGCGCGCAAGGAGAAGCATAATAAGGTAGGTATGGTTCGAGAACGTTTTTGCTTGATGTAGATGTCGCCACCAAGAACCAACTTTGGATTAGACCATGTTAACATTCTCCGAGTCCCTCCTCAACCCAGGAAGCACTGAGCGCGTGGCGAAACATTGGTCAAGTGGAGGGCAGATTCCACCCTTTGTGCTAGGTATATTTGCTTACGAGTCGTGTATTTCCTGGCTTTCTAGAAGCATATCATGATGTGTGGGTGTTGCATGACTCGGGACGAGACATCTGCCAAGACTTGACTTGGGGGATGAGATAGCTGGGGCGGGTATAGGCTCGGGTATGAGGTTAGAGAAGGCTGAGTAAGGAGATGGGGGAGGAAAGAAATGTGTGGGTGAGGTCGTGGTGTGGGTGGTCGGGATGATGGTATGGTAGATGACCGGATCAACTGGATGAACTCACTCTCTCACCAGAGAGTCCAAGCATGCTGCACAAGGCAAGAAATTATCCAGTTGTGATTTAAAGTGCTTGGTATATGAACCATGATTTATCCTTCCCATACCATATCCTATAGACTTGCTCGTAATATGTACTCGTACATAAAAGCACATGGTCTTGTAGGTTCGCCTGACCCTTCTCACCACCCACTCCGGGTAGGTGGTCCAAGACGTGCGGTGTCTCTCACCCTGCATGTATGCTCATACCAAAATAGCTTCGTCCAGCAGCCTACACCACATCCCTCACCCCCGACCAAAAGTACAAATACGATAGGCTGATAAGGGTTGGTAAGAAGGAAATACCCGAGATCAGAGGAAAAGAAAAGAAAAGAAGAAGAGGAAAAATGCAAAGATATGAGTTATCCGGCCGTTGGTATCATTGGTATCACGTCAATCCTCTGATTTGCGCACAGGAATATCGTGGAACTTATTGATCCGGCCGTGACAACGTCAGAACGAAGCGTTTGCTCTGAGGGACAAGTAATGAAAAAATGGAAGCCTCGCAGCCAACGCTAATCCCTGGTAAGGAGTGACGGACGGGCGGGTATGCTAAAATAGGTTGTCGAGAGGCAAAAGGTAGAATGCAAATGCCGAATGATGGTGGCGGTGAATGACCAAAACATGGAACACCGGAACAGAATGAAGGTGGGTATTTGTAGAAGTTGAAGTCAAAATGATTGACGAGAAGGGTATCATGGAGAGAAGCATGGTAAGAGAACTGAATGCAATTAGAAATGATAGTATGCGTTCGGCCGTAGCATCGTAACAATACCGAGTGGGACGTGAGCGCGTCATGGTAAAAGACATGTGAAGCGACGACAACTCGTGTAAGATGGTCAGAGAGATAAAAGAATAAAGTTCCCCTTGGCCTATTGTGGCTTGAAGACAGCGCTGGTGAGAAAAATCTCCGCGGCAGGCTCGGGCGCCGCCGGGGAAGTCGCGGCTGAAGTCAACGACGAAGAGGACGTCTTCTCGTCAAGCTTAGGGTTGGGCACAGTATCCCTCGCCGGCGAGCTTGTGAGGGCGCCGTGGCTGTGTTTGCGGCACAACTTGGTCCGCTCCGCATCCAGGGAGGGGGATGAGCTGGAAGGGTCGTCCTTGGCCGCGGCTTCGCCGCCCGCCGTCATCTCGTCGATGCTGTCTTGCACACGAGCCAGCAGAGAATAGACATCGTTATCGGCATAGACGCGGATGGTCTCGGCCCGGCGCAGCGCTACTCCATTCTCGGCTTCTTTGTTGATGGCGTCCGTGCCGTTGTCGACAGCGTCCTTGCTATCCATGGAGGCCGCCTCCTCAAATAGAGGCTGCTCCAGGATTGTCGACGGCACTTGGGCTCGGTGCGGCGAAGGCGACGAGGACTGCGTGGCCGTAAAGGAGTTTTTGGTTGGGCTGCGGGGTGGGGTGGACAGAATGTTGGCGTTAAGCGGCCGAACGCCGATGGCGTGGTGCAAGTTCTCGCTGGCGCCGAGGACGTTCCCGGTGGGGAGACCCAGGGTGGCGGCAGCGGCGACGTGCTCGAGGAGTTTCTGACGGACTCGAGTTCGCCGGTTCTCGACCTGCTCGAGCTTGTTGACCCACTCTTCGATTGAGTTGTCGAACTCGGCAAGAGATTCTTCCTGCTTAAGGATAGACTCAGGGCTGAAAGTGGCGGTGCGCGGTGACCGAAGGTACTGGAAAATACGCGAGTGGAGGTTGCGTCGGCCGGCCCGGAGGGACGTGTAGGTGAGGCGGAGATACTCCGTGCGCTCGTCAAGCTGGCGGAGTTCCTGAAGGTCGTGTTAGGGGGTTCAGTTAATCTCAAAACAGCTCGTGGCGCAAAGCGGTATACGTACGCGTGAGAGACTGTCGACGTCCTCTTTTCGGAGGACTTCAAATCGAGCCGCTTGCTGGAGCGCCTGCTTTTGAAGGGAAGCCACCTCCTGTGGACACAGCATGTTCACCGCGTCGCTTGCCTTCCATCCCTTGGGCAGCTGCTCAAATGCTCGCCTTTCAGAGCTCTTGCTCCTCTTCGAGCCGGTACGCTTCAATGTGGCAGCCGCGCAGATGTCGGACCGCTTCCGTGGCCGCCCCCTCTCCATGATACTCCCCGACTCCGACTGGTACCTCCTATGTCCCAAGGTGGCAGTTTGTATCGTGTCTCCGAGCTCAGCCTGGGTTGTGATGATAGATGTACTAGGGTAACTCTTATCAGGCGTTGCTGTAACACCAGTTGCCGCTGGCCTATCCCACGGCTTGGGGGACGCTCTGTGTTCAACTGGAGCAGACACCGGAGTTGGCAGTGTCGAAGCAGTCACGACTGTCGTCGCACCAGATCTCGGCGTGGCCAACGAAGCGGAGAGCGGTGTGAAGGGTGTCCTAGCCCGAGGAGAGTCCTCCAGCCTGGCCGAGCGGCATACGGACTCGACGGGTGTACTGCCCGACCGGAGTCGGTTCAAAGATGCTTGCTGCGCTAAGCGGGGGGCGGCTGAGCTGCATGTTGGAATCACGAGTGGTGTCAGGCTCTTCGGTGACATTGGCTGCGGGGTTTCATTTTGGGGACGCTGTAGCTCTTCATTGCTCCTGCTGCACGTCGAGCGAAGCTCCGGTCTCTCCGTTGCCGCCTGCGATCTTGCTGAAGTCATGCACTCGGCAAGGGAATACGGCTTCCACGAGTTCCCCGGTGCACTGATGGACCTCTCATGGATAGGCGGCCGCCCTGGAATCGTAGCTAGCACAGGTCAGCCGGGGACGAACACAAAGGCGAGCGAGGGGAGAGCTCGGCATACGAGAGTCCATAGCAGCTTCCTGCACCGTCGTCATGGGACCCAAATCAGGGACGCTGATCTTCCGCCTGCGGACGAGATTGTGCTCCTTGATCCGGATCCTCAGCCCCGTAACGGCACTCATCTTCTCGCTCTTGTCGCCGTTCTGACCCATGGCCAATGCAAACGCTTGCTCAGGATCCAGGGCTTTCCCCGGTGCGGTGACTGCCTGTTTATCCCTGGGAAAGAGCTGATATCTTCTCTCTGGGTGTTGCATCCTCCAAGCAAAGGGTTTGTCCCCCGAAGGGGATGCTCTACCTAGCTGGAAAGGAACAACAGGTGAGCTTCGGCCAACGGCAGGAGACGGAACGAGCTGCTGGAGGGTTATAGCGGTTGCATACCGATTCATTGGAATCCTGCGGGGAAACAGCTTTTGCTATGTAGTTATTGAGGCCAAGTGAGAGGTCGTCTTGATCCATGTCCAAGATGCAATTGGCGATGTGAGCCATCGCGGTGGACGCAGGGACAGGTCTGTGTAAGAGATAGATGGTGCAGAGCGAAGAAGGGCCCAGAATCGTTTTAAGTTTCTCCCGCGTCCCAACCGACTGGAAGACCACAGAGGGCGTGAAGAGAGTACCGGTATATTATTATTACAGTTAAGGTCTGTGTAGGCCGGGTCGAGAAGCCCTTCCAAGCTGTCTAGGCCGGGCCCGAGTGGGTTTTCAGAGAATCACAGAGCCCTGCCCATCAGGGGTGAGAGCGAAGCCCGTGTGGGAAGCGAAGGGAAGGGAGGATCCATGAAGAGCCATGTGCTCCGATGCAAGATTGTGCTGCGCCGTAAGCAAGGAGATCGTTGCTGGCTGGAAGATACCCCTGGCCTGACACGATGGGGGAGCTTCGGGGAGGTGCCTCTCTTGTCGAGGCAAGGGTGACAAGGTGAGCTTGAGACAAGACATCTTTCTGCTGGGGGGGCGCAGCCATGTTTGGGACGCCTGGAGAGTGCTCAGTCCATGGCGGAAAAGCCGAGAAGGGAATGGCTCGAGGTGAGGCATCTGCTGTGACACGACCGAAAGGAGAGAAGCAGCTGCACGAGTTGACACAATGAAACCGCTAACACTCTTTGAGCGAAGGCCGGCCCCTGTCCATTATCCCTGTCGGCCCAGTACGTACCTGTCTCTGCGTGGCCGGGGATGCAACGGCAGGGGCTTCCGCTGCATCTATGACCCGTGCATATCGAGCCTGGTATGAACGACTGCAACCGACCGGTCCCCCGGCAAACCAATGGCTGTCGTCTGGCTAAATCGAGAGGCATGAGTCTGAGCTGGGGTGCGTCTCTGTGCAGTCGAGATGCCGCTGGTGGCCATGGCAGCATCATGTTGAGACATGCAGATGCAGACCGCGAAGGGGCGGGAGATGGCATCGCGAACGGGCATAGGTCCGAGCTGGAAAATTAGAGCCTCCTGGGAGGTGAAGGGGGACGATGGGAGTTACGGATACTCTAAGGGTTTGCCGCGGGCGTGATGATGTCTACCTGCGGCCGGGGTACGGGATTGCCTATAATAATAGGAAGCTATTCTCCCACTTAGTGCTTCGTGTCCGGCTCTGTGTTGCTGAAGATTCCAGCATCTTCAGAGCCCCAGCTGGGCTGCAGAACAGAGGGGAATTATGGGAGAAGTCGGGTTTGGTGGTTGGGGATGCAAGCCCTGCAGTGCATCACCGCCGACCCCGCATCTACTACTCCGGACCAGAGGCTCGAGAGCCCGATGGCCGGCGGAGCGGCAGCTAAAATCCACTGATCCCACTGTGGTCTGCGGCTGCGCCTTTCCAGGACCACACAGACCGTCGACCGTCCGGCCAGAAGGCAGAGTTGTTGCTTCGACATCGGAGTCGTGTATACCGTGAAATTATTGTCCAAGCCAGTAATCTGTGCGGGCTACAGGCACGGAGTATCCCCGCCGAGAGTGCCGGACACGGGATAGAAACGTTGTTGACGGGAGATTGACGGCTCGCACGGATGTTAACGACTGCGCGATAGGGCTTGTTGCTGGGGTTTGTGGGAAGAACGCCGATGGAGCAAAGTATTCAATGTCGCGTGAGCCGACTTTGACTCGTGCGAGTTGTCTAGCTTTGGTTTTTCCCAGTTGGACTGTCGTCGGTTGACCCCGGTGAATCTACACGGCAGTCATCGAGCATGAGAAAGAATCCAGCCCTACCCCAGGTGATATGCATAAATCGAAGGTCCACTTCTCTACACAGTAAGGTGGTTTTGGGCGCTGGGTGGAGTTGATGCATGAAGCTGGTGGCAAGATCGTTTGAGGCAGCATGTCAGAGATGCGTCGACATCAATGTATGGTGGGCAATTGATGAGGTGAACTGGTTCTCGAGCATCTCTCGACAGCCGAAGAACATTATTGGAATCTCGGAAGACTGAGTCAGAGTAAGGCAGATGGCTTCTCACGCGCCACTCTGACGTCGTGGGCACAACGGCGGAAGGAGTGCTTGGGTACTGTTTAACGAGAGATTTGATCACTTGCACGTACTGTGGGTTCCACGTGTGTTCAAGATTTCGATGCCTGAATCGGTGCTTTGGCTGAGCAAGAGAAACTGACGTTACGGATAGCCACTGCAGCTGTAGGTCCTCTTAGTACTCCGGGTAACCAACAATATAATTGTTCCTTTCTGCAACACCACGAACCACCCGCGCCCACATCACGACATGATATAAAGACTCGGAGCGATCGCGTCTGTATCAATGGAAGCAGCTGGAGTCGAACAGCTCGTGACACCAGGCTCCCCGATGATCAGGTGCCGCAAATGGCTGGGGCCAGAACCTAAACTGTCTTGGCTCCAACGGTTGGTGGCCCCACAGGAAGCCAACCTGGAAGGCGTCAATGGCTCTCTTCATCTAGCCCAACAGCATGAGATTCTGAAACCGTCAAAAACAGGGACCTGACCTCATTTTCCAACAGTCTCTGTCGGCAAACCAACTTTACCTACCGGTTGGCTTTTCCAATCTACAGGTGACTATCTCGGAAACACAGCCCAACCGCTTCCCGTACTATCGGAACACTAATGAGGAGACGGCTCGGCTGATTGAGTTTTCCAGGGCTCTCGTCACCACCGCTCACGGCGAACCTCGTCGGGTGCACTGATCAAAACTGTCATCGATCCGGAATCGCTCTCTACTGTATGACTATCGCCCGGTTCTCAAATACGATGTACGCGGCTTAGTGTTTTCATCCCATCTCTAAGCTCAGGACATCAGTTCCAAGTGACGGACGGCCCGCATCACACACATGAGGGCCGCAGCACGGCACTTGGAAGTGCTGGAACCGATTGAGCTCATGGGCAGATGGTACAGGGTGATGACCGGTCTGTCGCCCGGGTTTGCGCGCCGTATGACTGCTCTGAAGCATGTTTGGGAACCTCCTTGGGTTGCATTTCACCACCACGTCGCTGCAATATATACCCATTCCGGATCTCCCTGCCCACACCGCCGACTCCAAGCTTCTCGCGGTCAGCCCTATTGAGGGCCGACCTCAGCCGTCTTACCCTCATCGAGGTCACACGAGCTCAGCATAGTCTGTGTGCGTGCTACCCAAATTGTGATGGATATGCAGAAGACAGCAACATTCCCGGTCACTCTTACTCGCTTGGTGATGCAGTCAACATGACACCGGCGAGTGACAGCCGAGACCTGGTTCAGTTCTTCAGACGACACGCTGCTTTTTCACCTTCCTGAGACTCAACTGCCGTTGGACGGCTTCCTTCCCTTGTCTGGTACGTAGCTAAGCGAAGGGCAATTCACTTGGGATAGTCCTCTTCTTGACGACTCCAAATGTTGGTTATGGATCTCCCCGGAAGCAGTGATCTCTCCGATATTCCAGGGTTCTTAACCTTAAGTCACGCGTTATGGACAGGGGTCGCAGCTCCCTGACCCTGACCGTTTCGATCTCAGGAGCCTCGCCCACATTCCTCAATCACTAATCTCTCCGATTGTTGTCTTCATGGCCTCATGAGAGCCTTCATCTGCAGCATGCGAAAACTCGATTGGTGATCAATGCGTGATGACTTACACCACTTTCCATCTAGAGGCACGATGATCCCAACACGGGAAAAGGAACACGGCTCCAGGAAAAGAAACAGAAAACAGAAACACAGAAGAAACACCATCTCTGAACCCAGGATCACGGCAAACCCCCCGCCCAAGAATTGAAACCAAACAGTTCCCCGCCGACGACCTCCAACAGGAACATTTCCTGACACGGGAACAGGGCCAGTTCATGCACATCTGGGGGACGGGATATAAGAAACCGCTTTAGTCCCCTCTGATTCGCCCACTCCGCTTGAAACTGTCCCAGATTTCCCGTCTTTTGTCCATGGGCCTGTGCGCAATGCAACAGATATTACACAAAGATATTGTAAGCCCCGATTCCCAAACCCTGCAACCTTCAGTCCGTCTTGGAATACTGTGCTGTGTAGGCGCTTGCGGCATCTCAACAAACGGGGGAAGGGCTTCACTTTTGCGCCGCTCTTGCATATGCTTTCCTCGACTTACACGGAATTAGCTGCCTAACTAATGCAAGCACTTTTAGAATCCGTGTTGTTTACCACTATGCCGTGCCGTCTCCCCCTTTATAGCGACGCCTGTGCAGAGTATTGGAGACTCGGTGAGCGTGACTGCCCCAAAGGCATTGCATCGTGCCGGTGGTGATGCGACCCGAGCTCAGAGTAAATCTCTGACATCGTACGATTTTGACGGTGCTATGTCGGAGCGAGAGTGGGGGGCGAGCGTGGCCGGTGCTTCCAACGGGGAATTAAGTACGCATTGTCAGTGTCAAGCTCAGGGTGGGAGATCTTGCTTCTTAAACTTAATACAGCGCTATATAGCTTGCTGTGGAGCTGCCCCTGACCGAGTTCAGTTCTTATTCAAGCCATATCTCCGTCATCTTTGATGCCTGCCCGGGTAAGGTATAGCTGGGGTAGGAGATTGAGATGCCTCTGATCACCCAGACGGGCTTTGTGAGGTGCAGGTTGGACTTGGCGGTTGGGCCTTTTGGCGACGGCCACTGCAACGGTGATAGCGATCACAGCAGAGACGTGCAGTATCTTTGCTCAGCATCCCAGTGACACAGCTTTCAATCCACAGCTCTTCTGGTAACGCAAAACGAAGGTGAAGTCTTGTGCTTGCATGCGGGTATGCATCCTGCATGCCGCGCAGAAGCAACCTATAATGTTAAAGGTGTCTGCTGGCCTTTTACAATCAACCCCGGCGTCGATTGCCTGCCGGACAGTAAGCGAAGTAATCACCGAAGAAGCAATCCATGAAACGGCCCGGCCGAATGGTGTACGGAGTTGCAACATCTCCGAGATGCTTGGATGTTTTTAGTGATTCAAATGGTGAAGGGGACGGGGAGAGATCCGGCGCAGACCACCCGGCCGAAACCTCCCAAAGCTTATTCCCCATCCCCGCAAGCTGTGACGTGAACACAAGTTTGTGCCCAGCAGTCGAAATTTCTGAGACGTCGGCCTCCTGGAGGTTCATTTTGGGCTGCTGTGTCATGGAAAAGCTTCCATTCATGCTTCCATGGAGAGCTCAGTTCGCTGATCCTTTTCTTTGGGAACTCGAGCCTCCTCGACAGGGGTAGTCATTGGCTTGTAGGGCTGCTTGTCAACCCCTTGTCTTCGTGTAGATACCCCCCCCCCCCCCCCACCTTGGCAGGGGGTGCGAACATAGACCAGGCTCGCGGGTTCCTTTCCAAAGAGCCCATAACGCTGGCTTGGGCTTGTCTCAGATCTTCTTTCGTGGCGTTCGCGTAGCAGAAATAGCACAGCGTCCGACGAGAGTACCTATCCGTATGGAGCTCCAGGAAAGATCAAATAAAAAATGTATCTCGGTACCACCAAAGAATCGCACAGACCTTGTTATCTGCAAGGGCATCACGTTTCTGACCTTGAATTGTCCGTCCACCGTTCAGACCGCATAAGATGGGCAGATTGGCTGCTGAGAAAGATCACGCTGTACTCCTGAATGTACGCACACTCACTAGCGTGCAGATGCTCGACATAAACAGGTCTCAGACGATGTCCGAGCGGACGGACCTAGGCAAACTGCACGATGCCCCTCAACAAAGACTGCTAGGGGCGGGATGCTATGGGGGCAAGCCTCGCAAGCCACCGGCCGTTCTCGGCCGTGCTTCGCTTGGATGCGCAGACCGGCAGCTGACAAGGTCCCTGAAACAGCCATCGTGGGAAACGCCAAGCTCAGAACAAGACCAAGCATCGCCAAGACGAGCTTGCTTCCTCCGTCACTGCCAAGTCGACCTGTTTTGGTGGTTTTGAGAAGCAAACAGTATTGCCAAATTCCCCGAATAACTTGCTATTTCCCCAGCGTGAGGAGGGAAGCTCAACTGGTCAAATGCAACTGCTGCGTGCAGCCGGTACAAAAACAGGACTGCGTATCCGGGTCCCTTGGGTCCCTGCCCGGCATCCATCTGCAGCACAGCTAAGCCTTGCGCTCTCCGGGTACATCACAATGGCTCAGGAAGCCGGTGAATGCGCGGCTGGAACTGGTCGGCCTTGACCGGTGCCATGAAGGACCCTTTTCCCGTAGTTGTGAATGCCATCGAGGAATGTGATTGTGACTTGAACCACGAACTGGCTCAAGTATCCCTGAAGTGACTTGGCCGGGATTGTGTTTCAACGCCGAGCGGACTCGCCATCAAAGCGCAGCTTGACGACGAGGGGCAACAGCGGCCAATATCCCAGGTCTCATCACCTCATCTGGTTCTGCTCTCCCGATTGTTTTGTGCAATTGATACCATTCCTTGGCCACTGTTAACTCCACAGCGTGAATCTTGAGAATCTGGATATCATGCAATGTGGTTGGGTGGCCAGCAAGTGTCTGGACAGAGGTAGCACACCGGGCCGTCACATACATTTAAGGGATATCTGTCTCGGAGGCCAAAGGGGTAAGACAGACACAAAGCGGTGTGAATCATTCCATGTAGAAGCTGCTGTCCTTCTAAGGGACAAGTTGCGATTGAAGCGAATGCAGACTCACACAATCTCAGCGGGAAGGGTGCGTCCCAATGGGCATTGCCTCTCGCTTCAACAATCGTAGAGCACACCGCCTCTATCTCAAGCCCGGATACCCAACCTTAAGTGTCAAACGGGTAGAGGGTGTTCGTAAGACGGGGAGCCCCCCGACGACGGGACGCTGAATTGCCTATTGGAATCTTGCTCGGCCTCCAGCTGAAGCTCCTCTATCAGTCAAGGCTGAACAACGCTTGTTGACCTGCCGGCATGCCTATCTCCGGCCCACAACCGGGGAAGAGCGGCTGGTTCATCCTATGCGTAGGTGGGAGAAGCGATGCCGTGGGGTCGAGGTCGTCAAAAAGGCGTTGTGGTCTAAACCGGCTCTCAAGACTCCATGAAATGGCCGGAACCTGAGAATGTGAATCCTGATATGGGGCCGACCTACAAGCCGGGCTCCTTCATGTGTGCCGTGGTCGGGTAAAATTTCAACTCGGGGATCGTGAACGATTGCTCTGACCTCGCACCGCCGTGACTAGCACTAATGCAGTTCTCTGAAGACAGCGCCGGACACGAACTGGGCCACCGAAAGCCAGTCTCTCGACGACGGCGCTGGCCCGCGCTGGGTAATCATTCTGCTGATCTGCTTCGGTCCTGATCCCAAGAACGACTTTAATGGGCACTCGATGACTTAGCCCTCTCCGCACTTGCGGAAAGAGGTTTCAGACCAGATTCAACGGGAACTCGCTTTCCGGAGGCCCTGGTTTCGGCTGCGAGGCTTCCGTGCTGACAGGCAAACACGACCGGGCATTGCAGTTCCCGACTCCGGCGAAACAGAAGCCTGGAACAATGTTTCGGCCGCAGGGCTAGATATTTCCGCGCTCCGGAACGATTCTGGAGGGCGGTGCGTAGCGAGGTCCGTGAAGCCGAAGAGAAACCAAGGCAAGAAGGCGTAAAGGCACAAAACAGAAGACAAGGAAAAAGGAAAACGAAAAAAAAGAAAAGAAGAAGATGGTTGCGCAGAAACAATATGTACTGTACCTAAATACAGAGTCGCTAAAATCAAGTTGGCAATGAAATCTTCAGGTTTTGACGAAAACAGAGAAGAGAGGAGCGGTTTTGACGAAAACAGACAAGAGAGGAGCAAAGTGGAGGAAAATACTAAGAAGATGGCTATCGTAGCATTGTCCATGTTTTTGTTGAGAGACGTGAGCGTAAGGTGGCTTGGAAAGCCGAAGTTTACCGCGCTGCGAGTCACGTGCAGCTGCTGATGCCATGCGTCTTGGCCTATCAGATGCATCGATTCAACGCCCGCTGGACAAAGGAGGAAGGCGTGAAGGGACAAACAGCACAGCTTGGGCATCAAACTGCAGGGAAAGTGGACCTGAATGCTCATGTGGGGTTTTCTCGGGCTTGGGAGGCTTAAGAGGGCAAGGCTCGCTCAGGAAACTGCAACCTCAATTGCTCAGAAAGCAACAGCAGCACAATCATCACACTCCTATCGTCGCTGGTTTGGCGCGAGCATCGCGAGGATGGCTCCAGTCCGGGACCCCAACACGCTGTCCAACTATGACGCTTGGCGAACTAAGCACACCACAGCCAACTTCAAGGTCGACTTTGATGCCAAGAGTCTGCGTGGTTCCATCGTCCTCGAGCTCGAATCTCAGACGGATAAGGCCAGCAACGAGATCATCCTCGACTCCAGCTACGTCGACGTCTCCTCGATCAAGCTCAACTCGGCGCCCTCGAAGTGGGAGATCAAGGACCGCACCGGGCCCAACGGCTCGCCCGTCCATATCTCTGTGCCCAGCGGCGCCAGCAAAGGAGAGATAGTCAAACTTGAGATTGACCTGGCCACCACCGAGAAGTGCACTGCGCTCCAGTGGTTGACACCGGCTCAAACCAGCAACAAGAAGGCCCCGTTCATGTTCAGTCAATGCCAAGCTATTCACGCGCGCTCGATCTTCCCCTGCCAGGACACTCCCGACGTCAAGAGCACATATAACTTCAACATCCAGAGCCCTCATGTTGTTGTTGCCAGCGGTGTCCCCCTGCTGGACGCACCGGAGGAGGCCGGTCAAGAGAAGGTCTACAGGTTCCAGCAGAAGGTCCCAATCCCGTCCTATCTCTTCGCCTTGGCTTCCGGAGACATCGCGAGCGCCCCTATTGGGAAGCGTTCTTCTGTTGCCACGGGCCCCAACGAATTGAAGGCTTCGCAATGGGAGCTCCAGGACGACATGGACAAGTTTATGGATGCCGCCGAGAAGATTGTATTTCCCTACCAGTGGGGAGAGTACAACGTTTTGATCCTGCCCCCGAGCTTCCCGTACGGAGGTTAGTCTCAACCCAACTGGAATTTGGTAGGGCCGGTCTGATTGACTTGGGCCCAGGCATGGAGAATCCCATCTTCACATTTGCGACGCCCACCATCATCAGCGGTGACCGGCAAAATATTGATGTCATTGCTCACGAGCTTGCCCACAGCTGGAGTGGGAACCTGGTCACGAGCTGCAGCTGGGAGCATTTGTAAGTCCAGTATCTCAATCAGTGAACGGGGATCGTAGGCTGACGCTGGCTAGCTGGCTGAATGAGGGATGGACCATGTATCTCGAGCGTCGTATCCTCGCCTCCATCCACAAGAACGATGCTTACTTTGACTTCTCGGCCATCATTGGGTGGAAGCATCTCGGTAAGCCCCTTACAGAATCCGCAACTAGTCCCGTCGCTAATGGAAACCACTCAGAGGAGGCGATCAACGAGTATGGCGAGGATCACGAGTACACCAAGCTGTGCATCAGCCACAAGGGCATCGACCCCGATGACGCCTTTAGCACCGTGCCATATGAAAAGGGCTTCCATTTCATTTACTACCTCGACCGCCTTGTCGGGCGGGAGAACTTTGACAACTTCGTCCCCCACTACTTCAGCAAGTGGGCGAACAAGTCCCTGGACTCTTATGAGTTCAAGGACACCTTCCTCGAGTTCTTTGGTGCTCCTGAGTATTCCAGTCTGAAAAGCAAGCTCTCCGAGATTGACTGGGAAGGTCGCTTCTTCAACCCTGGGCTTCCCCCGAAGCCCGAGTTCGACACGTCGCTTGTCGATGTGTGCTTCCAGCTGGCGGACAAGTGGAAGCAAAAGGACTTCTCGGCCAGCCCGTCGGATATCAGCTCTTGGACCGGCAATCAAGTCCTCGTGTTCCTGAATGTGGTTCAGAACTTCGAGGTGCCTCTCACGCCGGAGCAGTCCGTATGTCTTCCTGTGCACATCGCGTTTTGGTGATAGCGGCTAACCCGAGGCAGCAAAAACTGGGCAGGGCCTATGGGCTCACTGAAACCAAGAATGTCGAGCTCAAGTCGGCCTACTACCAGATTGCCATGAAGGCCAAGGACACCAGCTCGTATGCGGGTGTCGCTGAGCTTCTCGGGGAAGTTGGCCGCATGAAGTTTGTGCGGACGCTTTTCCGCAGCCTCAACACCGTGGACCGCGACCTTGCCGTCAAGACTTTCAAGAAGAATCGCGATTTCTACCACCCCATTTGCCGCGGCCTGGTCGAGAAGGACCTCGGACTCGTTGCGCTTGAGTCGGCTTGAGATCGGGCACAGTCTTCGAGTCTGGCAAAGGAGGATGACTGTTGGATGGGACGGTTAACCGGTATATGACGATTGGGGAGGACACTTGCAACTTGGACAGAATTGTGCTGTACAGTGCTTGCTTACGATTCAAGCGAGCTGGAATGTGGTCGGCGAATTTGCATGTCTTGAACTTACTGATAGTAAAGTTGAATGGGTAGGATGACTTCACAAGCGAACTCTTTAAGCGGCGGTTCCAACTGCGCAGCCACCAAGAAGAGCAATCTTTCGTTGCTAAATGCCTTTTTATGTTCTTAGTGAAGAAACGCTGTGTCTGCAATATCGCATTGCGCAAACTTTTCTGGAGCCTTTTACCTGGGACTTAAGTGTCGGAGAGTTGTTGAGAGGAAGACTATCTCAACACCCAAACGCTTGACACAAAAACAGATGCTGCGAACCCCTGAACATCTAACTCGGATACCGGGAGTCGAACCCGGGGCTGTTGAGAGAGCAGACACTCCTTAGGAGTGAGAGTCAACGATGTTACCGCTACACCATACCCGATCCGCAATCGCGTGTGGTTCTGACAGGGGTGGCTTGCTCAGAGTGAGGTCGACGAGAGACATTCTGTTGAGGGTTTGCTTTGATTAAGTGATTCAGCGTTGGGGACAAGCCCAGGAAAAGTGGCACCAAAATTTGTAGCTTATAAGCACTAGGCGCATGAGCGTCGATAACAGTCCTACGGGCACATGGTCTAGTGGTATGATTTCTGTTTTGCATGAAAATTTCTAGCTCTACAGACGGTCCCGCGTTCGATCCGCGGTGTGTCCAAGTATAGTGCTTATTCTTTTGTCTGATTTCCTTCCATTCTTTTGAGGCATTATTCTACACTTTTGTCTCAACATCGGGTATTCACCACAGCCTTGGTCAGTGTTTGATCATCCATGGCAAACCAAGTCTGCCCGATCACCTCCTCCATTGTAATCCTCTCGGCCGGGTCATACCTGAACATCTTTTCCAGAAAATCCACCAACAACGCCGCCTCCTGCTCCTCAAGCCAGGGAAACGCTTTCAGCAACTCGTCTGTCTCACCATCATACCCCGTAATGTACCCGCCATCCACGCAAGCCGCAGTGGGCTTCCACACTACCCCCCTTGTCGCATCCGGATACGGCACCCGCATAGCAGCGTGATCCTCAAAACATAGCCGGTCCGGGCCCGTCCGTCATTTGCACCACCTCACCTGTCGCATTGACAAACAGCGCCCTCGGCTCATCCAGGATTGACCACACCCTCCCTCTCAGCGGCCGTGAGTCTTCCAGAGTCACCCTCCTCCTTCCCGATAGGAACACGAAACCAGTCCTCGTTGAATCTCGTCTTTCTCCATTCTTGAGGTAGCTTTCCCTCGCCCATGGTCATGACAGTTTGTCTGAGTGCATTAGCCGGGCAGTTGGTGTCGTAGTCGAAAAAGAGATCGTCGCCTGACCGGATGCGGAAGATGGCGCAGCCCAACGCCCAGATGTCAGGGGCCTTACTGGGTGCGTGGCGCACACATACCTCCGGGGCGAGGTACTTGGTTGTGATGCCGAGTTGTTTCGTTGCCGGCGGATGAGCAGTTTGAAATGACTGATCAACTTCGGTGATGCAGATGTTGCGGCTGTGGAGGGCGGTCGGTGCAGAGCAGAAGTCTAGAGGGGCGACGATGTGCTCCGGTCCGTGGGGAGTTGGGGGCCTGGCCTGAATAGGTGCTCAAGGGGCAGGTTTTGGGGTGGCCGAGGAGAGGGAGCAGGGAGGGTTCCCGGTACGATGTACGCAGCGCTTCGTTGAGACGGATGGCGATGTTGGCGGAGGTCAGGTCTGAGAGGCGAGCTTAGCGCTGCCACTGATGGCGATGGCCGCTTCGTGGTTGGCTTACCGCCGTGACACAGCCCATTTGCATGCAAGTGTGCGAGCGCTCGGGCAGCCTGAAGAGATACCTCTCTGGCGAACCCGGGGGTCACCCCGGAGGAGAACCCCTGGAAAGCGTGGACACACTCGGACCCAAAACCGGCATCACCAGGCAGAGACGCCCATAATTCGGCCCCATCAACGCAGAACCGCCCCTCAGGCACAGCAAAGAGAGGAGGCTCGGCAATGCTGGGGTGGGTTGCCGCAGCCGCCCTGCTCGTACGTGGCTGACTCCCCGGCGACAACCACCTTAAGGTCATCCACCGGCCGTCGAGCACGTCTCGGGCGAGCCAGACGGTCGGGAAGCCGCCAAAGCCGAGCTTGTGGACGACCCGGTACCGGCCATCGTACACATCGCCGAGGTGAACTGGGTGGAAGCCACCCGGCTCGTAGTTCTCAACGTCTTCACACCCGTCAAGCTCGCAGGGAAAGTATCTGCAGGGTGTCTTTGAGACTCGAGTCCACGTTTGCTCACAAGTCTGCCTGTTGGTGGTGCAAGGACGATGTAGAGGCCGGGGTCCATTGGACGCCGGCGCTTAGGGCGGGGCAGCAAGCGAACGACCCATTCGTCTGGTCGTTGAAGAAGGGAGGATGCTCTCTAGGACTGCAGGTAGGGCGTGGTAGGTCAAGCTGACATTGACCTGCTATGAGGAGCTCTAGACCGCCTCGGCCGTCTGTCTGCTTTTCCATTTCTTCATATCCATTTCCACTTCCATGTAACCATTTCCCCTTTGTTCTATCCACAATTTTCAGCCTTCACTCTTGTCTTCATGTTCTCTGTTCCTGCCTCCCTAATTTCACACTTACAAATGCCCTCCTCACCATTGCTAATCTTGAGCTGGGTTCCCAAAACTCAATTGCCTCAAAGAGATGCCAAACAAATGAATTGGTTCTGCCGGAATTGCCAGCTTGCCAGGAGATGGAACAGTCATAAAGAGACCGTCAAAGGTCACTGGACTTATTTGCTAACTAGCGTGCCATTTCAAGTACCGTATGAGCGCCGAATGTGGCCAAAAGTCAAGCCTTCACGAGAGGTGGTCGTGAAGGGGCGAGGTGCCAAGCAGGCGCCGATAAATTTTGATCTTTATAGGCATAGGTGTTGGGCTGTGCAAATAACAGAAAATGGCTGGATGGCCGAGTGGTCTAAGGCGGTAGACTCAAGAAATCCTGTTTCTTCCCAAAGAAGGGTTGCATTCTACTCTCGCAAGAGGCGCGCGTTCGAATCGCGCTCCAGTCATCTTTTATTTGTTTTTTTTTTTTATTTTTCCTCACCCTCGTTCCTTGATCAAGGAAATGGTCTGTCTCTTTCTTGTTTGGACACAAATTGCAGTGTCCGGAAATGCTGAGTGGAACCATGTTGCTCAATGTTGTATCCTTTTGGCTTCGTTCCTTGGCTTGCCTCCGTCGCGGACGACCTCAAACTGTGGGGCGTTGGCAGTAGTGGATGTAAGATGATTGGCACAGCTTCCAAGGCGCCTTGGGTTAAAGACCAAGCTGTTTTGAGAGAAAGACATGCAGGAAGCGTCATCAAACCGGAAAGCTGCCGAGGAAAGCTTTTGGGGTTGGGCTGCATCTGCAGGAATACTTTGCAGCTGGTTCTTTGGACCGACCTTACATACCTCACCGACTCCCTATTATTTACATTTCCATTTCACACCAATAAGACCACACACAAACCTCCAAAACCGCCATCATGTCTGTTCCCACCGACGCCAAGTCCGCCAGCGATGAAACGACCGATCTCAGCAAGCAATACGACACGCCATTGGGCCTCGCCCACACGACCATGCAGGCCCTCAAGGACCGCATCAAGCTGCACTACGACCTGGCCAGCGACTATTACCTGAACCTGTGGTGCGCATCCCCCCTCTCACTGATCACCCTCACTCACCCAAATACTCAAAATATCCACCCCTCCTACCAGGGGCGAACATATCCATCACGGCTACTGGCCCACTGCCACCTCTAAGGCAACCGACACGAAAGAGACGGCCCAGCTGAACCTGATCCGCCTGCTGCTCTCCATCTCGTCCCTTTCCAAAGAGTCCTCCCCAGACGACAACAGCAACACCACCACGGCACCACCCGCACCCGCATCAGAGCAACCCCTCCGCATCCTCGACGTAGGTTGCGGCATAGGCGGCACCTCGCGCTACCTAGCCTCCCACCTAGGCGCCTCCGTGACGGGCATCACCATCTCGAGCAAGCAGGTGCAGATCGCACGGCGGCTGAGCAAGGCCGCCGTCGCCGCCGTCTCGACCTCGTCGTCGGGAACCTCATCATCCGGTATTGACGAGCAGCACGAGAGCTCAGCAAAGGAAGGCGAGTTCATTCCCCTCGGCAGCAGCAGCGGGCAGGTGCGCTTCCTGGAGCTCGACGCCGAGAAGATGGGCGATTACTTCAGCGGGGACGGCGAGGAGCCAGCCGCGTTCGACGTGATCTGGGTGAGCGAGGCGCTGTCGCACTTCCCGGACAAGGCGCGGTTCTTTCGGGATGCGGCGCGCTTGCTTGATGCGGGGAAGGGGAAGAAGGGCTCCGGGCGGTTGGTGGTGGCCGATTGGTTCCGGGCCGAGGCGCTGGGGGAGGCGGAGTTTGAGAGGGATATCAAGCCTATTGAGGGTTCGTCTTTTCTTCTTCTCCTTCTTTCTGTCGTTTTCTCTTTTCTTAAATGGTTTCGGGACGGTGGTATTGGCTGACACACGACAGATGGCATGCTTCTCCCGCCGCTGTGCACACAGCAAGAGTATGTCGACATGGCGAAGGCCGCAGGGTTGGAGCTGCTCGGCGGGCCGAAGGATATCAGTAAGGATGTGAGCAAGACGTGGTATGTACCTACTTCCCTTGCTGTCTGTTCTGTATCGCCGGTACTGACTGGCCCAGGGACATCTCGTGGTCGCTGGTGCAGAACCCCTCGCTGTGGGCGTTCGCCTTCAGCCAGGGCCGAGACGGCATCGCCTTCTTGCAGGCCTTCCGCGCCATGAGAAGGGGCTACGCGAACGGAAGCTTCCGGTATGCTGTCATGGCATTGGCGAAGCCGTGAAGGACCGATATTTCGAATACTCAATGGGTATTTCGTGGGAGATCCCACATTGCATTTATCTAGACAGTGAGCTAGCTTCCGGGGTTTGAATAAACAAGACTCTGACATATCAACCCCTTCCATACGCCTTCCCGTATCAAGCGCCCAGAGTAGCTACCCACCAACATACTCGCATAACGCCTAGCCAGCCACCAGCCCAACCCTACCACCAGGGATCCTCTGCCTAAACTGTACGGGGTATTGTATCATTACACACAATTGCAAACAAACAACAGCACTTTCAGCACCAGAAGATTTCCACCCAGTCTCTCGCACTCAAACCAGCAACCGCCGCTTCACTGGCGCGGGCACGGGATCTCCGTTGACGGTCACCGGCTTCTTGCCGAAGGCGGCCTTTCCGAGAGCTTGGATTTTGTTGAGTAGATAACTGTCATTATTTAGCACCGGTGATGCACGGCTGCAGTGGGGTCTAGGAGATCTAAGCATGTCAAATAGCTTGCAAAGCCGAGATCATGAATTACTGATCTGACTTGGCGCGCTACGAGTGAATTGAAAAGGCGCGGGCGTTGATGCTAAGTGGTATGTACCTCTGTGATTGGGGTGCATGTAGACGAGCAGGAGAACAGGGGGAAAGTAGGCGTACTTGATCGGCATGTGCCCACGGCTCTCCTTGACAGCCAGATTGATCTTCTCGGCCTGCGCCTCATGGACCTTGAAGTGCTCCTTGATTTGCTGCTGCGCATCTTCCTCGTTGGCCGACCGGACGACGTACATGCAGCCCTCTTCCTCGCACGTCCAGGTGCCGTCGGGCCCGCTCGGCGACGTCGTGGGGATCCGCTCGGCGTGCACCACTACCCGGACGGCACCCTCGGGCAAGGGCAGGCGGGACCCGACAGCCATGTCTTCGTTGTCGACCACTTCGTCATCACTGCTGTCGTCGGGTTCCTCAGCTTGCTCATCCTCGTCGCTGGCACGGTGGATGGACTTGGCCGATTTCCTGCCGCGGCGACTCCCGTTGACTGGGTCGTCGACTTCTGAAAGCGGCCGCTTCTTGGAGCTTGCCGCTAAGCGCAGGGTTGCTCCTTTGCCCGACCACCGGCCCCGCTGAGGTGCTGCATATTGACCGGCGGCGTCGTCATCTGACTCTTCGTCGCTGCCATTCTGCCCTGCCTTCTTAGCCCTTGGTTTGAGATTGATCGTCGGCGGAAGCTGTGTGGCCGGTTTGGTTGAAACGCCCGTTTTGGAGCCGGCCTTCGTCCTACGAAAAGTCATCGCGGGGATCTTTCCCGGGTCAAGCGGCTCTGCCGGGTTCCAAGGACGCTTGGCAGAGCTTGCAAGCCACTGCTGCCACGGTGTGCCCTTCCATTCCGCGGGCACTCGTGGCAAAAGCTCTTTTGCATAGTAGGCGACCATGTCTGCAGCGTGTTGGTACTTGTTGATCCTGCACTTGAAATACAATTTGCTGTGAATTGTCTTCGGCAGTGCCTCCCGTATGTCAGTTTCGGTTCCAATTTCCAGTAGGACTGACAGCAGCCGGTCGACAGGATTATTGGGCTCAGCCTCCCACGTGGGTGTATCGCTGGGCGTGTCCTTGGGCGCTTGGACCGGCGCCGGAGGTGGCTTCGTGCTTGATGGCTGAGAGGCTAACCTGTACTTCTCTGGTAGCGGCACTGGGGTCTCGCTGGTTTTTGGCGTGCTTCTGTTGAGTAGCTCTGGTTGCGGGCTGAGCGAGCGCTTCAACGTAGAACCCCGCGAATTGTCTTCGACCTCGCTATTTCTGCTGCTTGCCCTAGCTGACTTGCTTCTTCCTTTGTGCAGAGTCCTGTCGTCGGGCCGGTTCGGCGTCTCTGAGGGCCGTAGGGGGCCAACTACGCCATTGGCAGCTTTCGTATGGAGATCCTATCCAACGTTGGTTAGAGATACACGACGCCATACTGGATGACAAGTAAAAGCTTACATTGCGGTGCTCGCGCAACCAATTTGCAAAGGCTGATGTATCCCAATCCAGGGCGTTCTCCCTTTGGAAGTGGGCAATCAGGAAACCGGCCCATTTGTGACACAGCGCCTCAACCTCATGCCGCAGGATGCCGTCACCGACCCTGACCGCGTACTTGAGAAACACCTTGTCCAGGGGAGGCGGGGGCGGCAGCTGGCCCTTCTTCCTCTTCCTCTCCTTCTCACAAGCTTGGATGTAAGCTTCTTCGACCTCGTATGCGCTGTAGTAGAGTGTGATTGCTTCCATGACTTGGTTGTACATGCGCTGATACTTGGCCGACGGTTTAATCTCAAACCAGCCAGTGTCGCCTGAAACCCACCAAGAGAGCGGACCGTCTCCGATTGCGTAGTACCTTGATTTGGAAATCTCGATGTAGCCAGTCTTCACATTGGGCCGGACCACTGCAGACATGGTTAGCGGTGATTCGCCTGACAGAAAGGATGAACGAGTAATCAGTGCTCACAGTTAGCAATAGTGTCCTTTTCGGGCTCCTCAAGAAAACCTTGGACGACCATAGTTCCATGGACATAGTCGACGAGGGGATTGGCCAGGGTCTGGCGATCCTCCCGGTAGATTGTGGCATCTTTGAGGACATAGCAAGGACAGTTGGGATCTTCGATGCTGGCCGGTTTGAGCAACGACTTTTCTGGGGACCACCGAATCTGGGAGCGGTCGGAAGTCGAGATAGTCGATGCCGGAGAAGCCTTCGGCAGTCGAGGTCGCCCCATCATCGCAGTTATTGCCCAAAGAAACAATAGTGAGTAGCACGCTTGTCGACCTTTTGCCGCAGGGAAATATCGCCTGTGGCGGGGTGTCTTTTCGATGGAGAGGTGAATCCAGTCAGCGGCTGAGAAAAAGGCTGAAGTGGCTTGAATGTGTTGGAATCATGTGTCGGCTCTTTGACGCGGTAGAGTTGGCGCGGTAGAGTTGGCGCAAGCACTCAACGCGACCACCAACGCGTATTTGAGAAAGTGGGGTTGAACACCAAGGCTGAGTTGTACCGAGTACAGAGCAACGTTAGAGAAATACTCCGGTTTAACAGTTAGAGGAGGTCTTGGGTACGTGAGGCGCTCTGCCAGGACCTATGCGCCTCCAATCGATAAAGAGACAGATAAATCGCAACTGGCCCCTTGCTCCAATTGCTCTTCCCAAAAATTCCAGGTGGTCATCTTGCCAAGCGTACCTAGGTACGATTGAAGATAGCAACGCTGCCATTCTCTTCATTGCCATTGCTACTGTTGTCGAGTGACCTTCAGTCCAATTGAAAATCTGGGGTTCATGAACTGGCACTCGGTCAACCCCCTCCCCTTATGAGGCTTCCCCAAATCGCCAAGATGGCCGCCGACAAGGTTCTCGAGGGCGTTTTCGGTCTGTAAACCCGTTGCCGCGATACTTCTGACTGTCAGCCGCTGACTGCGAGCAAAAGCCATAAACAAGCCCTTCGGTATGAGCTCCGCCCAAGTCATCCGCGACTGCCAGACCTACTTCAACCCGTCCCGCCTGTTCGCACCCCTCATCGCACAAGAGGCCGCCATGCGTGAGAAGGAGTCCCGGTTTCAGAAACGGCGGCGGGGCAAGGCAAAGCAGGAAATTCGAGTCAAGATGGGCCACGGTGGCACCCTCGACCCCCTAGCCACAGGCGTGCTGATCCTCGGCGTCGGCAAGGGCACCAAGTCGCTCCAGAACTTCCTCACCTGCACTAAGACGTACGAGACCGTCGTTCTTTTTGGGGCCAGCACTGACACCTACGACCGCACGGGCCGCATCATCAAGAGGGGAAAGTACGACGAGGTCACGCGACAGGCTGCTGAGAAGGCGCTCGAGGGCTTCCGCGGCAAGATCAAGCAGATGCCCCCGCTCTACTCAGCCCTCAAGATGGAAGGTAAGCCCCTGTACGAATACGCGCGCGAGGGCAAGCCAATCCCCCGCGAGATCGAGACGAGAGAAGTCGAAGTCACCGAGCTCGAGCTGGTGGAATGGTACGAGCCCGGCACGCACAACCACCGCTGGCCGACCGAGGAGGCCGAGCAGGCCGAGAAGAACCTGGTCGACTCTGTGTGGCGCGTCGCGAAGCGGCAGGCCGAATACGACGAGGGGCTGACCAAGCTCACGCCGGAGCAGCAAGAGGAGGAGATCAAGGCGTTGGCCGAGTACAACAGCAAGAAGCGCGAGGCCGAGGAACGCGTCGACAACCTCGTCAGCGATGAGCAGCCGGCGGCCAAGCGGAAGAAGACGAACCAAGGGCGGGCAGAGCCCATGATGTCGGGCGCGCTGGGAACGCTGCCCCCGAAGGGCAAGGGGTCGAACCTGGTTCCTCCACCGCCCGCGCCCAACACGCCACCTCCGTGGGAGGGCAAGGGCCCGCCGGCGGCCAAGATCAGGATGACGGTCACGTCGGGGTTTTACGTGCGCAGTCTGTGCCACGATTTGGGGGAGAAGCTGGGCTGTGGCGCCATGATGGCCGAGCTGAGCCGGACGCGGCAGGGGCAATTTGTCCTGGGTGGCGCGAACTGCATGGAATATGACGAGCTCCTCAAGGGAGAGGACGTCTGGGGGCCGAAGGTCCGTCACATCTTGGAGCTCTGGAACAACCCGCATGCTAAGCCGGAGCCCATGGAGAACGGGTCGAGCGCGCCCCCGGTGGGCGAAGAGAGCAAGTCTGCCAATGACGGCAAGGCCGCCCAAGAGAAGAAGTCTGCTAAGGAGAGCCAGACTACTGACGACGCCAAAACCGCCTCTGAGTCGGAGACAGCCAACGCAGCTGAGCAGGCAAATGTGGGAGAGCAGGAAACTGCGACAGGGGCTTAGGTAATGGTATTTGGCAGGCCAGTTCTCGTCACTTCCGTGTGAAGCATGGGAATACCCCTCCTCGACTTTATCAACTGGCCGGTAAGGTCGCCATTCATGGCAGGGAGCGGGCAGAGCCCTGTTCTACGAAGCGGCACTCGACTATCTAACAGCGATCGCATTGAATCAAGATAGCGTTGCCTAATAGAAACAGTCATTTCGACGTCTAGTTCCCAGTCCGTACTATGCATCCCGGATATAGACCTGTGTTTTCATTGCCCGTTTCTCCTTTCCAGTCCTCCCACGGTATCATGTCATGACTCATTTTGCATACCTAACCCATACCAAACCCATACCCAGTGTTCATCAAACGCATGCAGATGCGCCTTTTCATAGACATCATATCATATCATACCCACCCCATCCTCCATGATACAGCTCTTCCGCCCACAGTATTACTCCCTCCGCCCCACCTGCAAACCCTCCTCAGCAAGAACCTCCCTCACCCTTTCAATCCTTCCAATCGCCCTTTCAAGCCTCTCCAACCGCCGTCTCTTATCCCCGTCCCTCCGCTCCAGCTCCCCGACCCGCTCCTCCAGCTTCGCCCTCGCGCGCCGCTCGGCCGCCACCATCTCATTGGCCTGCTCGAATAGGCTCGCGCTGAGCTCTTCCACCTCGCGACTAGTCTCGGTCAATCGGCCTTCAGCTTCCAGACGCAGCGCTTGTTCGCGCGAGAGGGCACTCAACAGGTCTTCAGTCGTGAGTTGGGCTGAGGTTGGGAGGGAGGGCGGTGGGGTCGTAGGGCGGTGGTTCAGGTTTGGGTATGAGGCTGAGGAGGGGAGGGAGGGGATTGGGCTCGGCGCTGTTGGTGGTCGGTTGTTGCCAATGCCGGTCGGTTTGAGAGTGGGCGGTGGCTGGGGCGGGGATTTGCGCGAGAGGAGGGCCGAGATGCGGGTTGCTGCGCTTGTGGTGAGGAAGGAGGCGCGGGAGGGTGTGGGCGGGCCGGCTGCTGAGCTGGGCGGGGTGGGAAGGGAAACGTGTTGGGTTTGTGTCGGCTGTGACGGTGCGGATGATGATTGTGGTGACGGGGTTTGCGGGCGAGACTCGAGCTGAGCGCGCAGTTTGGCGAGCTCGTCTTCGTAATCGGCCCAGCGGTCGACGGCCGCCGAGGCTTTCTGGTTGAGGAGGCGGACCTGGGCTTCAAGGTCGGCGATTCGCTTCTGCGCGCTGAGCAGGGCGGTTTGTGTTTCTTCAAAGGGCGGCATCTCCGCACCGTAGCCGCATTTCGGGCAACAAGATGCTGACCCTGGCATGGTCGTCAAGGCGCCTGTGCTTGCGACGGTCATGGTCGCGACTGTCATGCCTGAGACGTGCCTGATATGTGTTGGGGTTCGAAGTATGTTGTATTTGGCGGCTAGGCAACACAGGGCGGCAGACGATGGCAGCAGTTTGGTTTGTCGTCTCAAGTCAGGCAACAGAAGAAAGGGCTGAAGAAAGCGGTTCGACGAGGGGTGGCTGGTTCCTGGCATTGGCCTTGGCATCAGGGATCAGTGTGGTTGCTCTGACGTCGCGCATTCTCGGAATACGGTATAGCCCCTGGTCAGCCCCATGATCAGCGGGAAATACCGAGGACAAACTGCATTTATGGATACACAGGAAACGTGGTATACTTATACGTGTAGATACGTAGTTGAATACTACAGAAATCAAGTCTGGTTTGCTTGTTTTTAGTGGGTGCTTTCATACTGCTCCTTGCAATTCATCTTTTCTTGCCTACCTTACCTACGTTAGGTCGTGCCAAGTGCTCACAGTGACAAACCACCATGCTCTACCAAATGCAAGTTGTCCTGTATAATGTACAGGACGGACAATTAATTCCGCACATCCAGCCAAACGCATCAACTCAATGGTATAAATCCTGATGCGGGGGAAACAAATTAAAATGGCGTCCTGGTCGTTACAAGTTGAATCCAGGCGCAGCCGAAGGGCTAAGGGAAACCATGCTTTCACAGAACTTCCCGGAGTATCACCACGTAGGACTTAATTGACTTTCCAAGTCGCATACGCTCTCGGGAGCCCTCAACCACGGTGCAAATTGTATTCACCGGCTCGTAGCCGTGCTCAGTGGCCAGCGACAACGGCGCCTGGCTATTGTTATCCTTCGCATTGACGTCAACTCTGCCAGTATCGAGCAAGAGCTTAACAATGCGCTTGTGGCTTTTGATTGCCGCATACGACAACGGCGCCCGGCCATTGTCATCCTTGGCATTGATGTCGACTTTGCCTGTGCCGAGCAGTAACTTCACGATGTCTTCGTCCCCGCCCTCGGCGGCCGCCAATAGCGGCGTCCCGAGTCTCTCATACCTCGTATTGAGGTCGATTCCACCGGTATCGAGCAATGCTTTGACGACGTCCCTCGTGTCCGTACGCGACACTCCATGCCAACGACGTCAAACCCCCTACATTCTTTGTATTGAGGTCGACTATCACCGTGTCGAGAAGTAGTTTCACAAGAGCCTCGTGCCCACTCATAGAGGCCGTCAAGAGTGGTGTCTCCTCCTGTCTATCCTTTGTATCTACGAAGGCTTTACCTGTCACGAGCAGCAGCTTGAAGGCGGTCTCGTGCTCAGTGGCGGCAGCCCAATGTAGAGGCGTCCGGCCCACTTCATCCCTCGCATTAATGTCGACTTCGTCCGTGCTGAGAAGCAGTGGCAACGGCGTCGTAGACCTCCTGACAGGCCGACATCAGAATGTTGCCATGATCGGGGTTTCGACCCTTTTCTTGCAAAACTTCCTTAAGTAGACCCGACATCTGATATCTTGTCTGCAAGAGAGGCTCTTTTGCTAAGACTTTCTCGAGAACGGGATACATGGCCCAGTAAACCCGCACCCACAACTCCACGAGAGCGTTGGATGGCCAGCGAAGTAGAGAGAGAAGCTCGTCATGAGGGACGTTTCGGGCACCACACTGCTCCATATGCATTGCCCACGTTTTTGCATTGTAAGGCAAGAAGCCGTAGGGGTTGTTCTCGTAGCTCCAGTAGGTTGTCGACACGGTCATCTCCGCCAATGCCAGGTAGCGGATGCATATCTTGGGGAGCCGAAGGTGAGCTCTAGTTGCCGTCTCGGCCGGCGTTGCGGAGCCGTCCGAAGCCAACAAGCTTTTTCAACGAAGATGTCCCCGACGGACTGGTGGATTAACTGGACGAGCTCGTATGAGTGATCTCGGCAAGCCCCGGCTGAGCCACGAAACCCGCCTTTTCAAGCGGGCATATCCATAAAAGTCGAAATGTCCTGTCAGTTTCCGTCCTCTGCCCAAATCTCGAGCGTGGTTTCGTCCAGGTCGAGGTTTGGGTAGTGGCGACAAGAAAAGCAGATGCGGAGTTGACATTGTGGATGAACACGCTTCAGCAGGGCTTTGAAGAAGTCCGCTAGCCTGACCGCATCCTCTTTGCCACATTCGTCCAGGGCGTCGACATACAACCAGACTGGACGAGTTTGAGAGAGTTTTGGAAGAGACGACTCGACGTAGGGCCGCAGTTCCCCCTCATACCGATTCCATTCTTCATCCAGCTCGCCGTTCTGCTTGAGCTTCGTTTCAAACATGTCCACGAGATCCCGTAATGCATGGGGTGCCTGCGCAAGGACTTGGTTGAGAAGAGACCGGAAGAGGCCAAGAGGCGTCCTCCGGAGTTCGTCGCCACGGCCATGGAAGAAAAATGAGAGGACAAGGCTGTCGACTCGAGCTCCATGATTGTCGAGAGCGTATTTGAGCAATGTTGACTGCCCGTAGCCTGGCTTTCCCTTGATCCAGAGCAGGCCTCGGTCGCAGGTTGCCCAGCCCCTGTACCTCATGTGTTGGAGCAGCGAGCTGCATGTCGCTTCGGCCACCCTGCTAATTTCATGGGATCGAGTTTCCATTTGAGGAAGAGCCGGCCATCTAAGACAGTCAAGGGCGGTTATGATGGGGCGAGATGAGGCATTGCAGCGGGCTCTGTCTGTCGTCAAGTCGTTCAGAAGGTCCGTAGCATAGTAGATCAACCGGTTAGGCGATGTGACCGACTTGCGCACGACATATGCGTTGTAGCTGTACGCCAGAATCCGGGCACGGTTGAGCTTCGGCCGCAGGAGGGTCTTGATCCAGGGTGCAGACTGGCCCTCGCCGGTCCATGAGCTCTCGCGGTCCCCGGCCAGGTTGTGAATGAAGCAGATGTCAACTGTGGCGCTGGGGCAGTCGTGTAGAACCGTGACTCCATCCGGGACAGAACCTGGGAAGATCAGGGGGCTTTCAAGCGTGTCGGGGTCACGGTCTCTACTGGCCCCCGACTGAGGCCGACTAGTTCCCTGCGTCTGCTTGTGGGCGCTCCTGCCTTTCTTTCGCCGCCGTCGGAACCAAACCATCATGCCAGCGGGCTGCCAGAACGATCAAGAGGGCGGGGTCTGGCCGACGTGTTAAGAGCCTCCCGTTACCGCTGGGAAACTGTGGGTTCGCTGCTGAACCTCATCTTTTCCTCCGGCATGAGAAAGCTGGAGGGAGGCAGGACTGAGCAGCAGCCACATCCAGCCAGTGAGGCCGCCGCGGCGAGCATGCATGGAGTCTCATTCGGTCGTCGTCTTCGAGTCGTGCGCGAGAAGAGCAAACCCGGCTCAGATCGGATTGGTCCATACCCCGGGTACTTTTTGTGTTTGTCCTCTGAAGACGTGGATGGGAGGACACGTATTGTTGGATTAGCTGACCTCACCGAATGGGTTTCTTGGATGTATGAACAATGGAGCAGAGCTCGGTGAGCCGGGGTGTGGTGGTGATATCCGTATTCCTCCCAACACTCGACAACTGCCGCCTGCCGATCGTGGGGTCTCAGCCATGCGCGACGCAAAACCGGGTGAATTGGTTGTATTATTGGACTGGAATCTCTGAGTGTGATGTAAGAGGGATCGGGCAGGGCTCTAGCCAAAGTGCCGTTATTGTGTAAGTGGTGCTGTGTGCCACTGCCTTTCAGCGATATACCGAAAACAAGCACGCAACGGCTTTCCAAGGCAATGGAGAGAGAGGAGCAACCGAAGATACTGACAATTTTCCACATAGAACAGCGACAGATACGGTAGACGTCTGGACATCATCGTCAGCTGCAGGTACCGCCACCTTTTGACGAGCCGGGCAAACCTGTTATGATCTCTACACGCCAGAGGGCAGGCATAAGTGCATGCTTGTCATCCACCGAGCCTTGCATCCGCGCCATGCGGATTATCGTCTAACCCTCCAATCTTCCGAACATGCCATAATTCAGAAATCCCGAAGCCTCGAGATGGCCATTCTTGCCATAAGGCAGAGCAGGGTGACGGGAGAGCCTCCAGTGGATTGGCGACATGCTGTCACAACGAGGCCCATAGACCAGGCCAACCATTGTCAACTTGTCCAAGCTCGCATGCTGCCAACTTCCGGCTGCGTGACGGTCTCCTGATGCGTTTCTTCAACGCGTCGGAATGGTCAGCCGGTGGCAGAAGCCAGGCGGCTATCTGGATCTTCCAGAGCTTGTCTGACACATGTTCCAACGGCCGCCATGACAACCATGGAGTTACCCAATGCTTACTGTGGCTGCGCAACCTTCCTTAGCTCCATCAACCCCGTCTTGGGATCCATCAGCTCCTTCCAGCTAATAGGCACCATCGTATTTCCGGCCTCGCTCACAGCCGAGATAACACCCAGCTCATTCCTCGTCGTCGACAAGTAATAATTTACCTGGTCACCAAGCGAGATCTGTCCACCCAGCAATCAGTAACCAGCCTCATACACGCCAGGTAATCCAGAACTTACCACCTCAGCCCTGACAATATCGCCCGGCCGAAAGCTCTCATAAATCTTGACCCGATCCTTCTCCGTCGCCCGTACGTCCTGCACCCGGATCAACCCCTGCCACTCGGCCTCGAGCACCGTGTCCCCGCACACGAGAATTGCAACCACGGCCTGCCGCGGCGTGATGCGAATCACCCGGCACAGCACCACGTTGCCCACCTGGGGAAGCACCTCCCTCTTTTTCCTCCCTCCACTTATTCCCAAGCCGCCCCCTGAGTTTGAAGACAAAGCAGCTGAAGCTAATTGTGTTGGCATGACGGATATGGTGGGCAGTTCGGCGGGCGCCGGGGCGGGCGTGATCTTGGTGAGCCGCTTGGCGGGGCCCGGGGCGCGCGCGGGCTGCGTGATCTGGACTTGACCCAGGAGGGAGGCGTACAAGTTGAACTCGTGCAAGTGCGTTCCCGGGCCGGGCTGGTAGCGTGACGCGGGGCCAAGGAGTTGGCCTGGGATGGCGAAGGTGGGGGTTGCTGTTGTCGTCATTGTGATTTGTTTTGTTATCGATCGCAGTGGGTTTTCGTGGGTTGGAAATGTGAATGTTGTCGTTGGTCGTCTGTGTACTGCGGTGTTGTTTTTGCTGTAATCTGCGGAATCCGTGTGATGTGTGGGTGGGTTGCGGACCGAAGTTGCGAAGCTGCGAACGGTGATGGTGAATCTTGGCGCGGTCGGAAAGTTGGAGTTCCGGGTGATTCGAGATGACCGCGAGCTCAAAACAAGCGATCCAAGGACAAAGATTCTGCCGCTCTGGGGTCCTCTTTGGGATTCAGTGCCGGCTCTAATTCGCTACATGCGGTGGAGCACCGTCGATCGAAAGGGAAGATTAGCTTCCATGCACTCACCGCTTTTTTGGTCAATGTTCCCAGGGTCCAGGGGCAGCGCGACAACACAGCCCTCTTTTGGTCCCAGCGACTGCAATTCTTTTGCGGCGCGTTTTCCTATCCTTTCCTTAACCCCCTTTCTCCTTCTCCCCCCCTCCCCAAGTCCTAATCAGCCGCAATGGCGCCGAAGTCCTCCTCGTCCTCCGGCATGGGCGGGTGGCTGAAGTTCCTGGCCATCGTGCTGGGCGTGCTGACACCCGTCTACTACCTCCTGGAACAAAACCTGGAGCGCTTCTACATTTTTGAGCTGGATCAGCTGCACGATGTGGCCAAGCGCGGCATCGCGGCCCACGGCAACGACACGCGCGCCATCGTCAAACACATTGTCGATGAGCTGGCCGGCCAGGTCAGCCTGACAAGCTACATCAACCGCGACGAGGAGTGGATCTTCAACAACGCCGGCGGCGCCATGGGCGGCATGTACATTATCCACGCCAGTGCGTTCCTCACCTCCCTCCTCCCAACCAAATAATCTCACTCCTCTAACCGACCTCCCAGGCGTAACCGAATACCTCATCATCTTCGGCACCGCCGTCGGCACTGAAGGCCACACGGGCCGGCACACGGCCGACGACTACTTCCACATCCTCACCGGCACGCAACTGGCGTATGTGCCGGGCGAATACAGCCCCGAGATCTACCCGCCCGGGTCCGTGCACCATCTGCGCCGCGGCGACGTTAAGCAGTACAAGATGCCCGAAGCCTGCTTTGCGCTCGAGTACGCGCGCGGGTGGATCCCGCCCATGCTCTTCTTTGGCTTCGCCGACGGTCTAACGAGCACGCTGGACGTGCCGACGCTGTGGCGCACGACGTGGGTTACGGGGAAGCTGATGCTGGGGAACTTGGCAAGGGGCAAGTTTTAGACGAAAGGTGCCCGAGAAGAAGAAGAGGGGCGGGCCAAGGTTGCTTCAATGTTGTTTTTTTACGAGAGGATAGAGCGCAAGTCGATGCTTTGCCGCCGCGCCATGTTGAGGGGGGTTGGGGCTTGGATTGGGATAGAGATGGACTACACAAAGTTGCACCGGGGAACTAGAGGCCATGTATTGTGTCAAGATACTTGTACGATCAACTAATGCATAATTGGACCCTTAAGGGTTCAATGCCCAAATCGTACAGTCCCGTTGTTCAGTCTGGAATACGGAGTATGGGAGGCTCAATCCCGTTGTTGCTGGACAAATAAGTTGCGCTCACCGAGTCTGGCATCATGATACCTGTATCTCGTTTGAAGCACCAGAGCGGAACAGCTCCTCATGTTTAAAAAAAAAATTATCCCACTCCCTAATGCTGCCGAACACCATTTTTTGACTCTTGTTTTCAGATACCACCCAGGCCGACCGCGACCGTGCCCTGCAACGCCGATATGAAGACATCTTGCATGCATGTTAAATACAAGGCCAAAGAAATCACTCGAGTCCCTCGACCATCCGCTCGTCAAAGTACGCCCTTCTCGGACTAATCCAACACCATTTTGGTTCGCCGCACTCCAGGCCAAATGCTTCTTGACTGCTATGAAGTTCCGGTGAAAAAGATGCGTGGAGATGGAAATACATGGAGACTGGAAGCAGGCACTGTGAATGGACCGGAGAGTTCATCGGCAAGGCTTCGGCGGGAGTACCGCTCCTAAGCAAGCCACTCCTCGTCGTCCCGCTTGAGGCCCCGCATGACCAAGCCCTCGTCCTCATCCTCGCCGTCCGACTCGAGGGTGACTTGGGCGAGAGTGGTGATGTAGCCGTTCAAATGGTGCGGGTGGGCGGCGCCGTTGCCATTATGGTGTGAGTTATTGCCACCCCCGCCGTCGTCGCCCTCGGGAAGCATCCATGTCAGGCCGTTCGCCTGCTCCTCCAGAGGGAACACCTCCCGCGCGTACTCCTCCAAGCCTCGCGGACCCTCCCAGAGCTCGAGCGCCACCCTGGGGCAACTGTTCTCCAGCTCTATGTCACCGAAGTATGGGGGCTGCTTCTTGGGATCGTCGTGGCCTAGCCCAAACAGCGCCTCGAGTGCTTCCAGTTGGCAGCGGTAACCCTCGGGGATCTTGACCTTGATCTCGATTGGCCCGTGGACGTAGCGCACTGGCCGACCGACTCCCCGTGAGAAGACCTCGCAGGCCTCCTTTGGGGTGAGCATTTCGTAAGCGAGGGCGATGCGCTTGCCGCCGCCCCACTTCTTCACGCCGTCCTTGAAGATTTGAAGGACGGCAGGCCCGACGTCGTGTTCCGCATCCAGCCAGGGGAGCTTGACATCTGGATGGAAAGGGGCCTGCCAGATCCACGAGCCGTCTTCCTGGAGCTCGGTGCAGAAGAGGGGATAGGGGAGTGACGTGAAGTTGTTGTTGTATATGCCCGTGTAGACAAAGGTTGCTGGGAGCCCAATCTTTTTGACATACTCCTCGACCTGGTGCTTGGATGCCCAGAGCGGTAGTGATGGCCACTCCTTGTTGTAAGCGTGGTGATCTGGCATGGACGAGTAGATATAGTGCTGAATCCCAGCCTTCTTAGCCGCGTCTGCGAGGGCCTCTCCGATCTTTTGCTCGTCCCCGTAGAAGGTGGTGTTGATGAAGGCCAGCTGAGCCCCCCGGAACAGCTCTGAGATGAGGGCGTGGTTGACGCCGATGCCGGAAATCGGGCCGTTCCGCGTCACGTCGACTTGCATCTTCTCGATAGGGCGGTCCTTTGTGTACAGCTCCCCCTCGAGTACCGTGACATTCGGATTTGTGGCTACCTCGGTGGCCACGACACCCTCGAGATTCCTCAACTGTGCTCGCACATGGTAGCCGACTGCAGTGGCAACGCGGATGAACGAGGCGGCCTGCCTTCCGCTGGCATTGATGACGGCGATGGTCTTGTTGGGCGAGGGCATTGGTCGCTTCGCTGGACGGAAGGTCAATGAGTTATTCCTCGAGGTGAGCGGCGACGCTTCCGAGTATGATGACCGAGAATGCTTGTGTCGTCTCTCGTCGTTGCTGGTGCTGGTCACTCTGATGTCTCGAGGAACCGGCCTGATGGCGAGCTCGGAGCGTAGTTCGGCCGCCATCAGAGAGGAGGTCGGGCGCAGTTCTAGCCGGAAAGTCGACCCTGTGTAGCAGCAAAACAGACTGGAGAGTGCGCCCCTGGCTATTAGCGAATGGTCTCCTTTGACTTTCGAAACGTGGTGTGACGGTTGGCGCTCGGACAGAGGGTGTAGGTAACTGGATGCAGGTTTCTTCTGGCCGGACAAGATGCCGGACAACGCAGAGCACAGGGAGATTGATTGTGGTCAGGCGGGCGGTCAGGCAAGCAAAGTTACAAAAGAACGGAGCTCGTCTGCGAGGGTAAACGGTCGAGGGCCTTGACGGGTAGGTAGCCGGTGCCGCAATGTCACGAAAGGGCCGGCAGGGCAAGCTCGGCGCCGCTGATGGGCGTATAATTCTGGTCGCGTTTATCTGTTAGTGGGGTTCATCCCAGATTGCGGGGCAGGCCGCATGACAGGGACGCTGATAAACGATATGGACGAGAGGTTGATGAACCGAGCGCAAAGGCGAGGCAAAGATGAAAAAAGAGGGGACGGAGGGTGGCAGCCGAGGAGGGACAGAGAAAAAGAAGGCCAATGCAGGATCGTGTTGGGTTGGGACGAGTTTGCTCGGTGCGGTCAGCGATGGTGCAAGCACAACAGACGAGATCCAGACGTCCGTCCACATGACGAGCCGCATCCGGGATGGAGACTCATATCTGCAGCCATCGTGTCTTAGTGCCCGTACTGGGCTCCGCAGTGTCCTGACTGACAGGGAGCTTTTTTTTGTGCGATGCAGCAATTGAAGGGAGGAATTGACCCGCGAGGCCAGCAAAACGTGCAGTTGCGAAGCCAAGATCGAGCACTGGCCAACTCGGCGCCGGGATGCCCATCCACCGCCTGAGTCGTTGTTTCCCACCGCCAGCGGTTGATTCATGGGGGAGGAACCCACCGGATCCACAGGTCGAGGGCTCAGCAGGCCTGGAAGGAAAAAAGCTTCATCACAGACTGGGCCTCGGCTCATCCAATCGGGAGCATTGCAAGAGGCGTGTGTTGCAGTTCAAGAAGCGCCTAACCGCCATTCATGATGAGCAGCCCCTGGGCGTGTTCGGTCACCGACTTCGGCTGGACAGGCAGCCAGGAGAAAGAGCGAAGCAGAAGGAAACTTATGGGAACGCCAGTTTGTCACAGAATCCAGGGGTCCGGTCTGCCCAGAAACCTGCATACAGATGATGTTCGGTTTCTAAAAGTTGGTTCATCAATCGCCATCGGGGAACTCCTTGGGCAATGCAATGGCATCATGCCTGATCATGCAGGTTGGACATTGAGAGGGCGATAACACGCCTGCCGGCGCACGAGGCACGGATGCAGATGCGCCCATATCAGCAGACCAGATGCTGGGTTTCTAGCTGCTTGTTAGCAGAGTACTTCTGACACAAAGCCGTCGTACAGAAGCGTAATCGGCAAAGGTAAAGATACGGCTGGCTCGGCTGTTGCGACGCCGCTTCCGGTCGCCGGCGTGCTGTTGAGGTTCTTTTCCTCCAAATTTGGATCTGTCCGAAAAGGGCAACTGCGGTTGCTCAGACTCGGCGCTTGCCTCGAAACATCGGAAGGAAGCGATAAAGCCTTGGATTCTCCCTAGCGCCACTGACCGCATCGATGCCGTCAATTTCTTCCCAACAGGTGAAGTGTTTCGGGGAGAAGCCAGGGAAAGAAATTTTGGAAAACAGGCTCCAGTCCTCTGCAGCTAGAGGTTGTTGTTACTTGATGAATACCTGCCCGATCCATTTTCGAAGCAATTTCGTTAGCAATAAGTCTTGGCAGCCCCGGTGGCCGGCGGAGCCGGAGTCGACTTGAGAATTCAAGACCAACACAACCATCCCCCGTCAAACTTGAAAGAAAGGCGGCGTGAACGACAGTCCAAAATGCCCGTTAGGCTCGCCGCCGTCGACTTCGCTTGTGGTCGTTTCCAACCGCATGCGAAGTGCGTTCCCCGGTGTCTCGCTCGCGGCTCGGCAACGGCATCCTCCAAAGGAGACCTCCGGGCCATTGGTCTTCGTTGAAACAGCGGACGCGGTACCGTGCTGACTGCTGACTCTCGATTGGGGGATCTGTCGACAATGGGCGGGCCAAAGGGAGGCTGGGGGTGTGATGCTGTCAGTTCTCGTCAGCGGTTGTTGAACGTCAAAGGACTGGGAAGCCGGGCGTGTCGTTTCTTTTCAATTACGTACAAAACTGGCCGCTAACACGCACCTGCCAGGCCTGGGCCCTCTTTCCGTCACGCAATGCGTCACCGAACGGCACCCAGCTCTCAGGACCGACTTCAACATCTCCGCGGGAGCCACAATGCTGCGAACTCGAAAGTCATTTCGAGGTGCTGAACCCGCCGCCGAGTCCGTGGCTACATGTCACCTGCTCCCAGGGCGGTTAAAACAAGGGGGCGCTAGCCCTAACGTCATTTCCCCGCAAAATCGCTGCTAGCTGCTGGCTAGCGGATGCTCCGAATCGCGGGGAATTGCGTCGGCTCCGGAGCCCGAGAGCTCCGTCCAATGCCGCATGCCGCAGACCGCAATGTCCGGATCCAACCATCTCAACACCGGAGCCGATCCAGGCGCTGGGTTGGAGAATACACCAATGGAATGGCAATGTCCCCGAATGTCCGTCCACAACGAGCCAAGGGAACCATCCTCTTCAGCCTCATCGAGCTAAAGCCTGCATCTGATACTCATCAACAACATGCCTGGCTGCGCAACGCCGCAAACACCCAACCGCTGCAACAACACCCGCTTTCAGCGCAGCAACGCCGGCACCCTCCACCTGACCTTTGCCAGGATCAAGACATCCCTTCCCGCATCAGCTGCATTGACCTGGACTCGACCATGGGAGGGAATTGCCGTCATCGCGTCGATAGCCTGACGTAACTGAGAAGGGTTAGGTCAACTCTACGCCGATGACGACGCTTTCCGTCGTCATCTGCACGCGGCAGCAACGTCTCGCCGTGTTGGCCTGGGTCGAAGTCCTTTGAAGTGATGGGTTTCCTCTCCTGCTCTGCCCGACTCGCTCCTCGTAACTATCCATATCACCTGGTTCCCGTCAGTGGTCTCGGTCGGGACAGGAAAGTCTTCCCGTCGACACAGGTTGTGCGCCCTCAAGTCAGCAGGATTGCACCCAGCTGGTCGTTGAAGAAATTATTCCCTTCATCTGCTCGAGCACGACCCCGTGGTCCGCGAATATCCGCTCCGCGAAATCTGCCCGAGCGTGGTCGTGCCGGGCGGCTTCAACACAATGTTGTGCTGGGACGCTCTCCTTTAGGACTATTTCAGCCGCAAAAGCAGCCCTCCCCGGGCGTCCATGGCGGGTCGGTCGTATGCCAGCGCGGGGAATCCAACAGGAAGCCCATTATGAGCCAGGAAATGGTCTTTCCGGCCTCTTTTTCCGCAACAGCTGCTGCCCCTGTCCGGAATTTCGTGTACTTCGTTCTGTGAAGAGCCTTCAGGAGCTTCTCTCTTTTGATGAGATGGAATTGAGCTGATCCCTTTCTGGGGCTGCTAGTAAAAGACAATTTTTTGGTGCCATGTTTAAAGCGAGAGTGTGAAGACTCGCCCCGCCGTTTGAGAGCATCGGACCTGAAAGACTGACCTTGGAATAGGGATACATGCAATCCTCTGACAGTTGGTGTACAGCCAGGGCAGGATAGGCGTCGACGTCCGGCCAAGTCATACCCAATTGGCTGAGAAGAGCTTCTGCCTTTCTCTGTTGGTCACTCGACCTTCTCAAGGGGCCCAGTCCGCCTCCGAGTCGTTGGCAACAAAGAAGCTTTGTGGCTGGCTGTGGATGGAGAGCGCTATTGGAACGGGTATGAGTTTCGAATTGAGGCCCAGTCTGATCGAGTTGTACATGATTGCTCTGCTGCGGACTCCTCGTTACTCTTCCGCTTGTGGGTTGACTTGATCGGCGCCAGCTCGGTTGACGGGGGGAGCGGGAACGATCAGATTCCACTGAGTAGACGTCGGGGTGATATACATCCTGGTTATCAGGATGGCCCGGTTGATTGTAGTTCAATTGTGATCGGGTCTGGCATTTCCGGCTGTTATCTCATGTCAGAGCTGGGATCTCAATCAGGTCCTAGGATTCGTGGTACAGGTGGTCTCCGACGGGCAAAGGAAGCAGTAACAAGAGGTAAAGAAGGACCCTCCGAGTCGTACTCGTGGTCTGAACATGCCCAGTGATATCCCGGTTGTCCGTGGTTGTCTGGGAGAGGTGAGAGCTGATACTTTCTAGTTAGTCTTGCTGTTTTTGAAACTGCAAAGGGTGGGTGAGTGGATTCTGACCAGCATGACAAGTGACAAAGGACTTGTCACCCATCTCCTCCATGCAGGCTAGTTGCGGCACAGTTTGCTTCTGCCTCTCTGTTTTGACTCGGCGTGTGGGTGGGTGTGCGCTGGCTATGCCCTCTGTGCGTGCCTCTCTGTGTGTTCATGGGTTTGCTGTGCTGAGTCCCTGCTTGCTCGCTTCCCTGAGTCTCGCTGTAAACTAGTAAGCGTGAGCAGTGAGTGACAGAATTAGGATAACCAGCCTTGAGGCTGGGTGACATACAAGCTTCCATCCATGGTTTATATGCCAGTTCGCCCTGGAGAGTCAAATATTGGTACCAATCCCGCTTCTGCTCCTCCTTTCTCCTCCAGCGTGTAGGGACACGATAATTGTTACGAAACCAAAACATCCTGCGGTGTCGATGGACCTGAGAGAGGCTTTGCCTGGTCCTGATGGTTTTCAGAACCTTGTTTCCACTCGGCCTGTAGATGACAATGGACGACTAAGTATGTGACGGGCTGTCGAGGATAGCCTCGCTTTGGACTTTTCCAGGAGATGAAATTGACATGAGAAAAGTGGAAGAGGAACCCTGGAAGACGATGCGCGCCTTTTACGGCCCTTGGAAGGAGGGAGCGAGCATCAGTGCAATGTCTGATCATGCTGTCATGGTTGTATTGCATCAATTGAGGTCGATCTCCGCGGAATAGGTGACGGCATCTTCACAGATAGGTACGCGAGCTTGTGGTTAGCTGTTGATTAGAGGATCGGCCACAAGGCCGGGTTTAGCAAAATCCGCGGAGTTAGGTTGTCGTCGTGATGGCTCCTCTTCAAGATTCAAGATCGACGTAACCAGCCTCGCGCTTTCACTCTTATTGACACAATGAGATTGCTCGCGGCGCATAAAGACTGAGACTTATGGAGATAGAAGAGTAGTTGTTGCCGTCATCTACAGGGAACACTCACCATGCCCATCTCTTGCCAGGTGGCTGAACTTCTCCGATTTCTAATGGCATGACGGGGCGCTACATCATGTCGCACTACCCGGAATACTTATGAGCGTAAGCGTAACAGTATGAGTATTCGAGCCTTCGTCAAAGCGGTGGCGTCTCTGCCCCTAGCCCCAAGCTATCCGGCATTCCCGGGTTAAATGCAACTTGCCGACTCCTCCCAGCTGCGCCGCAACGCCGGCACAGTACACATCCATGCGCTCTGCTGTGACACCTCCATTCCGTCCCGCACTAACTGTCAGGCATGTCCCTCTGATGGACCTCAACGTCGACAACCTTCGCACAGCAGAGTGAAGTCTGCCAGCGGTGCGAGGGTTGCGCCGAGGTACGGGGCTCGTGGCTCCCAAATAGACAGCATCGTGCGAACTGATCCATAGTCAGTCGCTCAGACTCGACCTGACAGCTCTAGAAACTCGGAAAATGCACGTTCCAGTCTCGACATAGCCGGAGGAGACCTCAAGTGGCGGGGGCACCTGGTAGTCGCTCGATGGCGTATTTCCCCTTTTGGACCGACATGATGGGCACGCCTGGAACCTTGCGAATTCTCCTCTTGAGGTCGCGATCGTTTGCTGTAATGGGGGTCAGGACGGACTCCGGATGAGACAGGAAGGAGGTGGAGACGTACTGGCTACGATGTAGATGCGGTGTTTTTGGATGCGGTCGACAATGCACTGATTAATGATTGTCAGCTGGGGAGTTTTGCAGGAGAGTCAGGAATGAGGGGCCCACGGACATCATCGGCATATGTGCCTTTGTGGTCGCATGTCAGGCGAGTCCACCTCTCATCGCGGGCAACTAAACCACCGTTAGTCTATGGAGTTCCATATCGGCCAAAGCACCGCACTCACTCATCAACGCCACGCGGTATTTTGGCCCAAGCTTCTCTAACTCACTGCCGGCAACTGTTAGATATGATGAAGGGCATTGGGGGAAACGGAGGGCACTCACGCCATGACACAAGATGTGATAATGATGTTGCACGACGCGTAGAGACAATCCATAGCCTGAGAGGGTGTCAGTCGCAATTCCGCCGTATCCCGAGACCATGTGGCACATACTGATTCCAGTAGTGGCAGCTTGGCTCCTACTGTCCTCGAGAGGAAGTTGGTATCGACGAGGACTTGATAGGGCTGGTTGATCGACAGGTCAACACCTTGGTCCAATGAAATCCGAAAGGTCATACGCACAGGAACCAAGGCCGTATTGTGTTGAAAGAACATAGACGACGGCATCTGGGGCCTGTAACAAGCCTGTCAGTGAGAATTCTTATTGACAATGATAAGATCAGGGCGACGTACACTTCCCGGACGGCCTCCTCCTGCTTCTTGTTCTTCTCCAGCTCGGCTTTCTTGACGACGTCTTCCTTGCGGCGATCATCCCGCCGGCCGATCATGCGCTTGACCTGTACGCAGGTTAGCAAATGTGTGTTGTGAAAGGGGAGAGTGCGATATCAATGTCACGTGCCGTCGCGAATTTTCTTGTCCTTTTGGCGACACCCATGCTGGCGGTTTTCTTTTGACAAAGGGGTGTTTTGTGAGATGTAAGGGGAAGACAAGATTGGATGATCAAGTAAGCTCGGTTCAAATGAAGAATGTGAGGTGTCGGGCGTTCGACGATGCAGTGATGGAAAAATTCAATGATCTTCTCGGCTCGTGGCGATGATGGGCTGGGCTATGGCGGTTGCTGGAAGCGACACAACATCCAACCATGCCGAGCCAACCAGACAATCACAGCTGGCGGACAGCTGGGGGCCTGATTCAGGCTTGTGCTCAAAACTGGCATGTGCATTGCTCACTCCAGATTGGGAGAGACATGTGTCCACAGTACGGGAACACAACCCTCTCGCACAGACATGGTTCAACTGCAAGCCTCAGCGACTTGCAGGGTCTGCGTGCTCAGACGGCCGAACAAAGTCATCAGGGTCAAAGGGTCCGCAAACTGCGATCAATATGCAGGCTTCCGTCCGGAACATCCGCCAAGCTGGGAAAGCCATCAGTTCCTCGAACGCAGCGTCGCATAGCTTGGGCGATCATGTCGTCGGGAAAAGTTCAAATGGTTCGTGGCTTGGCCGTGTCCCCGCTGACCCGTACGGTATCAGCGGGTACCTTACATGGTTAAAGCCCGTTGCTGAGACGGCGGCTGAACAGGGCGGGATGCCGCTTTCCTCCGTTGGGCTTGGGCAGGGGGGCAGGGGGCAGGGGCACGAAGTGCCTCCTTTTCGCTGCCCGTATTCTCGGGTTCAAGTTGCTGACTGCCAACCACACCAACTTCCAGCATCACAACCGAATAGCATCACTTTCTTCCTTTCACAGGGTCGCCTTCGAGCGACACAGCCGCAGCTATGGGCTCATCACCGCTTTCGCTGAAGCGCGCCTTGCTTCTCACAGTCCTCTTTGCGCTACGGGTCGTGGCCCAAAACGACAACGAGGGCGACAGCCCAGCAGCGACCACAACAGAGGTGCAGAACGATCCCGAGCCGACGCCAACGACCCAGGCCATCGCCACGCCTACGGCGCGGACCACAACCACGACGGACGGCGACGACCCTACCACGACTGAGCAGACATCAACACGGACAACATCCTCGTCGTCATCGAGCCGTTCCACCACCGCAATGCCGGGCCTGACCACGACGACTACCTCCCGGGGAACCAATACCGGCATGCCGAAGCTTTCTAGGACAATCGTCGACACCGAGGTCCCCACGTATCCGCCCCCAACTATCCCGCCGACGCGCAACGCCCCCTTCATGAACCACTCGACCCTCCCTGACGGCACCGTCTTCATCGCCGTAGGCGCCATCCTGGGCGCCTTTGGCGTCGCCATCCTCGTCTGGCGCGCTATTGTGGCCTGCCTCCTTCACCGTTCCGTCGAGCGTGCCGCGCTGGCTCAGCACGCCGCCAACAACGGCCGTGGCCCGGGCGACAAGAACGCGGCCTCGTTCCCCGCCCCGCCAGCCCAGTTCTACAAGTACATCGAGCGCGAATCGTCCCCCTCCCTCGCCGGCGCAGGCGTGGGCGGTTCAACGGGACGCAAAACCCACCGCGGCCCGACGCCCTCCTCCACGCCCAGCCAGACGAACCTCTTCTTCTCCCCTACCGCGGCCGGCAGCTCTTCCGCACTGGGAGGCGCCTCGAACCGCGACTCAGCACGCTTCCTCCCCTCGGGCTTCTATGCCTCGGCATCGCCCGTCGCAGGCGGCGGCGGCAGCGGCCACCACGGACACGTCGCGGGCAACTCGATCAGCATGAGCACGCTGCGGCCTTCGTCGCGCGGACGTGGAGGAGGAGGAGGAGCAGGCGCAAACCCATCGTTTGGCGGGCCGTCACCGCCCGAATCGCCCAACATGGGCCCCCGTGCGGGGGGATCACGCAACTTCAGTACCAGCTCGCTCAACCTGAACCGGCCGCCCAGCGTGGGGACGAGGGCGCCCAGCGCGTACCTGGATGACTTGCTTGATGAACAGCCGGGCATGTTTCCGCCTGCTGCTGGGGGGCCGGTGTCTCCGCAGGGGCATGGGAGTCAGCGGGGAAGGTACTGAGAAGACCCTATGTTTGACGCTAGTGGGGGTAGAGAGGTGCTAGATTCTACGACTAATTGTGTTTGCTTCTCTATTTTGGCGGTGGGGTTTCGGTTCTTTAGGTTGGGGATGGTTCGTATACTCTTGCAAAAGGGGTGTGATGGGGAAGGGCTTGTATGGTGGTTTGACAGCGGAGCGGGCCTTTGTTTTGTTTTCCTCCATCCAAGTTCGTGGCTCTCTTCTACGGCATTAGACGGCGTTGTTGGCCGCGCCTTAGTTCCCTTTCTGTTTTGCACGTTTTCGTCACGGTACATAATCCTCGGTGTTACTCCTCTGTGCTCTGATTACCGGTAATGAACATATTATACCTATCTCCCTCGGTTTCCCGGGTTTGGGTGTGGAGAATACTTTCAAGCGGTTATCAGTGCAGTTTCTGTTTAGACTGACTCAACAATGGCAGATCGGAATGACGAGGGGCTGCAGTGCCCTGTGAGAGACCGTACGCAAAAGGGACAAGACATGGCCGGTCATGCCTGGGATTCCGTACTCCGTCCTGCTGCCACCAGGTCCCAAATTCTCGGAGACTTGAGTGAGGTGTTTCCAAAGCCTACCTACGTCAGATGACATTCTCTTGCAGTGTTGTATCACCAATCGCAATATGCGCAGGGCGCTACCGAAGCTGTGGAACAATAGAACCCTGATGCATGGAAGTGCTTACGAGTACGTGTAGGTGGTGCACGGGCAAACTGGCCAGCCGGGGTATGGTGTTCTTTAAGAATTTCAAGACTGGCAACGAGTGTGTTCAGCAAGATATTCCGTAATGTACTGTACATTCCAACCCCGACTTCGTCTCAAAATGCAATGGATCGCAACACATGCCACGCGACGGTTTCCCAGGTAATTACATTGCTTTCCTGTAATGGATCAAGTGACGTCGGCTCAGCTACCTAACTGCAAAGGAAGTTGGGATTCGATACGTAGAGCAAAGCATTCACCTTGCGAGGTGATAATGACTGCTACTAAGCGAGCTAGCAACGGTTATCATGTCTGGCTTTCATAGAAAGATACATTATGCAAGATGGCGACATACAGTACATATCCAGTCAACTGCTACAACCCTCAAGAAGTTGAACAAGCGCAGTTGCACTGACTGTCAATTGTCGTCGTCGGGAACATACCGTTACTCCGTTACGCAACACTCCCATAAACTCGGTAGCTAACTCACCTTGTGATACAATCTTCAACAACCCGACGCATGCAGCACACCGACACGACGGGAACACGGCAAACACAACCCAAGGCTCCCTCAAAAACCGGCGATTGCCGAGTCACACTACATCTGCACCTGGGCTGCATGTCGTGTAATGACCAGGGAGATATTGACGTTGCAACACGGGACGTCACGCGGGCTCGTATACTGTGTTACTTGCATGACTGATGACGTGCATGGTCATGGTAGACCTCGGGAATGGAGTAACAGGCGTTATGGTAAGAATACGATCATGCCATATGACCGGATACAGCAGAGACCGAAATCAGTGTCAAGGGTCTCACTAGGTATTGAGACCGTGTTTCTGCAACTAGGATCACGGCTGGCGTCCTGGGTCTGGAGTGGCGTTGACGTTAGATATTCGTAGTCAATACCTACGATGGCATGTCCTTCAAGCCTTGACGGATCGGAGGGTCTGGGAAATAGAGAGTAACAGTACAGCTCAAGGAGGAAGACGGGTCGGTTCTATCTACCAGTTTGGCGGTTCATCGCCCATGTCAACCTGCCACTCGACGGTGACCAGTAACTCTAGGGAAGTTCCAAGGGGTTGGAGAGGACTGCTTCACTTCATGTTGGGGTCAGGGCTCCCCATTTCCAAACTCCAACTCCTCCTCCTCCGCCTTCATCACGTCCTCGCCAGAGAGCATCGCAGAAGCGGGCACTAACCATCTTGCTCGTCAACATCCGCCACGACCCATCATCCCGCTCCGACTCTGTGCTCCTCATACCGCGGTAGGCGTGCCCAGGTCGAGCCGCTCGTCGCAGAACACAAAGTGAACGCAGCCCGTGTCCCCCATCTCATCAGGACCCTGTCCACCACTCATCTGCGACATCACGCTGTTGCTGGCGCAGCGAGTCCTCGTCCACCTGGACAAAGTCATGCATCGCACGGGGATCTCGGTTCACTCCTTCGCCAAGGGCGGCCGGCAAGGATTCTCAGCACGATAACCACGCTGACGCCACCGGTGAACCGTTCGCGGAGCTGCTCCCGCGACGCGCCTTCAAGCGCCACCGGGTCCGAGACAAAGATGTGGTCCAGCATGCCCAGAACGAGAAGGAGACGCGCCATGTTTCTCTCAGAACCCTCCCGTGACGACGCGGTGGACCGAGTCCGGAAGCGCTGCCACGCCGCGTCATCCCTGGATGTGGTGGGTTAGATGACCCAGCCCCATCTGCCTTGTTGATCTCGAGCATGTCGTGTACGCACTGAACGTAAACGTCGCCATGTGTGGCCACCAGGGACATGAAGCGCGGCCGGGGCACGGTGGAATGATAGGTGTGAGGAAGGGCGCTGTGCGAGAGGCGAGCCGGGGCTGGAGACAGCGTCGGGCCAGCGTGCGCCCAAGGAGGGGGGTGGCTGTCCGGAGCCAGCAGAGGTGCGCCGTTGGGAGGTCGGGAATGATGAATGTTAGCTGGTAGGGACATACAGATATATGTTCATGTCATGCTTCGGCATGTTGATTCTCGCGCTGCGTTGCCGCCCGAAACGGCTAGGTTACATTTTGTGTCGTGATGTTGCATTTTGCTACTCTCGTTTGTTTGCTACCAACAGCGCACAAGATATGACAGTAGTTGTATGCCCGCTAGGTAAGGTACTTAACCATACCTCGGTCTATCCGCTTACTCCATACCCAAACCCCCTCAACCAAATAAACGCTGCCAATACTCACCACCAGTCGCACCCCTTTGCACCAACTAAGATGCCACCGTTCCCCCTTGCTGCGACGACCGCTTCTGCTGCTGGTGATGCTGCTCCTGCTCCTGCTCCTGCTGATGGTGATGCCGCTCCTGCTCCCGCAGCACCCCGTCCCTCGCACCACGGATATCCTCCATCCTAATCCCACTCCGTTCACACATTCCCCTGAAAATCCCCCCTTCCATCCGCCACAGCTCCAGGGGGGGGCCGATCTCGGCGATCCGCCCTTTATCCATGACACAGATCCGGTCATAGCCAATGATGGTTCGCAAGCGATGCGCAATGCACAGCAGCGTCTTGCCCCTGAACCCGCTCGCAATCGTCGCCTGGATCTTGTCGTCCGTTTCCATGTCGACGCTCGACGTCGCCTCGTCGCAGACAATGATCTGCGAACCCCGAACAAGGGCCCGCGCGAGCGCCATTAGCTGCCGCTGGCCGAGCGAGAAGTTGAGGCCGTCTTCTTCGACAACCGTGTCGAGGTGGATGCGGTTGGTGTCTTTGGCGGTCGTGGCAGGGTGGTTGCTATTGTTGTTGAGGGAGCCGCCCTGCGGCTCTGTACCCGGTGGCCCGCCGTCGGCGGGGACGAGGTCGGCTTGCCGGAGAGCGGACCAGAGTTCGAGGTCAGTGTGTTCCCCAAACGGATCGAGGTTGCTGCGCACCGTGCCGCGGAAGAGCGTAGGGTCCTGCGGGATGATGGCGAGCCGAGAGCGCAGGTCCTGGAGGCCGATGGTGGATATGTCGAGCCCGTCGATCGTGATGTGGCCTCCGGATAGCTCGACAAGGCGGAACAGCGCCGACATGATGGAGCTTTTTCCGGCTCCGGTGCGTCCGACGATGCCGATACGCTCGCCGCCCTGAATATGCATGCTGAGACCTTGCAGCACGAGCGGGAGTCCCGCTCTGTAGCGCATCTCGACGTTGTCGAAGATGATCTCGCCCATCTCCGGCCACGTCTTGCGAACCTCGATCGTCCTCAGGGGCGCCTCCTGCTCCAGTTCTGTTCCGTAGTAGCGAAGACGCTCCACAGAGTTCATGCCATTCTCCACTTCAGCCAGCTGCCGCACAGTAAACTGAATCATCTGGACGATGGCAAGAATGTATGACAGGACCAGACCGCCAATCGAAGGGTCAACCGAAAAGCGTGACGTTACAACCAGAATGCCAGTCGTGAAGACGAGCAGGTTCCCGATCATGTCGAGTCGAACCGACAGCCACCTCTGATTAGAATAGGTGAGAAAGTAGGCCGAGTCGACGTCGTCAATCGCCTTGCGCAAGTCGGCAACAAACCGATCTTTCAATCCGTACGCTCTGATGCAGGCAATACCTGACAAGCCCTCGGAAAACTTGGCCGAGAGCGTGGACCGGAGAATGGACTCGATCCGCTTGACCTCGCGAGCGGAAGCGCGATAGTAGCTCGTGGCGAGGAGGAAGATGATAAACAGGGGCACCAGGGCAATGGCGAAATAGTAGAAGAAGGCGATTATGAGGGCAAACACGGCGAGGATGGAGGCAACGCTGAAGAAGTACATGCGCATCGCATCCGTGAGATTGTTGTCCATGACATCGACGTCGCGGCTGAACCGGTTCGTTATGCGGCCCAGTGGCGTAGTGTCGAAGAAGGCCATGGGAGCTCGCAGCACGCTGGATACGGCTTGCTGCAACATGTTTTTGCTCGCTGTTGTCCCAAAAATGGAGAGCGAGACCATGAAGCCAAACATGATCAGGACCTGGACGGCGCCGAGCCCGGCGTAGACTCCTATGTACTGCCCCATGGAGAAACCATATCTGTCGGACGTCCACCAAGAGAGCCACAGGCTGGTAGCAATGTTGGCCCCTTGTGACAAGACCAAGAGCCCGATGACAATGGGAAGATTGAGCATCGAGCCCGACGCCCTGATGTATGTAGCGTAGACGGACCACGGTACGCTTGCGATGGCCCTCTCCTCGGTCTGCATCAAGCCCTTAGCCTGCTTCTTCTTGTTGGACTGGCCGTTATCCCCCGGGACTTGAGCAGGCGCAACCTCGTCTTTCTTCTCCTCGATGGCCGTCGACTCCATAAGCTGCTGGAAGCCCTCCGAGTTCTTCATGAGGTTGTCGAATGTGTCAATCGCCTGGATCCTGCCGCCTTCCATCCAGATGATGCGGTCGCAGCGGCTCAAGACCCAGAGCTGGTGAGTCGCCAATACCCGGCATTTGTCCTTGAGCAGGCCGAGAATAGCATTGTCAAAGATGTGGCGACCGACGTGAGCGTCAACGGCGCTCAGGGGGTCGTCCAACAGCACAATGTCGGCATCGAAATAGATGGCACGGGCGATGTTCAGCCGCTGCTTCTGACCACCGGAGATGGTAATGCCTCTTTCTCCAATCTCGGTCATATCGTGATTGGGCAACATGTCCAAATCTGGCTGCAGAGCACACCTGCGGGATGTTAGTGGACACTGAGACAGCAAGGATGCGAGCAGTACTTACGCCTTGATAACATCGGCATACCACTGCTTATCCATCTCCTTGCCAAAAAGGATGTTTTGTTGCACCGTTGCGTTCTGAATCCAGGCGTATTGCGGGCAGAAGGCCCTGGAAGCGCCCAAAATGACCTCGCCATTCGTCTTGCGCATATCGCCAGCCAAGGCGGCCAGCAAAGACGTCTTTCCGCTTCCGACGGTACCAATAACAGCAACGAGTTCGTTTCTGCCAATCTCAAGGTTCAGATCCTGGAGCTTGAACGGCTCTTGCTCTTCCACCAGGGTGCTGGCCTCTTCGCTGGAGTCAGTCGCCGAGTGGTCATTCGTTTCCGCAGCAGCTTTCGGCCCCCCCCTTCCCCTTCCCGTGCCCGGGCCAGCAACAGTCCCTTCAGAATCCTGCGTCGGCGTCCTCTCCCAGGTGAAAGAGGCATTATGCATCTCGACAGCATTCGGAGCGTCTGACTTGAAGATGGCCTCCTCCTCGCGCTCCTCAGCCAGCAGGAACTCCTGGATACGCGAGAGCGACGACCATGCATCCGTGACCTGGCCAATGACCAGTGGAAGCATGTTCAGAGGCATCCTCAAGCCGTTGAAGAGAGCCAAGGAAGAAAACACCTCAGCGGGTCCGAGGTTGTTGCCGGTCAAGGAATATGTGATGAAGGCCAGCATGGAGGCGAAAACTGGCAGAGACAGACTAATGGCCAAGATGGCATTGCGAATGCCCAGCACCATCTGGATTGCCGAGACTTCGCGGCTTCTGAAGTGCTGGAGGCGCTGCAGAAAAGAGTTCTCCCAGCCGAAAAACTTGACGAAGCGGACCGACTGCAGTATCTCCTGGGTGAGGCTGACTCTCTGGTCCGTTATCTTGTTAATTGCCTTTCTACGCTTGATCAAATTCTTCACGGCCTTCGAGAGCAAGGGCACGCCGATTACCAGGAGTGCGAAGCCAGCCAGGGCGCTGTAGGTCAGGTTGACGATGAGCAAGGCAAGGGTAATGAGGCAAGAGATGGGAGCAGTCCAGATGATGTGGAACAGACCACATGCTTGGTCTACTCGGTATGTATCGACGTTCATCAGCGCCATCTTTAGATTGTGTTAGCATATTGCGCATGAAGTCAGTGTGCTCCGAAGAAGGACTCACAATTCTTCCGTTACCCCATCCCTCGCCCTCTCCGGTAATTCCTTGTTGATTCCCTGCCCGCCCTTTTTCATGCTTGCCTTGACTCGCATCAACCTTCTTTGTCCGTTCCCGTGCCGCCTTCGCAGCCGGGTTGTCAGCGAGCTCTGCGCCGCCAGCTTTGGCCCGTCCAGATATGACCATGGACTTCTCGTATATCAGGCTGATCAGCGAAGCCCTCGACATGCCGCCGACGAGCATACCACGATAAATAAAGTGGTTGGTAGCCAAGCTTTGCAGGGCCTGCATGGTGGTCACGCCGATGACCAGTCCAACGCCGGATCCAATATGCGGTGCTGGAAGACCCCGCAGGCTTGCAATGTAGGCGTCCGCCGCGAACTGAATCAAGTAGCGCAGCGTAAAGGGGGACATGACCTGCAGGATGGAAGACATCAAACTGCAGAAGCCACCGAGCCAGAACTCCCAGAAGAAGGTCTCGTTGATGGCCCAGACCAGGGGATACTTCTCGCCGGCGTCAACGCGGCGCTGGAACGAGGCACGCAGCTTGTCGGTCAGGGGATCGACGGCGCGGTCCGGATTGACGCTGTAGATGTCGTTGAACTCGAGTGGCCGCTTGTAACCCCGGCTCATCAGCGGGGCGATCCAGTGGAAGACGAGCGAACTGAGAAAGCCCGCCTTGTGCTCGGGGCACTCTTCTTTCTCGATTGGCACGGGAGGGATCTTGCCCCATCGTAGAGGATTCGGCTGCCTGTACCATGGTTTTTGCTCGGGAAAGTTGCCGGTCGCCGTGGCGGTGGTCACGCTGGTGGCGGTAGCTGAGCTTTGAAGGCGGTCCAGGTCGTTTCTCCTGTCGCCATCCTCGGCACCGGCACGCTCCACTGCACTCTCTGTTGGCCGGAGGTTGTCCTGCTCCCCCAACTTCTCCTTGTCTCCGGGAGGATATGCATCGTGGGACGATGCGGAATCCGCGGGCGGTACGGGGTCAAAAGAGGTCCCTTCCAGCTGCTTTTCGTTTGGGGCCTCAGTCATGGTGGGGAGACCCGGAGCAGGGTCTCATGAAGTATATCTGATGCACCCAGTGGTCGAATCGATAATAGTGGCGGGAGATGCTATGACTATGGTTGATGAGCTTGTCGATTCTCTGGCAGATTCGAAGGTTACAACGCCGGATGGTTATGTCGACGGCAAGGATGTGGGTTCAGATCAGAAACATGATAATCTATCAACAGAGAGGGAAGCGCGGGCTAGCGAGGAGCTGCAATTGCCTCTTATGTTACTGCTTACATGATTCGAAATCAACGGAAATAAAAGTAAAATTGCAGGAGAGCCTGGAAAGAGTCGGCATTCCGTTGCCGCCCCGTCCTTCCATTCCCTCCAAGATGCATGCTCGGCCGAGGATGAAAGGCAAGGCCATGAGCTTTTAGCGTCAGCGCCATGACGTCGATGACCAGAACCTGCCTATTTCATCGGCGCACGGCGGCATCAAGCACCGACTCTGTGGGAAGTCCAGCTGACGGGCGGGGGCGCGGCTTGGCTCTGCTTGGTTGCTGGAAATCATGATCCACAGGACACAATCCCACTTCGGAGATATCGGGAATTTGTTCAAGAACGATTCATCAAACGTGCTTCGCTTTCGCGTCTGCGCAACATGCGCACATGTTGCCCCGGAATCCTGGCGTATACTGCCTGTAGTAGGTATTCCCTCATCATAGCATACTAACCTACGCGATTTCTGAGGACGCTGTGTCACCACCGCCGACTCAATGGACAAAGACCGTCTCACAACCCCTCCAAAAACGGCATTTGTCATCACCGAGAGCCAGTGACCTGGTCATGTACAAGTACAGCTTGGCCACGTTATGAGCCCGATTAGGCGACGGCCTCTTGACACACTATAAAACCCGGGACAGTTATAACATGGTCTAGGTATTGCACGGCAGAGGTGCAGTCGGACAACGAGGCTGAACACCCTCCTCTACCTTAAAACAGCGTCCTCTCTCCTTACCATAGTTGATCTGATTGAACATATGTTGAGAGAAACCTTGGTGGTTGCGGCTGAAAACATGCCATCTTAGAAACGGAGACGGAGACGGAGACGAACAGTGACGCCGGCATTGCTATGAGCGCTATTGTTGGGTAGTACTCGGGACATAAGACGAGGTTGCTGGTTGCTGCACCTCGTTATTCGGGCCTGCTTACCAAGAACCGTTTGTTGACTCAATGGACACGTCACGAACTCGGATTGCCTGCAGCATACGCGGATGTGGGGCGGAGTTCTCATCGCACCGCGAATGCCGCAGCGTGTGGGGAGGGCAAGCGGTGACACAGTAAGCTGGTCCGGGGCAAGTCTTCGCTCGGCATGTGGTCCACCTTCCGTTGCTCCTTGGACGTCACATCTGTATTTTCGAGTTCTTATTTACCCTCTCCGCCATCGATCCTCAACTCTTCAGCCGGATGGAGTCGGTAAAGCTGTGAATTGTATCCTGTGCCTCAAGCAGAGTAGTAGCACTATTATCACGTGGCATATGGGAGTATACAGGTCGACAGCATTGAGTTTATCCGCAATTCCTGATCTTTCTAACAATGACTCTCGCAGTGACATAATGGAGCCTGTAGCCGCGCAGATGGCGCTTCTTCAACCTGAAAATTGCCTGCAGAAGAACCACCCTGGCGCCGTTAAGTGGTGCCCAGACTCTTTCCAGGGGCTGACTCGGCGAGGGTAAACATAGCATTAATTGGCATGAACCTTGTCTCAAAAATGCAGAGTTCACATAGACCACTTGGTCTTTGGGCAAATTGTAGGCTCAGAACGAGCTCGAAACGAAGAAAGAAATGAGATCTTCTCCTGCACAGACAACAGCGGTGAAGATCACAGAACAAACTTTCGTCACCTCTCTTACCGTGCCCAGTCCTCAACTGTTCATCCCAAGCCTGGCCAAGCCCAAGCCAAAGGCAGGAGACCAACACTCCAAAGCAGGCTCAAACTCCCCAAGACAGTACCTGCCAGCACACGGTGCGGAGCGTCAACGCCGCATTCGACAGACCCCGCCCCCACGGACCCGGGAAGCATGCCTGAGCAAGGGCGTGGCATATAACTCAGCGACACGACGGCGTGATGCGTAGATGGAGGTTAATCCCAGCCTCCTATGGGACTCCCGGCGAGATTGGAGCATTAGAACCCGTCCGAATGAAGGTGGCCACGCCTATCCCTAAGATCCTGAGTCGGTGAAAGGGTCGGAAGTAATATCACACGTACTATTTGAGCGAACCATGCCTATAATACAGAAAGATCAAGTTAGCTCTTTTGTCCCAACCAACAAAGAGCCTTACCTATTTCCCTGGTTGCAGCATGTGGCGTCTTGGAGTATTAAATCAAGCCGTTGTTTGAGAGCTGCCATAAAACCATCAGGAAGACGCTGAATGAAGCCTAGTTGCGAGCGGAATCGTTCAAGCGGACAGACGGAATGGGCTTGCCATGGCCCCTCGCTGGCGAGCGGCGAGTATTGCACGGTTCACGCACGGCAGGACGAGATCGGGGGTACGATCAACGGGCGGAGGAGCGACAGTCGCAATTTACAATGTCGACAGGCTGACCTTCCAGAACAGGCCGACAGTCGGCAGCCAGCCCGGGAAGGCGGTGCCACGAAATCGAAGGGCACTTTTGTGCTGGCGGCATCACGAACAAGGCTGCTGTATGTTGACGTTGTTTCGTATCATGCCGACTACGGAAGAGGAACCCCCGGCGAGATTGCTGCTCCTGCTGCAGGGTCGTCACGGTGACAGTGTGCCGTTTGTGCCGTGAAGAGGCGCAAATGTAGAAATGATAATCGTACAGAGACGGCTTCCATCTACTCCCTGTTCTGATCCATACCGGGGGAGCAGATGGGGTAGATGGAGGCCTAAGACAATGTCGACCAGTGCTGCTGCAGACCGAGCCAGATCCCTTGGCCATCAAATGTCGAATGTCGCACCACCAATGGCTAAGATCTAGGGAACCAGTCTGACGAGAAAGGCGATTTGCCGAAACAGGGCCATTAACCCTCCCATGCCTGCCGTAAACTCCAATCGATCGAGTTTTGGGATATCCGAATTATGTACCCATGCCCAAGCGAAAACGAGAGATGAAAGAAACCCGCGCTGCAACATGGTCAGATAGCAAGCAGCCCTAGGAAGTAGGTCTTGAGGTCGAGAGAAGAATTTAGCGGCCACCTGCAACGGTCAGTATTATGACACCCTAGGGAGGACACAGGCAAGAGAGCGAGTTACCATAGGGCTCACGGTCACCGCGGGGAGGGGCGTCGGCATAGCCACCAGCAGCGCTGGGAGCAGCGTCACGAGGGCGCGAGTCACGGTCGGTGGGACGGTCGTAGCGCTCGCGGTCGTAGCTGGGACCACGGCGGTCATCGGGACCACCACGGCCGCCTGCATAGCGATCACGGTCCTCACGGCCGCCGCCGCCATAGCGATCAACGCGACCAGCATAGGGCTCGTCGCCGCCACGCTCACGACGATCATATCCACGATCATCGCGATACTCACGGCTGTAGCCACGGTCTTCACGGTAGTCGCGTCCGCCACCATAGCCGCGGTCGTAGTCGCGTCCGCCACCATAGCTACGGTCGTAGCCGCGGTCATCACGGCCGCCATAGCCACGCGCGCCGCCACGGTAGGAATCATCACGACCATAGCCACCGCCATAGCCGCCGCCACCACGACGACGGTCATCGAAACGACCACGAGGATCTGAGAGACAATCAACCAGGCCATCCCCGACCAACAGAGAAAAGGCTCAACTTACCACGCTTAGGAGGGCCAAAGTACTTGCCCGGAGTAGGCGTGCGGGGACGAGCACGGCGTGCCTTCTCAATGTTAAGGGTGCGGCCCTCGATGACCTCGCCGCGCAAGCCCTCGATGGCTGCGTCGGCCATTTCCGAGGTGACCATCTTGACGAAGCCGAAGCCACGCGATTCGCCCGTGTGGGGGTCCTTCATGATCTGGCACTTCTCGACCTCGCCGTATTTCTCAAAGAGACGAGAAATCTCCGCCTCTTCCAGGCGAGGGTGAATGCCAGTAACAAAAAGGTTGGAGCCGGGGTTGGTGGCGCCGTCGTCATCTTGGTTGCCGCTATCACTCTTGCCAGGAGCACTGTTGTGATTGGTGTTAGCGGGTGATTTGTGAGGAAGTCGCAGCAGTAGCTGGGTTGCACGCTAAGACGTACCGGTCTTTGCCGTTGGGAGACATGGACCGGCGACGCGAGTCGTGACCATCATCGCGGCGAGGCGACGCACTACGGTCGCGGTCGTAGCGAGGGCCATCATCTAGTAAACGGTCAGCGAGGTCAAGCACACGGGTGTGAACGGTGCTGCAGGCGTATGCAAAGCCCGCGAAGTGACGAGACGGATTGCGCACTTACCGTCGTAGCGCTCACCGGTCGCTTCATAGTCCATCGATGTGGTCGCCATCGTGATGGATTGAATGTTTTGTGGGTGTTGGTTTGTAGTAGGAAGAAGAAGGCTGAAGAGCGGCTCGACTCGAAGTGGAGCGAGGCCGAGAAACTTGGGGAAAAGTGGAAATGGAAGACAACCAAGTATCGGATCACGAAAATCGGGTTTTGGAAGATGAAAAGATGCCTTCCGATTACTCGCGATTGATGAAGGTGAACAAGGATCGGGGTGGGGTATTCGCTGATGGCAACAACAAAGAAATCTAAGTTGAAGTGACAGGGCGGAGAGCGTGTCGAGGCAGCACGGGGTGAGAGGGAAGGGAGGCGAAAATTTCGGAGGCGACCATGCGCAACGAGGCCTTCAGCGGTGCACGCTTGCCAGTCGCGTCGAGTCCCGATTATCGCATATCGAGGCGATCTCTAGCGAGCTTTCCTTCAACCTAACTTTGAGGTACTGTACGGATCCGTATTATGTTAGCGCTGCCTTGGCGTACTCGTCAAACGCTTGGTATGCAAACAATCCGATGGAACACAAGACGAGGTCCTAATCAAAAGTGACTTAAGAGGTCGGGTCTTGCACAAGAACGGGACGTGGCTATGGGTATCCGTGAGCCCTGCAGTGGCAACACAACAGCGCCGAGCACCACTGGCATTGGTTTACATCTATCGGCCAACCTGACTCCGCAGCAGCAATTCGTCGCCCTGCCTGGTCCTTTGCCGAGGCTGCGGCGTGCAAATGCCACTTATCTGGGTGTATAGGTAACTTATTGTACCTATGTCGTACCATTCCGAACCCAGATGCGGTTCAACACTTGAGTACTATATCGATGGATATTTCTGCTCTATTTGTAAGCTAATAATCCTCTCAGACAATAGAAAAAGTTAGACAATAAGGCAAGGCAAGCTGGACAGCAAGGGAAAAGTTGAAATATGGATTATCCTAAAGCAGTTTCGATAACCGTTTTACATTGATAGAGGACCTTCTCCCTGATTCCCGTAGCTCGAGCTACCTAGGGTAAAAGGAAAGTCTAGCCACACATTTGCATGTGTATAGGGAGGCAAAAGTAGAAGTTGTTGCGGTTTGTGTGGATCGAACACACGACCTTCAGATTGATTTACCGAAGTTGACTTCAGTCTGACGCTCTCCCAACTGAGCTAAACCCGCTGCTTGACATACTCTGAATAAGGTTTTCCATTCAAGAACGAATGACTCCGCGAATGATTCCGGTACTCTAAACAGGAAAGAGCCACTTGATAAGTGCTCAGAAGAAGAGAGTTGCCTGGTCTCCCATCTGGCGCACAGCAGCACCTCAGGTTTCTGACAAGAAGCAGCAGCCTTCATTTAGATTCAGTTTGAACACTCTCTTGACTGAGCTAAACCTGTTCCGATAAAGTGACTGGAATTTGGTAACAGTGGGCTCTTTATGTAGGTGAAGTGGTATATCTGCAACTCAACGGACAACAACCACCATTGCACCCAGGCTATGTTGATTAACTCAGAGACGTGTCCTACGTATTGCTTACCAACTTAGAACTAGGGGAGATCTTGACGGACCGCATATTGCTGATTATGAATAACTGATGTGGGATTGAAAAATAACTGATAAAATGTGTTAAGCTCAACGTGAATGGTGTTCGCCGAGCCATAAGCCGGCCAGGTTATCCTCACACATGATTGCATCTTGTCCCGTGAACTACGTAGCTGATTCCCAGTCTCCTCAGTACAGTAAGTGAAGCTACTCGCCGTCGAGCTGCACAGGTAGAACAACCAGGGTTCAGGTTCTTCCCCTCCCAGCTCGAGGTGTCTGCCAATCTCAGAGGACAGGCGAGCGGTGTCCTGCTAAGATAGCCGTATAGGCCCACTACACTTTTTCCCGCCGCAAAGGACATCATGCCCAGCCCACTGTAAGGCGACCTGCTCGAGACCTACTCGCGGGTATATCAAGACCAATGGCGACTTGGGACTCGCCGAGCAACTTCGCGATATAGCGCAGATTCCATCTGCTCGAGCGAAGTTCCGTCACCCTTATAAAGTACTCAGGAACCAAGCCGATGCCAGCTGCCCTACAAAATCTCTTCCTCCTCCTGAGGCTGCTGAGCAAGCATGGTCGCAGCCTGGTCCGGAAGGGATGCCACACCACCAGTGGCGGCCCCATCGTCTCCCGCACCCGCCATTTCCGCGTCGCCATCTTCATCCGCATAGAACGCCGCGACCATGGCGTCCTCCTCCATCCTGGCGTTGGCCTTCTTGCTGGTCTTGAGCAGCTCCACGCGGTCTAGCGCCTCCTTGTTGATCTCTTCCCACGTCTTCTTGCGCGAGTGGATGACCTTGGCATGGCTCTTGCTCTTTTGAACCTTGACCGCCCTCCGGTCCATGACAGCCTCGGCGCGGCCCAAGCTCCGCTCTTGCCGCTTGCGCGCCTTGGACCTCAGCACGACTTTCCGGCCGGAATTGGTCTTCTTGGTCACGCGGCCGGCGCGGTGCGCCGCAAGCACGGCCGGGCGGCGGTCGACGGGTTCTTGTGGCGGGCGGACGTTTTTAAGTGACTTGTCAGTGTCGATGCCTGGCGAGGTCGCCCGTCTGGCTGCGCGGGAGTGTATTGAAGGACCTGGCGCCGTTTGAATTAGCTAATTGCTGAGAAGAGTGCAGTGGAGAAGTAGGTGAACCCGTACCTTTCTTCCCCTTGGTAATGGTGCCTTTGGCCATCTTGTGTATGGCTTAAGATTGTCATTATCGAGGCGGAATCGTGGGTCTCATCCTCGAGTTTTCCGCTTATCGCTTGGAGTGTTTTCCAGGTTTGAGTGGGGCTTACCCCGCCCTGCAGGAGCTTGCAAATGCGCCCCGCTACGTTGCTCTAGGCGGCCAATGGCCTGCGTCAGCCGATGACCTGAAGAACCCAAGCTGTTTTTCCGAAGCATGCAAGGAAGAGAGGGCTGGGCATATGATATGCAACTGGCTGACTGTCGGTGTTATCTCGTGGATTGGAAAATCACCCGTGCCTTTGCTCCTGTCTCGAGTTGCCCGTCTGTTTCGCTCCATGCCAGTTCATTCTCTTACAGGACATGGATTTTCTGTATCCCTTGCGGTTTCACACACTCTCGGCTGCCTGACCAAGCGGACACATCCCCGTTGTGCTGGGGGTACCTGCTCTCACCGATTTTCACCACAGCTTCCCATTCCACAGAATGAGTTCCGACACGCATCACACTGGGATCCAGTTCGACACTCGCCACAATCCTGACTGGTACTGGCATGACGCTTTCTTTCCCGGACGAGGGATTCGAAACCGCATAACCAACCCGACCGTCATCATCACCATTGCCCTCGTTGCCGCCACCATAGTGTACCGGGCCGCACAACGCCGCAGGCTCCCACCACTGGCCCAGCTTCTATGGGATGCGTCCGTCTCCGCGATTCCAGCTCGCCTTCTCTTTGCCATCGACCGCCTCATTAACCTACCGGTCTTCCCGTCTCTCATGCTCAAGACACCGTCGACAACCCATGCCGCCAAAAGCGAGGCTCTACGGAGGACACTCGGCATCGACGGTGGAGGTGGGATACTTGGTTCGGTCGCTCAGGCTGGGCGCTATGGCTTTGGCAGCCTGTCCCGCAATGCCTCCGGGAACAGCGCCGCACGCGACAAGCCGCCCGGCCTGGGCAACTACGACAACTCCTGTTACCAGAACAGCATCCTCCAGGGCTTGGCATCGCTCAAGGCCTTCCCGTCATACCTGTCGGCCATTTCGCTCGGAAACAAGCTGTCTTCGTCTCAGACTCGCACTGTAGACACGCTCCGCAACTTGGTGGCCGAGCTCAGCAGCCTTTCGAGCAACGGCAGGACCCTCTGGACGCCAGATGTGCTCAAGAACATGAGCACGTGGCAGCAACAAGACGCGCAGGAGTACTACTCAAAGCTCCTGGATCAGATCGACGACGAAATTGCAAAGGCTTCCCGTGTTCTCCAGGACTCACGAGGTCTCGAATCACAAAGCACCAGTTACGACTCTTCGGCCAGCGAGCACAGCGACGATAGTGGATATCACAGTTCGACTACCGTCTCAAAATCCGGACTGGAGCTTCGCTTTGCCCGAAACCCTCTCGAAGGGTTAATAGCACAGCGTGTGGCTTGCGTCGACTGTGGCTATTGCGAAGGGCTGACTATGATTCCCTTCAATTGCTTGACGTTGACGCTCGGCACCCTCCAGCAGCACGACCTTTACGAGCGGTTAGACCACTACACAAAGGTTGAGTCGATCGAGGGAGTTGAGTGCCCCAAATGCTCGCTGATTAAGTGTCGTGATCTCCTCAAGGCGCTCATTGCCCGCATGGGAGAGCTCCTGGATCTCCAGCAGAGACTGCAGCTTCTGGAAAAAGCGTTGGAAGAAGAGACATACGACGAAGAGACGTTGGCAAAGTGCAACATCAAGCCCAAGGCGAGGGCGAGCTCGACCAAGACGAAGCAGGTTGCTCTCGCCAGACCTCCGCAGAGCCTAGTGTTCCATGTGAACCGGTCGGGATTCGACGAGAGAACGGGCTCCATGTTTAAAAAATCGGCCGCCGTCCGATTTCCCATGATCTTGGACCTTGCGCCATGGTGCCTGGGTAGTGCCGAGAGCCGGGCCATCTTGGAAGAGGGCACCGTTGCCGCGCAGGACGTGGAGCAGTGGACGCTCGATCCCCGGTCGTCCATGGTAGCGGGGAACCGAGGGCCGTCTAGGGTAACGGGCCCGATCTACGAGCTGCGTGCCGTGGTCACACACTATGGACACCACGAGAATGGTCACTACGTCTGCTACAGGAAACACCCTGTTTCACCGCCCCCAACAAAGCTTGAAGATGAACAAGCGGAGAAAGTTTTCGATCACGCAGGTGCTGCGGAGAAGGCCCCTGAAGATAGCGAATCGGTTCCCGAGACAGAACTGGCGAGCCAGACAACTGGGATGGGTGAACCAATCAAACCAATGCCGGGCAAAGAAGCACAGCAGTCTCAATGGTGGCGGCTCAGCGATGAGGACGTGACTCTAGTGGACGAGCGGACGGTTCTCTCTCAAGGTGGTGTGTTCATGCTATTCTACGACTGCGTGGATCCTACCTCGGTCCCGGTCTCGGTGGCAGACGCGCCTTTCGGCACGGAAGCGGTCGGCCCTGATATCAATACTCCGCCTGGCGCCGTTGGACCGGTTGCGGTGACTGGCAGTCCCGGCGTGGCGCAAGAGAATTCCGGAGCTTCGACATGGGACGCTCTGGGCACTTCCAAGCTTCCCAGCGGACCGATTCCGCCGCAAGGGACGCCGGGTCCGGATGTGTTCCCTCCCGGAATGGACGGGAGCACTGTCGAGCAACAAGCTTTGTCGCCGAGCTCCGACGAGCCCACCGACACAGCCATTCCTGCCATTTTGAGTCCCAAACCGGTTTGGCAACAGGAAACAGCGCCGTCGCAATTGAAGTCCACCACCTCTCAGTTCCCACCACGGGTCATCAAGGTTTAGGCGAACGCAAACCAGTGAAGCTGGAGGATGGGGATGCTTGTGCATTGATTTTGAATGGTGCTCTTTGTCATGCATAGCAACGGCGTTTTTGGATTAAGGACTTGCGATGGCCTCCTTTTCTCAGCCGGGGCTGGGTTTGGCATCCGGACAGCGTGGGATCAGATGCTCGTGGGGAACGGTCTAAAAACTTGGCCATGTTCTCTTTTTGGTTGGAATACCACAGTAAGCGGGTACAGGTTAGTCGAGGGCGTGTTTGGTAGGAACATGTGACCTCGTTCGTGATCGTGGTCTGACCCGAGGCGTCTGTTCGTGTTGTGGCTGGGGCCAGAAACAAGCTTATTCGAGGCTCTCAGCCATTGCGGGGCGTCGTGTTGTCTCTGTTCCCGACGGCCCGCTGCGTGGGATGTGCTTTGTACGAGGCTTCGCCTTCCTTGACACTTGTCGTTACACTTCCTGCCACGACAGACTTGTCCAACTAGGGAAAGACCTTCAAGCGTTTTTCTTGTTCGTCGGCGGCGGGCTCGTGCTCTTGAACCTGCAGTGCAGGATTGTCAGCATGGAGCCGGAACCGGAATCGACGGCACGGCGTTGTCGTGCCGGAGATCCGCTCACGATACTCCATAACGTTTGATGGATACGGTAGGGTAGTCTTGCGAACCCGAGGTGCTATAGATCCGATCGTTGACCTACATTGGAGGCTTACTGACTAGAGAAGGGCAGTGTTGCAGAGGAGCCCTCTAACGTTATAACTGGTAACCTGAGGGAAAGTCCTCTGTCTCAGGCAGCCCACTCATAATGCTTTCACCATCCTCACGCTCCGCGTGCCTTGCATTTGGACTCGGACACCAACAAGCTTATTCATTGGCTTGGCCTCGCCTGGGCCCGCCGCACATGGACCCTGCTGCCGAGCTGTGGGGTTTCAGCCCGGGAGGTAGGCCCCGCCCATCAGCGCGATGCTCTTTATGGTATCGGCCACAAAGGGGGGAAGCAGGGGTTGCCACCACAGCCAACGGCGCGGCTTCAGTCAGCTCAGCCGTTCGGCACCTATGCGAACACGAACAAAAGGAGCCTTTCTCCCCGTTTTGTTTCGTTTCTTCGGACCTTCCTGTCCCGATTCACTCCCCTGTGGTAACCTTTGTGCGGTAGATCACCTCCTCGAGCATCGAGCAAATGCTCGGTCGGAAGACAAACACACACTCCTTTCCTGACCCGGTCACTCCTTGGACTTCTTTCTATACGCGGCCGGAGAGGGTGTAGTTGGCCTTTCGTTCCTTTCACTTGTTGGGCCCAGGGCCCGACCAGATCCATCCCTCCGCCGATTCTGCAACTCGGACATCCGAGGAACTGTGCCCTCCCGGCGCCGCGCCGACATGGCCGACGACGATGTTGAGCGCCAGGTTGAAAAACCGCGCCCGGCGGAGCGATCAGTACATGCGGTATTCTACATCGCGTATGTGTTGACACTCACTCACTGTCTCATCCGTTCGTAGCCTTGCGCCTGGCTGATGATTTCGGGAAACGATACAGGAATTGGATCTTCTTTTCCAACCTGACCATTCTCTTCAACAAATGGATAATCGATAGCCGGGGATTCAGTAAGTTTGCCGCTCTACCTTCCCTGGATCCAGAGACTGTGGCTGACCACCGCTTACAGGATACCGTACGTCTCACGCCCGCCTTCTCATGACCTTTTCCACTAACTATACACATCCAACAGCCGTGATCCTAACATGCTGGCACATGGTCTTCGCTACTATTGCGACTCAGGTCCTGGCGCGGACGACTAAGCTCCTCGACGGGCGCAAGAGCGTCAAGATGACGGGGCGCACCTACCTGCGCGCCATTGTGCCCATCGGCCTGCTGTACAGCGCCAGCCTGGTGTGCAGCAACATGGTCTACCTGTACCTGAGCGTCGCCTTCATCCAGATGCTCAAGGCCGCCGCGCCCGTCGCCGTGCTGCTCTGCTCGTGGGCCTGGCGCGTCGAGGAGCCCTCGCTCAAGCGCTTCCTCAACATCCTGCTCATCGTGGGCGGCGTGGCCCTCGCCAGCTTCGGCGAGATCGCCTTCAGCATGACCGGCTTCCTCTTCCAGCTCGGCGGCATCGTCTTCGAGGCCATGCGCCTCGTCATGATCCAAGTGCTGCTGGCCGGCGACACCCAGAAGATGGACCCGCTCGTCAGCCTGTACTACTACGCCCCCGTCTGCGCCGTCATGAACATCGTCATCGCCATCGGGTCAGAGGCCAGCTCGTTCAACCCGGCCGACCTCGCCACCGCCGGCTACGGCCTGCTGCTGCTCAACGCCATGGTGGCCTTTATGCTCAACGTCAGCAGCGTCTTTTTGGTAAGCGCCCCGTTCCCCTCCGAACATGGGGCCTCCCAACGCCTCTCTAATATTAAAACAACCTAGATCGGCAAGACCTCCGGCCTGGTCATGACCCTAACCGGCATCCTCAAAAATATCCTCCTCGTCATTATTTCGGTCCTCATCTGGCACACGGCCATCACATGCCTGCAGTTTCTCGGCTACGCCATTGCCCTCGCCGGCCTGCTCTACTACTCGCTCGGCAAGGATCAGCTGCTCGCCCTCTCCCAGGCTGCCTGGGTCTACGCCAGGGGCGGCTACGAGGCCGTGCGCGTGTCGCCGCCGTCGGGGGACGAGCCGGGCCAGAGCCAGGGCCAAGGTGGTGGGTTGCCTTCAGCCGTGCGCCGGGCGTTGGTCTTGGCTCTGGCGGCCGTGGTGATCTTGGTTCTTTTCGGGGCTTTCTTTTATCGTGGCGGAGGAGGTGTAGAGCCTGGGTTGGGCCGGCGATTTGGTGGTGCCAACGCTTCGTAAGAGTTTACTGGGTTTACTGGGTTGGGGCGATATCACATATTGGCGTTGATGGGTTCGTCCTTATTTATCTTTCTTGGGAGAGCAAAGCGTCATTCTTGTGTATGACGATGGTTGGATATAGCTGTTTATCAGCACGACCAGGCAGGTGCTCTGTTCCCGGCCTGATAATGAAACGAGACCTGGATTGTGCAGGTTGGTTACCTTGTGAGCTGCTGGCTACGTTGTGAGCCCCGGCTACGGAGTGGTGAATTGGAGACGAGGTTCACTGCCTGTCTCTGGTAGCCCAATATCCGCTGGGAAGCCAGCACCATCGTCGCTGGAGTCTATTGCTACACTTCGCTCACATGATCCGGAAAGGTATCAAACAAGACTACCCGGATTCAGTCACTGTCCGACTCCGTTTACCCCTGGAGAACCCCGTGTATACCGGCCGTCAAAACCAACGCCGCTGTATCCCAAACCCCTTTACTCTTCGGGGCTCCGAAACCGCCCATCCGACTAAACCCCAAGATAGCTATTATCCGCCTGACAATACCACATGAACCGTTGTGGTGGCCTCGGCTTGCCGGCCAGGTCGAGGCACCTAACCGCGACTCCTGCTCCTCCTCCGGCTGTCGTGCCGACTCCGCCCGTGATCACGGTCCCGATCCCGTCGAGATGATACGCTCCGGTCTCGCCGGTTGCGGCGGTAGTGGCTGTCGCGGTCCCTGTCCCTATCCCGATCCCTGTCCCGGTCTCTACCCCTGTCCCTGGAGCGTTCCCTATCGCGGTCACGGCTCCTGGACCGGCTACGCCGTCTTGTCTCTCGACGGTCGTCTCTTGCCCGGTCGCGGTCACGGGAACGATCCCGCCTGTCACGGCCTCTGTCCCTCGGTCGGTTGCGGTCGCCATCGTAGCGGTCACCACCACGGTAGTCCATGCGATCCCGGTCTCGGTCCCGGTCTCGGTCTCGGTCCCGGTCTCGGTCTCGGTCCCTCTCTCGATCACCAGGCAAGTAGCGATCGTGTTCCTCTGGTTCGCGGCGGCGCTTCAGATCAGGTGACCTGTCCCCGGCTCGCCGGTCATCAATCCCCGGCACCGGCATGCCCTTCTCCCTCGCCTCTTTCTGAGCAGCGAGGTAGGCCTTGGCTTCCTGCTCGCGTTTTTTGACCTCGGCTTGTTTCCAAGCCTCCTTTTCCGTTTGGTTCAGGCGCGAGGGCGGCCGGGCTGCGCTCGTGGGCGATCGCGAACGGCTTCTGGGGCGCCTCTCCTTGTCGTCCTCCTTCGCTTTGTCTTTCTCCCGGCTTGGGTCTTGATCTCGATCGCGATCGCGGCTGCGGTCCCGTGGATTGGCACGCGCACGAGAACGGCTACGTTCCCGTCTATCGCGATGGTCTCGATCTCGAGACCGCGATCGGCTCCTATCTCTACGGTCGAATCGCGGTCTGGACTGGGAGCGGTCCCTTTGTTCGGCTTTTCGGCGCGGGGAGCGACTTCGGTCCCGCGCATCACGCCGACGTGAGCGGCTTCTATCCTTCCTGTCGTCCGTTCTGGCGGTCCTCGGACGGGAGCGACTCCGGCTCCGCCGGTCCGCCCGGCTTCGAGACCCGCTGCGGTCTCTGCGCTCGTCTTTCCGGTCGTCGCGGCGTCCGTCACGAGAATCATCACGGCGGCTGTGGCGGTTGTCGTCCCGGCGATCATCTCTCCTGTCCCGTAACCTCGACCTGCTCCTCCTGCGTGAACGGCTCCGGCCATACCTGGATCGCGGAGAGCGCGAGCGGTCATCCCTGCGTCTGCGGTCGTCATTCCTAGATCGGCTTCTATCCTTGGCGCGATGTGTCCGAGAAGAACGAGAGGGACTCCTTATTTTCCGCCTCTCGGGCTTTATCTCTTCTTCCTTCGGGGCGGCAGAAGGCTTGGGATCCTTCGGATCCTTCGTCTCGGCAGGCTTTTTAATCTCAACTGGCTTGAAATCGGGGGGGGGTCGCTGAATCGGTGCGATTGCCGAAGCTGGTTTCGCCTTTTTGGGGGGAGGAGCCAGTGTTTCATCGACTTCCAGTTCTGGTTGCTTCGTCCCAACACGCTTGCTCTCGCGCAAGAGGTCGGCTAGCGCCTCTTGCTCCAGGCGTTCGTGATCCTCCTTGGTTAGTTTCTGCTTCACTTCCTCAGCCCGCTCTTCGGTGGAAGGCTTCGGCCTGGTGTCGCGGCTATCCCGGCGGTCGTAATCCGGGTCCCGGTCTCGCTCACGATCTCGATCTCGATCTCGATCGCGGTCTCGGTCCCTTGCCTTGTCTCGCTCCTTTGACCGATCTCGGGGAGTACCTCGGTAGCTGTCATAGCCTCGTTCACGATACCGATCACGGTCGCGATCTCGATCTCGGTCCCTCTCCCTGTCTCGGTCGTGGCTGCGGTCTCTCTCCCTCCGGCTCTCTCGCTCCCGGTCTCGCTCCTTTTCCCGCTCTCTCTCTAGCTCCCTTTCCTTCTCGCGCCGTTCGCGCCGCTCCTTTTCTCTCCGCTCATCCTCCTCCCGCTCCTTCTTCCTCCGTTCCTCCCTTGCTGCCCTCTCGGCTTCGCGTCTCTTAGCTTCCTCTCTAGCCTTGATCTCCCGCTCGAGCCTCCGCTTCTCCTCTTCAACCGCCCTGAGTTCGGCCCGGACGCGCTCCCTCTCGGCGCGGCGGGCAGCCGTCTCGGCGGCGTATTCCTCGTCCGTCTTGGCCCCGCGCATCCTTTCTTCCTCGGCTGCTTCGTCACCAATCTCGGCGCGGCGCAGTTCGCGAATATGGGCTTCGATGGCGCGGCTATCGATCAAAGAGCTGATGACGGCTTCTGCCTTCTGGTAGACACCGCTGCGGTCCAGTGCGCCATCAATAAGGGCTGCGGCTTTCCCCCGCTCGAGAGTCAAAAGTTGTCTTGGATTACGCTCAACTTCCCGCTCGGCGACTTCGAGGATGGCTTTGGTGACCTGCGCTTCGTAGTCCTTATGCATTTTAGTTTGGAACGCAAGAGCATGAAAGCGTGTGAGCACTGAAAAGAAACGTACACTAGCCTCGAACTTCTCCCACACTTGTTTGCGAATCGCGTCGTAGCCGCCCTTCTTCTTAAAGGAGTGTGCGAGACCCTCGATTGCGGTGCGCGTCGCCGAGGGGAGCGGCAGATCGGAAGCCTTGAATTTCTTCGTGACAGGCGCCATCACCGTACTACCCGGCTGGCTCGGCGCAGCGGCCAGCACTTGGGACTCGACAGCAGCGGGCATCATGGCAGCTTGGGAGAGTCGTGAATGCTGGTTTGATTCACTCGAGTGCATTGAATGCACCGCGGCAATGAAAGCAATGCACGTGGTTCTCAAGTCATTTTCCAACGCATTCACCGCAGATGCGCCATGTAGAAGAACAGCTGAAAGAGAACGGATGATACAGGGGGCAGTTGATGGTTAGAGTGTCCAAGCCGTGTTTGCAGACCTGCCGGGGGTGCTTGTGGGTGGGGCCCGCTGCCTTGAAGTGCACGGAATGACTGGGTCGACACGCAAGGTTCAGTCACTACGCATCGAGCAAGCCACATCTGGACAAGCTCAGACATAGACAAATCCCCTACAGTAAGTCATTAGCCACTTTTGGTAAATGCATCTTGCGGGCCGCTTCAAGACCCTCACCCATATCTATAATTCGATTCACTGACGTTCCACTTATACTATTTCCGAGCTGCATTCGCAGTAGGGAGTAGGTATTCAAGAAGATAGCCCCAGCACAAACTTAGATTAATAGAGAGCTCTCTCTATTATATATTGAGATCTAATAAATATTTCTATGATCATTGCCTATCAGTAATGGCAGTATTAGGCGAGGTAACTTTCAGCATATATAAGTTGCTAATCCTTACTGTGGGGTTTGTATGATACATTACGAAGTTGGTAAAGTAACCAGCCACACTCTCACCCCACTGCAGCTAGGAACGCACAGGTCACCACAGGTGGCTTGCCAATTCGATGCAGCTGGTGAGCGACTGCAAACCACACCTGCGACCGATCCACGAAGTTCCGGGCAAGTCGAGAGCTCAACCCCGGCGCCGAAATCACACTCCCTCGACCGAGCACGAAGCAGTCAGAGGAGGAACTGAGCTCCCTCTCCTCAGCGACCACGAGCGGAAACGCCCTCCTGCACTCACAATCCTGCCGAGCGATTTCAACTCGACTCGCCCCAAGACGAGGCAAGACTAGACGAGACGAGATACAACAACCAAACAAAATGGTCAACAGAATTCTCTTCTGGACAGGCTTCGGTACTTCCAACCCCTCCCTGCTCCCCACACTTGACATCAACCCACCAGCACCACTACTTTAGACATACCAAGGTTAACTCCCTCACTCCCAGGCCTCATCGTCCGCTTCTGGCAGCTGGGCATCGAGATGCGGCCCTTTTTTAACAGGAAGTCGCTCTGGGCGTACCCCGTCTTTGGCGGCGTCGGCGCGAGCTTCGGGTACTGGCTGCAGGGCGTGGACGAGCGGCAGACAAAGATGCTGGAGGAGCGGAAGCAGGCCATCCTGGAGAAGCGGGCGCGGAGGGCCGGGCGGGAGGCCAGCGCTGCTGCGGCTGCACCGACCGAGGTTGTTGCGTGAAATTGATTACGCGACCACGGAGAGTGATATGGAAGGAAGGGAGCCTAGGGATGGTCTGTTATGCGGGAGCTGATGCAAGATGGGAAAGAGGGAGGAGAAGATGGGGAGAAACTACGGTTCCTGGCTGTCAGGGGTTGGAACATGGAGCAAACTGAGGTTGGCGAGCTAGATTCAGTGTACGAGATTATTATTTTTTTTATCCCCTAGAGATGGCCGCCCTGCTGGTTGGATTCCAAAGGCCGGAAATGCAATGCGCACCGACAACAAATCCTCGAGATTACCTAGAACCTCGAAATGAGCTCAATCAGATAGCTACTGTGCCTCCTCCACAACCCGACGTTCCTCCTCATTCAAAAGCTCCTCCATCCGCACCCATCCGATTCAGTCAATTAAGGGGTCCTCCTGCTTCCTCAGCAGAGCCAGGATGGCTTGGGCAGGCGAGTTTCCGCCGCCGCTCTCAAATTCGGTGATGACACCCGTGATGTACTTGTCATGGGTGTTGTCAAACAACAGCCGGAAGCAGTCGGCCGTGTTTCTCTCCGGGTCGATCTCGTTGTAGGTGAGCGAGTCGACCGACACGCGGTCTCTGTCAAAGTTGATCGTCTCGCAAAGGACAATCACCTTGACACCCGCATTCATGGCAGCCATGGCCACGTCGGCCGTCCCTGATGGCGCATGCAGCGACCCGTTTGCAAAGATGGCCTCCCCCCCAAGGAGCACGTTGGACGCGGCCGCGACTTTGGGCCGCAGACCGCCTAGGTTTGGCGAGTACAAAACGGGGATGCCAGCATGCCGTAGCGTCTTTGCAAGCTCCTGGCCACCGCGCTCAAACGGGTCGTCAATGACCGTTACGTCGAAAATCTTGCCGTCGTGCTTGGCCTCCAGAAGGGTCTTCTCGACAAGCCGATGCCGGCCGTATGTGAGGATGGTGTCGCCCTCGTTGATCGACTGAGCGGCATTCCGGGCAATGGCATACTCCGCCATGGTAATCCGTTCGTTGATCAGGAGGTCGATCCACTCCAGGAGTCCCTCCTTCGCCTCGTCCTCGGCCGTGTCAATGTCAAACTTATTGACCTTCCCCTTGAGCAGCCGGATGGCATTGCCCATAGCAAAACACATCGGCCTGCATTCGGTGAGGTATTCGATCTGCGGGTTCAGTACGTGTGGGACAAAGTGCCGTGATAGCGAGTTCCCTTCGGGTGTCTCATACGATTCGATTACCTGATTGCTGCTGTCAGCGGCCGTGCATCACAGACTACTGGGGCATAAATACAAACCTTCCGAAACGCCAAAAGTGTCGCCTTGAGACGAGATATGCTGTCGTTGAGCGCAAAGGTAGCCATCTGTTGGCCGACAGCCAGGACAGCAGAATGCACGTCCTTTTGCGCCTGCGATGTCGGTATCCGCTTTGCCATTGGCAAATGGCTGAAGGAGTCGGGGATCCCACTCCTGACATCCTTCTCAACAATCGGCATGGATGGCCGCCGCCCACTGATTGACGGTCGGTGAGCCTGCGGTGGCCCACCCTTGCTTTGAGTTTGCTGGCCGTCCTGTTTCCCTTTGCCCTTGGCCCCTTTCCCGTCCGAAGCTGCCCCTTTGTCCTGTGCCGGTGGCCCTGTCCCAACAGTTGCTCTGGCTTCCTTCACCTGCGCACGTCGCGCTGCCTTTTCAGCCTTCGCCTTGGCTTTTAGCTGGGCCGATGTGAGCTTCTCTGTGGTGGCAGCGTTGGCGGTTGCGTTGGCTGGAGTCGATCCGGTTTTCGCTCCATCCTGTGTTGCTGGAGCTCCCTCAGGAGCCTCATTCGTCTCAGCCGCCATTCTTTGGGGAATCGTTATTTGATAGTCCGTTGTGAGTCTGGTGAGGAACTTTATCGATGAGTGGTAACGTGGCGCGGACCAGTGGGTTTCGCGTCGCACAGTTCCTCTTTAACCCTGGAAAACTGACGAGGATAGATAGCGCATGTGTTTATTGTGAGCTGTACGCAGTATGCGTTCTCGGCGAGCCCGGACAGTATCGGGTGGTCTACTGAGACTTGCTTAACTGAACTTTTAGAGGTTGGGAATTGAGTCACAATCGAAGATCCCACATGCCGTAGCCTTGCACCCCGCGCCCCGCAATCGTGCAGATAATTCCGATTAGGGGGCACGGACCCTTGCTAGCTATTGTTCTCGAAGCACAAAGCTTAAATCGGCATCATTCACAGAAGGGCATGAAGCAAGTGCATCGTTACCAGAATGGTTTTCGCCTTGCAGCCGAGAAACCGCAAGTCTCCGCATCTTTTCCTACTCGGTGCCGCTTCGGAAACCATTACATCAAGGGCATATACAGTACCACGAGAGTATCTACAGGAGACTCCACTCTCAGCTGATTGCAGGTGAGTACAGAAGGTTGCCGGCATGGTGTATCCATGACCGGAGAAATACGTGTGTGATATAAGGTAGCAATATATTATTATTCCTACACCGCTGTGCCCTTGGGCTTGCCGGACCTTCAACAACTTACTATACAGGAAAACCGCGCCCTCGTGGGCCGGGTGAAAAACCCAGGGTAGCAATATACAACGGTTCTACATGTCACCTTCCACTTCGATACCTGGTAGGTACTGTACAAGGTCCTTCCGTGAAGTCAACCCGCTGGCTGGACAGGTCTGAGACCCCATGGAATCATCCAGCGGTTAGACAGCAGCGTCTATACCGTACTTCCCTCTCAACTCTCTGCCGCCGCCGGAGCCTGGCCGGTGGCTTCCCCTGCCGACTCAGTAGCCGGACCTGCAGCACTGCTAGCCGGGGCCTGCAGATGAACAGTGAGGGTGTCCCCCACCGATCCCTCCCTAGGCTTGATCTCTTTCGCCCCGGGAACCTCGGCGATGGTCGCCTCAACGACCTTCAATGCCCCCTTGGCCTCGTCCGCCGACGCCCTCCGCTTGTCCCTCTTCTTCAGATTCATCATGGTCACGGTAACCTGATATCCCTTGCTCAGGAATCTCTTGAGCTGCGACATCTTGGTGCGCAGATCGTGCGGCGCGATCGCCCAGTTCACCTCCAGCTCCTTCGACTTCTCCTTCTTCTTGCCCGCGCTCTTGTCTGCCTGCGCGGACTTGGCGGCCTCCTCGGCTTGGCGGTTGGCGATGCGGCAGATGGGGTACTGCGGGCCGTTGGACGAGGCGTCCGCCCTTGGGGCGGCGAGGAGGATGAGCGTGTTGCGCTCCAAATTGAGCTTCTTGAGGATTTGACTCGTCCGCTGCGGCTCGGTGAGCCTGCCGTCTTCTTGTCGCAGTTGGATCCAAGGGTACACGATGTCGTAGTCGCGCAAACCGCGGTCCTTCACCGGAGCGGCATTTCCAGAGGCCGGTCCGCGGCGGCTATTGCGGAATTGGGCCACGTGATGGGTGGAAAAGGGCCGTCGCAGAGGCGTTGAAGACGTCGGTTGGATCGGCACAGCTATGGCGGGCAGCAGCAGGCGCTGCAATTGCCACGGGGCCTCTGATACTGCTGCATTACGGACGAAAACATTTCTCAGGGCGACGGCCGAGTTGAAGAGACATTGCGAGGTCCTCATTGTATTTGCTGACAACAGCGCAAGTGCCTGGAGTGACGTTGAGTGCGGATGAGTTTGGAGCTGGGCGGGATGGGACGATTCTGGCGCCCCTGTCATCGGGAAATATTTGACCAATCATGCCGAGTGTCTTGCTCCGCAGCGACCTGAATGTCATCGCGCCATTGAGCTTGGGGTCACCATTTGACACTCACGATCAACAAACCTCACCATGAGCTCTTGACGTTTCACCCCATGCAATGCCCTCAATAACCCCCATCCTGCGTGGCTTGCTGCGGCCCAACAGGCTCAGACTCTCACCCAAATCAAACCACTCCCCGTCGCCATCACCATCACCATCACCAACCTCAAACGCCACCCCGTCAACCCCCAATGCGCCCCCCCCCAAAACCGGCCCACCCTGGCTAGGCCACCCCCTCCGGGTAGTTCTCAACACACTCAAATTCGTGGCCTTAACTCACCTAATCTGGGAGTACGTCATCTCGATGTCGCCGGCGTCGGGGCCCTCGATGCTGCCCACCTTCGAAGTCGTGGGCGAATGGCTGCTCGTGTCGCGGCTGCACCGCTTCGGCCGGGGCATCGAGGTCGGTGACGTAGTGGCGTACAACATACCCATCAACGAGGAGATGGGCGTCAAGCGGGTGCTGGGCATGCCGGGGGACTATGTGCTGATGGATACCCCTCCTGACGGGGAAGGGGAGGGAGGGGGAGGAGGAAATATGATCCAGGTTTGTCGAAGTCACGCTTTGTATGCTCTTCCTTTGAGTGGACGGGTCGTTGACTTAGGGGCACAGGTTCCACGAGGCCATTGCTGGATTGTCGGGGATAATCTGGCGGCGTCGAGAGACTCTAGGTTATTTGGTCCTGTGCCGCTGGCCCTGATCCGAGGCAAAGTCATTGCCTCTGTGAGGTCTTTCTCGGAGTTTAGGTGGATTACCAATACCCTACGGAAAGTAGACAGTCCCAGTGAGCCTTGAATCTCATTCATCATCCGGCTGTGCATCACCTTTCCGAACAAAACCCCTGGGAGCTTATTGTGCGGTATACCCGTAATACTGGGAGGGCGAGATAAGGCTCTTATTAATGAGTGAATATGTATCAAATTGCATGTTCTGATTACAACGATGATAGGTCAAACCAACCGCATTGATCCAGGTCTGGCGCGCTGGTAGCGGGTAATAGCAGAATCGCGAAAGCCCGCGAGGGTATGATGATAGAGCCGGATAGTCGGGCGGCATCCGCAACACACCACTCTTCTGCTCCATACTACGAAAGAAATACAAAAGCCGGGGAGAAGAGAACAACAGCTTCTAGGCAACCATGTCCCACAGCCTCGCCCTCCAAGCAATCCTTCCCAATGCTCGCCTACCATATACATGCCTTCCAAAAACCCCCAACGTCCGAAACCTTGTATCTGGATAATACTGACGCCGCCAACTCCGCGCCGCCCCTATGCGTAATGACAAAAACAAGCCAGGGAAGACATTAGACCGTGTAAATAAGACTCGACACCTCAGATGGCCGCGCGCCCAGCCACAGATATATCAGGAAACTAGCCCTCGATGTGGCTCTTGGACGCGCCCTGCCCGAGCAGCTCGAGACACCGCTGCGCCAGGTTGACTACTTCACCCTCGTCATCGTCCTCGGCCTCATTGTCCGACTCCATCTGGCGGTTGGCGATCAGCTTGATCATGTCGACAATGTCATCCGATTTCCCAATGAGACCAATGAGCTTCTTGTCCTCCGACTCGAGCAGTTGGAGCAGGGTCCAAATCGCGATGTGCTGGAAAGTGGCGTCGCCGCTGGCAAGAAACCTGCTGAGGTAGCCGTGAATACCGTCGCTCGGCTCCATCCAGTTCTGGACGAAGATGCTGTAGTCGCCCACTATGTCTCTGTCAGCATGGATCTCAGAGGAGCAGGGCGGGCAATAGACTAACCTTTTGAGGAGAGATTGCCCAGCGCAGCGGCACTGTTTCCTTGAACCTCGACGCTGGGGGATTTGGTAAGGGGAATCAACACTTCAAAGACGCCAAGCTCCAGAAGATGCGTCTTGAGCTCGTCGCTCAGGGCAAGAACAGCAATCGCAGCTGTCATCTCGGACTGAACCGTGACAGGAACCTCCAGCACGAGCTGTTTACACTTCTGGACAGCGCCAGCCTCGAGGACAAGGGACTTGTTCCGATCCGAGCTTGCTGCCAGGTTGCGGAGCGTCGAGATGGCATGGCACTGGATTTCTTCGTTGTCCGTCGACCCCAGCAGATCGACCAGGGGCTTCAGGAAGCCGGCCTCGATGATGGGCGATTCGTTTTGAGGGTGGATCGAGATATTACGGATGCATGCGACCGCGGAGAGGATGAGTGGGAGGTATGAAGACTTGAGAAGGCGGAGGAGAGATCCGAGTCCGTGGGCCTGGACGATCTCGAGTTGGTACTTCTCGTCCGATGCAAGATTCCGCAGCGCCAAGGCGGCCTGGCACTGGACCTTGGGCGAGGGGGACTCCGTCAGGTTCACCAAGTACTGAACGAGTCGAGGTTCAGTCTCGGCCAGTCTCCGCCTGTTGTTAGCGTCGACGGCGATGTTGCTCAAGGCGGTGGTGCAGTAATACTGCACATCCACGTCGGGGGATGAGAGGAGCTGCACCAGCACAGGGATGGCACCGGCATTGACCAGCTGCTGCCGGTTCTCGTCTACAGGAGGCGTCAGTTGTGGTCTGTCGAGGACCCTTCTATGCTTCGTAACAACATACCAGAATGTGTCATGTTTAAAAGAGCGCCGGTAGCGTTCCTCTGGACTCTCATATCCTTCGACTTGGCAAGCCGCGTCAGGGGGCCCAGGGCGCCCGACCTTGCGATCTTCGCCTTGTTGTCTTCATGTGTTGCCAGGTTGGTGATACAGCCGACAGCATTACACTGGACCTCGACGTTTGGCGACATCATTTGCTTGATCAGCGGCTGCAGCCCGCCCAGCTGAACGATCAGAACCTTGTTCTCGGCTAGAATTCCCGTCAGCGCTGTTCTTCTACCGGACACAGTCGCAGGTAGGGAGACAGTACTGTTAACGGCGAGGTTGCCCAGCGCAGCACTGGCTGCCCGTTGCACTTCAATGTCGGAGTTCTCCAGGAGAAACAGAATGGGGCTGAGCGTGTCCCTGTCAACAGCCCGGACATCTGAGATGGCACAGGTGGTTAGCGAACCCGGTCAAAGGCACTTCCCTAGCGAAATGGATCCGTATCCGCACACGCACCTCGCTCCGTAATCTCAGCAAATGTTAAGCTTGCGCTCCGTTGAAGGTCGATGTTATCGGAATAAACGAGGGTGCTCAGAGCACGGAGAGGTTCGCCTGAGAAGAAATCTGTTTCGGCACGCTACAAACAAGTCAGGACAAAGCGGCGTTTACAAATCGCGCGGGCAAGCTAACGTTTTCGAGGTATTGGAGAAGGTCGGCAACAGCCTCGCGCTCATTCTCGGCGAGGACATTCTCGTACAGCGCATCGCGGGATTTGCCTAGGCTTATGAGCGCAATGCAGCAAGTCAAAGAAACCGGCAGGGCAATCGCACCTCCACAGCACGACGAGCTGCAGATGCCCATGGCCGCTGGTTGGGTGACGCCAACGGGCCCGGCGCCGGGGTTGGCTTTTTGAGCAGCTTTGACTTGTCGGGTTGAAGAACCGGCTTTGTGCTTCGTGAATCGGAGAAGCAGCGGAAGGGTTTGGTTGGTTGGTCGCAGCAAGGAACACACAATTCGGAGAGCTTCAGATTGATGTCGCAAGGGCCAGAGAAGCGTTGTCAGATGACGTGCGCCGTTTTGTCGCCTGATCGCAATAGTGGTGCTGTGCTGGCGGACGTCGGCGACCCAGTCTGATGTTGGTGTTTCGTTATTTTGGGCGGGTCAGGTGCAGAGGAGCCGGTCGCAACAGGAACGGAGCCAAGACAGTCACCATAGGAAGCTGCCTTCCCAATTGTCATGCCGTCTCTGGGGTCAAGGTCTGGGCGCTGTTGGAGCGAGTGGGTCTCGCTCGCACCTGGTCTGGCGACTGGCATCGGTACTGTACAATACTGTGTACATTGGACTCCCGTCATGGAGAGCTTCTGCACCACAATGAGTGACATGTCCATGACTTTGCAAAGGCATGAGTAAGAACGGGTGGAGTGGAGAGCTGAGTGTATGAACGATCTATAAGACTTTATTGTCAGAATCCAATCCCTAGCTCGTGGCTCTGTACTCGTCTCACTGATCTCTCATCTGTTACAGTTAAAATCGGGCGGTTTCACGGAGGATGAGCTACGCCAAGCAAGGGTCCTGTCAAAAATAGCCTACTAAGGCGCTTAAATAAAGATATCGCTAGACTTAGTAATGAGGCTCCTGCCAAATGCTCGAAGTACTACTAGTTATAGTATTAATTAGAATCTTAAAGTAGTTATATATAACGTGTTTTATCAGCGAATGCACCATATCAGCGAGTGCACCACTGGTAAGGACTGCATATATATTTGGGTGCAGCACTAACGACGGGAATAAGCGGGGAATAAGCTGTTAGTACTTCGACTAAGTGTCTGTGCAGCCCTTACCAGTGGTGCACTCGCTGATATGGTGCACTCGCTGATATGGTGCACTCGCTGATAAAACACGTTAGTTAAATATTTAAGGTAACTATAATATCAGTATTCCTATACCACTATGCCCTAGGGCTCGCCGGACCTTCTACTACTGATTACAAAGGAAAACTATGCCTGTAAGGCTGGACTAATGACGCGGGATGCACCGGAGGGAAGGCTAAGTATGGGTATATGTCACAAATGAACCAACGAGAGTCAACAACGGCGGCTTACTTGCAGAAGCCAGTGGGGAACGTAGGACGTTCCGAGCCAATCACTTAGGACCAATCGGAACGAGTACTAGAGGTGCTCCAGAGAGCTCTCAGGAGCATGAGAGAGCACCAGTGCAAGGCCAATCAGAGGACGCTCTAAGAGGCTCTCGAGAGCACCATAGAGCATTGGCTCTAGGTGGCTCTAGAGAGCACGAGAGAACAACCAAATGCATCTAGTATATAGTCACTCGTTCTGGAGGACTCTGGGAGTTCTCCAGTAAGCAACTCAAGTGCAAGATTGTCAGTACCCTTGGACATTGCTTGTTGTGAACCCTTTGGCTTCACCGAACCTCACCCCGTTGTCAAGTATAACCTTCAGGAGTCCCTTTCAGAAGTTGGGGCTTTGAGATTCGTCACAGTATATCTGTATTGCTTGAAAGAAGGATCGAGATTCAGAAGTCAGTGTCGCGCATGCTGCATGCAAGATAAACTGGCATGGCAGGGCTGCGCGCGCACAGACCTTTGCAGCGGGGCTACTCTACATGATCCTTTCCGGTATCAACTAAAAACCTCTCTGAAGCCCTGAATCTACCTACTACATGTGACGAATCTCAAGCCCTAACTTCTGAAAGGGACTCCTGAAGGTTATATATACTTGACAACGGGGTGAGGTTCGGTGAAGCCAAAGGGTTCACCACAAGCAATGTCCAAAGGTACTGACAATCTTGCACTTGAGTTGCTTACTGGAGAACTCCCAGAGTCCTCCAAAACGAGTGACTATATACTGATACGATTCTTCGAGTGCTCGCAGTGCTATGCCTTCGATCGCTTCGAGCACCTTGCTTGCTGCATTGTGCTCGTCTGTCTTGGCGTTATAGCACTCTAGCTTCATCCTGACTGGTCTGCCTTGCTTCCTTTAAGTGATTGATTCGGGCGCTCCTTGCGCCCCGCATATGGCCTTCTGGCATGCGGCCTATTGTTAGTTAATTCGTGACACTACAGCGAAAAGAAAGGCGCAAATAGCTAGCTAGGCCAGCGAACTAGCCTAGTTCTAGCTGTGCAGCTAGCCTATACTCCAGGAGCCTCCCAGAGCATAGTACCTACCTAATTACCTTCCTTGCAAGCCTTCTCTTTCTGTTTCCCCACCCGTCGAGAGCCCTAATAGAATGTCCGAGTCAATAGTGGTTCATGTTGGATGTCTAGGATTGTGTGAAAAGGCTTCTGTCTAGGTCCTTTTCCAAGTATAAGCTATCATACTCTGCAATCATCTTTAGCGAACTGTGGAATTCATTCTAGCAGTGCGGTTGGGAAAGGATCGACACAGGGTGAGGTATGATACCGCCACAGCTGGAGCCCCGCGGCCTGATTTTATCAAACTGCAGTGGAGCAATCGGCCTTTGCGAGACACATCCAACTGACTGCTTTCCAATGCTCTTCCATTCATCAAACTGTTTACAGAGCCACTGACCTCGATGCCCTTGCAGACAGCTTTCCTTTGGCCCGAGTTCAACACAGCATCCGTACTCTGTGCTTTATATCCTACTGTAATTTAGGTTTCCCTCTGCCAAGCGACACCTCGCTTCAGCCCAAAACAAGCAGCCCTCAGCAAAAGCAGCAAACAGCCCCCAGCTTGGTCGGCAAGCTTCCCCGATGTCTGTTCCACCATCGCGATAACGATGGACGACCCTCGTGCTGCCCCCGAAGCGGCACATCCTAGTTCCCGCAGCGCGCCGCCTGCCCTCCCGCCCACCACCCATTCGGATACCGGAGTAAATGGCAGTGGCCAGCTGCCGCTGCGACCATCAGGTCACGAGCTCCCTTTTGTCGCGCCGTCGTCATACCTCCGCCCGAAGCCCGCCAGTCGCACAATGTCAGAGCGGACTCCAAGTGCTCTAGACAGGGAGCAAATGCAGGGTCTGGTGAGTATGCCCATTCCGAGACAGCCGTCATAGCCCCGCTGCCTCCCGCCGATGTATTTTCTGGGTTCCCAGCACGGCAAGCAGGCTAGGATGCGGGGTTACAGACGGCCCTCCTTTGCAGAGCCGACCCAGCTAACTGAACTAACCAGCGGGGGATTCGGGAGTTCCTCAAAGTCCGGACTAGTTACGATGTGCTTCCACTCTCCTTCCGTCTTGTCGTGCTCGACAACGATCTCCTCATCAGAAAGAGCCTGAATATCCTCATACAGAATGGTGTGTTGCCCGCGCTTCTCTAGTGTACTCAGAGCTTCGGAGAAGGAGTTGGTCGTGGGATTTGGGAGCGGTAGCTGACCAGATTGTGATGATGATGAGCAGGCATCGTCTCAGCGCCGCTATGGGATTCCCACAACTCGACTTTTGCCGGCTTGCTGACTAGCACCGACTACATCAACGTCATCCAGTACTACTGCCAGTTTCCCGACGAGATCGACCAAGTCGACCAGTTCCGTCTCAGCAGTCTCCGAGGTGGGTAGCTGCCGTCATCCTATCCCGAGGTACAAGTTCAGGGTCTAAGGCCGTTCATCCAGACATCGAACGGGCCATTGGGGTTCTGCCCCTTGAGACGGTGTCCGTCCACCCCATGCGCCCGTTGTACGAGGCGTGCCGCCGAACGCTGAAGACGAGGGCAAGGCGAATCCCATTGGTGGATGTCGACGACGAAACGGGCCGCGAGATGGTCGTCAGCGTCATTACGCAATATCGCATCCTCAAATTCATCGCCGTCAACAACGAGAAACACACAATCCTTCTCAAGAAAGCTGTGAGGGACATTGGCCTCGGCACCTACACCAACTTGGTCACAGCGGCCATGGGTAACTCTGTTTTGGACGTGATCCACTTGATGGTCAAGCACAACATTTCCGCCGTGCCAATTGTCGACGGGAAGAACAAAGTCTTGAACGTCTTCGAGGCCGTCGACGTCATCCCCTGTATCAAGGGCGGGGCTTACGATGAGCTGTCCTCTTCGGTGGGCGACGCCCTCTCGAAGCGGGCTGAAGACTTCCCCGGTATCTATACGTGTAGCGAGGACGACCGCTTGGATGCCATCTTCGAGACTATCCGCAAGTCGAGGGTTCACCGGCTGATCGTCGTCGATGACGACAGCCGGCTCAGAGGCATCATTTCGCTCTCTGACATCCTCAAGTACGTCCTGCTCTATGGAGAGGAAGATGACGATATCCGGGCCGGCTAGCATCGCTCTCCCGATGGGACAGCCCTGCTCATGCTCTCTGGGCTGTTTGGCTTGCGCTGGTACATTTCCCACCCAATCTCTCGATTGCTTACTGAGTATTTCTTGCATTTGCATGGCGTCGGGCCGGGTGGTGGATAACGAATACCATGGTTGCATGAATTTGTTTATCCAGGGTATAGATCTTCTTTCTTGTGCTCCTCTGGGGGATGCGACACAGTCTTTTCTGCCACACGTCTACCGCCGGAATTGATTTGACGTGATTTTGTGAGCACTGAGGAACTAAGGAATCAGCTAATACTATGACAACACAACCAATTTTCACTCCTTACCCAACCCGACACTCCCTGTTAGGATGTCGCCCAGGTCTCCTTCTGTTTTCGTTCGGGGGAAAGTCCAGAGCAGGGTCGGTACTAACCAATCTATGCGACACGGGAAGCAGCAGCCAGAACTGACCACAGGCTCCAGTCTGAGACCGTCCGAACCCGTCTGTTTCTTTGAGGGCCACTCCATGCCCGCGCAACATATCTATCTTAAGGTCGCCAGGCTCTGATCCCTGCCCATTGTAGCCCATGTGGTGTTGCGATCCATCGAATCTTGCACATCGGCTGAGAGCAGATGCCCTGTTTGCCACTGCTACCGACACAACTCGCCGCCGGAAATGGATGCGGCTTGGACACAGTCATTTGGCACACCGTCAACTGGCTGGGGCGCGTCTTCTCACGTAGAGCGACCGAGCCGCAGTTCTGAACCGAGCCGCACGACATGGGCCCGGCTTCCTCACCCGACCACAGTTGGCCACCTCACCGTTCCGGGGCACGACAGGCGGGGGAATGCAAGCAGCGCGACTTGGACTTCGTCCAGCGGGGACTGGGCTGATAATTCCGACATCGACGATGCTGAAGATCGCACCCAGTTCATAAACGAGTACAACCGAATTGCGAGGAAGGTCGGTGTTGCTGTCCTTCTTATCCCCATCTCAAGATGGACCTCGTTGACAATAGCAGCATGGAATTCGGTTGCTCGATCTCGATGGTTGCAGTCCCTTGCTTGTCAGTAATGCTCTACCTTTCCCCAAGGGAACCTTTCCTGACCCTCGAATAGCCGGGCCAATCGCCATTGCCCCAGAAAAGAAGCTGGTTCTCGCGTACGTTCCTGCGCCAGGTTTCGAATTCGAGCGATGCTAGCTCTACGAGGTCGGACAATAGGGTCAGAAATAAGCGAAGCGTTGGCGATCTGGCGCTACCGTTCATGAATGCGACCAAGAGAGATAGCCTCAAGGATGAAGACTTGGTATCGCTCGTCCGGATCTGTGGCAAGAGCAAGCTGTATCTGCCTTCGGAGTATTCGCCAGGTTCTCTCGTTCTTCCTACGTGCTTTCGTGCGACTGCGCAGTACCTGGTGCAGCATGGTACGTATCTGTCACTGACCTGGAATGCTACGACAGTGTGCTGACGACATCACAGCCGCGCAAACGCGTGGCGTGTTTCGCATCCCTGGCTCGGTCCGCATAGTCAACGCCCTCTACGCCTACTACTGTGCCGATGGTGATGCGGACGACATCTCCAGCACAATCAGCTGCCCAAACCTGCCCTCTCACATTAAGGCCAGGACCCACGACGTCGCCTCGGCATTTAAGCGCCTTCTGTCCGGCCTTCCCGGAGGGATTCTGGGTTCTCTGACCCTATTTGAAGCTCTAGTGGGCATTCAAAACCAGCTGGACGCGGAAGCCGAGATACTCAAGACGAAGCAGACCAAGCTCAAGGCGAGGCTGATGGCCCTTGCTATCGGCGCCGTCAGATCCCAGCTCCGCCGCGACTTAATATGCGCCGTCTTTGGTCTGCTCTGCCTAATTGGGCGTGCTGCTGAAACGGCGCCACGAGAGGATGAGCATGGGAGGCCACTGCCGACGTCCGATCTGATGGGATACAACGCCTTGGGAATAGTCTTCGGTCCGCTGCTTGTCGGCGATCTTCTGAATTCTTATGATCTGAAGATTGCCGGTACTGCTACCGGCCGGGCCTGTCCAGTCACTTCCCCCACTGTGAGGAAGGACAGGCGCAGGTCCAATGTCGTGGACGAGGCTCGCCCGTCCGCGCCGCCCTCAATCGACAAGATTCACGTGGCAAACAGCATCACCGAGATGCTCATCACCCATTGGCGTGAGGTTGTCAGGCACATGAGGAGCCTGGGAGTCTTGAAATCCGGCCAAGACGGGTCTCAGACCAGGGTAGCGTTGCGACCATCCACCGAGTCGTTCAAGCTCAGCATGCCACACCCCCACTTGGACGTGTTCGATTCCAGGGAGTCATCATTCCCACTGAGCCCTACACCTGGATCCAGTAAGTTATCTGCTACTTATAGCGTTTGAAATAGGCTAACATGAGGTCAAGTGAGAGGCATGCTGGAGAACTCTCGCCCACCTGTTGTGCTTCCACGTCGAAGACCAAGGGCGATGCGGCCTTTATCCAGCACCTCTGCGGGCGTACATGTATCATTGTTGTCTCCTCCCGTGGAAGAACCGTCTCCTGCTGAGTTTAAGAAGCCAGGGGACGTCGGTGATGATGAGCACCGGCAAAGGCACAACACTCAAGTGGACAACCACGTTCCATCAGTGGAGGAGGCAGGCTTCGCTCTTCCAAATGGATCCTCTCCATTCACCGGAAGATCAGCAGGCTTGAAAGAACTGGTCGGGTTCTGGAGCGCAGCCACGACACCCGTCCCTCCAGGCAAGCAACTCGCTCAAACGGCCAACAAAGAGAACACGGTTCCATCCCGCGAGGCAATAAAGATGGCGAACTCTCCAGCCGCCTCGGCCGCGTCGACCAGACCGGAAAGCGTTGAGCAAAGAATTGGGGCAGCGTTCAGGGGAGCAAATCCATTCAAAAGGAGGTCATACAAGGGCAATTCGGCTTCAAATTCCACCGAAAGGATATCCCAGGATACACCAAGGTGGACATTCAGGGGATCGTTTGAAGCTAAGGCTCTCCAAGACGAAAAGACAAAAATGGACGTATTCGGCCGTGGACGGCCACGCCTGGCAGGATGGAAGTTAAGACGCAGATCCTTCGTGTCTACAGGTACCGAAAGCGCCGTCTCCGATTCACTGGGCACAGGAGAGCTTACTCGGGGAACGAGGGCTGAAGAGAATTCAAGCGCTCCTCAATCACACCAAAGTAGTCCCGAGTCCAACTTTTCTTCAGGACTTGGGCATCGGAGCTGTTCAAATGGAGGTCATGGCGACTGCCTTGGAAATGATGCTAGCTACACCCAGGCCGAACAAGAAGTCGCTACAAAGTCCGGCAGCGAGTCGTTCGCCAGGGGCTCTCCCATGTACGTTGATAGTTCAAGGTTTACACAGCCATCTAGCTTCGTGGGGCAGTTCCGTCCGCTTCAGACACTCTCTGCCAACACCGAATCACAGAGGCGTTGTTCTGGGACGAGCGCTCCTGGCTATTCTCTGGGCTCTCTGGGAAAGAGAGGATGCGAGGACACGGGCGCAGCAGGACACCATCCAGAAAACCGTCGACCTCTCCCAAGCGGTCCCAGGCCAAATCCGGCGCAACCGACTTTGGGTCACATCCCTCGATCGGTACCAGCACACTCAGTTGGCAGCGGGGTCAAAGCCATGGCAGCTATGTTCGAGTCCGTCTCCCAAACCCCAGATCGTCTGCCTTCACTCAGGGAAAAACCGAATGTCCGAACCGACTCCAGATCTAGTGGAATGCTATCCCCCTACACAGTCAACCCAGCACCAGCCAAGTCACGCTGTAACTCACCCAAACCCATCGAATCCATCTCAGGTGGTCGACGGCCGTGGATGTCTGCAATTCGGCATCATGATTTGAGAGGATCTCGGGGATCAATGCCCGGGGGAGTGGTTAGGGATAACAGTGGCGTTGGTCGAGGCAGAAGAAGCGTCTCAGAGACGGCGCGAGGCAAGACGACAAGCCCTAGGCACAGCACAGCCGTTCCGTTCCACAGCGAAGCTACGGTTGAGAAACGACTATGTCAAGAGGCGACGACATTGAAACAGCCTGACATGCCGGGAACGCGATCTTTGGGGTTGGGAGCAGGGGAATCTCCCTCAGTCAGAGATATCCTAGTCCAAGATGCATCAGACGATAATGATCGACCTACATTTGAGAGAACCGGCACTATCGCCTCTATTCCTATTGATCCCAAACAGGATGACCTTACAACAACACCCGACCTCAGCCCAAGCAGCCGCCAGTCAACCCCCTTCCATACCCCAAGCAAACAAGCCGAGCCCAGCCCGGCCTCCACGACCCCCCGATTCCCCTTGGTACGCATCCCGGAGCATCATCATCAGGGGAAAACACCGGAAAACTTCCACCCAGGCCAGGACAGATTGGTCCCTGTCCGAGACAGCATCCCCGCCAAGCTCATCGGGCCAGCATCCACAACACCGCCTGGCAGCCCCCCTGGGCCCTCCCCAGGGATCTGGCATGACTTCGCCAAGCAGGAAGATGCAAAGGAGAACAAGCTCGCCAGGCTGCGTGCAAAGCTGCGGCAGACAGAAAAGGAATGCGCTTTGTGGAAGGCGAGGGCCGAGCGCGCCGAGCGGAAGGTCCTCCTTCTTGAGAGGGTGGATATCAAGCCCGACCCTGTCGGCACCACCTCCTCCGATTCACGCAGGGCCTCGACGAGGGACGAGTCACAGCCTACCGACTCCTCCTCCTCCTCCGGCTTAGCGTGGTACTTTGCACGTAGAGACGGTCAGACTGTTGATTCCCCTACTTCCCGGTTAGCGAGGGAATGTGAGAGCAGAGAACCCCAGCCTGTCAACCCCCACAACTTCGAGTTAGCAAGTCTTTTCGCGAGCGAAGCACCTCAGCCTGCCGCCTCTTCCACCTCCAACTTACTCTGGGGCTAAAGGATTTGAAGACGGACGGAGGAAGAGAAAATGGGGATAGGAGTGGGAGAGACTGTGGTAAGGCCAAGGTTTTAGGAGGCCGGTGTCGGGGATATGCGGTGCTGTGGAAGGGTGTGATGGGAATGACGTTTGGCGGAAGAGGGAATGGGACATGTCGGTGATGCATGCCGCGGAAGGTTGTCCCAACGGTAGAGTTACGGACCAGTGCAGAAGGGGAGGTTCTGGCGAGGGGTTTCATGAAACGGTTGATCGTGTGGATGGGAAATGATGGGGTTAGGGGTGGCCTCTTTGTGGTGTCGCTTAGAGGCTCATGGGGTTCTTGAATTGAAACAATAGGGGCAACCTGCCATGGCGCAATGGGATGGTCGGTTTAGCAGGTAGGAAAGCATTCGCAGGGAGCACGGTGTAAGATATATCTAGCTGTGTATGGGTTGGGGTAGCTGTACGAGAGAGGTGAATGCAGGCTTTATGTGTCGTTCAACAATCAACTGTGCAAGTAAGATAACGTTATGGCCAGGTGCCCATACTGAGCAGCCACCACGGGAGTTGAACAAACCTGGACACAAAGTGGGCATAATCCTTTATACATCCTGGTACACTGCTGATATGATACAAATACACAACGGCTCTATCATCCCTTCCGCTTCCCGCTGTCGAACCAAGGCATGCCTCCCCACTAATACTTAATACCCTTGATCCGCTTGGTGTACTTCCACAGGTGGCGGTACTTGAGCTTCTGGCGCTTGGCTTCCCAACCGCGGGCTTTGCGTGGCGGCTTGAGCGACATGACGCGCGTGCGCGTGAACTCGACGTCGGCGCCGGGAATGCCGTGGCGGGCCATGACGTCGGCCGTGTTCTCGTCCCACACGGTCCGGAACATGTTGAACCCGACGGGCGTCAGACCAAACTTGTCTCGGAAGCTCTTGAGACTGAAGCCTTCGCGGCCTTGGCCATCATACAGCTCCTGCAGCTTGGCTGTGTCGAGGGGAGAGTTGTTGTTCTGCTCCAAAATGAAGACGGCCAGGCGGTGGTAAGGAGAGCCCTTCTGGGCAAAGGCGGGCAGCCACGGGACGGTGAGAGCGCCCATGTCAGGAGAGGCGGAGTCGCTGCCCAGCCGGCTGAGGGGAAGAGAGTTCTTGGTCGGGCTCCAGGGGATGTTGGTCGCCATGAAGTGCAGGCGCTTGCTGAATGAGTCTGTCTCGGCATCTGGCACGTCAGCGTCCAGAACCACGACGGAGATCAGGCGCTCGCCCTTGTCGAAGACCTGCATGCGCAGAGTTGGAGCCGTCTCGGTGATGCGGCTGTTAAGGGTGGCCCCAGGAGAGACCTTGTAGCCACGGAAGGTCATCTGGACAGCCATGGTTGGCTCGAATTTGGGTAGGAGGTCGGGCACGATGTGGAACTGCTCGATACGCTGCAGGATAATCTTGCGCTCCATGGAGCACCATTTGCGGTGCGCGAGGTACCGGTAGATGGGCTTGTTCATATCGCCTGTCTGCGGTTAGCAGGAGCAGAGCGCATTTCACCAGCCAACAGAGAGACACGTACCCTTGCCATCCTCAAAGCGCCTCTTCACCATAGGATCGTTGATGTCGGCCAGGATCTTGAGCTTCTCAACATACTGCCTCAGGCTTTCCAGCCGCTTCTGCTTATATGCCTCCCCGCCGCGGTAAATGCTAGCATCCATTGCCTCCAACCGCCTGATCTTTGCCGTCTCGGCAACAATCTTGGCCACCTTCTCCTCGCGGTCCTGGGCCAGTACTTTGCGCGCCTCCTGGAAACATTGGTATGGCAGCTGCTCGAAAGGGACATTGCCCGTTGTGGCCAGGGCGGCCCGTCTTCTCCGGGAGCCGAGCTGTGGCGAAAGGAACTGAGAAAGCTGCTGTTCAGTTCCTTGCTTGATCATCGAAGGATATGGCGGGGGTTTTGTCTGGCCGAGCAAGGCAGCGTCTGCAGCAAGCTTATGTGTTTCAGCACTGGGCTCTGCCGGGGTGCTTGTCGTTGTCTCATCTTTTCGGCTTGGAGTCAATGAGAACTGGCGGATGGCAAGAAGCCGTGATGGACATGTCGCAGCGCTGCCGGTTGCTTGCTGTAGCGACCGCACAATGGGCCGCGCAACCTGCTGTGGCCTCGACATGGCGGCGGGCGGAGGCAAGTCGGCGTCAATAAACTTGGAGCACCAACAAAACGGGACTCAATTGAGAATCAGAAACGCGCGCCGACGAAATTTCGTGGACCCGAGTGGCAGGGGCCGGCAGGCTCCGCGTCTAGCGCCGTCCGTGCACTGCAACTCCAGATCTTTTTTCGCCGAACATCAACAGCGAAGCAATCGACTCCGCCGTTTGGGGAAGGGTGATTTTGGGACGGAAAACACGCGACAGACCTCGCGCCATCTCGACCAGAGGTGCCTTTGCAGCACGGCACCGATCACAACTGCTGCGCGGCCAACCGCAACTATGGCGAGCAAGGGAATGAAGAGCCTCAACGAGGCTTTCAGAAGCCTGAGTCTTGCCGCACAGTCATGCCGGACACTACCCGTGTGTCTTCCTGTTCTACGTGGTTTCTTGGTCGCCTAGCTAATGTCGAGGTAACGTACACAGGGCCGGCAAGTTTCAGCGGCTTACAGGAGGTCAATGGCAACAGCAAGCGACCCTCGGCCAACCAACATCACACGATCCGTCACCGACGCGTGGGATCCTAGTACGTGCACAACCAGTTAGTCCCTTTCGCACTCTTTGGACATGATATTAATGAGCATCCGCAGTAACCAGCGTCCCCCTAACCATCTACTCCTTCCCCTCCCTCGAACCGCGCCTCCTCGAGTCCTGGTCCACAAAGCACCTGCACCTCCCTCTCCGCCGCGACATTCTCCATTTGGCCGTTGTCTTCGAAGGCGATAAGACACGGCAGGGTACCGCTTCATCAAAAACCCGCTACGAGGTTCATGGCTCGCACCGCAAGCTCCGCCCGCAAAAAGGCAGCGGTCGCGCCCGCGTCGGCACAAAGCAGTCGCCCCTGCTCCGTGGCGGTGGTAAGACGTTCGGTCCCAAGCCGCGCGACTTCAGCACCAAGCTCAACCGCAAGGTGTACGACTTGGCCTGGCGCACCGCCCTCTCCTACCGGTACCGCCGCGGCGAGCTGATCGTAACTGAGGACGGGATGGAGCTGCCCCTGCCCGAGGACTTCCTCCAGCTGGCCGAGGCCGGCGTCCTCGGCCGCGAGCTCGAGGACGGCTTTGTCCGCAAGTACGTCGACGAGCTCATGGCGGCACTGCAGTGGGACAAGACGAACGGCCGGACCACCTTCATCACGGGCGACAGGCGGCCGAACCTATTCACGGGTATGGAGATTGCCGGGGAGAACGGCCGGGCGCTGGAGCTGGAGGATGTTGACGTCAAGGACCTGCTGGAGACGGGCAGGATTGTTATTGAGCGGAGCGCGCTCAGGGCGATGATCAAGGAGCACTCGAGCGATCTTGAGACTCGCGTCGTGGTCAAGGGGCTGAATCGGCGGCCAAGGCTGGGCCAGGCGATTGTCTGGTGAGGAGGGGCTAGATGAACCATTGTATACTGTACAATATCCATTCAGCGCTCGCTGGCGAGGTGGAAGGCCCTGTCTTCATGTACTATGCAGTCGTTGTACAAATGTAGCGTCTCAGTTCACGATGCCTTGAATCACACGGGTGATCTAACTGGATCTCATTACGCCGGCTTCAAACACAACACAACGTCTAGGGAAGGAACAGCCTGGCCTGACACCCCAGCCAGTTGGAAGAAGCTTGTCCATCCGGCATTCAGTCCTAAAATGATCATTTTCCCAGGGAGCTGCGGCAAACCATCCAATCTACATAACCTCCAGGGCTACAGGCACCATCAAATCGGGTCATTTGAAGTTGTGAAGTGAAACCTGGATAGCCTCAGCCTTGTGATATGTGAAACGTGAATGGCTGGAGCTGGCCAATCAGAAATGGCGATGGATTCTGTCCCGCATCTGCAGCGCGCACAGACCACTTCTCATTCTATAAAGCTACCGCCCATCTCCCAGAATCTTTCTTCCTCTTCTCTTCTTCTTCCCCATCCAAGTGCAGGGGTTTTACGTGTATCAGTGAGGATTCGTCCGAGATCACGTTTTTGCTAGTTGAAAACTACAACCTGACCGCTCCTGGCTGGCTGAGGCTGGCTAGGGAATTTTTGGAAAAAAATAATAATCATTTCTCCCCTGAGAGAAGCATTTTCCCTCTTTCATTGCCAACGCTTGCTTGTCGGGCGTGGCGAGGAGGATGGACTGGAAGTACGAGGTGGATTGGATGAATGGGCGGTCTAGGGCATTCGACGGACCGATCGATGGATTCGACATCGGTTTGGGCGACATCTCAACACCGCGGCAATCCAACGCTACGTACGGAAGTATATGTGCGATCGACCCAGCCTACAACCGTTCGGCCTGTCACTGCGGTTATCCCAATGGGTCAGGCCGCGGTCATTCGGTCGCACGACGTGGTCGGGCTGGAATGAAGTCCGCATTTTCCAGGTTCATAGCACTATTTGCCCAAACTAGATTCTACCATATATGCGATGCCTGCGGTTCCTCGCCGTATGGAGTAGTGAGGGCGTGGCCGCAATGATACAGCAGAACATTGTCCACCTGACGCTCGCAGAGTGATGGTTGAGCAGTATCTTTGTCTTGGGCGTGTCAGACTACCCCAGATTCCATCATTCAAACTTGAACGTAGAGTAAGAGAGTCGGAACTTCGACGCAAAAGACCGCCAAAAGATCTCGTCATTTTGACCACAGCAGCTTGCATTGACGCTATCTCTTGCCAACAGCTATTGGCGAGCTACGACGGCAAGCTGATGTAATTACCGTATCCGTATCCCGTGGAGACGCCTGGACTCGCCGGAAGTTGAACCACCTGCAGGCAGATCGACGTCAGCCCCGCCTCACCCTGTTCTCTGGTTACGGTGCCTTACGGTTGGGTCAGCTGTGAAAGCCCGTGCTTCCCATGAGTGAGCGTCCTTCGACAACTTAGTAAATACTAATGCTAAATGATAATTGAATGCCTATTGTGCCTATTCTCTAAATGGCCAAATTCGACTAAGACGTCGCTGCTCGACGATCGTCAGGGCCGTAAAACGACGAGAACTGAGCCCGAACCAAGATTCTGATTGGCTGCCAAAAAAAGGTGGGTCCCGTACAAGGACTGGCTGGCCTGAGCCACCGGCCCAATTTGCTCAGAAGTGGAAACACCTCCTCTCGCAATCCTTCACTCTCCCAACATTCGACAAACCTCTAACTTACCGCCAAACCCGATTTCAATCGCGCAGCGCCCCGACGAGGCCCGCGATCCGCGCCGACACCGATTCAATCCTTTTGAGACGCTCCGTAACCGATAGCAGCATTCGGATTCGATTTTTTGTCGCGCGCCATCGCAGGAGGAGCGTTGGTGGCTTGAGGCTCCCTCGGAACGCCGTCGTCGGCGTTTTCGCGCGACTCGTCACGACCACCTCCTCATTTCTCCGGCCGTCCACATCGCTCCTGAAAGCCTCGCAAAGCGAATCGGTTCTCTCAGCGCCCACGGTTTTCTTTGGGATACCGTTTCTGCGCCATCACCTCGGGCGTCGTCATTCTTTGTCCAGGGTTGCCACTAGCCAGGCGACCGCCGTGCCAAGATTACCTCACCCGCCCACCGCACCATTCCTGCATCTTCGCATCTTCGCATCTTCGATCCATCATGTCCTGCCACCCTCAAACGCCGGACAGCCCATCCCAGTTCTCTCCTAACGCGAGCGACCTGATGATGAGCATGACTGCAGCGTCGACTACGACCACGTTGCCAACTCCTGCCCACAGCGTCAACGGAAGCTCGATACCTACCGAAATGACCCACGACACCGTCATGGGGGAGGATTCTCCTCAAAAGCGCAAGCGACACGTCAACGACACAGGCGACCGAGCGCAGAAGAAAGTTCATGTCGAGGACCGCAAGTCTGGTATCGACGACCTCCATCTGGATGTCGGCGACAAATACCTCCTTTGCAGAACTCGTAAGACTCCCTTCTACCTGTGCACGACAGCGACAGCTCCTGGCGTTTCCACTCCGCCCTTTCCATGGCACGTGTGGTTTGCTTCGCGTTGTTCCATGGTGATTTATGGGAGATGAGGCCGCTGGCTTCCTCAACCATCTTCAGAGACTTGGTTAACGTGTTTTGACTCCGCAGCGCATCCTCGGCCCCGGCCTCAGGTGTCGGAGGATCTGTTCGAGATGTATGGCCTGACAAGGCTCGCTGCCGAGGTCGCCCGTGTGCTTCCCAACGGCGAAAAGAATGCGCTTAGGAAAACGTATAAGGGTCACATCAAGAAGCTTGGCGTGCAAGGCCACTTTGACGAAGTCAAGCAAGATCCCCACCGTGAAGAGGGCCTCTTGTTCCTCACAAAGCTGCCTCAAGACGTCTGGGACGTTCACTACGTCCGAGGGAAGGAGATCGACAAAGGCTTCAGCAACGAGGCGCGCCAAAAGCTGCCGAGATCTGTGACCATGGGCAAGGGGACTGTGCCCAAGTCTCTGTGGGATAGCTCGGTGCTGGGGGATCTCGCTCCCGGAAAGGGCGAGAAGCGTGCCGAGTCGGCGAGGCCGACCGCGCCCAGCACTCCGCTTCCCACTGCAGCTGTGCTACCTCGGCCCAAAGTGGGCACGCCGCTACCTCAAGATGCGGCCAGAACCAAGCGGAACGCCATGAAACGGAGCTACGGTGACAGCAGCTTCGAAGGCTACGGCGAGGGCTTCCCTGATGACGAGACCGGCGCCGAAACAGGCTACTCGACCGGAGAAGGGGACATGTTCTCTGGCCAGAAGCGGAGAAAGAAGGTACTCATCAACGGCTAGAACCTGTCTGATGACAACCTTTTGCTGACCCAGGCACAGACTCATCCCGCGAATGAGTCATACGCCAACCAGACCCGGCAGTCGGCCTTGGGCACTGGCATCACTGGTACCTAGGAGCCTACCAGTGCCAAGCCGTGCCGCCAATCTGTTGAGCCTCGCCGCGGAAGGGGCAGACTTCGTCTGCAGCGCACTTAGAAGCCGCCTGATCAGTGTTCAGGGTGATACCTGGTGAGCCCGGTTGACAGAGATTTCTCGCAGCAATGCAGAACGAGATCCAACTCTTTGTCCTGCACGCTATCACAGTCGAGAGAAGGAGCAACAACCGAGACGAAACATAGACGGTCAGACATTCCTGGGCTTTGCAGCTGCCGGCGGGATGAACGGAAAAGGTAGGGGGGTAAATCGGCTAAGGGGTTACGGCTCATGGTGTGATGGCGGATTGAGAGGTTGGTCCCCTCTTCGCGTTACAGAGCGTATGGTCCCCATGCCGCAGCACAGCTAGCCTCGGGGCGACTGAGGCAGGCGTATATTTGCATTTTGCCAACATTCAGCATGGCGTTGGGGATTTGGCTTTTTATCGGCGCCGAGAATCATAGGGCGCTTGCTATACCGTTGGGATGGTTTCTGCATTTTTGGGTCCCCAGGGGGATCACGCGTCCCTGGGCTGGTTCTGATTCTGGTTTGACGACGGCTCGGGCGGGCGAAGATGGTCTTGTTAAGTGTATGTCAGGAATCGACGATGGTTACGGGTGGGCGGCTGGATGATATGATGGGAGGGAACTCTGCAACGTCTATCTAGCTATGGTTTTATGCATGCAGCGCGTCTTCGCTTACTAAGATAGGCGGGAATACAAGCAATAAGGCCTCAGCGCGTCCTCGGGTGGTTTGCTGCTTTTTCATGTGCTTATTGCATACCCTTGGATGATCCATCCGGGAACTCGGTCAACCGTCGGGATTGATAGCTCAAGTCAAACAGCATACCCACCGAAATATTTGACTCACTCGATCTCGGTGCCAGCGACAGAGAAGAAAGAGGGAGAGAGATAGAGAGTAAGTAGTAACCACGACTCTCCGGGCTCCAGTCTGGCAGCGGCCTTCCCCTCAACCGCCCAGAGTTTGCCCCGTCACTCCCACCAAAAACTCGAGGAGGGCGACATAAAGGTAGGTACCTAATGCAAAGTGTGCACCACCGCCATCCATTCACGGCTTATATAACATCACATACCCCGAGAACAACTGTCCTCCTCTCCAAGGACATCTATGGAGTGGCTGTGGACGCGCGCTAACAAGGCTGCTTCACCCTTGTGTGGTCGCTCGACCGGCTTAATTCCGAGAATGGCAACTGGTGAACATGGATCGAACTACAGCGCAAATTGAATAAGAACCCTTTGACAAGCACAGCGCTCTATCGACTGACATCTATAATAGAAAAGGTACTGGCGTTGTATACGATACAGGCAGGCTAGCAAGCACGAGCTGAGGTACCCAAATATGAGCATTGTCGGGATACCCAGAAAACATCCGACGACAGAAGAGAAACAGACAAGTATCCAAAGAACAGTCATGAGAGTGGGAATAGAATCCAGAACCTCCAGAAACATTTTTGAAACAGAAGTCCCCCCAGAAGAGAAGAGTACTATCGCGCCCACAATGATGCAAACAAACCTTCCATCGCTCCAAGAGATGCAACTTCGTACATTCTCAAACTTTCCCTCCACAATACTCCCACCCCGGTTACCCCGTATACCACCAAGATCACCTCCCCTGAGGATTGAGCCCACCATCCCGGCCATGGCCGCCGACATTCCCATCCCCAAAGTTCCCATTCTCCACGCTCGGATAGGCACCGCCACTCATCTCGGCCCAGTTCCAGTCCAGCGTCATCGGCAAGCTAAACAGATCTTGCGGGAGGATCGGCTGCTGGAATACAGCGACGCCTGCTCCTCCTCCTCCTCCGGCGGTTCCCGCAGCAGCAAGCGGCGGGCTGCCTAGCCCGCCGGGCCCCATTCCCGTCATCGCGCTGATTCCGTCCATGGCTCCAAAAGCCGCCATGTCCGCGTAGGCGTTATAATCTGAGCTGTCGGGTGTGAAGTCGTTGTGCCACCCCGTCGGCGCCAGGCCCGGCGAGGGCGACTGGCTCATCGTGCCCGTCATGGGGCTGTAGTTGTGCGCATTTGGCGGGGATCGACGGTCATTGGCTGGCGGGGAGAGGTGTTGCTGCTGGTTGTTGGTGGTTTGAAATCCGCTCGCTTGAGGGGTCGCGGAGCTCGCGGTGGTGGGTCGTGATGTTGGAGGTACGGGGTGCGGGTTGAAGGATGGGGACTGGTCTGCCGTGGTGGTGCTATCGGAGGTGGCCGTAAGCTTGTTGTTGGCCACCTGGTCATGGTTCTTCCGCTTCCGCCGCGACGCATGCTCTTTCTCCGTCTTTTCGATCACGACCCTGGCGATCCGCTCAAATTCAGAGCACACACCGAGCATGCGGTGGACACCCCCCGTCTCCGCCTCATGTCCAAGCATCGACAGGAAGTTGACGACCACGTTCATTAGTTTTGTGTCGGAGCGCGCTCGTGGGTCGAGGGGGTTCTGTAGGATATTCCCAAACAAAGTTACGAGTGCTGAGACAGGGAAATACAACACCATCCTGCACCTAATTAGACATCCAGGACTGACTGACGGACATGGGCTTGATGATGCCAAACTTACCAGACACAGGAGAAGTCGCCCTGCGGTATGTATTTGAGCAGGGATATCGAAGCCCTAGCAGCGGATGTGCACAGTGCCGTCGAAGAGAAGATTCTAGGATTCAGTGGCCTAGCGTTGAGTCCCTGGATGGCGTAGTCGGAGAGTCGACTAGTCCAGTAGCCGTGCTGGGTCGACATGCGGTGGATGGTGGTGAGGCAGTTATAGTAGTTGAAATGTAACATGACAATGTGAAGGATGAGGGGCGTGTGGGAAGCCTTGATTTCGTGCTCTGGGCGGAAATCGATCGGAATGCGGTCCTTCCAATCTTCCAGCTCCTTATCGAGTTCCCCAATCGTGTTCAGCAGCTCACCAACCGATTGCTTGGTTGCCTTTGTCGAGTAAAGCCTCTTGTACACCTTGCTTTCGACGATGGCAAGCTCACACATGACCCTAAACAGATTCATCTTGCCTTTCCCGTCCGCCAACGGGATGTTGCCGATACCGTCTGCGGGATCCTCGTCAGGAAGCTCCACATTCATGTCGTCGTCGTCTTGAGCTGGTGGCCGCCCGGACCGGAGGCACAAGTCCTTGTCCAGCATGTAAGCGATCCAGAACACCCTCTTGCGCTGTTCAATCTCGACGGGATTCAGGTTGAATCCCGTCCCGCGTTTGTGGAGGCCGATGGTATGCGAGAGCCGGATCGCTGTGGCAATGAGCAGAAAAGACGGCTGCGGGTTAGGCGTCCCTTGCATAAACAGCGACATGCCCAGCAGCGCCTGGACGCTCAGAAGGTCGGTGTTCCGCATCGTCAGCTCGGGGAATACGGCCATGGCATTCTTCATGTATGCCCAAGCCTTGTCATCCTCTTCTTGGGGAACCAGGTTGCTCATCACGCGGAGGCGGTGTGCGATGGCCAGAGCCACGTTCAAGCTCGCCCACCACCCGGATCCGGTGTACGGGTCGTTCGAGTACTGTCTCTCGACCAAGTGCATGAAGGTTGGCTGGTGAAAAAGCGGGAACATGCAGTTAAAGTTCTCAAAGTAATCCTTGAGCAACGACAGCGCCTCTGGCTTTGAGGGCAGGTCCCTGAAGATGGTGCGGCGGAAGAGATCGCCAAAGACGTCGGGTTTCCAAGCGGTCCACTTGTGGTCGTCAATCGAGACGTCCGAAATCATTTGCTGGAACGACGTGTCTCCCATTTTCTCGTTGACCCACTGCACGCCCTTGGGCGAGAAGATGGAAAATCCCGAGGATGAGCCTTATGCCGTTAGCGAGGATATTATATCAGGAAGGAGGTATGTCCCGACGTACCGATATATCGCGTCTCGCCATTGTTATTGGTGACTAGCGAGCACATCATCTCTGACAACTCGGCGACCTCTTCTCGCTCGTCGTCGTGGCTGCCTTTTTCAGGCGTAGCAGCCCTCGACTTGTCGCTATCCTTGGTGGGTTCAGGCGATGCGAGTGAGCTGCGCGGCGTCGAGAAACTACCATTTTGAGCTGATGGCGGTTGCGGGGAGGTAGCGTCGGAGGCTGCCTGGGAAGCTTGCCTCGACTGCTGATGCTTCTCTGCAAGCTTTTTCTCAAGAGTGCCGAGGTCGGTGGCGCCATTGTCGTCCTCGCTCAGCAGGCCTACGCAGACATGTTAGCCGACTGGATCACATAGGGGGAGCGCATCCGTAACAGCCAGCCGAAAAGCGGATAAGGCACTAAACGCACCTGATAACCTAAGCAGATGTTCCATACGGCCCAGGCGGTTCTCGAGTCCCTCAATGTATTTCGCCCTTTCCGACACGTAAGCCTGGTCCTGAAGCGCATGGGCGATGGGAGACTCACCCTTTGGGGGGACTCCGCTTCTTCTCCACCTGCGTGAAGACACAGTCGGTTTTGTAGTTGGTACAATGTGTGCAAGCCGGTAGCTTGCCGTCGCACTTGATCTTCTTCTTCCTGCACATGTCACATGCCTGGGTACTGTCAGGTCAGCAACCTGCTACCACCTCTCCTGCGCAAAAAGCGGCAGCCGCTCTAACTCACCCTCGCAATCCTCCTCCTCTTCGCTTCGTTTGTGTCCTCCAGCAACCCATGGTCTCCAAACATCTGTGCAGCCATCAGGTCCGGCGGCAGTTGCTGGATTGGAAGGCCATGTTCGCTGTAGCCCCCAAATATCTGAGGCGGCGGATTCATAAGCGGAGGAGGCGGGATGGGCATCTGAAAGCCCGAGTGGATGCGGTCCATGGTGACGACAACTTTAATGGTGAATAGGTTGACTGCCGGAAGATTTGGCCACTTGGTGGTGTAAATGGGCTATCTGGCTGTTGCGCTGTGTAGGCGCCAACTCGATGTTGCTATTATTACCGTCCACTCCGAGGCCTGGATGCGCCGGAACTACCGGGATTTGGGGCTGAGCAGCTAAGACGGAGAGATGGCTAGATACTGGTACAAGTAGCAGAAACGTCGGGCTATCGCCGAAGCATGTTGGCGGGTCAGAGGACGTTGAAAAGGTTCCCCTGCGGTGCTTGCCTCTGATGGAAGGCTATATGCGCATCGAAAGGTAGTGTATGTAGCCCGCGGCCGTTGAGGGGCTCTTTTAGCGTGGAGACCAAAGCAGTCACAGCTGAGGATGCAGATGGCGAGTAGGGCTGAAAGACCCGGGGTTGCTGACAACCTGGCACCTTGTCTTAGGTAGTCGACGACGGCGTTTCTCTGTTGCTATGACTGTGGTATAGATAAAGCTGCAAACAGGACTGGCAAAGGAGGTTGATGAGAGCAAAGATGCGAAGCTTCTGACTGAGACGGGAGACAGGACGGCAGTGTTCTGATTGACGCGTTGATGGCGGGGTCACGGCATCATTCATCAATGGACTCGGGAGATCAAGCCAGGGCAATGTGGGGGAGCGGGATACAATTCGACCCTGGCTATTAGTTAGTGCGAAACCTGTGAAAATGAAAAATAGGACCAAACGACCTGGCATGATAATGGGACGCTTGAACATTTACCGATTTTTACATTCTGGTCTTCTTCCTTTCTCTCCTATCTTGCTTTCTCATATTTTGTATTATCATTTTTCCCCCCCTGTATCCCTCTTTTCTTCCCTCAGTTCTCCTTTCATTTATGCTCTTCACTGAGTTCATCATCTCGTGCATGCCCTGTACTGTCTTAACAGACAGCCTGGTCAGATGTCTCCCAGCGCGCACGGACGACAGCCAAATTAATTCAGGGTGCACCATTCAGGTGCTTGGTAAGCCGCTCCAAACAAAGGGACCACCTCAGCAAGCCGACGACTCGAGAACGGAGTGTCGAAGTGACTTCCCAACAGAGACGAAAACTGGACATAAAATACCAGCGCATCTTCCCACGCCCATCTCAGAGCTCACTTACTGGACGAGTAATTTGTCCAATGTGCCAGTCTTCCAGCACCTACGGAGTACGGCCTGCCACTCTGGAAAGTGCCTACACCAGATATTGACGATGTGAGTCCCAGGAGCGAAAGACGGTGACGCTCGCAGCAGGAACACCACCAGAAATCTGGTACAGAAATTCTTGTTCTTTGGCCCAGGCTCAGGGGTTTGGGAAACGACCAGGCTCGGCAACAAGGGGCCGGCCTTGCAGATTGCACACCACGGATGCTGCCAAGCTGCCGTCATCGCGACCCCCATCGTCTCAAGGGCCCTTGGTGACCTCATGTTGGCTCCTGTATGTTGGTTTGAGTTGCTTGGCTCGAGATCCTTGGGCATGCGCAGCCCGCTCTCAACTTCAGCGTGGAAATTCCCTGGGTGCAAACCATTACGGCACGTTATAGTCCTTCATGCTAAGGCTCTCGACCGTCTTCCTCAAGGGTTCCATCTTTTGCCTCTCCCATGGTACCCGAGTCCTCGAGGTTGGTCTCACGTGTGCACTGTTAAATCCAGGTCTCGTCATATCAACGGTTGGCCGGGTTGATGTGCAAGGGTCCTTTGAGACAGTCTTGAAACTGGCAAGGGTCCCAGACGGCCCACCGCTTTGACAATGACAAATTCTATACGAACCCTCGGCGCAGGCATGGAAAAACAGTTTCAACTTCAGGTACTAGTAGGCCAGTTGGTGCTTTTCACTACCTTATTCGATAAGTACAAATAAGCGTCGTCTAAGTCTTGTACCTCCGTACCATCCTGTCCCAAGCGAACCTACGTGTTCCGCCGCGGGGGGTTGCTTGCAGGGCGGGACCATGAACCAAAGCTCAGAGACTATATCTTACGGAAGCGTCTCTTTTCTATAGGAGCATAACATGATTCATGAAGCTCAACCTGTCATGGAACACGTGCTGTGGAAGTAGCCTGAATAATTAAAATGCCCGGAATACTGGTTCTTGCCTCTTCGCCCAGACGTATCTAAATCAAGTCACTGGAGGCAGACCCCGGCCATCGAGTCCTATTACGGCTTCCATCAGTTACGGTGAGGCAGGCAGTTAAGGATCTTACTATGACCAGCGACCAAGAGGCAAGCAGGGGCAAGATTTTGATTTAAAATAATTATTCGCAAAGGTAGAATGCAAGATAAGTAAGGTATAAAAAAAGCAAAAGAAGGAAGAACGAACAAGAAAACGCGAAGACACCGTCTTAGTGGCGCAATACGGCCCTCTACAACTAAAAATAGATTGGCTTGGAGCATTAAGAGCTCTACTTCTAGCTCAAAGCTAGCAGCTCATCTTTCATTGACCGTTCTGGCTTGACGGCAGGTAAGCAGTTCAAGGAGATATTAGCTAGGGAAAAGTCGCTCATACCTGAAGCGGCTTGAAGTTTTATAGGCTCTAGTTCGCCTGGTACTGACGCCACAGAGTGCAGTAACTAACCACTCAAATATCTAGCGGTTCAATCTAGGAGTCGCTCTTTCCACGTAAACAGTCAACGATACTCCTAGGAAGGAATGATCCGTACACACCTTCCCTAAAACGGTCGCAGGCCAATTGAGCCGTTCCTTAGCTTTGAAAACCTTATGGGACTCTTTATCTGGCTGCGCCCAGCTTTCCTGACAAGTGTTTTGGTGAATCCCTGATGCGGTCTTGATGCGCTGTTCAGGCGCGCTTCCACGCTCTCCTTGCGCGGGTAAGCTACTGTACGCATCGCATCATCGATCTAACTAACATTATTCCAGTAAGATATCGAATTTGACTCCGAGTCTCCGCCACGACGTGGTCTCCGCTGTCGGCATATCGACAGTAGCAGTAACACCAGCAGCAGCTCCAGCAGCAGCTCCAGCAGCAGGAACGGCAGGAGCAGTCGCGGTACCTGATCGACATCATCTCAGCGGCAACCATTATGGGAAGCAACCTAGAACTGCTCCAAGCCCATCTTACCGTAGGTATTCAGACCACGAACGACGGGAAAACCCACAGCAGGGATGGTAAAAAACAAAGAGAAAGAGAAGGAGAAGAGGACGAGAGAAAGAGAAGAGGAAGAGGGAAAAAAGAGAAAGAAAAGGGAGAGATAGAAAGAAAGACAACTAGGAAAGAGAATAGATAAAGGAAAAGAGAAATCACAAAAGATCATTGGGGAAGGTGCTAGGATGTAGTCGCAATAAGCGTGTGAGCTCCTTTATCTATGAGCCTGAGAACTGAGGTCTAAAGAAAACTGCGGACCTGTCACGAGCAGAGGGCCGTTGGCCGAGGCAAGGCTGGGGAAAGACCTCTCTATTGTTAAAATCATAAGATGGGGAGAGAAGGAAGAGAAGCTGGAAGAGTTCTCACGATGCAGGGGATAAATGCTAGAGCAAGTGGGGCATGCGCGTTCGACGACAGGCGCCACCGTCACAGGACCACTTTACCTTTCCTAGTATCAAGCATGCCTCTTCGGCTCACATTCTCCTCTATGATGGCAGTTTTATTTGAAATTATTGCCCAAGCGGGACCCTTGGCGCAACGGTAGCGCGTTCGACTCCAGATCGAAAGGTTATCCGTTCAAATCGGGTAGGGTTCAACTGCGTAATCAGAGTAAAACGCTCTGAATTATCCCTCATTTTTCCTTTATAGGCTGCTGATTGCATCGTACAATCATTGTTTTTATATTCTGAAGTCTCATCTCCCTATAGAAATAAATCAGCTAAGCTAATCTAGGCAGCGTGATCATTGTCTCTTGATTAGGAATGAGGAGAAATGATCGAAAAGAGGCTAGTTATATATCCGTACATTGCAGAAAGAGGTGAAAATTGCAGGACTAATAGGAGTTAACAAGCTAAGTTACCAAGCTACCTAATCTAGATAACACCTTTTTGTCTATGTCACTGCAACGTCTTTTCGGCTGCTGTCTCTATCTGTCTCTCCCTTGGTCGATCCCTTTCATTACTTACCTGCACAAGCGCAGGGGGCTAGACTTTCACCCTCAGTGTTTCAAGCCACTCAGACCATTGAGCGACTCATACACTGCTTACGAGCGTCCTCTAAATCGAGCTACAAGAGTACGTTGACCACATGGTCCTCTAGCGGCTCGATTGACGAGGCGCTCTTTCCTCTTTTGCAGTCTACACATCACACACCGTTAAGGAAAGAACGAGCTATGTGCCACTTCCTTGAGTAATGTATAAGATGTACATCTGGCTTAAGCGCTCATAAACCCCTCATATCCGTGTGTCACGGGTTGTGACAGTGTGAGGTTCATGTGCGCAACTCCTGGTTCGACTGGACAGTTTGAACCACGGTCCCTCTTTTATGGGTGTTACGCAGTGGTCAGTTACGCCCACCCATGACACCGTGATTAACAGTTTCCCAGCTTCTATTTTGGTGAGGCGTCAACATCGTCCTGATGCGCTGTCTAGGCGCCACTCCCGAACCCCCCTTTGTGCGAGTGATTCGGGTCATTCCCTCGAAGAGGATTTCATTCTCGCCAGGACATCCGACAAGCAATTGTATCAACAAAAATACATCCCTTTGTCGCAAGGCGTCATCTTACCTAGCGACTGTACAACACGCAAACTTCAACCCGGTTGGGCTAACCACCTCATCTTTGGGCAAATGTCCGGAGGCACGATATCTCTAGCGTTGATGACATAGGTACTATATGGACTTTCTGAACAAATATGTACATCGAAGCCATGAAACCATCCCCTTCGAAGCCGACGCCAAAGCCCGCCGTCGGCACAACAAAGGGATGGACAAGAATATGACCATAAGACAACCAGGTCAATCCTGTATTTAAAATTTATTGTGTGACTCAGCTGGCAGACATGTCCCATATAAATATCCAATAGACGAACGTAGGAGTATGTGCGTCCAGACTCGCGCCGCGGTATGTTGGCGTCCATTCGACCAATCATGCAAGCCGCTTTCCCGCCCCGACGCCGTTGATCCAGACATTAAGGATAAGTAATGCGAGATGTACACTGTAGATGACTGCTCGGTCAAGAGCCCCGTCATGCATCCTCGGTGAAGCGTGACCCAGAGCCGCGCGAACCATCTCGTGATGTCAAGCTGCGGCCGACGGGATCTGGTGTCCTTAGGGTGGTGGGAAAGGCCGAGGGTCGATAACCTGGCGGTAAGGGGGTGTCTTCATGAACAGGCGTCCGCTGGGGCCCGTCCCGGAAAACGGGGACGCCGCTCACCGGGCGCATCGGTGATCCGAGCTGTAAGGGTTGAAGGTTTGAGTTATCAACAAAGGCGCTCGAGTCTCGGTAGTACGACGAGGCGCTGCCGACGCTGTCGTGGGGGTCGCTGTAGCCGTCTCCACCGGATTCGAGGACCGAGATAAGCTTTCTGCCGGATACCCTGTAGAAGCCCTTCTCCTGCAGGGCCGGTTCGGCAGGTGGTGCGTCGATGGCCCGTTTGCCGGTCAGCTTGGCGAGAGCTGAAGGTATCGCAAACGCACCCGACCGCTCTACCATGCCCCTCTCGCTGCCCGGACTACCTGGTCCTCCAGAGGCAAAGCCTCTGCCCCGAGCCGTGCTGTCCCCATCACCCAGGAGCATGATGCCCTGGCCACGCTGTCTCCTCCATTTCAGCAGATACAAGAAGATCAGGGCGGCGAGCGCAATTCCGGCAACGCTTCCAACCACACCTCCGACAACTGCGTTTCGTTGTTCGGGGGCGAGTCCAGCAGGGGCTTCGGGGGTCGGTTCGGCGGGGACGGGGTCGGTGGGGGTGGCTCCAGAGCCAGAGCCAGTATTTCCGCCTCCTCCGGCTTCGCCGGCTACAACGGTTGGCGCACTGAGGTCAGTAGTGGAAGTCCACAGAGAGCCACTGCTCTCTGTCGATGTCGAAGTCAAAGTTGAAGCGAATGTGGAATGAGAGGAGGTCGAGGTCCGTGTGGAATTCGATAACAACCCAATTGTATGGTTGCCAAAGAGTGACGATATGCGTGCTACTCGAACAATCAGCAGATGGAGGGTGGGTATTGACGGAATGGGACCTACTTGACGAGGAATTGAAAACTCCAGAGAGTGTGGGGAAGGCAGACGAACTGCTGGAAAAAGTGGAAAGAGTGGACGTCAACGTATCCGAGGACGCCGACAGTGAAGCCACTGAAGATGACGAGGTCGCCGACTCGGCGGAGGGTGTAGACGATGGCGCGCCATCGGTCAGATCGGGAATCAAGCCAGAGAGAGACACGCTGGGCAACAAGTCACTGAGAGCCGTCAGATCAGCAGCCGTCACAGCTGCCGGTAGGTCTACCGTAGTCGGTGCGACGGTATCGGAGTCGAGGGTGCCGACACTCGTGACTGCGCCCGTGGCATCAATGTAATGCACGACGGACACGGTCTGGACGATGACGACCTGGCGGTCATGCAGCTTCTCTTTTGGTGGTGAACGAATGTGTGGTGGTGCGGTGTCGACCCCGAGGGCATGCAAACGACGGTGTTGATGAAGATGCAGATGGTGGTTGTGGTTGTGGTTGGAGTGGGTGCTGCGGGCCTGAAGGAGTGAAGGCCCGCTGCCATGATCGCCGCCTTTGTTAGTCATGGCGGGCTTTCGGGTGGCTGTGGAAAAACGAATGTGGGCAAGAGCTGCCAAAAAAAGGAGCGGTTGTCGGCCGAATCGAATGGCAGGCTCACAGCCCACAACCCGTATTCAATAGCTCCGTCGATGGGCTGGCCTTGGATGGCTGCGGCTCGTATCTTCGAAGCTGGCAGTGCTGCGTAATCAGAAGCAGTCGGCTCTGCATGGTCGCAATCAACCCATCATCTCGTCCGTCTTGTCTGCAGACGAGAATTCGACAAGAAATTATCTTCAACCGCCCCTTTTCGTCAGCCAAATCTGAGGGTTTGAGGAGCAACCTAGCGTGCACGGGATGCCAACAACTCACCTGCTCCACATGACCCGGATGCTGGAGGAAGTCAAACTCGCACCGGCATGTTTGACAACCAGGTGGAGGAAGAAGAGAAAGGAAGAAGGCAACGCGAACATGCAGCGTCGCGTGGATATCTGACAACGCCCTGCGGCAGCCAGAGATCTCCTATCTTTATTTTAAATTGCCGGCCCAAGAGAGCCCAAAGCAGTGAACTCCGCAGCCTTCGGCCATCCTGCTGGCAATCTCGCTTCGCTGGCAAGGCCGGCTTTCCCTCCAGCAGCCCCTGGCCATTGGTTAATCGCCGGGACCAGGCCGATGCTTGAATGCGGGTGCCCGGTGTCGCCATTGGCCGGGGGCCTCGAAATTCGTTTGAGGGATGGGCACCCTGACCAGGCGATTTCCTGCTTTCCGAAGAAAACACGAGACTTGGCTGGACCCAACCACAACGCCCCATTCAGAACCTCCTAGGAGTACAAATATGCCGAGGTCAATACAAATATATTCTGCATTCAGTTATCATGAAGATGGGTTGTTGAGAAGGAAGGTGTTTCGGATATAGCTCAAGGCTTCACACTTCTCTGGCTGCACGATTGGAGCGGGTTGCTTTTTTTTATTTCTGCGGGCTCGGTTTCGAAAGAAAGGCGTGCTATGTACGGATACAATACAGCAATAGGTCAGGTATTCCGGGACACGTCAGCTGAGCATCCGTGGTTATCATCAGTGAGCGGCATACGGACGTACCTGCCGGTGGGAATTGCCTTCTCTCGATGAACGATTCTCGATCTGCTTCCCGGCACACCTGGCGAGAATGGCCCCTCCCGACGTGTCGATGCCAGCCGTATCCTCCACCTGATGAGTGCTGTCAGGTTATATTACAGGACAGAGTATTGTTATCAGTACGCCGTTACCGTTCCTGGCTGCGCCTGCAGATCTGGCCCGGGGAGTGGGGTCGGGGTTTCTTCCGTGCCCGCTGCAACCACGCAACGGACACACCTTCTAGGCAACATCAAGGCTTCCCGTGACTCGGTGTATCTGTATCTGGCAAAACGCTGAGGAGTCCAGAACTCCAATACCAGAGTGAGGTTACTTCATTTTTCATCTTGCTGGCCGTGGAATAGTCGAGACAACCCGCAGGCAGCACAACGCCCAAAAAAGGAACACTGACGTCATGCAGAAGGCGCCGAACCCGACGCCGGGGCCGGCAACGCTGCAGGTCCCGGATGCTGCCGCTGGGGACCGGTGGCCGCTCGGGCCCCCAGGGGCGTCTACGAGCGATCCAAGCAGCCTCTCTACCCTGCAGTGGTCCTCCAGGGACCCCCGAACATCATCGACACAATCGCTGACCCCGTCGTCAGACGATGAAGACAACGCCGGCGCTCTCCAGAAGCGGACTCTGCTCGTCATTTACATCCACGGCTTTATGGGAGACAAGTCATCCTTCCGCTCGTTCCCGGCTCATGTGCACGCACTCCTGAAGGACCTTCTTGCAGAAACCCATGTCATCCACACCAAGATCTACCCCCGTTACAAGACATACAAGTCTATTGATGTTGCCTGTGACAACTTTAGCAAATGGTTGGCTCCCCATGAATCACCTACCACCGATGTGGTTCTCGTGGGACATTCCATGGGTGGCCTGCTCGCTGCAGAGGTGGTTCTCTTGGTACGGACTCTAGCGCACCATGCATTCTGACAAAGAGAGGCTGACGCAACCCCTCTAGCCCAACCAGAGCCCATACAATTATTCATCTCCTTTCCGCCATCGGATTCTGGGCACTATTTCTCTTGACGCTCCCCTTCTCGGCCTGCATCCGGGTGTCGTAGTTACTGGCATCGCGAGCCTCTTCAGGCCCGTCTTGAGCCCAACATCGATAAAGGAGGACTCCCGGTCCGAGTATGTCCAGGCTGCCCAGTTACAGAATCTCCCACCAGATCCATTCATCTACTCAGACATGTCAGCGTCGCCAGCCGACGGAGCACTTGACCCTTTTTTCGACCCTCCATTCAAGAACGATGTTGCTTACATAAACCGCGGGTGGCTCAAAAACGCTCTCAATTTTATAACCAAGCATAAGGAGGAGAACCTGGCTTACGCAGCGGCAAAACACCTTTTCTCTCACCTCGAGTTCGGCGCCTGCCTGGCCGACTATCCTGAGCTGAGGTCCAGGTACAATCGACTTAGGAGGTTGGAGGATGTCGACGACGTGCGCGAACCGGGAGCTGTTCGCGTCCGGTTCGTCAACTACTACACCGTCTCTACAGGGATTCTCAGACAGACTGGGCCAGCGTCGCCACATGTGTCCCAAAAACACTTCGATGTGCCCAAGGAGTCAAACAGGTCTTCACTACAACTGGATTCGCCAGGCTTGAACCCGAGGCAGTCAGCCAAGGGCTCCCGAGTGTCAACCCCAAGGATATCAATTGAAGAGTACAGCGATAGCCATGGAATCGAGCGCCTCCAGATTCTTGATCCTACCCCGGAGCCGGAGCCGGAGTCGGAGCCGCCGCTCGCATCAACTGAGAGTCGTCCGGATACCGAGTCAACGCCACCTGATGGCGAACTCGCTTCTGATAACACCACGAACCAGGACCTCAACCTCCCCTCTATCCCCTCCGTTCCTACCGCTCCCACACCCCCCGACCTCGACAGCTACCCCGACAAAGAGTCCCGCAAGCAGGCGGAAAAGACATTCAAAGTCGCGCTAAAGGCCCACGCTCAAGCCCTCAAAGCCCGGGAGAAAGCCATCAAGGACCAACAAAGGGCGCTCGACAAACAGCACCGCGAAGCCCTCAAGCTCGAAAAGAAACAAGCCAAACTGCAAAAATCGCCTCCACCACCACCGATCCCTGGCCGAGAACACCACCCCCTGAATGAGGAAACACGAGAGCAGGAAAACAAGAAACCGCCCCGCCGCCGCAAGTTCTGCATGCTGCCCCCCAAATCAGCCACGACAACCGGCGGCAGCAGCGGCGCTCGAGACCCGACCTGGATCGAGGTCTACATGGAGGGCGTCGACGAAGTGGGCGCCCACTGCGGGCTGTTTGTCCCCGACGGGCCGCATTATGAGCGGCTTGTCGGGGACGTCGGTGAGAGGATTGCCGGGTGGGTGTGGGATGACGCCTCCCGGAGACTGGTTCTGGAGGATGGGCTGGAAAAGGACGGGCCCGGGAAGGGGGTTTGAGGGCGGTAAAAGGTCGTGTGTGTGTTTGTGTGTGGTTTTCATGAGGGTGTGAATGGGCGGGTGGTTGATCAGGTGAAAGGGGAGAAAGGTCTTCCGGAGTTGGGGGTGAGTTCATTCAGGCCAGGTTTTACCTAAGAAGCAATGAGAACAAGGTAGAATGTCAATAATGTAATGTGTAATTTATTGAACATTGAGACGTACATGGCATGGGGAAGTGCCGAGGTGAGGGACGTTGGCCCAACTTATTGAGAGGACGCCAGTTTCCCATTGCCGGATGCTAAATGGCTGGGATGCAGCAGGGTCACGGCTTCAAGATGGGAACTCGACAGGCCAGTGATGGTTGGTTTGCTGATCGACTTGAGTTAACGAACCAGGACTGTTAATTGCGCCCTAAAAGACTAGACCATCCACCAAACTTTGATTCATAAACAAGCTATAGCAGTGTTATCGGAGGTCCCCCATCTTCCAGGCCGCTTGAGTATGGCTCGAACTGGTTTAATTTAATTGACCGACAGTGTCGAATTCTGCTAGCCTCACACGGGCCTTTGTCTGCTGGAATGGCATTTGGAGATGAACACACGGGGACTCGGGGGACTCGGGGGACTTGGACGGAGTACGCGTCGACTAAGGCTGCCTGGCCTTTGAAGGCCACAGGTGACGGTGAGAACGGTGCAATGCACGCCCAATCCCGATGATTAAGTCAGCAAGAAACGCCAGCAATCGGCCAGCCACGTTACAGCGCGCTAGCCGTATCAGGAGTAGCCTTTCTGGGGCTTCCCGCCGCATGCCAACCGTTATCCACCGCAGGGACTGATTTTCCGACTCGGCCGTGCCAGAGGACGCACACACATCAAGACATCGTCAGTTGATACTGACGCAGTTGGCCGAGACACGGCCACCGCCAGGGGCCGAAGCAGGGAAACGATCAAAGAGCGATCGAGTGCGTGAATCGCGAGTTTGAAAGCCAGAGCAGGGGACCCGTTTCTGCTTCAGGACCCGCAATCTCGACGGATACCTGGGTTTCCAACTTCATCCGACGTCACGCCACCAACTTCCTCCCGGCTACACCGCTCACCATCGCGACTATGTTTCGCACATCAGCACGCCAGTTGGCGCGCTGCTCGAGGTTGCCATTAAGGCCATTAGCGAGACCAGCCTTCCGAGTCGCCCGCTTTCCGCAGACCGCGCCCGCCACTGCCATTCCAGCCCTCAGATTCAAGTCGACAAATAACTCGCAGAGACCCGAAGACGAGCATGGAGACAAAGATGAAGCGCCAAGGAAACAGAACGATGCCGGGAGTGAAAACCAGGCACCCCCCCTTCCGAAACGAAATCCTCCTCCGGGTTTTGTCCGCTTGACCGAAGAAGAATACACCGAGCTCAAGTTCTTCCTCACGGCGCTGCCCTCGAAGCAGCATCGCGCCGAGATGGAGGAGATATTGGGTCAAGTGAAAGAGATGGGAGTCCCCGAGGAGCTTCGGGATATCCTGCGAGCCAAGATGAACGGGGAGCTCAGCATGAAGGATGCTTTGAAGATCCCCCGGATAGCTTTCAAGATGGCTTCGGAATTGCAACAGCAAAATCAAACACCAGACTTCATCTCGAACAAGCCGGGCGAAGACGGGGAGGCTGGTGCTAGCCAGAGTCAGCAGCGAAAGGCCGAAGGGGAGCAGCAGCAAGAGCAACCACGGCAGCAGCAGCAACAGGAGCAACAACAGCAACAGTTCGGCCAACAAGGGCAGAAGAAGCAGAAGGGTGCTCAGCAGCCGCCACCGCCCCGCCGCCTTGACGGGTCCGAGATATTGACGTGGGTCATCAGTGCCGCACTGCTGTACCCCTTCTACTCCATGTTCTTCCCCGGCGAGTCGTCTCGCGAAATCACCTGGCAGGAGCTGCGCAAGAATTTCCTAGACAAAGGCCTGGTCAAGAAGCTTGTCGTGGCCGGGGACCGCGTGCGGGTCGAGCTCGACCGCGACGCGGTGAGGACTATGTACCCCGATTCCCAGGCCGCCAACGCCAACTTCTCGTACTACTTCTCCATCGGCTCCATTGACGCCTTTGAGAGGAGATTGGATGAGGCCCAGCAGGAGCTGGGAGTCCCGGCCTCGGAGAGGATACCCGTCAGCTATGCCCGCGAGGGCATGGCGGCCAACCTCCTGATGGCATTCGGCCCAACCATTCTGCTTGTCGGCCTGCTCTTCTGGGCGTCGCGGCGAGCGTCCGGTATGGGCGGTGGCTCAAGCGGTATGTTTGGTTTCGGCAAGAGCAAGGCCAAAATGTTCAACCACGATTCGGCTGTCAAGGTTAAGTTCTCCGACGTGGCCGGCATGGATGAGGCCAAGACCGAGATCATGGAGTTTGTCAGCTTCCTGAGGACGCCCGAGCGGTTCCAGAGGTTGGGCGCCAAGATCCCTCGCGGTGCCATTCTGTCTGGTCCTCCCGGCACTGGCAAGACGTTACTTGCCAAGGCGACGGCCGGCGAGTCGCAGGTGCCCTTCTTCAGCGTCAGCGGTTCCGAGTTCGTCGAGATGTTTGTTGGTGTCGGCGCGTCCCGTGTCCGCGATCTCTTTGCTACTGCACGAAAGAACGCGCCCTGCATCATCTTCATCGACGAGATCGACGCCATTGGCAGGTCTCGTTCTGAGGGCGGCGGTTTCCGGAGCGGCGGCAACGACGAGCGCGAGGCTACCCTCAACCAGATTCTTACCGAGATGGACGGTTTCAACACTTCGGAGCAGGTGGTGGTTCTGGCTGGTACTAACCGACCCGACATTCTGGATCAGGCCCTGATGCGCCCCGGGCGCTTCGACAGGCACATACACATCGACAGGCCAACTATGAAGGGCCGCAAGGAGATCTTCAAGGTGCATCTGCAAAAGATCCTGACCAAAGAGGACATGGACTACCTGACGGGGCGTCTCGCTGCTTTGACACCTGGTTTCGCTGGCGCCGACATTGCCAACGCCGTCAACGAAGCCGCGCTTATTGGTATGTTTCCCCAGCCTTCTCTAATGAGATGGTCTTAGGTTTCTTGAGTCGAGGCTAACAAATCGCAGCTGCCAGAGCCAACGCGGCCAGCGTTGAGATGATCCACTTTGAGCAGGCCATTGAGCGTGTCATTGGCGGTCTCGAGCGCAAGTCTCTGGTCCTCAGCCCCGACGAGAAGCGGACTGTCGCCTACCACGAGGCTGGCCACGCCATCTGCGGCTGGTTCTTCCGGTGGGCCGACCCGCTGCTCAAGGTGTCCATCATCCCTCGCGGCCAGGGCGCGCTCGGCTACGCTCAGTACCTACCCGCCAGCGATGCCTACCTCATGAACACCAACCAGCTTATGGACCGCATGGCCATGACGCTGGGCGGGCGCGTCTCGGAGGAGCTCCACTTCCCGACGGTGACGACGGGCGCGAGCGACGACTTCAAAAAGGTGACGCGCATGGCAACCACCATGGTGACGCAGTGGGGCATGTCGGAAAAGCTGGGCCCGTTGCACTTCGAGAACGACCAGAACCAGCTGCACAAGCCGTTCGCCGAGGCGACGGCGCAGGCCATCGACGCCGAGGTCCGCCGCATCGTGGACGAGGCGTACAAGCAGTGCAAGGAGCTGCTGATGGCCAAGAAGAAGGAGGTCGGCATCGTCGCCGAGGAGCTGCTGCGCAAGGAGGTGCTGACGCGCGACGACCTCGTCCGGCTGCTGGGGCCGCGGCAGTGGCCCGAGAAGGAAGAGTTCTCCAAGTTCTTTGATAACCGGCACGGCGACAGAGGCGCGCCGCCGCCGTTCCCGACCGAGAATACCGACTCGCCCAACGAGGCGCAGCCTGCGCTGTTCGAGAGGCCGACTGAGCGTGAGAGGAGGTGAGAAGGTTTGGGGGAGGCGCAAGTATGAATATATTGCGGGGGTAAGAAAAAGACCAATTTGGTATAGAGGGAGAGGAGACGCACACGGCACAACCGTGTTGTTATCGGGCGTGTCTCTTTGACCCCGTTTCAAAACTTCTCAACTCGTACATGTCTTGTATCAATAGGTATGGCGCATGCAGCAGGAGGGCAAAGGAAAGAGCAAGCCTTTAGAAAGATGGCCGTGTTTTCTTGGTTCTCTTCTCCATGGTCTTTTTATTTGTGGTCAGCATTTTGGAGCCGGCGACTGACCTCAGCCGGAGGTTGTGTAGGACGTGGATAGATCAGTTGTGTTCCCTAGCAAGTGTTGTATTTTACGATACTCTTGAGGTTGAATCCCCTTTGTACTTTTGATATAAGCTACCTGAATCCTGTACATGTCTCCGTATAGGTATCGGTTGTGGATGGTCGCTCGGCGCTCGCGGTGAAACCAGTTGATCTCCACCGAACCCGATGAGAGGTCCCTGGCCTCCGGTGCCGGTGTCAGTGCCGAAACGATCCAGCAACGTCCTCTTATAGACAAGGACATGGAGTTCGAAGGTAACCTGTAGAACGACGAGTACCGCTCAATAACCCCACAACTTCAGATCGGCATGCAAGACGGACAACTGACTCCGAATTCCAACCCATTCGAAGCGGTTTTGAGCATTTGACCCTACATCATGAAAGGGGGTTAGGAATGCCAGCACGCAGCCCACACAACGGTCCAGGCGGTCCTTTCTTTGTCAACGCAGGAGAAATGATGGCACGGAAAACCAGCACCGATGTGAAAGAGGCCAATGCTCCGTAGGCCTCTTGCGGTTCCGATGTGGGTCTGCTTGCCCTTGCCGCCGTTTGGGCCTTCGCCGCTGCCGAGAGGTGAAGGCACGAGATCCATCCAATTTCCATTCCGACAAATCGAATTTTCGATTTTCGGGTCTTAGCAGTTCTACAGTGATCGACGTGTAAACAACAGTTTGTCTTTTAGAGTCTTGAACAGTTCGGTTTTGCCCACGCAAAGGGAATCGGGAATCGAGACGCCGATTTAGGATACTCCCGAATTCTGAAGGCCTCGCTGCGGCAACACCCTGAATGACTGAGAGTTCGATTGCCCTTCAATTCTTCGATTCCCGAGCTCTGCCTTCGCCTAATTGATTCCACTTATCCATTATCTCATCCCCACGAAACCAGGCATCGGGTCAGCAATGGCCTCCAAGGCAGAGAACCCTCCGGGACCGGGATCGGGACCCGGGCCCGGAGACGGGCTCACCCTCCCGACAACAAATGATCCCCACCAGCACCGCCCCGGTGGTGCATCGCGAGTCAAAGCCGGCCTCCGTATCCGCGACTGGGTACGCTCGCCCCGCTCCGGGGATGCCCGCCACCCCCGGCATGGCACAACCCAACCTGCTGGTTCCAACTCCGGGTTCGGCTCCGGATCCGGGCCGGGGCCGGGCCCAGAACACTGCCGGGTAGCACCGACCCACGAACCCTGGTGGAAGATTCACCTCTTCCGGGGCATGGTGAACGACATCCGGAAGCGAGCCCCGTTCTACCTCAGCGATTGGACCGACGCCTGGAACTACCGCGTCGTGCCCGCCACGGTCTACATGTTCTTCGCGAAGTCAGTTCTCGCCATCGCTTTTTACTCTCCGATTTTTGACTGTACATCTTCAGGACATGGCTGACGAGTGCGACCTGGGACGGGAGGGTATAGCATCCTGCCTGCCCTGGCCTTCTCCCTCGACATGTTCCACAAGACCGACATGCAGTACGGCGTCAACGAGGTGCTGCTCTCGTCGGTGGTCGGCGCCGTCGTGTTTGCTGTGCTGGCCTGTCAGCCCCTGGTCATTGTGGGTGTGACGGGTCCGATTACCGTGTTTAATTAGTATGCTTGGCCCATTACCTTCCTCTTGATACCTTTCGAGGTCTCCGAGCTGACGCGATTCAAGTACCGTGTACGACATAATGATGCCTACTGGGACCAACTACTTGGCCTTTATGTGCTGGATTGGCTTGTAAGTCGAGGTTGCCGCAACACACAGGGGTTGTGCAAGTGAGATGAGCTGACCGTTTACCAGATGGTCTCTTGTTTTCCACTGGATCCTAGCCGTTACCAACTCGTGCAACTGGCTGCGCTACGTGACTCGGTTTCCCTGTGACATCTTTGGCTTCTACGTCGCCTTTATCTACCTGCAGAAGGGCATCCAGATTCTCGAGACGCTTGGCGACGGGGAGCCCTTCTACCTGTCTGTGGTCGTGGCTTTGCTTGTCTTCGCCATCGCCTACATATGCGGCGAACTCGGCCGGAGCAGCCTGTTTAGGCACCCAATCCGCGTGTTCCTCAAGGACTACGGCACGCCCTTGACCGTTATCTTTTTCACTGGCTTCGTCCACATGGGCAAGATGAGGCAGATTTCTCTCGAGACTCTGCCCACGGGCATCGCCTTCATGCCGACCATGTCAGAGAGGGGCTGGTTCATCCACTTCTGGGATATTCCCATTGGCGATATCTTCATCGCCATTCCTTTTGCCCTGTTATTGACCGTACTGTTCTGGTTCGACCATAATGGTATGTCCGCCCCTCTCGGCCCAACCCTGCAGAACTAACTCTTGCTAGTATCCTCCCTGATCGCCCAGGGCACCGAGTTCCCGCTCAAGAAGCCCGCCGGCTTTCACTGGGACCTCTTCCTCCTCGGCCTAACCACCGGCATCGCCGGCCTTTTAGGTCTTCCCTTCCCCAACGGCCTGATCCCGCAAGCTCCGTTCCACACCGAATCCCTCTGTGTCACCGAAGTGGTCTCGTCCGACTGGGACGACTCAGACGGCGGCGGCGGCGGTAAGAAGGGATTCGCCTTCCGCGCCGCCTACGTGGTTGAGCAGCGCGTGTCGAACCTCGCGCAGGGCCTGCTGACGCTCGTCGCCATGACGGGCCCCTTGCTATCCGTCCTGCACCTCATCCCGCAGGGCGTCCTGGCGGGCCTGTTCTTCATCATGGGCTTCCAGGCGCTCGTGGCCAACGGCATCACGGCCAAGCTGCTGTTCTTGCTGCGGGACGGAGCGCTCACCCCCGCGGGCCATCCGCTCCGTAGGATGGGCGTCGTGCGGCGCAGCGCCGTGTGGCTGTTTGTGTCTGTCGAGCTGGTCGGGTTCGGGGCCACGTTCGCCATCACCCAGACAGTCGCCGCCGTGGGGTTTCCCGTGTTTATCTTGCTCTTGATCCCTGTTCGGGCGCTGCTGTTGCCCAAGTGGCTCTCGCCCGAAGAGTTGGCCGTGCTGGACGAGCCGACTGCCGGTCCGTTCACGATGGAGAGTGTCGGGGGCACCTTTGGCGGTAGCGGCATGAGTGGAGGGGATGGTGTATTTTTGGATGCGCCTGAGGGGGGAGAGTCGGGTGAGGACGTGGAGGGGTCGAGGAGGAAAATGGAAGGGTCTGGCGGCGGTGGCGGCGAGGGAGTGTTCGGTGGGCGGGTTGAAGGGCGGAGCGAGTTGGAGCTTGCTGAGCTTGGGGAGAGTCTATCGGGGCATGTGAGGAGGAGACTGAGTACGCTACATCGAGAAGGCACTGCCTAGAAGCCGTCGGGACTGTTCTGTCGTAGAAAAGAGAGCCATCTGGAGGGCGTCGAGGACGTGCGCATTGGAGGTTCTCGGTCTTTACTGGTGTCTGAGCGAGGAGTCCAGGCCTCGAGACATCCTCATCGTTGGATGTCAGTCTATCCCCGTGTCTTCGTCTTCGGGCCGCAGAGAGAGAATACCAATTGACATTGTGAGATGACCGCCGGTCTCCTCCCTGTCAGTTTCAGGTTCTGGAAGGAAAAGACGAGAAGACGGATTCCAGATGACAGCTGTCGAGAAGACGAACACATCCACCAACAAATCACTCTCCCCAGCAGGATCAGTCAATGTCAATCTCGGATTTCATTAAAGCAAATCTTCACCATCTTCAGGCTAGAGCTATAAACGAGACGAGCTAGGAACAGATACGTTAGATATGGATTGGCTTCATTAACGACTTGCGTATGTCAACGGCGGCCTGGAAATGCCTTTGAGTATACAATCCTTGTCCAGTACTGATCGTCGTGTCTTGATACATGGCCAACATACAACCGTGGTTCATCTTCATTGCCTTTCAAGGGGGGGGAGGCTCTGTGATACACGGGCAGCAACGCCTATGCCCTGCGCCGTGGCCGACTCGCCAACCAGAAACATGGACAGCGGGTTAATCTGCATCACACAATCAAATCCTATTAATGCAAATGGGCTTGTTGGATTTTTCCTCATCTACAAGAACCATTTTAGATGACTGGAATCTCTTCAGGAGGTCCAGAGGGCTTCTTCTGCCCTCACTGGTGACCCAGGAGCTTGTGGTTGAAGGACGCCCGAGGAAGACATAAAGGGACCCGTTTCCCCCCCGAGCCAAATCAGGTGGGATGTAGGAGGAAAAATTTTGTCAAGCAACCTCAACTGCGACTACCCCTCGCCGGTCCGCTGTGGGAATCAGGTGTGTCTGGGTGTTCATGATGGGTAGCTGGTACTTCGCTCGCCTAGACCACGACACATCTTCAGCCAAGCGGAATGCCCCCCTCGAATGGACATTCAATGATGGTGTCCGGCTCCCCGTCTCCCCGGCACCTGAGATCGGCCGAGCCAGTTCGCTCAGGGCGGCAGGACTCTTCTTTTCACGCCGCCGGCTTATCGTTCCGACTCGGCCACTCTGGGCGCTGTGGTGAAGCAGTGTGCGCGCCTCGCAAGCGCAGTCGACAAACGGAAACCCGACAGTCGAGGCCACTGCAAAAGAGGCGGCAAACCGGGACAGACGGTGTCGCGGGGCACCTCGCAACTGACGGCCCTGTTGGTGGAACAAATGCCTGGCCCCTGACTCCTCCCAAAAAGCCGAGAAGCTAGTCCCTGCTTGTTGCACGACCACCCCTGGACTCAGTGGAAGAGGGATTGACACAGGGCGCGGGACCGACTGGATCGTTCTTGGCTGGATCAGCCAGATCTACCTACGATGCGGACGATGACACCTCAGTTTCAGGTCGACATACCCAAGGTATTCAACACATCTACTGCGATACTCCAGATCCGGGCCACGAAGCAGCAGAAGTCTATCGGCTGTTCAGAAGCAGTAAACGGCTCAAACGGGTGTTCGCTGCGGATATCGAGCCGTGCAGACATTTCAAAGCTGGCTCAAGACGGCAGGTGGCGAGCGCAAGCGACTCATCTCATCACTTGCCGGCTGAAGCAGACTCATTTCTCCCCCATCCAGCTTTTCCCTGAGACGCATCAGCTAGCGCAGGCTGATATTGCGGCACCTTCCTTCATCGCAGCCGGTGCACTTTGTGCATAACGCCGTGATATATTGTGACGATGTGGACAGGATTCGTTTACTGACTTCTCCCGGCCCGGTGATTTTGCGTTTGCTGTGCTCCTTTCAATTTCCCCCCCGCTTCGATGAAGACCGCCCAGATTCCGGCGTATCAATCTCGACCGGGACATCTGCCGGATCCGACTCTGGAGGGCAGCCCCTGGTATGGCAGAGACGACAGACCCGAGAGGATGGAGATGGAATGCGGGCGAGGGCACTGGCGGGCAGAGACCGGCAGAGACCAACAAGAATTCGGACAGCTCGGCTTTACGTGTCGGCCGGCCAAGCAATGCGGAGCTGTCAGCGCTCCGGGTGTCCCATAGGATAGCCAGCTCGCCTCTGTTCAAACAGAACGACGCAGGTAATTTAGCCGAATGAAGCGTAGATTGATGAATCTGAACCGCCAGACCGCTCAACCAGGTCATGGGTCGTGGCAAAGCACAGGAGAGCCTGGAATGGGCTCTGGAAAGACGGGTCGGAGATGGCGAGGGAAACCGAACGCGGCAGCCATCCACGGACAGCAGGTACGCTGAGGGCGAGGCTCGGATACTCGCATGGCCGCCTGCAACATCTCGCTGCGGGTTCTGTTGGAAGTTGCTGTTCTTCAGTTGCTGACTTGCTGGGCGTCTCGGCTCGCAAATGATGACCCCGATGGACGGGTCAGGCACCACCACATCCCATCGGTACCGTTGGTTGCTGGGACGTCGTTCGGTGACGTTGCAGGCCCAACGTTCGGCTGTGACAGGGACGGTTCCACTGGACGACTCGAGGCGGCTTTCCCATGTCCCCTCCGTCTCTTATACGCGAATCTCGACTCCTCAGGACCTCCGTACTTTCCAGAGTCAACATACAGCGGCTGGCTTTGCGGGAAGCAGAGAGAAACAGACTCGAAGGTGGATACGCGATACCACTGAATCAGAATCAATGTGGAAGCTCGAGTGCTGTCCCTTCTGGTTCATGATCCAAAGAAACCGGACCTCGTTGCCTAGCTCGCCTACTAGGCTCTGCCGCTCTGAAGCTCCGAGTCGGGAATTGGTCGAGGCTTGCATCGTGCATCTTGCATCTTGCAGCACCGAAGCGCACCAAGAAGGAAGGTGGTACTGACCCTTGCAGCCAACTGCCTTGGCTCCTGTCAAGCTTCGATCTTGCCGTGTTTGGTTGCGGCTTTGGGCGCGGACTGCCCGCTCCGTTGTCCCGTGCTCGTGCGATCACGGCAGGCAACGGCAGCCAGGGCAACAGTGAAGGGACCCTGACACTCTCAGTGGCCTGACTTTCGCAGTGGGGCCTTGTGGGTCCAGATCGGCTCACGGCAGCCCTGTCACTTTCCTCGACTGCCACTCTTCCTGCCACAACGTGCAATACGGCCTTCTCTCTTCCCGGGCGACTGCATCTTTCTTCGATCGCCTTGTTCGACAATTCTATGCGGCTTCCCATTTGTCCTGTTTGTCTCTACCTAAGTTGATGGTGGTACATGGAAGTACATCTATCCGTTCAGCATGGCTGAACTGCGTCGGGGGCAGGAGTCAGAGAGGAAAAACGGGTCGTCATTTCACTGTCCGGCAACGACGCGGACATCTCCGGGCCGCGCCCTCGACATTGTCTCCGCCTCTCCGGCAGGCGCACCCGTTCGATCTGCCATAACTGGGTCCGCGCCCTATTCCACAGCAACCCCTCCACACGATTGGGTCGAGTTGGGAGATGCGAGGCCTCGGTTGGCCAGCCATCGTCTGTACTGTATCACATCCCTCAAGTCAGCAACTGTCAACATAGGCCGCAGGTATTGTACCCGTGTGCCGCGGCAGCAACGCTGCAGCTTGTATGGGTGCTTTTTTTGAAGGGCCGCCTCCTTTTCATTACCCTGCTGTTTGTTCTGCGTGTAACCACAGCCGCGGAGACAGCTACGTCCTGACTCCGGAAAATCACCACCAAGGCTGCTTTACAGCATCACTTCTAGGCCGGTTTCTACGGAATACACATCGACCACTCGCTGCTTTGACTGCTTTCCAGCCTGTAGCGTGCCAGCTCTGATACATTGCGGCCGGGAGACTCGACCGATCCCGCGGGTATCATTACACCGTCGAGACCGACATCTTGCACTACAGAAGCAGTTGATGCACATCATCCCACTCCGTAGTTGTTCCGCGGTGGGCGCTTGCAGCCTCTCTGGGAGCCCTGGGATGTCCACTTCCGAGTTTCTTTCATCAGTTACTAATATAGCCAGCTACCTGGTACCATGTCAGCCGAATGTGACTTCCAGAAAGGAAGGGCACGCGGCCGCCGCCTCGGCATGCGGAGGATTTGAGCCAGCACGGCATGACGACGACGACGACGACGGAGTATGATGCTATGCACCCCGTACTGGCAAAGATCAGCCGGCATTTGCATGAAATGGTCTGGGGAATATGGATACCAGAAAGTCTCCGGGTCTCGGCTTCTTGATCCAAGTCATGACCGTCAACAAGCCTGAGATTGAAACCCCCCGGCCAGGGTCAAAGCAGGCTGATGATCAACAACAGGCTGTTTTGAACCTCGTACCATAACACACCATTGAGGTTCTGGTTGCACCACTGATGAGACGCGCCCACGGGTGCTTGTCCCTGGCATCTCTGTTTCTCTACGAGATCTTCCAATCAGCGATGGAAGCGGCGTTCCATTCCGCATTTAATGACGGCGCACGTTTTTAATCTGCCTTATTTTCCGATCAGCCCGTTCCCCGGACTGTGCCAATGGAAGTGGGGAGCAACGCAGGTCTTTCCCCGCGGTTTCGGCAACGAGACGATACGACCATGGAGAGGGAGAGACGGGGGAAGACATAGGTGTGACGTTCGACCGTTTTGCGAACGCGAGCTGTCCCGGCCCAACCGGTGGCCGTTGTTGGTAGATGGTTAGGTAATTGAGCAGTCAATTACCCAATACGGAAATCTTCGAGATACTCCGCCGAAGCCCCCCAGCCGCCGCACACCCCTTTGACGTCCGTGCCGACTTGCACCGGCCGGTCTCGCCGGCGTCAGCCCGTTAAGCTTCGCAGCCAGGCGTGTGAGACTCAACTTGGGTAACGTCAGGGTACACATACCAACATCGTTTTCCTAGCTTAATCGCGTGTTCCCTGCAACGCGCGCCGAGCTAGTGATTTTCTATTATCGAGGGCTTATTGCGGTCTTATTGCATATGTGGCATGTATGGACATACCAAGGACCTCTCCCTGCGACGACCGTATTGCTTGGCTCGGCAGCCGGGGGACGGTAGAGCAGACGTTGACCGAAATGAGGCCGTCGCCAACAGGAGCCGACCATGCCCGGTACCAAAGAGTCGCTTACTGGAAACTGCTTTCTGGTGACTCCCTTGAGACGCTGTGGCCGGCGAAGCGAACTACGAATGCTACTAGGACATTCCGGGTTGTTCACAGCTTCTCGTAACATTTATACGTCCGAAGATCCGACCGAAGAGAGGAGCAGCCAAGAGACGGCGAGCATCTCCCGCGAAAGGAGGCAACAAAAGCAGATGTGCCTCCGTTTCCCAGTTGACTCTAACCGAATATCAGGCCAGCTACATTGCCATGTCCCTGTCTGGCCTCTCGTCCTTGCTGCACGGCAATTAAAAGCCCGCCGCGAATGGGAGCGCGCGGTGTTTGGCTGCTGCATGGGAAGGCTGCAGAGCTATCAAAGTTGCGGTGCTACCTAGATGCATGGGGTTTTTTTGGAAATAGCTGCAATGCAAGGCTCTTCGACGTGAGCGTCATCCCATCTTGACATGTCTCTCCTCACCTACGGAGGAGGTGTACTCCGTACAGTGCCTACGACTACATGTGCTCTCTCTTGGCTCCCATCCTACCGGACTGGTTGAGACTCGCTACCCTGAATCCCGCTCGGTAAAAAAAATGGTCAACAAATTTCTCCTTCCACTGTGACCCGTACTGTGACGTTTTTTCTCGCCGGAGTGAGGGCTCCCTTCCAAGCGGTTGCAACCTAAGTGAATGGAAGAGGGCGCGTCTGGGAAAGGGGTGCGGTGTAGAAGGAAACTAGAAGAGACTAGAGTCACTGCTGCTAAAGGAGCGAGTCAAAGAGAGATGAAAACATTGGGTTTGAATCCTTCCAGCTCGTTCATCTATGTATGTACAGGAGGACCAAGGCGCTCGATAGCGGGGAGCACAATTTCCGTAAGAGCTGGCCCCTATCGGCCCCAGACGAACAGCAACACGCACACAAACAAGACACAACCTAACCACCCAAAGCCACTCCAGCTGCAAAACGCAAAGCTCTCTCCCATCATCGGAAGTATGATTTTCCTTTTTCGCGACACAGCTTTCCAAATGAGCCCGAGAACCGCCCCTTCCTTTCGGCGTTCGTAGAAAACATAGCAATAATGTTATTCCCGGGGCGACCCCCCCTTTCTCCACCCCCAATGGTGCAATGGTCTTTCTCTCATCCTCGACAGCAGCGTCTTGAAACGATGAAGCGAGTGAGGAAGGAAGTAAGCACACAAAGTTGTAATTGTTTTCGTGACGAGGCCCAAAGCGTCAACATCCGAACCGAGATCCCTGCTCTGCTTCTGGGGCGAAGTAAGTCGGTGCGATCTGCTCACCCCGGTGGCGATACCGAGGTGTTGTTGAGGAGATCCGTTGGTCCTCGGAACAGGGGGAGTGCGACAATTGAAGCCAGTCAATAGGGTCTTCCCTGCGGAGGAAACGTCGAAGTAAAGTTGTGATAAAAAAACAGTATGCCGTACAAATCCGCTTGAACCAAACAAAAGCAAGTCGGGTATTCTGGTCCCCTAGAGGCTGGGGGGTAAGAATCGAAGGTGCGCTGCCAGAGAAAGATGCAGGAAACATGTTGTCGTATAAGCCAAATTCGCGAGGTTCAATATTTCGTCGTCTCATAGCAATGTCATTGTAAGCTTTTCTTGCCTTGTCTCCCGTGGCCTGCCGGTTGTACTGTGATTGTCGTCACGTTGCGTAGGAAAGCTGCTCGGCCCCTCTTGCACTATGCTGTGCTGCCGTAGGCCCCGGGCCCGGCAGTCGTGGCAGAGGAGCCTCCCGTAAAGCTGCGCTTGCGCTTCATGCCCAGCGGGTCCGAGAAGTCGTCGCTGCGCTCCCCAGAATTTTGGCTCTGCCCTAACCCGAGCGCGCTCCCGCCAAACGTGTCCCTCATCGGCGTCCTGGTGCTCGAGGTCGACATGCTCGCTTGGAAGGCTTGCGAAAAGTCATTCGGCGGGGCGATCGGAGCGCTCATCTGCGGCATCGAGTAGTCGGTTGTTGAGGTTCTGTAGCCCGGCGTCCTGGGCAGGGAGAAGTCGACGGGCGCTGATAGTGGCGCCGACGGGAAGCTTCCCGTGTAGCTTGAGGAGACGCCGCCGAGCTGCGTCGTCGATGAGGTCCGCGGGCCGGGTGAGTGCGTCGAAGCCTGCAAGCTACCTGGCCCAATGGCAGATCTGAACTGAGTCCGCAGATCTAAGCCTAGGGGAAGGGAGGCGGAGGCGGCCCTCAGGCGGGAATTGCGCTGGTGGCTTGCCTGCAGACTAGACGATTGAAAGCTCGAATAATGAGATGGTGAATGGACTGTAGAGGCTGGCAGCCGTGGTTAGTCAACGATCCATGACCACCGGGGCCAACAACTCGATTTTTTTGGGACCTACTGGAATAGTTGCTCGAGTCATAACCTCCTAATCCACCCGCTGAACTGCCGCCCACCTGATCCTGCTGGTACAAGCCATGTTGTCGGCTTCCTATATGAGGGGAGTTATTTGATCCATGATAAGTGGTGTAGTCGATGGCATCACCCTTCCACGACATGCTGGACCGTAGCGGCGATTGAAGGGTGTCCGAGCGCGACCTAGTCAACGTGTCGCGGATGTGAAGGGGCTGTAATGGTCGGATCTGTTGCCGCGAGTGATGGCCATGGAGCTGCATCCCTGAATCGAGGCTCGACTGCCGCGCGAACGGGTTCGATGTCCTCGGCCCGGCACCCAGCGACGCTGTCGAGAGGTGGCCCGGGTAGCCATACCTGTCGGTCGAGGTGGGTGAGATTGGCGATAAAACATCTGGTGTGCTGAGTCCAGCCGAGGGGTTGAAGGCGATGCTTCCAAATGCTGGGCTAAGGCCGGTTGGCGAGAGATGGTCGTCGCCCTCGTGGCGCCTTACATCCACCATGAGAGGCCGCATCATGTGGTCGGCGTAGGAGGAGGCGCCGAGATCGACGGGCGAGCTGATGGGCGCTCCTAGGCCGTGAACGGCACCGTATGGCGAGTGCAGTGCGCTCAAGCTGTCAAAGTCCTCCGGCACCGCCCTCATCTTCATCATACGCTCGCGATCGTCCGCTGTTAATCGCTTGATTTTGGCGCGCCTGTGGACAGTCAACACACCAACATCCGCCCGCCGTGCTGAATGTGCAGCCACTCCTCGACGGGTCTTACCGGTTCTGGAACCACACCTGTACCTGGCGAGGGCTAAGCCCCGGAATCTCACGCGACAGCCGTTCGCGGTGCGCGGCGTCAGGATGCGGTTGCTTCGCAAACTCGCTCATCAGAAACCTCGTTTGCTGGTGGGTGAGCCTAAGTCGGAATCAGCCGCTGCTTGCTAGTTAGCGTTTGGTGGGAACGCTCTAGGTCACTGACCTGAAACGCTTCATCTTCCGCCGCTGAGCGGTCCTCTCGGCAGCTGTCTGCGGTTGAGCTTGCGTCTCTCCCTCTGCCTCCACCTCCACCATCTCTTCATCCTCGAGCACCTCTTCCTCCTCCTCCTTGATAGCCGCTTGCCCCTCGTTTCCTGAGTGGCTCGGGGCTGTCTCGGAACTTTGTCCCGCCGACGACACAGAGCTCAGGGGGTTCGATCCCAGAGACACACCCGGCGTCTCCGTCGCAGTCAACGACTCCTCATGCGCTAATTCGATTGACTTTGGTGGCGGGTACGGCTCTTCGTGGGTTTCTGGCTGCTCTGGGATCGGAGACGGCTGCTTCGGCGGCCGCAGCCCTAAGGGATCAAGGCGAGAGCCCAGCGGCGAGACCTCTGATTTGGGTACCTCGTTCGGCACCGTCACGGTCCGCGGCTGCGCATGCGATTCCGCGCTCTCGGTAGAGCTCGTCACATGATCGTATGGCTGCGAAAAGATGGTGTTGTCGCCCGGTGGGAGAAACGAGTACTGACTCTGCCAGTCCGACTGCGTCACCGTGTCGAAGTTGTTCGACATGCGTAATCTCTCCGCAGACTTGCGAAAGGCGGTTTCAAACTTGCTTATGGACCAAGGACTTTGCTCCGTAGAGGCGTGCCTAGTAACGAGCATTTGGAATCGGTCGTCGGCGGTCGACGTTGATGAGGGCAGGTGCGGCAGATGTGAGCGGGGTTATAATGGCGGCGCCAGTCCCGCAGGTTGATTCCCACGAACTTGGCGGGTAAGCGAGTGACGGGCGGGCGGCAAAAGTCAATGACTGTCGGTGGTGGTGTACGAGTGACCAGTAGCCACAGATGCACATCAGCGCCGGCAATGCCAGGTAGACGGGCGTGCGACCTCTGGAGTCGCTGGTCTGGTTCGTGATGATCTCTGCTCCGCAGATCTCCGTATACAGGAGATAGGCAAACAGAGAAAGTGAATTCGGTGATGTTTGTCTGCCACCAGGCCTTCCAGGGCCTTGCCGTAGATCGAACAAAAAAGCCGCGGCGAACAACGGGGGGAACGAAGCGTTGGGTCGAAAGCGAATTCTTCTGGATGATGATGTGTGGGTGCGTCGTACCAGTAGAGCAGTTCCCACCAGTCAAAACGGAGATCAGACGAAGTCGCCGTGTGCTCCAGTTGGGACAGGAAAGGTTCGGATTTCCTGTCCAGTGATTAAGAGACGATACTGGGCCGGACTAGCAGCTCGACAACTGTGGTCATCCGTCGGTCGATGGAGAGTTCCGTAGACCAACGAGAGGAGGAAGGATAGGCCGGATCTCGCTATTCTGGAGGCAGGAAGGTATCTTGTATGAGAATTCTGGGGGACGTCAACTAGTGCACGGCGGGGTCGGCGTGCTAGCGGATCTCGTCAACAAGAGCAGAAGAGACCCAGATGGGTGTGGTGCTGTTGACGGCTCTTCTTGGTGCTATTAAGGTCCGTTCCCTTGGTCCCTTGCTCTTAACGTGGGATAGAGGTAGGGGTAATACCGGCGGAGATCCAGCCCACAACGGAGGAGCGCCGAGGCCCCAGTCGAAGGCAAAGGCAGCGCCTGCACGGGCAACCGCAACAATGGATGGGACCGACCAGGGTATCGGTGTACCTGGTACCTGACAGCAGACGGGAAGTCTTAGCCGGGGCCGGATGCCCCGATTTGAACGAGAGTTGCAAAGCTATTGACTCCGCTATGATAATATCGGATTCCCTTGAAGACGGGCTTGCTGAGCCACATCTTGCCCGGCCGGGGAGCGCCTTTGTTTTCAATGGTTGAGGCGAGCAGCAGGGCTATAGCGAGAAACAGGTAGGTTATAGGAGATCTCGGCTGAATGTGCTCATGCCGTGTCAGGGCGTCGATGGAACCAACCGCGGCGTCTTCTGCCAGGCAAAGAGCAGAGCCGAAAAACGGATGGCAAACGGCTCCCGCCAAGACCAGCGTATAACAAAGCGGGCGAGGCAGGTGGACGAAAGAAGGAGGACAAGAGGAAGTCCGTTGCGAGCACGTACTGCTAATGTGTGCAGAAAGGCATAGCTGTGAAGCCAATGACGCCAACGCAGGTATCCGGTATGCAAGCAAAGCAGGAGTGGCAAGGTCGTCCAGCCACAGAGAGCGTGAGCAGGAGGCTGGAGAGTGCCGCTGAGACCAGTCAGGAATCCCGATAAGAGAAGCTTGATCTGACCGGCTACTAGGGACTTGCACAAGTACAGGGCAAGCTCATGCGGACACAACCTCTCCACAGGAAGCTTGCTAGTCACAAAACCTCAGCAAAAAGGCCGAGAAGCACTCGCAGAACTGCATCGAGAGGTGGTAAGGGAGCTTCCGCGGGACCGTTGAGAGTGATTGATGGACCTTGGGTCCACATTGGCTCTGCTTCGACTCCCACGACACAAAGCATGGCCGTTGTTGATCTCTCACCCAGCTTGCACCAATCGGGGATCTGGATGACGAGGCAGGGATGTGCGGTGCCTGGTGCTTGTCTGCGGGGAGAGGTGCATTGTCAAGGAAGGGTGTGTATGCAGATCGGGCCACGAAGCGGCAGGGGCTGACAGTGCCGGCTGCTGCCAACAGGGGCCTAACTGGCAAGATCAGGATGCGGCATCGATATCCGAAGCTCGAAACGGCAACTCTCGCTGAGAAATAGGGTCTGTTGAGCGTAGGGAGAGTGAGCGTGTGTTGTTGGACCCTGACCAAGTTGAGCGAAAGCGGACAGTGGCGATAGAAGATCACTGGTGAGCAGATCATTTCTTCCCCTTGCCGGCATTTGGGACCAAGGAAGTGGCTAGAGGCTTGGGTGCCCGTGGTGATTTTGTGTAGCAGCCAAGGTGACGGTGGTATGCAGCCGTATCCAGTGCCGATTAGGAAGGAGGTTAGACGGCTTGGACGTTCTCAGCTCCGGACGGTAGCGTGCAATGGCTGGAGATTTAGCCTGGTATAGGCAAGTCTTGCACTGAGCAGTGCATAACACTGCGTCCCAGAGGCTCCTCAGCTGTTGCGCAAAGGGAACGCCTTACCAGCTAGGTATGTCCTCGAGCGACGGTGCGGTGAGCGAGATGCGGCTTCACGCGCCCCACGGTATCCGTTGAGGACGCTTGACTTATTTGCGGACGGCGGCTTTCCACAGAACGCGGCATTTGGTCAGGCTGCACCGTCGCACCATTCCCTATCTGCGTATGCCTTCCCGCCAACGCCAATGCCGACCCGACAAGGGAACCAGGTGTCTGGGGAAGCGCTGGGGATGAACATGGTGTCTTGTCAGAAAACAGGCCCGGATGGGCAGTCGGAGAGATGGGAAGCAACTCCGAACAGGCCACAGGCTGATGTGGTGTGCTGCTACCCAGGGACCCAGACAGTAGAAAAGGCGGATGCGGTGGGGTCTGGTGTGGCTGTCTGTTGGCGTACTGTAGGCGGTCTGATGAGGCATGGTGTTGTGCATCGAGAGGGTTGCATTGAGGTGGGCAGTGGGCGCGAGACTTGTGTCGCGACAGGCGGACCATGGTGTCCGGGATGTCGAATGTGGGATTCCAACGGCGAAAGGATCCACGGTTCTTGTTTGGCCGCCCCGCGCCTAGGTGTGTGCTTATTAACCTAGCCGAGACTGAGATCGAGACGTTGCACTGTCAGAGCCAGCCTGCTTAGCGGGGCCCAAGCCCACCGTTTCATCGGGGTCGAGTTCTGCCAGGGCTAGCGTACACACTAGGCAATCGCGACAGCGAGGCAAGCGATCTCAGACGGGCTGAACCAATAACTTGCACCACGAAGGCGAGGCATGGCAGCGAAATGCCAGGAGTGGCAAGTGGAGAAGCGTTGCGCTTCCTGGTGAGATCTTACTCCCTTCTAGGCGTCTTCCACGGGAGCGCATAGAATCCCCGAGCTTGCTCCGGCTGGGACTGCGTCTTCAATCGGCCATGTGGACTTCTGTGCCCTCAATCATCGCTCGCTGATGACGGTCTGAGCTCTACGACGACCGCGTGTTGCGCCGAGATGAACTGAGTTGTCCCGCAAGAGACTCAAAGTGGGCGTCAAGTTCTGAGAGACTCAGACGGATGGGACGAACTGCAGACGAACTGCATCGGTTTTGGAGGCCGTTCCTTCCGAGCATGGATCCCTCCTTGATGTGCTTGGGACAGCCGGTTTCGAAGTCCGCCATTATGAAGCAGTCGCCTGATCCTACAACCCAGCTGTCATCGGCAGGTTGTGTCGGTAGGGTTAGCTGGCGTTTTTGGGTGAGAGACGCGAACTCGGGCATGCTGTGATAGAGACACCCCAATGGTCTGTGCTGCTGATTGCCAGATTAAGGATCTCAACTTTCCTGCATTGCCGTGTTCCAGGTTACAACAATCCACATCGCGAGCCATGTTTGTTTTCTGCACCTGCGCCCTACCGACCTTGAGAATCTCATGCCGAAACCATTCCGTACTGTGTAGTTGCCGAGTTCCAAGACACAAGAGATTCAGTTGAAGTCGTCGGCCGGTTGACCTGCACTGGAAGCTGAAACATGCGCGGCCCGGTGAAATAGTGTCGAATTGTGCCGATTGGCTCCCCATTAGCTTCTGGAAGCATTCGCGAATCCGGAATAGCGCGGCGGGAAGGAGGACGGCACGTTTCCATGCCGGGATTATTAAAATGACCTACCACTCTTGCTATGATGAACGAGCCCAGACTCTTTCGGTTGAGGTCACACCAGCCAATCCACCATCAACGACCTTACTCAGTACCTGCTGCAGCCATTGAGGCTGCCGCAGTTCAACTGGCAACTGAGTGGGCAGTGTAGGCGGGCAGTAATAGCTTGTTGATTTGAATTTAATTTCGTTATTGAGCTCATTCGCAAAGTCTGTAGATAGGTTTGCATCACGATTTTGGTTGATTCAATTGAATGTTATCGCCCAGATGCATAGGGATAGCGATGTTTGCCTGCAAGATACTGGTGCGGCTGGTATGTGGGGCCTTGTGCCGGGAAAGGATTCAGTTGATCATTGTAACAAGCGTGGTAGGTCATTTTAATGGCCCCGGGTGAGACGGTCACTGAGATCTGAGAAAGACTCTTGGGCTGTTCCGAAACAGCCAAGGGGCTGACGAGTGAGTGACGATCAAGGGCTGCCACGCCGGAGCTTAGGGCACGAGCTCCGGCGCAAAGACAAAATTGATGGGCACCGCCGATATCCGCAAGGGCCTTGGACTCTCGGCCAAACGACAACAACAACAATAGTCCCATGTGTGCCCAAGACAGAAGACGCATGATTTCCGGCGTCGTTTGACTTGTTCGTCGCTAGATGGCTCGCCTCACTTGTTCGTTTCAGATGCAGCAAACCTCGGCTGCAATCATGTGGCAAGTCCTTCCAAATAATGTATTCCAAATGACCTTATGTGTGCTATTCACCACGCTCGTGCCAACCGCCGATGAGAAGGACCGTGCCGGACAAACTTATTGACGACCCGACATTAACACGACCAGAGTCTGCGGGTGCGCCATTTCCTCTTCCATTGGTATTCGCGCTTCACCGAGCGGACACCGGCGCTGAGATGCCTAGACGCCCGAGGTCGCCTATGCGACTTTTGTCGGCTCTGCTGCTATTCTCAGCCGGCTCAAGGTCTCAGACGCGGCCGAGGTTTTTCCTCAGCTGCGCTCACAACCGACCTGTCGTGTCGGTCCCGACCGTATTCCTATTAAATTGAGACGCACGTGCATCACGGAGCTCGCGAGCTAGTTGCTTCATGTGCTCGAGGGAACCGAGGCCTCGTCCACTCAACATATCCATCCCTTGTCGACGACAGAAAGACTCGCTGTGGCGCAAGGAACAGCGATGCCGGACAGGCAACTGATGTCGGGCTTCACTGCCCAGAACCGGTTGCATCCAATACAGGTATTCCATCAGGCGTTCACGCCATGTCTCTCCAAGGCCGCAGGTACAGGCCGCCACAATGCATGGCCGAGAAATGGAAGCCTTGAGGCACAGACAAGTCACAGAGAGAAGCAATGCCTTCCACGGCTGGGGAGACAAACCCAGTCATCTGAGAAACTGCCGCCGGTTGGCAGAGCAGCCCTACCAATAATACTCTGCAGCCGCCGAGTATTTTGCATGAAACCAGGAGCGACGGATCCACGCTCTGGTAGCACAAATACGAGTGTTGCACCACCGTCGTGGTTCCCGGGCTGCGCGGAGGGAGCACAAGGGAACCGGGTGGGACTAGATCCAGAGGCCCCAGTGATGGCTGAATGCTGCTTGACAATGCAGCCAGCCGTTGCCTCCTCCAATCACCACATGTTCCAGTTGGCTTCACAATGTTCCGGTTCCAAGACGAGACAGAGAGTCTGCTGGCCCAGTTCTAGGCGGTCTAACACTTTTTGCGCGTGGGACGGCATGAGACGATCTCAGCAGGCATGTCCCTCAGGTATCTGCTTCTACGCTCATGGGCACGCAGCCAGTCGGCGTGCAAGTTGTGGCTGACAGACTCGATTCCTTTTTCTCGGGACCATGCGGCTGAGGGAACTAAAGCGCTACCCTACAGCCGTCTGCTTGCGCCTCTCTAATATGCTCTGTCGGTCCAGAGTTGGCTAAAAATCTGAATCGGCTTGATCTGTTCTTGCGGCCAGAGCAGAACATGGGTTCCTGGATTCACACTGTAGTCACGCTTTCCACCGTCAACAAGCCGGGCGAGCATTGTTGCGGCGCCGTTTGCCAACCATGTCAACGGGACTTCGCGAGCAAGAGTCGAACCCGAGACTCCAATTACTGAAGCACACCGAGTTGAACTCCCACAGTCGAACATCTCTATCATGTTGACGAGTTTACAATCTGTCCCAACGGTCAATACGCGGGACGGGAGTGTACCTAGAAAGGTAAAAGGTTGGCGATGGACAGAAAACGAAGGGGGGGGGGGCGGTGGTTATGGGCCTTCGTGCCTTCCATCTTCGGCCTTCTCGAGCTGCATGGTCGAGACACGTTCCTTCCCTCATTCCTCATTAATGGCAGTTCGACGTTTCCAGAGTAAGAGTCTGTGAACAAATGCCTGACCTCCACAGGAGGCAAGAGCTTCCAGCCACAGGATGTTGTGGCTCGATTGGCCCAACCCCACGATCGTCAGAGGCACATATGGTTTCCCGTCTCTCAGGTACGGTACAACAGAGGCTGATATGAGTTCGTACGTAGGTACAGGCACAGCTGACCATTTTGGCTTGAGGTTGGCTGACTCGCCCGGCTGATTGGGACTCCGTCTACTGTAAGCGCATTATCCCGTCGAGCTGCATAATGTTCGATATCTAAACGACACGAGACCGCGTCCAAACAGACCAAGCATCATCTTATTATCGGCCAGCATAGATTGCAAGCGGAAGGTCGTGGCCGGGCGGCATTACATGCCGATTCGCCGCCTGGGGCCACCTGAACGCCAGAAATCGCACCGGATATGCGGGCTTTTGGCTTCGGAGCAGAGCTCGATTTTTCCGGCTTCGAAACATAGCACAGTCCCCTCAAGGCGCTTACCATACCCCTGCCTCCACTCTGGTGTGAGAGCCGGTTGAGATGCCAGCGCTTCTCTCTTCTTCCTAGCATTTGGCCTTCCCTCCAGAGTATGGCGGTTGCCTGGGCATGCCTCTTGCTGCGCCGACAGAGACAGGCTGTGATACGGACTCTACGAACACCTCTGTCCCATTGTTTACTGGTGACTTGCCGAGCTTACCGTTGTGCCCCTTTTCTGGAGAGCTCTCCGTCTCACGCTCGCTATCCCAAAGTTTCAACGAGTGCGGGAGTCTCCATGCCCTTGGCCGGCCAACATGTCAACAGAGGTATTTGGACTGCCTGATTTTTACCGATAGGTGTTCCCACTGCTGGAAAAGTTATTCACCTACCTGACGAGCCTTCTGACATTCCGCAGCACACAGTTCAAGTTGTAATGGACCGAGAGCTCGGAACCAGGAGAGCGACGGCCGTGAAAGGCGGTGGAACCGGAAGCCTTTCCCACCATGACCCCGTCATGGAGATGTGCCATCCTGCGTCTTCTCCTTTTCGCATGGCATCGATGTCGGGCCCACGCAGGAACCAGCTGCGTTGCTCACCTTTTGGACGGGTGGTATGAGCGGGTTGCTCCTGCATCGCGGGCTGAGTGGTGGCTTGAACCTTCTCCTCGCCTGGCGAATGCATTTCTCCCCATCAGTTGACAAGCGACGGCCCGTGATGCTTGGGCAATCTCCCGATTCCGGAATCAAGCTCCTGTTTCCGTATGCGGGTGATACAAGACACGGATTTCCGTCCGAGCAGTCTGGGTTGCCAACACGAGATGGGTGTGGCATAACACCATGAGCAGCTAACTCATTGCTCGCGGCTCAGGGGTCGGTTCATCCCTGTTTTATATTTCCTCCTTCTTTCCCTCTTGGTCATCTCTAAGTAAGATGTTGGATTAGCAGTTTGTGCTCGACACCGACCCAGATCCGTTGGCTCTCGAACTCGAAGCACGATCAAAGTCTGTCGGTTGTATGGCTCACCGAGAAACACCGCGCCAGACCCAGTCCCCTTGCCCTGTGACCAAGCCCCGTAGAAATTCCTCGCTAATCAAAATAAATTGCCGGCTCGCGGGACTGCGGGCTGCCTTGCTGCGGGAGACGGAATTTTCCCCTCGACTTTCGCGCCCACGGCCTTGGTTGCCCCCTGCACATGGCCTGCGCCTGGCGTCTCGAGCTCCGTCTTCCCCACTCGACAGCGTTCTTCTGAATCGCGCAGCACTTATCGCCTGCCAAAGGCGACAGGGCTATGGAACGTTGTTTAAGCTCATGAGGGCAGGTCATTGGGTGCTGCTGCGCGATCTGGTCGGAGGAGAGGTGAAGACTTCCCGAGCAAACCAGGGGCCTGATAAGGGGCGAGGAGAAGGACGGCTAGGGCAGCCGTTCTAAGGCTCACGTACCAAGTCTTGAAGTTCTTCATGATCAAAGTCATCGCCCCCAGTTGTCTCGACTGTTCTGGATGGCAAGACCAGGGCGATGCTTCCGACTGAGGGAGGCAGAACTGCCGGGGTCTGTGATGGGGACCCGAAGAGGAGACGGTTGCGTGGCGACCGCTTCTGAGCGCAGATCAGGCTTGCCATGAAGCTATATGTCTCATACACACTGCTGAAGATGCGAGCATGACTTTCATCGCTGGTGTAAGGCCCACAGGGTTCGAAAGCTGCCGATGAGTCCGCTGAGGCTCGTTTCGACAATGAAGCCAGATTTAGCACGCATATTGTAAGTTACTGAAAGTGCCATTTCCCGGTTCTGGTGTGCCATCATAATTCTGATCAATGTCATGATTTCAGAAGGCTTGCGTGGACCCGACCCAATTGATAGATTGCGGGGGAGACAATTTGGGTGAAATGCTCCCGCTGTTGAGTGGCCTATTTGCAGAGTTCAAGTTGTGTTTACTCGGTTAACCACGGCGTTGCACTTCGCCGGGCCAACGGGTTATCCCCCCTTTTCTTGACCTCTTTTCTCTCTGCCTAAGCCCGACGCATGATTTGTACTTATGACACTGTTTGGGATCGCACTTCCGTGCGAGTTGTGATCATCTAGCTACGAGATGAAGTCTAACTGCTCGTGGCTTGAGGCTCACGGCTGCAAGAGAGTCCAATGCCTGACACCGCTTAAGCCGCGAGAAAGCCACGCTCACTACACAGGATATCCGAGCGCAATGCCCGGTCCTATCCTACCCTATATCGACCGAAGACTCAAAAATCTGTGAGCGTCGTGTCCAAAGTCGAGGTGGTATTTCCGTCCCGCTGTCGTACTTTTTGGGCGTACGTGTGCATCGCAATGGTTGGGAGTCGAGATCTAGTAATCGTAGAAGCCCTTGCCGCTTTTCTTGCCCAGCCAGCCAGCATCGACCATATTCTTGAGCAGCACGCTCGGCCGGTACTTTGAGTCACCCGTCTCGGTGTGCAGCACCTTCATGATGGCCAGGCAGGTATCCAAGCCGATGAAGTCGGCGAGCTGCAGCGGGCCCATGGGCACATTGGTACCATTCTTCATGATGCTGTCGATGGAATCGCGGTTGCCGACGCCGGTCTCGAGGCAGATGATGGCCTCGTTAATGTAGGGCATCAAGATGCGGTTGGCGAGGAAGCCCGGGGAGTCGGCCGAGACGGACGTGATCTTGCCGAGTTGCTTGCAGAACGCCACGGCAATCTCGAGGGTCTTAGGAGAGGTTTGAAGACCAGAGATTATTTCCACTCCCTTTTGCACAGGGACGGGGTTCATGAAGTGGGTGGCAACCACGCGCGAGCTGCTGGTGGTGTCGTTCGGGTTGCCGGCCGTGGTGGAGGCTGCGATGCGGGTGATGGAGATGGATGAGGTGTTAGTAGCCAGGATGGCGTGTTTGGGGCAGATTTGGGCGAGCTTGGCGAAGACGTCAAACTTGAGCTGGGGGACCTCGGGTACGGCCTCGATGACGAAGTCGGCCGAGGAGAGGTCGTCGATGGAGGTGGTGGGCTGGAGCAGGGCTCGGGCGGCGTCGGCCTGCTCCTGGGTGATGCGCTGCTTGGAGACGTCCTTGGCAAGGAGTTTCTCTGGCGCGAGAGGGGAAGGCTGGTTAGCTGGTAGTTTCGTGGAAATTGACGACGCCGACTCTCACCAACCTGCAAAGGCCAATCCCTTGTCCAGGGAGGCTTGTGACGAGTCAACCAGTGTTACTGGCACCTGGGCCTTCTGAGCTGCAACCAGCGCAATACCGAGGCCCTATGTTCACAAACATCATGGAATCGTCAGCAACCTGCTCCCCCGTAACAGCCATTGGAGAAGAAGGGAGGCCAGAGAGTCCAGTACCATCTGTCCCGCGCCTACAACACCCAACCTCTTCACTTCCGCGGCGGGCCGAGCGGCGGTCGCGCTGAAATATCTCGCGCGGCTCGAAAGCTGGAGAGCCTGTCGTGCGAACATAGCTAAAGCAACCATACTTCAAAAGGGTGAATTATGAGTGTATAGCGACCGGATGGGAGCTCGACGACGTCTTGAATTCGGATCCAGGTCGAGGAGCGGCTAACCTCGGCCCTGACCCTAGTCGTGCTGCTGGAGTGGGGCATCACCTTTTTGCATGTGCTCGGCTTTTGAGCGCTTGAGCACACAGTGTAATTATCCAGGGGCTGTCATCTGAGCCTTCATATACGCCATATACAGTGTTATAAAGACTGTGTAATCCGTAGATCAAAGGTTGAACGCGTCGCGCTGATTGATTGGGTTCAGACGCGTTTGCGCGTACTTCGGAGCAAACGCTCAAGCCAGAGACAATACCAGCAAGACCACAACTTAGCATCGAAACCATTAGCACTGGACTTCACATGTCAGCATCACCATAAATCCTGCGCTCTTCGTGTTCCCGGTTCAAAATGGAGGACGCAGATGTCACCAACGACATCGTGCACCCGCATGTCCGGGCACACATCAACAGTTTGGTGTCTGCGGTGAGTTGACAATATCAACTTGGTTCTCAGCAAGAAATCTCCCTGACAGTTCTGGCTAGCTCGGCGGCTACAGTATAGACGACGATGGAGGCTACAAGCTCGGAGATGACGCCCTCGAGGTGCTGCGCGACCTCAAGAGATGGATCCGCTTCCACGACGAAAAGACGAACCGCATGGACGTCGCCCGTTGTCTGGCTGAAGCAAACATTGTCGGGTCCGATCTCTTGCATATCCTGGCCATGTGGCCCCCAAACGACAGCGGCAGCAAGTACAGGGCAAAGGTCGCTCTGGCCTGCCTCGAAGTCATGGTGCCGCTCACTTGGCCCATCGAGAAAGACCACGAAGCCATGACCATCAACCATCACCGCAACATACCCGTGCTGCAGCTCGCTCAGCTGGCCTACAAACGCGCCATTCTCAACTTCGATGCTGCCCCAATTCTCGGTACTGCCATCAGGTTGGCCCTTCCCTCCATGGCTCTGTCCAACGGGGACCGATCACCTCGCAACCAGGGCATCATCAAACTGGTCCTGTACTTTCTGCGCAACATCACCATGATTACACCGCCTCCAGGGGTCAAGTACAACGGGGACGAGACCCAAGTCTCCCGGTCGACTCTCATAGATGCCTTCTCTTTTCAGGACGTCTTCGTGTTCCTCGAGACCATCGCTTCCAACATGGGCGATGACTTTCGGCTTGAGGACGTCATTGTCATGGAAATTGTCTTCCACCTCGTCAAGCGCGTCGACTCTAGCAAGCTATTTTTGAGCGAGAAACACTTGCACCAGATCAAGGCCGACGAGCTCACCGCTGCCATGCAAAAAGAGGCTGCCATGTTGAGATCGTACGGCAAGCACGCGCCCACCCGCCACAGCCGCTTCGGCACTACCACCTGGGTCAAGTGGGCGAGCGGGAAACTCTCCACCGTCTCGGGCCAGGACGGCCTGCTGGACGCCGCGGCCCGCGAGAGGAAGATGGACAGCAATAAGAGCTTCAGGCCACCGAGGCGAGCCAGGAAAGAAGACATGGAGCCCAAGAATCTGGGCCCTCCGGTGACATTGGATGAGAGAGCCCGCCAACAGCTCGGGTCATTCGTCTCGGAATTCCTCGACTCTTGCTTCAACCCTCTATTCGCCCATGTGAGGAAGTCCCTCGAGCGCGAGGCGCCACACGTGTTACAGTACCACCACAGCCAATTCTTCTACCTGGTAGCCTGGTTCCTCGAGGCAGAGCGGATGCGCAGCAACAGGAGAAAATCCGACTCCAACCAACACTCGGATGGAGACGAGGTGAGAAGCTTTAACCTCATCGCCGAGGTGCTTACCCAGGAGATGTTTATCACCATGAACCGGGCTTTGGACCGGGCCTACGGAGACAAAGATTGGCCGCTGTTGACTACCGTCATGCGCTCTTTTACCCAGATCCTCCTGACCGTCCAGGAAATGGCCGACTCCGGCAACGAAGAAGACCAGGAGATTGCCGACAACATCCTAAGTCGGCTGTTCTACGAAGAGACGACACACGACGCGATAGCAAACATTGTCCGCACGTACAAGGATCAGGGCTTCGAATACCTCGACGCCTGTACCGAACTTACGCATACATTTCTCCGCATTCTCGAAGCTTATTCGAAACAAAATGTCGACCTGCAAATCCGCTCTCGCAAAAGGACACGGCGGAAGAAAAGGGCGGCCAAGGCCGCTGCAGATGTGGGTGGAGATGAAGATCAGCCAGACGCAGAAGATGACTCGGCAGACGACGAGAGGCAGGCCGAGAAGACCAGCCAAGAGAGGAAGTTTGACTTCAAACGATTTGCCATGAGGTTCATCCCCCAAGGTGTGGTTGACACATTCGTCAGCTTCACGGCATATTACCGGGATCTTAACGACTCCCAGCTGAAGCGAGCCCACCGATACTTCCACCGCATTGCCTTCAAGCAAGAAATGAGCGTCATGCTGTTCCGCTTGGACATCATCCACCTCTTCTATAACATGATCAAGGGCCCGGAGCCCCTCGACATTAAGTGCTCCGTGTACAAGGACTGGGAAGATCTTGTCAGGCATATTATTAGGAAATGCGTACGGAAGCTGGAAGATCGGCCAGCCTTGTTCACTGAGCTGCTGTTCTCCAAGATCAACAGCACCGCTCACTACCTGGAGTACGGCCATGAGAAGCAAACCATCTCCAGCAACCCAAGACCAGGCGCCGAGCTCGAATTCAAACGCGAACTTGAGCGCGACCAACAAATCGCCATTGTTGTTGGCGTCTTGCTCGACAGAAACCAGACCGATCACCTAGAGTGGGTAAAGAAGCAGCTTTCCGAAGCCGAGAGTGAGCGGCGCGCTTGGCAGAACGCCGAGAAGGCGCTGGAAGCGGAGAGGCCGGCTGGTGAAGCAGCAGACGAGTCAGCCGAGCCCAGCACGGCGAAGATCGCTCCTCACGCCACCATGCGCCCAGACAACGACGCCCGCCGCACCGCCATGTTCAAGAACCCCCATCTTCGTCTTCTCATGAAACTGGTCGGAATGGAGCGCCTTGCTCCAACCCTCGACGAATCCCCCGACTCGATATGGATCATTCCCGGTACTGTCACAGCCGACGCCCTGAAGGAGACCATCTCCCTCGTCAACAAAGCCGAGTTCACCCCACCGACCTTTGAAGACGGCGAGCTCGCCGAAGACCAACTCCGCCGCAAATCCGCGCCGCGCAAGCGTGCCGCCTACGACGACGACGACCACAACGACAACATAGACGACCTCATCAACGACGGTTCCGACGACGACGACACCGGTATCCTTTTTCCCGCAGGCGGCCCGACGACGCGCAAGCGCACGGCCGAGGACGAACCACCCAAGAAGCGCAGACAGCGAAGGCGCCGCCGCGAGGGCAACGCGGACCCGACCGAAGAGCAACTCGAGGCCGAGAAGCAGGCGAAGCGCAAGAGGGATCTTGAGAAGAGGCGCAAGGTCAAGAGCGAGATGTACGTTGATCTGCGCGAGGACGACTCGGACTGGGAGGGGAACAGAGAGCGGGATGCGCTCTTCTTCGCCAGGGAGCGCGAGAGGCAGGCGGCCAAGGACGCGAGCTTTGGGCTGAGCTCGAAGCCGTCGGGCGTGGAGAGGTCGACATGGGAGGAGTTGCTCGGCGTTGGTGACGATGACATGGAGGATGGTGATCGTACGGTGATAGGGAAGGGGAAGCAGGCGCGGGGGACGAGGAAGAGGAAGTCTGATGCTGCCCTTGCTGAGAGCAGTGACGACGGTGAGGAAAGTGGCACAGCTGCTAGTGACAGTGGGCCATCATCCTCAGCGAGGAGGACAATCAAGAGGAGGAGAGCAGCGCCAAAGCCGAAAGTGGTTGAAGTTAGTAGCGATGACGAGGAGCCAGACGAAGAGCAGATGGATGAGAAGGATGATGCTATGGAATTCACCCAGTCCGGTAAGGACGGGGCCGTTACGGACGACACTCCGTTGTCCTCGCACCCTAGCCCGGCAGCCAACGCGGCCGCTGAGAAGAAGTCCACAGAGACAGGGGAAAGCGATGATGAGGATGATGACATACCTGTTGCCAAGACGGCAGCCAGGGCTCGGCCAAGGGCGCGAGCGGGGTTCATTGTCGAGAGTAGCGATGAGGAGTGATGGTTCTGCGGGGGATGGGGTATCAATGATTGGATGGAATTGCATGAAGTTTGTTTGTAATGTTGTTATGGATTAAGGGGTAGCATGGCGTTTGGCGTAATGAAGGACTCTGTAGTAAGGCTAGCAGATACGTCATAGAGGGATTTGGAATTAACGGATGTGCAAGCCACAGAGCTATAAAATGTGTTTAGCCCTTTGCCAATGCACGTTGCTGAGTCCGTCCCTCTTGTTTTCTCACGCCAGCCTGCATTCTGCGGGGAGCTAGGGAGGAGATGGGACCTAATGGAGCGTTTGGCTCGTTTTAAACCCTGCTTTGTTGTATCGCCCCTCTTTTTGTCTTCTTATTCCATTTTTTTTTCGGGGGTGGTTGGGTGTGCCTGTTGCTGAACGACTCGACAGAGGAAAATAGGGGTAAGTAAACTAACGCACGGTGAGGGGCTTCAATCAAGGGGCAACTCCGCTCACACAAATCTGGGGACTTGAGGATCGCAAGATCCATTCCGCCGGTTTGGGGATCTGCAGACACGGCTTCCCATTACCTGATCGAGCACTTTACTTCCACGTTGCTGTTGGTGGATTGTGTGCGCTGTGACAACTTCGTTTACTCCACGAGATTGTCTTGAGGAACCTGCGCCTGCTGGCCACTTGCAGTGCAGAAAATGTAACCTCATCAGAACAGCAGCTCTCTCTGTCGCCTGTCTTGTGCCGGACAACTGCCCTGGACATCACCTCATTTATGCATAGCACCGGTGACAGAAACGAACGGCACGACTATCTGATTTCTTCCGACGTCCTCGCTTTGAACAAGCGCAACGTCCATGCTTCATCGCAGAGAACGGCAGGCGCAGATCCCACCTGTGGCGCACCGGAAGTACCAGCTGTTAGTGCCCACAAATCTTAAGGATGTGAAAAATATTCCCCTCGATTACAGACTCTTAACCAAAGGTTCAAAACGGTATACCTGACACTGTTAGCGTTCTTGAACCTCTGATTTTGGAATCCCGGTCACCCGCACTTTCGTGCGGTCCCTTGCATCTTGGGCTTTACATAGCTTGTGCGATGCAACACACTGTTCCATGCCTGCTATTCCAACTCAGTGCGGGCTCAAAGTCTGCTTGATGACCTTTCGTCTGCATGGACTGACACTCAGTTTGTTGTACTGTCTAATGGTCGCGAATCTTTCAGCAGCCGGATACTCTTTCCGTCTATTTTAGAGTCTATACTTGGTCTAACTTGGTTGATGACCTTATCGAACATGGTGTGGCAATTAATCCGAGTTCCAGCCGTCTAATCCGTCTTCCCTTACTCCTCTTCCCGAGCCAGATTGTCATGCAGCTTATGCTGTTTCATCAGTGAGACACTCACCAAGGCCGCCACGGTCAAGGCCAATGCCAACACCCACACACCCCTAAACGCCTCCATGAAGGACTCGATGACGCCGGGATACCAACCGTCGGGTAACCTTGCCAGCTCACCCAAATCGTCACGAATACGCTCGATCTCCTCGGCAGCCCCGGGCAAGTCGCCAAAGCGCTCCCACAGCCTAGTCCTGAGAACGTTCTGGTACACGGCCGATGCGACGGTGATGCCCAGCGTTGCGCCCACCGAACGGAACGCGTAGGTAGCCGACGTGATGACGGCCTGGTGCGAGTGCTCGACGGCAGAAATGCAGGCGAGCAGCGTCACCGTCAGCATCCCACCATAGCCGACGCCGAGGAGGGCCATGGAAACAAACAGAACCCAGTTTGCGGCCTGGTCGTCTAACGTGGCCGTGAGGGACATGGCAAGTGTGTAGATGGAGAGCACGCCAATGCCAAGACCTACGTACTTGCCGGTCCTCTTCATGATCAGGCCGCATCCGATGGACGAGATAGAGACACCAAGCGAAGACGCTAGGATGCGGAGACCGGCCTGGGTGGCGGATTGGCCGAGGACCTGGAGGTAGAGAGGCACATAGTACATGGTCATCATGACCACCATGGTGCTAGTCAACTGTCAGTCACGTTCCGCCATTTCACGGCAATCATCCGGGATGGAGACGTACCCGAGGAAGTTGGTGACGCATGCTGTCAGCACCGTCCGGTCGAGGAGCAGCCGAACTGGAATGATGGGCTGCTTGGCCCGGCTTTCCCACCACACAAGGGCAACCAGCATGGCAAAGCCTAGGGGGATGGTAGTCAGGACCAAGGGATCAGTCCAAGGGACCAGATTGCCGCCGGCATTTAGACCCAGCAGTACCAAAACCAGAAAACCGACGGTCAAGAAAGAGCCGCCAAAGTCGATGCGCGCGAGCAGTGACTTGTTGGAGACCTTGGGGGGCACATCAACGAGATACCACACCAGGAGGCCAGATGCTACAATGACGGGTACCTGCAGCAGAAAAGCCAGCCGCCATCCCCAGGATGAGGTATCGTTGATGAACCCGCCAAGCACACCACCCAGCATCGCCCCTGATCTGTCCACCAAAACAACATCAGCACTACAAGCCAACCACATCACACAAGAAACCACTCACCCGTACGCAATATTCCCCACCCCCTGCACCACCCCTCTCCTCTTCAACGGCACCAAATCCGACGCCAAAAAGGTGCTAATACTCATCAACCCGCCACCCCCGACCCCCGCCACCACCCGGCCCAGAATCATGCCGGCCTCGTCGCGAGCCAGGCCGCAAACCAAATTGCCCAGCGCAAACATGGCGTTGCTAAACACCAACCCGGGCCCGCGGCCAAAGATGTCGGTCAGCCGGCCCGACAGCGGCTGGAAGGTGGCCGTGGCGATGAGGTACGCCGTGGCCAGCCACGACAGGAGGCTCAAAGAGCGGAACTCGCTCGCTATGGGCGCCGATAGCGTGGCCATGATGGAGCTGTCGACAGCGCCTAGGAAGACGCCGACGTAGGTTGCCCCGAGGGTCAGCCAGAGGCGCGCCGGGGAGAGCGCGGTCGGGGGGAGGAGCGTGGTTTCTTCTGCTGCGGGTTCTTCATCTTCTTCCCCTTGTTGGATGGTGGAAATTGAGGAGGAGGCGGTGGAGATTGGTTTGGGGGATATGGGTCGGAGGAGGGGGGTTGTCTCGTTGATTGAGTTCCGTGGTTGTGAGCGTGAGACTGAGCCTGAAGGTCCAGCGGCGAGGCCGGAACCAGGCGGGTTCGCCTCAGGGTTGTGGCCGGATGTCATATGTAGTTCGGTTCTCGGACTGTAAAAATGGGGTGAGGGGTGCTGGCAAAGACCGGCGCTTGAGACTATTGTACTTCAGTGAAATGGTCTGAAAAACACAGGAGCGGGACCGGGCCGGGCAACTAACGGAGATAAACAGGGTTCGGCTCGGCTTGTGATTCGGCCGCTGATTAGTCCATCGGGTTTGAGCGGCCGCCGGTGGGGATTCGGACCTATCGCATATTACAGGGGGGTTCCGTCAAGGTTCTCATCAGCATCGACGTCCGGTCAACATCACACAACGGGCCAACATCGAATGGTGGGATGGCCGAAACACACGAATACCAAGCCGCATCCATTTGACGTCCCCAGCTCTTTGATCGCATGCTAGAGGAACGAATGCATCTGCGTGCTTCATACCGACCCCTAACCCTGGTTTCTGGGGCAATCGAATGCGAAGCCCCTGATGCGAGTCCTCCTTTCGGCAGGCCTTTCACCTAGATTGCTTGCCCTTCCTAGGTAGCTTGACCGAACAGACAAGCGTATCATGGATGCTTTATTCTAGGGAGGCCCAATCAATCCATGGCCCGCCTTTCTCTACGTGTGGGTTTCGCCACGGCGCTTCTTGTGGTCTCCGCCTTCCCGACAAGCAGCTGAATCGGGTGTTTTGTGCCCCTTCCTCTTGGCAATTTTCAACAGCTTGACTGTCCACCGGCATTCTTGCGGTGTAATTTTGATAAGTTTGCTGGCGTCGGCTCCTTCGTCTTGCAATAGGAACCTGATAATGTCATCGGTGCTCTCGTTCATCATCTCTTCCAGAGCCGATGCCCAGCTCAGACTTGCCCCCCGGTTTGAGAAGGAATGTTGCGTGGTCCCATTGAGTCTTGGATAGAGCTGATTCCAGTCGTTTCTTTCTCTTTCCGCGGTTGACATCGGCCCCTCTGTCCAGGAGCAGCTGCGACGCCTTGGTCTTGCCGCGGGATGCTGCGCACTCAAGCAAATCTGGGTATCCTCCGGCCTTGTCGACATCGGCGCCTCTCTTGAAGAGGTACATAATCAACAATCACCGCATGCCCAGCCATGCAAGCCGTTTCCAAACACGTGTGTTGAACCTGCCCAAGTTGCTGTCGGCGGCGAAATCGGCAGTGAGTTACTCCCCAGCCACATACTCTCCTGACTTTAAAATATAAAGTGAAAAGGGACAGACTCCCTAAACAAATCTGGCATGCTACTACATAACTATCCCAAAGCTGTGGCAATTGCTCAGCGACGTTCATCGGTGTCCAATAGACCCTTGACATGGGGTCGGCACAGGTGGTCAACAGCGGCCCAGGTCTGGAACGCAGTCTGGCAGCCTCCCGCGAGAAAGGGTCGATATGATCTACAGTTCGCATCGGCGCCGCGGTCAATGAACATGGCGATTCACATTCCTCGCGGCTGGCTAATGTGGCCGTCTCGAAGGTGTATCTCGCGCGCCCCCGGGGTTCAAATCAGCACCTGTGTCAAAAAATCGGCACCTGTATCAAAAAGCAGCCGCACAATATCATCCCTCCCCACGATCGCCGCGATGTGTACGGAACGCATACCGCGATAGTCCTAGGCGTCTACATCGGCTTCGCGGTCAAAGAGGGTTTCAACCACTTGGAGGTGTCCATTGCCTGCAGCAAAATAGGGAGCAGTGCCTGCCTGTGCCGAGAAGTTGATGTTGGGAGCAGCTTCACGGTACTGAAATAGCCAACGGCCGCTGAAGCTGCCAGGAGTGATTCGTAGCCATAATCTTGTCGTAAATCGGGCTTGTCATCCATCAGGCGTACAACGTCGTCAAGTCTAAATTGTGCCGCAGAATAGAACGACGGCAGTGTTTGAGCTCCGATATTGTAGTGTTCACTGACCAACCATCGCATGTTCACCCAACTGACAAACGCAATCTGGTTGCAGCGGAAAAGTGGGTTGGCCAGATGTAGAGGCAACGAGCTTCCCACCCACTTCCTTCGCGGTAATGATCTGACCAGTTTCTTGCCACATATTTGACGAGGGGTTTCTCGATGCAACTTTCCTATGAGCTTCTGGGCGTCTCACGCTGAACCTTGCCGCGATGCCAGTCAGGATTCGGTCCATTTCTAGGAATTCCTGCACCGAGTAGTGCGCGATGCGCACTGTGTTTTTCTTGTCCTCCGGTTCCATGCCCACTTCAATGAAGCCTGGACATATTCGGCGAATGTCGTCCTCGCCCGCCAGCCTACTGTCTTCGTTTAGCCTTGGACTGTCTCCGAGTTCCACGGCGATTCCGTCAATGAGCTCCTCGACTGTTACTTTGTCGTGCACAGAAGGGTCAATATCCGTCTGGCGTCATCTGCTGATTCCTCCGCAATGTTGGACAGCATTCGTTCGTAGGTTTTGTCCAAGGAGCGTGGCAGTGACCTGAGCAGCGCATCAAGTCGCGTCCTGGACATCCTTCCAGCGCGGTAAGCTGGCATTCGACCCAGCGAAACCTGGTGTCAGACAACGTCAGCTCCAACAAGCTACTAGAGACATCAGAAAAAAAACGTACACGCCCTTTGCACCTTCTGTCAGCGCTCGCTCAATCTGATCGTGGCATTTCTCCCATTTTTGGAGTCTGCGGTTGTCCTTCAGCTGGCCGGAGACAAAGGATGCGATGTCAGCATCGACCAAGGCGCTTCTCATCGGCACAGCTTTGGTCAGACTGAAGGTCGAGAGACTCTCAAATGTCCTGCTTGTCCCGGCTGACCAGAAGATGCAGCCCGGGCTCTCGCCAGCGCCGCATTTTCTCCAGGGTCTGTAGCAGGTCTTCCCGATGCTTATGCCGAGGGCTCTCGTCCAAGGCATCCAACACCATGTAGACATCGTTAAACTTGGCGACCAGCTGGCGGAGGTAATCCATGAGCGCATGGTCCGGAGGGGTAGCACCTCGGTAATCCGGGTGAAGTCGCGAGAAGGTAGTCTCCTGATGCTTGAGTTGGGACACAAACTGCAGGATCAAGACACGGAGCATTGTCGATGAGTCCTGCTTCGAAGTATCGTTTGAATGTGAAGTGGAAGCATGCAATGCCAGTGCAAGAATTCAACCGTCGTTGGTGCAAGGTGTGCTGGATGATGGCTGAGGAAAGCACCGACTTGCCGCAGCCGGCGAACCCATGAATCCACGAGAACGACCTGGCCGTTCGTAGCCATGTGTTGAAATAGGGTCCTCTGATGAACCAGAGTCCGGTGCCAGGGTGTTTCTTCTTGCAGGACTCATTGTAGTTAATCGAGGCATCTGGCGCCTGCAGCCAGATCCTAATCTCGGGCGAGACCTGGTCGGCCCTCATGAGCTCGAGCAGCGCCTTGGTATCTTGTAGCTCATCCTGAGCGCTTCCAAAGTCTTGTTGCTGCAGGACCTGAAGGGCAAGCGAAAGACGGGAACTGAGCTCGTCGATGTTCTCATCGAGCTTCTGCAGATTGCTTTGACGGAAGGGGTAAGTCAGTCGACAACCCGTTGCACGAGCGACAGCCACGATCCCGGCGGTTTGGGGCGCCCGTTCGACTCGGCCCTGTCGCTGAGCGCTCGGTTACTCCCGCACTTGAATCCGGAAACGATCCCGGAAACGATTCCGGGAGAAGGTGCCTGGGTGCATTTCACCATTTCATGTTGAAGCTCGAGAATGAGCTCCTCGCAGTCGTCGACGCGCCGCTCGATTGCCTCCAGCGAGGATCCCTCATTTGGCCGGAACTTGTGTTCAGATAACCGCTTGAGCAATATCTCAAGCGTGCTCAAGAGATTAGTCAGCCGCTTCACGGTATGGGCTGTGTCCGATGCTTGGTCCCTGTATGCTGTGTAGTGTTTGACTAGGCCCTCTGTGACTTGAATGCCTAACGAATGATTCCCACAACGGTGCCGTACCTCGGCCATTGTACGGTATTGAGCTCCAACAGATCTGAGTGTCAAACAAGCAACAGACTCAGGAGAAAGGGGAAGGTTGGTGTTAGTTCCCTACGCGTTCAGCTCATTTGAGTTCGACTCCGGGAAAAAAGAGGTATCATCTTACAAAACCTCGCCAAGCATGCCGTGCAATTGCTCAGCCGCCTTTGAATGCCTCGAAATGTGCGGGGTCAGGTGATGGCGCAGACATTGGGCCTTTCTCATTGTCAAGGCTTGTTCGGTTCAGAGGACATGTTCGGTCCAGAGGATATGTTCGGTTCAGAGAACGTTTCTCGGGAGACAGGAAAGGGGGTGATATCGTACGCCCTTGAGAAAGCCTGATTATGAATTGACTGAAGAGATACAATGCTTCAGAAAGAAGCAGCTTAGACCAGCTTCCAGACACCGTCCTTGGACTCAATCCGGATTTCCCTGCCCTCATCAATGCTCCTCCTCCCAGCGTGGAGGATGGCGGTTGTTGCAATAGTGTTCCTGAGCGTCGGGAGACCCTTGGCGTCCAGGTCCGCCGGCTTCAGCTCCCCGGCGTTGACAGCCCGGCACCCGTCGACGAACTTCTCGAACGAGACGTAGCCGTAGCCGCTCTGGCCGTTGAAGTTGCCATCCTCGTCCGGAGCGTACCGCATGTAGAAGGGGTTGTACCACATCAGCTGGCCCGCAGCATCCTCAGCCACCTCATAGCCGCGCTTGGCCTGGTTGATATTGATCTCACCGTCTCTGGCGAGGTAGTGGAAATACTGGTTGGAGTGCACGCCAGCCCGCTGCGGGGCGGTCCATGAGGCAGTGTACACGCCGGTCGCCCGCTTGGACGGGTCGTCCTTCTTCTCCCAGTGCACCAGCAGCGAAATGGTATCCTCGGTCGCTTCGTTGCATCCGAGGCCGGTCGCGACGCCCTTGGACGCCGACGCCGACACCTTGACGGGGACGTAGCCCAACTGTGACACCATCGAGTCGCAAATGTCAACATGGTGGCTGTTAAGGTAGTACGAGATGTCCGAGTCGACGCCGGCCCACGCCTTGAAAGTCTCGAGCTGGGACTTGGGCTGAGACATGTACGAGTAGAAGTAGTTGAAGTCTCCCAGGTTCTTGGCCCGAGCCTTCGCATCCCAGTAGGCGGGGTCAAAACGCTTGTGGTGCTCGATATAGACGTAGACACCACGCTTCTCGGCCGCTTCGAGCAGAGCAACGTGGTGTTCGAGGAGTTTCACGGCTGGCTTGGTGATCATCACATGGATCCCCCGCTCGATGGCATAGAGGGCGATGGGATAATGTGTAGTGTCGGGCGTGAAGATAGTGATGGCATCGCCGGGCGAGAGCGCGTCAATGGCTGCCTTGTACGACTCGGGGTCTTTGGCATCATCGGCCGGGTATGATTGGAACGACGTGTCCAAGTTGTTGTAGGCCAGTGTGATGTTTTTATGGAGGTGTTCCCCTGCGCAAGCACGTCAGCGTCGGAATCAACACAGCAAATGCGCTCAAGGTATGTAGCTTACGAATCGCCGGGAATTTCGTCCCGTTGACACCAACCATACCAAGCTTGCCCACCTTGCCTCTCCGCCTGAGATCGAACAGCGTCAATCCCACGACTCCGACCTTCTTGTCCGAACCAGAAGCGCCACCACCGACGAAGCCGGTGGTGTACTCGCCGGTACCGACCTTTCTCGCTATCAGCGGAGACTCTTAGTTAGATATGGACTTTGGAACTTACCATCAACACGTTGAGAGGCTGCATTGTGACTGTGAAGATGACCTTTTGAGGTTGAGGGATGTTGCTGAGGGATGCAAGTTGAGAGTGAAGCCGGAGGGGGGGATCTGGCTCAATTATTGCAAGCACGAGTCACGGCCGGATGCCAATCCATTGCTAGGACCGAGCGGGCTCAGCTGCCGCTGCTGCTCCCTTGCCCGAGTCTCACCAGGAACCGCTTGCTGGACCGTCCCGGAAGAATTCACGGAGGTGAGGGGTACAAGGCAGATGGAAAAGAGGGGCCGATTTGGGGCTTTTGCGATGTGAAACACCGCTGAACATACATCGGTCAGGGGCAACCATGAAATCGGATTTTGCTCGGTGCTTTCATTTGTGGAATGTTTCAGTGTTTCGACGGTTCCAAGAGGAACGCCGCATCCACAACCACGGCCTCCATCAAGCTCAAGCCGGGCCGTGTGTTGGGCTGCGAGTTGATGAATTTCGAGAGAGGTGCAGAGCAGGACTGCCCTTCCCACTGGTGGACTGCGGGGGATTGGAGAAGCCAAGGCGGGATCCACTAACTTTTTGACCCGCCCCCACGTCGCTTCCCCGCAATTGAACCCTCAGCATGGAACCCCGGACAGCCGCTCGCTGCAGCTGTTCCAGCCCCGGGAGCATCTCAACCGAGCGCTTCTTGGGCCGTTGCTACAGTAAAACTTCAGCCTCGCACAGGCTAAATTGCCTCTGTCATGCTCACACAGAGGAATTTTTCTATCATTTCCGTTGACGTGCAGCCACGAGCTCACCGATCTGCAAGATGAGCCCGCCGACTCCAATGACTTCAGACGGGGAGTCTGATGGTTGCACTTGGCAAGAGAACCAGGTCGTTTGCTAGCACTCGACGCGATTGGAGGGAAATCAATTCTCCGAAGCCACCAAGCCCCACGAGGTCCATCCGGCTTGTCGCTTGTCTCGAGAACATCACCCGAGTTTGTCTTCGAGATCCATCCTGAACAGAATGAGCGCGGAGAATCCCGTTCATCAATCCTTCCCAGACACCGCCATCGACGACGTTGATCGGCTTAAACTCGATGGCCGTCCTGGCTCCAAGTCTGTGAATAACATGTACGCCTCAAACTCACCAATCGCCTTGACGTCAACCCGACCAAGTGAAGTCGTGTGTAACCTCGAGATGACCCTTCGCCGACAGCGGGTGATTGCCGGCATCAAGTGTGTCATGTGGGGTAAATTGCCCAATCCCATCGAATTGCTCGCCTACCGCCTGCCGCCTTTGTTCAAGCCGCACTACCCCGCCATTCTGCCGCCATCCCGCTCCTCGAGCAGTTGACGCAAAACGTCACCACCCAATTTCTGGACTGCCACCCATGCCTCGATGCCGGTGGCTGCAAATGGGCTTCGGGAGTAGACGGGCTAATGTACTCATGTGCGGTTTCCTGTCTTCGAGGCCTACATTGTTCAGGTTGTCCCAACCATTACACGGCGAGCCAATGCGAAACCTCACACAGAAATCGAAGTCCGAGCCAATCAGGGCTGGAACTTGCTCTCAATCACCGCAGATCAGTTCGACTGGCGCCGAGCCCCTGGCTCCCGCTTCTCCAGGCGACAAAAATTCTTATCCGGGGCCCGAATCCAAGGAGATTTTCTGTCCCAAGGTTCTGGTTCCTCTTCCCTGGGTCAGACCTGGTTGCCGGGCTTGAGGTTCTACTTGATTACCTGTACCCGAGAAGGCTTTCTGCCGTTCTCCCGGACATCGACGTCCGTCCATGCCGTGGTTGTCAGCGGTATATCGGTGCGTTATTTGTTTATCCAATCGATCGCGATATTACTCCGGATATATAGGGAGCCAGCGAAGTCACAATACTTGCCGAGCCCACCATCCCGCGTGCCTCCAGTGATGACCCTCGTCCCGGTCTGGCCTCGAGTTGTCTTCTTCCCCAGATTTTCAGGCCGGTCCTGGGCCTTTCCGCCGAGTTTCGCCTGAAAGGGGCCCGCAGAGGAGACCGCCATGTACCACCCCCCTGGTTACCTGCCTTAGTCCATCAAGTGACTGCTTCGGGCCGCTCGCAGGCGACACCGACATATCATCCGCAAGCCCAAACCCCACCAGTGTTTGCTGAGCTTCCAGTTAGGTCATGGAACGCTTGTTCGCCTTCAGACCCCCAGTTTCCTTCATAAGCAGTCGCCTTTCCACCTCCCCTCTCCCTTCCCTTTCCGTCCTGCATTCTTATTATCCTCCTCCACGTGCCCGTCATCTTCATTGTATTACTGCCTCCCCGTGTCTCTTCTATCCCGGGCTTCCCTCCTTCCGTGTCTCTCCTCCCAAGACCATCATGACAGTTCCCAACGGCACCACCAATGGCAGCCGGACCACCCGGCGGCCGCTCCCATGCGGCATCTACGCGCCGACCATGACTTTCTTCGACCCCGAGACAGAAGACCTCGACATCCCGACCATCAAGAAGCATGCCGAGCGCCTTGTCAGGGACGGGCTCGTAGGCCTCGTCACCATGGGGTCAAACGGAGAGGCCGTCCACTGCACACGAGAAGAGAAGCTGGCGGTCACCCAAGCAACACGAGAGGCCCTTGATGCGGCGGGCTTCACCGAGACACCCATCATCATCGGCGCCACCGAGGGCAGCGTCCGGGGCACCATTGAGCTGTGCAAGCTCGCCAAAGACGTTGGCGCCGACTACGCCCTGCTCCTACCACCATCCTACTTCCGCTTCCTCATGGACGAGCAGGCCGTCCACGACTACTTCATCGCCGTGGCCGACGAGAGCCCGCTCCCGCTGATCCTGTACAACTACCCGGGCGCCGTCGCGGGCATCGACATGGATTCGGACCTGCTGATCCGCCTTGCTGCCCACCCCAACATCGTCGGCACCAAATTCACGTGCGGCAACACGGGCAAGCTGACGCGCGTGGCCCTCGCCACCGACGCCAAGACCCCCTGGTCCGAAGGGTCGGGCTACATGGCCTTCGGCGGCATATGCGACTTCACCGTGCAGACGCTGGCCAGCGGCGGCAGCGGCATCATCGCCGGCGGCGCCAACGTCATGCCCAAGGTGTGTGTGCGGGTTTGGAACCTGTACGCCGAGGGCAAGAAGGAGGAGGCCATCGCGCTGCAAAAGACGCTGTCCAAGGGCGACTGGGTGCTGACCAAGGCGGCGATCGCGGGTACTAAGCAGGCCATCCAGAGCTACTTTGGCTACGGCGGTCACCCGCGGCGCCCGCTGAAGAGGCTGGACAAGGCCAAGGTGGCGGCTATTGAGGAGGGGGTGCGGGAGGTGATGGAGATTGAGAAATCGTTATAGGGCGGGGGGGAGAAAGTGTTGAGGTTTGTGGATGATTATGCATAGTGCTTCTCTGATTGATGAGCGAAAAGGAGCATGAGCCGCCTAATGTCAACTAACCAGCCTTGCATAAGTGGTAGTCAGGGGTATGGTATGCAGCTGCATGCAAGGCGGAAGGGAGTGGGAGACTCGAGACATGGGTTGTTAAATCGGGCTAATGCATCGGACTTCGTAAATGGCATTGTGGTATAACTCTCGGTATATCTCAGGCATTTCTTAATGGCAAAGTGACTTTTTTTTAAAGGGGCAAATGGGGCAATCACTATTCGTGAGCAAAGGTGGTGAAAGGCAGCCAAGGGATCAGATTGGTACCCAGTGATGGGGTCACTTGACGAATGAAGTATGTACTAAGAGCATCTTTCGTTGTCGTTTCTCTTTGCTTTGACCTATCCTTCTTACCCACAACCGCGGCACTCTTTTGCCTACACACTGGAGAGCAAAAGGGAGTGAGGTTGTGCTGACGCTCATGTCCTTTTGACACGCAGCATGTCAAATTCCACCAACCATGTTTCGCTCCCGGTTATCGGTCTTGGGATTGGTATTCCAGATGACTTCGTCAACACAGTTTGCAGTCCACACAAAGACAACGAAGGGCACATACATTCCTCCGGCTTGTGCGGGACGTTGTTGGGAAGTTCCTAGTGGTTGTCAACCACGTCATCCTATCGCAAAGATGTTTGGCTGGAGAAAGATCGACCCGTGACCACGATGTGGTTCGATAGAAGCTTGCCTCTAGCAACGCCGGAGAGTTACCCGCTAGAGGTATGTTCTGAGCTACCATTCTTCTTGAACGCCTATAAAAGGTAAGGTAACATTGTCTGAACGTAGTATATATAAAAACCACCCTCGCCTCAAACCTTGAACTTCCTCGGATCCAACTTTCCCACCTCGTCATCCGGCTTATCCCCAAAAATCATGCCTGCCATGAGATAGCCTGTCCCCGGTCCGTTTTGTATCCCCCAGCACGTGTGCCCCGCGGCAACCCACAGCCCGGGGACGGATGTCGGTCCGATCAGCGGACCCCTCTGCTCCCCGAAGCGGATGTGCTGCGGCAGATAGCAGGCCTGGCGGGCCTTGACGGGCGCCTTGGCGAGGGTGGGGGAGATGGTGCTGATGTAGGCTATTAGGTCGTCGCATTGGGATTCGTCGACAGATACCTCGTCGGCAGTGGCTGGGAGTGGAATGGATTTGTCGGGTTCGCCTTGGTTTCACATTGTTAGTTTGCCTAAAGAAAGAGCGCTCACTTGGATGGAGAAGGGAGGAAGCGTACCGCAAGCGTACACCTCCCCGAACGGTCGGGCGTAAATTTCCGGGTCGACGTTCCCCTTATGCCGTCTTTTCTGACCCTGGCTGGCGCGGTGTTCCGGGACGTAGTCTGCCGGTAGTTCGATATCGGTAAAGACGGCATAGGGGCTGACGTCGGCTTCAAAGACAACGCTGTGAGCGCGCAAGCCTTCTACTCTGGTCCGGGGGAGTAGTTTCCCGGTCCACGGCCCTGCGGCCACGACGACGTCGGTCACGTCGTCGATGGTGTGCCTCTCCCCTGTGTTGCGATCCTCGTACTCCACACTGTGTATGCCATGCGTATTGGCGTCATTTATCTTGGTCACTTTGGCTCGTAGTCTGATGTCAACCCCCTTTTCTTTTGCCAAATCGGCAAGCGCGTTAGTAAAGTGAAATGGATGAACTTGGGCTGTCTCCGTTGCCCCCGGTGAGCCCATCTCTTCGTAGCCCTGGATCAATCTGCCGTCAAGCCAGTCCAGGTCGGCTGGCAAGGGTGAGTTTTGCAGCAGGCCAGCTGCCATGTCGTCTTGCTTGGGAAGCTTCTCCCAATCCTTGGTCCTTTCATCCGGAACGGTACTTTGTATGGGGAGTTCGCCATGAGCGCCGTTCTCCATCGGCGGTAACGGCGGTTTGTATGTCCTGCCTTTGATGTCGTGCGCGCTGACTGTGGCGGCCAGACTACCGCATCCCAGGCGTCGATAACCCCATCGTTCTGCCCCGTTGTGTTCTGCAGCCAGTTGGCTGTGTAAGCGGTATGATAGGGACACGAGGCAGGTGGGATAGGCCCATAGGGCGAGCAGTCCGCCGGCTTTGCCAGATGCGCCCGAGGCAATGGAGGTGGCTTCGAGGAGGGTGACGGTGTGCAAGGCGGGGTTGAACTTGGGGTGGCGTGTGAGGTAGTAAGCCGTGGTGCATCCGATGATGCCGCCGCCTGTGTTTGAAAGAACTGCATCAGCTCTCTGTACCTGACAGGTTGGAGGGTTGGGCGTTCGCTTGACGGACCAACGATGACGATGTTCCTCTTCTGCTGCGCATCCATGCTTGCGACCGCGCGAATGCTTGCCCACAAAGCAGTGGCAGGTCAATGCAGATGAGTGGTTTACCACAACAGATTCGCTACTGTCAGCTGTGCTATATCGCAGTAAGGTTCTGGAAGTTTGCTTGAGATCTCGGCTCTTCACCTCAAGATAATGTAACCATTGTATTCCGGCAGTTGGTTGCCAGTGGGTGGACTGACTCGGGATCAGGGACGGGTCTCGGCGCCGTCATACTGGTGGTCCGAGCTTCGGCTTGAAAGCGGGGCATCCACGTGGCGGCGTAATGTACGGATACTATCCGTACTCCCGACGGAAGTCTCCAAAAAGAACTCAATGTCGACATTGGAGAACAGCAGATTCCCTTCCATATGATGAGATGAAGTGCCTGGAGTAAGCTCTACATAAGCCATGTCTCGTATACCTGTTGCATCCGACAGACAGTCAAATATTTGCGACAGACCGGTGGGTCTCGCCAAAACGTCCCTGCTGCGGCCGTCGGCCTTCTTGGCGCATGCGCCTGCCGTATCCTTTCTCGATCACGAACCTGGCAAGGTGTCTCGAACTGGCGGTCTTGTCGGGGCGCGAACATCTGGAATGGCCCGAGACGTGACTTGGGCCCGTTAATACGTACACGTGTAGAATAAGGTATCCAGTGTTTCAAGACCACCAGATCAACGAGTGCTAGTTGTCTGAACTGGATCTTGCGAGCATCACATGGATCGGAGGAACTGGCCAATAGAAAGCCTCGGCAGTTCGAACTCAGTTTTGGGTTCTGCATCAGAAGCTTGAGCCTTCCTTCTGTTGCACTCCTCTTAAATGCAGCCGTCGCCCACGTTCGACCAAACTCCATGCTTGCCTCCTATCATTCAACCGCACGGCTTTCACGCACCATTCCATCCACAGCACGATTTGCCACAACAATCTGGCTATCACATTGGTCCTGTCCCCGGCTGTTGACTTTGTCACATATCTCCTCCAAACGACAGTCCCTACTTGCTAGACAAATCACCGTCATGGCCTCTGCAACAACCTTCTACGACTTCAAGGCTCTCGACAGTAGGTGACAGTTACCCCGTCTCACCATGTCATCCTGCAATCACGCCACCTACTAACCCATGCGTAGAAAGAGGAAAAGAGGTGCCTCTCTCCGACTACAAGGGCAAGGTCGTCCTGGTCGTCAATACCGCATCCAAGTGCGGCTTCACCCCGCAGTACGCCGGCCTTGAGAAGCTGTGGAAGACCATCCACGAGAAGCACCCAGATGACTTTATCATCCTCGGCTTCCCCTGCAACCAGTTCGGCAACCAGGAGCCGGGTTCCAATGACGACATCCAACAGTTTTGCCAGATCAACTACGGCGTCACATTTCCCATCATGGCCAAGGTCGACGTCAACGGTGACAATGCCGACCCGGTTTTCAAGTGGCTCAAAGCCGAGAGGCCTCGTCTGTGGGGAGCGTTCCCAACGGTACTGTGGAATTTTGAGAAGTTCTTGATTGGGAAGGATGGCAAAGTGAAGGGTCGCTGGTTTCCGAGCAAAGCGCCGCAGTCTCTCGAGCCGATAATCCTAAAGGAGTTGGCCAAGTGAAGCAAACGTGCTTCTGATGGTCATTGGTGGACTGGGTTTGGTCTACCCGGCTTTACCAATCTTAAAACTAATATATGACAGCTATGCCGGACGTGATTAGATAGCTGGTGCGTGTTTTTAATTCTCGGTTAGGCAGCAGGAAAGACGGGTGTTGAACACCGTCCACAACACTCGAAGCCACTTTCGACATCTCAAAGCGAACAGTAGTCAACCAGATAATCGCCTGACTGCCTTCGACCACAAACGTACCAGACAATCACGCTGATACCTCTTCATGAGTACCTTACTCTTGTCTGGTCAAAATTTTGCGAAAAGCAGGGCTAGTCAATCGAAACGTTCGAGAGACGGACTACTCCATCACCGTGGGCCGTAGCAAGAATGTGGCTGGTACCTGGTCCTGGAGCAGCAGAAATGGCGAAGACAGAGTTCTCGTTGGAGGGACTAACAGGCCGCACCACTGCTTGTGCCTCTTCCGAGCTCGGGTTCCGAAAGCCAAACATCCATCTTCGGACCCCGAGATGGATATCGGCACGCGCTGATGTGCCAATAAAGCAGCCCCGATTTACAATTTCTTGGCGTTCGTTAGCGTTAGCTGACGCCGCATTTCGGACGGACGGTTAGGGACTGAGCAATGGACCTTAGTACCCTGTGGCTTGTCCATGCCCTGATACACACCAGGAAATTCGCTGATGAAGTCCAGAGCTTGATCGTCTTGTCAACGCTTGCAGTGATAACCTGAGTGGAACGATCACTCTTCGGTTTCGTGTTGTGTGGAATATCAACAGCAAAAATACCGCCGGAGTGGCCGTCCTTGCCAGTTTGATACGGGAACTGATTGCCAGTCATTAGATCCCATAATCTGACTTGCCCGTCAGCGCATCCGCCGACTAGAACAGAATGCTCGTATGAGATTGCAACAGATTTCGCCCCCGAGCTTGTCGACAGAGTGTAGACGCGAGTGGCAGTCTCTGCATCCCGCACCCTGATGGTGGCGTCGGTGCTGCTGGTCACAATAGTTTTCTCCTTCCTGAGCCCAACACACTGCATACACTTCGTCGGTGTGGCCTTCGAAGGGTCAGAGAACCGACTCATTTTCGACATTCCGGTTCTAGATAGACCATTAGTGGCTACATCCTTCAGCTATCAAGTTACCTAGGAAAAGTATCACTTACAATCACCCGTTCGCGCTATCGCCAGACACCAGCCGGTTGCCATCTGGACTGGAACATACCGTGTAAACGGCCGAGTCCGGATACCCTTCATTCGGAAGCATCAACGTATAGTAAGGTAGTGCTCCAGTGTCGACTTTGGAAACATTGACTAAACCTTAAGAGGCAATCGCAATGTACTTTCCATCGAGGCTGAATCGGACATTGAGAGCGGGCATGCCTTGTGGCATAGTATGGACCAATTTCACTTCCAGCACGCACCGCCATTGCTGTGGTTTGTAGACAATGCTCCAGTCGTCTCCGACGCTCTTGAGACGCTCGGTAGCGAACAGATCGCCCAAGAGATCATCTCGGTGTTGCTGTATCGCTGAAGTATAGAGGTCCAGGAAGGATGCGAGAGCAGTCCAGATGGCTCTTTCCTGAAGACGAGGTTCCACCCGCGGCGGCCGAAGTCATTGCGCTCCCACTTATACCCTTGAGACATTGACTCCATGGAGTCCTGGTCAAAGGACTGGCGCGACACTGTTCGGACCCGTTTCAAGTTCTTTATTTTGGCGTGGCAGTGAGGAGAGGGCGATCTGCTGGAGAGTGTTTCCGGAATTGATCAAACCTAACCACAACAATGGCTTCGTCGTGAGCGGTTCGTGCATCCGGCTCCGCCGACGCCCATGTGCCATCGCAGAATGGGCATTTGCTTGGCTGAATCGAGCTGGGGAATCTCTTTGACGACTCGATTACAGCTGCCGTCTGACTTTCCCCTAGATCTGTGCGGTGATGTACTGTGATATCGTGTCCTAACCCGCCGGAGACTTGAAGCTGTCCGAGCACTTGTAACGAGCCCAGACGCTTCGGTGTACGAGGAGCTCGTGCTCAAACCAGGCGTGCTGCGACTGGTATGTTTCGAAACCGCACCCAGGAAAGGTACAAAGGTACGGTTCGGGGTCGTGCACCACGTGAGTTCTACAAGTTTGTACAGGCACATGTCAAGCGAATCTCCGGTTTCTTTCTTGCGAGATCAATAACCAAGGTACTAACCTCGATTGTTGCTCCTTGTCCTTGCCCTCAAAGGACTGGGCTGTGAAACAGTACGGACATAGAAACACCGAGTTCCGTTCAGCTTGGGACGGTGGGTGGGAAGCCAAGCTCGGCATCGGACGGCTCTGCAATTGTTGCAGCAAACAACACCGTCAAACGGGCTGATTGTTCCTCAAGCAGCTAGGCCAATTGCATAGTTTCAAGCTCGTTAGCTTTAAAATCTGTTGTTTGGTATCCGCGAGCAGGCTTGGACTCGGTTCGTTTTGCCGGGAAAGGGCCCGTTCTGCAGGAGGGTTGATCTCAAAACCAAGGACTTGGCCAAGCTGAGACTGTCTCTGAGCGTTGTTGTTTCATTCCGCGGTCAACTTGGACAGTCGCTCGTCATGTCTCGGCAGTACTTGAAGGATAGGCGACGCCTCGCATTCGCCTCACCCGGACGAACCACTAGTGCCTCGTTTTCCGCGGCCGTCGAAGGGTAACTTACCGGTCTCCGACATACATAACATCGGCGCGTGTATCAAAGGGCTTTGCCGCCGATGCTCGTTGTCGCTTGTCCTCTGGGGCATGTCTTCGGATGAAGATGGAAGTTCTGGACAGGTTGCCGATGCCGGACCGGATGGCTAGCATGAGTTCCTCAATCTCAGACGTCGCCTCCGTTGGCCCTTTCGACAGCATCGCCTCGTCGTAATAAGAGTCGGAATCGCTTGATGATAAATCGAACTCGGAGAGGTCTATTGACTCCAAGTCAATGACTCTGCTGTTCTGTTGCGGCGATATCCAGTCGCATTGTCGGTCGCTGACTGGGGTGACTCGAGGATGTCGTCAAAGCAACTTGAGTACGGCATCCCTGACGACTGCACTGTCTCGAAGGCGATGGTCAAGCGAGAGAGGCGTGGTGCTCGGCCGCAGTGCTCCGAGACTGCCCGGCACATTGCGCAAAACGGTCTCGCAGTTGCTCGACGTTTCGTACGCGCAGGGCCTCACTTTCCACCCAAACCGTTCGAGGTGTTCTTTGATGCGGCGACCGTGAGGTTTATGCCTGACGGAGTTTGGCGGTTTCGGAAATCTCCCGATCTCCCATGTTGACTCAGGAGCCAAGAGCTCAAACAATTGAGGAACATTTTCATGACAGGACACAAATCAGAACACATGTGCCGAGGAATTTTAGATCAAACAACCCGAGGAGGCGGACAGTAGTCTTGTTAGTTATTGAGATGGAGGAACCGAAATGCAACTCGAAAGCTGGGAGGTTGCAAACGACAAGTCTATGAAATCAGAATATCAGCGAATAACTTAAAAGACAGCCCGAAGGGCTGAAAAATAAGATGTTCAAGTTGAGAGCGAGTCTGAAGGAATCAAAGGAGGAATATCACAGACTGTACCGACGGCCCGAAGAGAGGTGGTAAGGCACGGTACTCCATTTGAACTGTCTCAAATCCTCCTCCTTCGTCATGAGTGCTCAATTTCAGTATTTTCAGGTACTTCTCGCTGTTTCTTTCACATATCACTCACACAAGGACCCGCAACGTCTGGCTTTGAGATTGCCGGCATTGTACTTGGGGGCTTTCCCATCCTGCTAAAGTGCCTCGAACGCTACCAGGAGGCCTTCGAGCCTCTGGGAGAGTGGTGGTGGAACTTTCGCACCCATTTCATCGCCTTCGACGACGACATCAGGCATTAGATTATGCGGTACCATGAGAACATAATTCGCCTGATCGATCTCATCATGACCCAAAAAGCCGATCGCCACAGACTGGTTCAAGACACTATGTGGACCTTGAAGGGGAGGCTCGGGAGCGAATTCGACAGACATATCCGCATCCTTGGCAGAATGCAGGAAACCATATGTGAATTGGAGAAGTTGCTTCCGATCGAGATGGAAAGGTATGTACGCGCTCAGCTTCCAGCCGGAACCCCTTCTGTCTGTTCGTTCGTGGCACCTTCGACATTCGTGTTCAACAGTTGATTGCATGGTCGCTCTGTTAAACTCCGTCTTCTTCCTTCTACTACTGCCTGTCCAGCATTTGGCGGCGAGAGACTGCTATTCTCACAATGATCTGCTGACCCAAGGGCAGGTCTCCTGGGTGGGCACACCGCAGCAGATGCCCTGGCAGTGGCACTTCAAACGTCTGCGGATTATTTTCTCCAAGGGCAAACATAGAAAGGTGGACAAATTGGCGGTCTGTAACCAACAGCAAGAGATCCTTGGCTACAGTGAGCGCATCATCCCCATCGCCGACAAGCGTAAGTCGTCTGAGCCAGTCGGGCTATTCGAGAAGATCCGCCAACACGCTTGGGGCGTGAACGATGCGTTCAAGCGGCAGTGGAGATGCAGTCGCGGCTGTCAGCCCGCAGACCACCAAGCTCACCTGAACCTCGACGCCGAAGCTATCTCGGGCAACTTGGACGTGGTGTTCATCTTGAGCGGCAGCCCGAGCAGTCTTACACCATCGTGGCACCACGTCCAGGTTGCGCCAACAGAGGCAGTCCCAGCAGCGTGTGCAGACCTTACCAACACCCAGCAATCAGCCGTACTTGCCGGTATCCAGGAGACTTCCTTCCAGCAAAATGCCGCGGCGAGAACATGAACACCACACCCCTGACGTTTCGGTCGATGCGCTCCTCGCTGAAGGCATTATCAGGACGAAAGAGCACCCAAACCACCCTTGCTTCAAACAAGAACGTGAAATTTGATGCATCTGTGTCTGCAAGTTCCGTGGGTCCACCAACCAACCCTCTAGGCACTGAGGCACAGCAATCCTCCAACCCAATCTGATAGCCGGCCTCTGCTTCTCTCTGGCCCACGAGGAACACCAGTGGGGTGTTCTTGAAGGGAGTATGGACCGCTGTGTCCGGCTCAAAAAAACTGTCTAAAGACCCTGGAGGAGTGATACTAGTCCTGCTCCCTGAACTCATCGCAATGTACCAGCGCGCCGCGGTTGACATCCCACGGCAACACCGATTTGAAATGGCGACGCACGTTGCCTCGGTGCTACTCCAGGCTCACACGTCCCCGTGTGGCTCCCAGAGCGATGGGCCAAAACAGATTTTTACTTTCTGGTAGACGCAGAGTCGGATCCCTTCGTAGCACCTCGCCCCTATTCTCTCGAAGTTTTCACTTCTTACCGCCTCCAGTTCCTGCAACTCGGCACGCAGGCGTTGTGCCCGACAACGACACTAGCAGCAACGATGACAACAGATTCCTGAGCTGCGGAAACAGCTCTCCAAACGAAGAGCATACCCGGGCTTGCCTCTTCACCGTGGAAGTCATGGTCCTTGAGCTGATCCTTGGGCACAATATCGAAGACTGTCAGTTTCGAAAGGAGTACTACGGCAGTGATAACCTGCCCAACGACCAAACCGACATTTACACAGCACGGCGGTGGGCGAAGAAGGTTCTCGGAGAAAGCGGGGCGAACGTGTCGGATGCGGTCAGGAGGTGCCGGGATTGCTCGTTCGGTCCGCGGCCCAATTTCAGCGACGTCCGGTTTCGCGAGCCGGTGTACGAGGGCGTGATGAAGCCTCTGGCAGATTACTTGAAGACCTGGCCAGAAGTGATGCCATAGTGTCGCTTTGGAAAAAAAGGAAAGAGTCGCGGTTGCCACAGTCCAGAACCCGGGCCGTTCAAGAAGGCGGCACCGAAGACAATTCCGCGATGCTAGCCGATTCCGGGGGTCGGACTCGTTTTCTGGTAAAACCGGGCGAGGCTGTCGGAGTGCCAAGCCGGGATCCACGGCGGCGCCCGGGCTGATGTTGCTATTTTTGATCCCGGATGCATGTGATGCCTCGTCAGCTGCTCGTCGTTGCCAGGGCAGCAATCGAAAGCAACCCGGGAGAACTTCGCTGACAACCTGTTGGACCACTTAGTAACGCAGTAAACTTTTGAATGACAGAACTTTGGCAATTCATCTCAGGCCACCAAAAGGTAGCAGACTCGCCGACGGCAGTCATGTCGCATCCGGTCCGGTAGTTGGAGAAGCCGCCCGGCTGGGCCCGAAATTTGCACTTCTTTTGTGGCTTGTCGCCGCATCCGCTTTGGCTTCTGTTACCGAAGGCACGTCGAAGAATGACCTCGCTCGCATCGTCGCAGAGCGCCAGATACTCCGTACTTCTCAAAATATTGCGTGCCTGGTTACTTCGCAACATCGCCAACTCGCCTGACTGATCGGTCAGGAAGGTTTGAGGATGACCTTTGCCCTGCCCCACCGCATCGCTGCAGAGACCCACCACGTAGAGCAGATCTAACCTCACGCCATTGGCTCACTTTTGACTGGGATATGTGTGGCTTCTGGAATCAGCGTCATGGCTGTGGCTCGGCACTCTGCGCAACCCTTGCCAAGAACAGGACTGGCGTCGCCTGGGCAAGCAGCGGGCGGCTGTGTTGTTGCGATCCCAGTTTTCTGCTTGTCAAACTTAAGCTGGACCACCCTCGGATCTGAACCATACGTCTCTTTTGTTTCGCCCCTTTTCGATTTCCTGGTAGTGATTCCTCACCGATAGACTCTCGCTACTGCTACGGTGTCGTGCGTTTGTTTGCGCTTCAAGTCTACAGTGTCGCTTCTCACGTTCAGCGTTGCCAACCACGAAGTCAACATTGACGGTCCGCCAACTTCCCATTTTTAGGAGAGACGAGATTCTCGCACGAAGCAGTCCAGCAGAATGTGGGAGGACCTCGAACTCGATCCCGAACGGATTCCAACGTTCAAGTTGATTTTCCATTCCCTTCAAATTCTCTTTGCCTTCATCCTATGGTGTATCGAGATTGCCGTCTTCCGAGATTCCAAGTCAAAAATTGTGGGCAACAATGGTTGGACCTTCGGAGTGGTATGGAGCACATTTTGATGCCCTCCCGTTGTAGCAAACATCAGCGCTGACTCGACTGCTTCCAGGTCTTCCTATCAGTGCCGGCGTGGATCTACCTGATGATGGCCCCGCGGTTCCCACGCACCCGAAAGATCGCCCAACCATACGCCATGCTGGCAGTCGACGCGTGCTTCACCGTCATCTGGCTCTCGGCCTTCTCCACCCAGGCCGCCTACAACACGTCCAACCTCTGCGGCAACGCCTGCGGCATGAGCAAGGCCATTGTCGGGCTTGGGGTTTTCGTCTTGTACGTTCACGGGCAACCCATATCCTTACACATGCAAAACTCGCTAATAGCACTTTCAACAGCCTGTTCTTCTGCGCAACGACGTTCCTCAGCATATGGACCTTGAAATACTACCAATGGAACCACCGGCTACCGGGATACGACCGCGCCCAGCTCAAGGACCAGAACATTGACCCGGACAAGGCCGCCTTCTCGATGGCGCCGCACGACGAAGAGGCATACGCCCCCGTCAACCTCTCCGAACATGATCACGACGACCCGCACAGCGGTCCACACTACGCCGGCGCGCACTCCGATTACTCAGACCCGTACGGGCCCACGGTCGGCAGCCAGGTCGGCGGCGCACGCTCGGATTACTCAGACCCATACGGCCCCGCGGGTGGCAGCCAGGTCGGCGCCGCCAGCACAGTTAGCAGCTACCATGACAACCCCTTTCGGCAGCAGGAGGCCAACCCGTTCGACAATGACGCCGATTATCACTCTGGGAGGGTGTCTGCTGCGGGATCCGGGTATGCGAAGCCGACGGCGACTGACGAATTTGATGATGCGAGGTTTCCTCATGCCAACTATGATCGGATCGAGCGGTTATGATGATAGGACCCGGCTTGGCCAATTGGGCAGCGAATGAATAGGGGTCCGGGCAGAGGACGGCACGCATTATGTAAGCTAAACGGCAATCGCTATGTGCTTGGGTTAATGGTTGTGCATTTTGGCTTCATCGCTTGGTTTGGGATGTATCTGGATAGCATTGATCTGGTTTAGTTTTGGTGTTGCCGGCGTCATAGAGGGTATATTAAAGAGATACCATGGACATGGCAATTTTTAGTTCGTATTTCCAACCCATTTCGAGATCTGCCCCTGAGATTGCGTGTCCTGTTTGCAAAAATCCACCTGTTTACCTCTACCACTCGAGCAACGCCAGACGCCGGTAATGACAATTAATGCAACGCTCTGCTACAGAACCCTGATCCGCGGGCCATGGGAAGTTTTGCTCAATGGCATATCTCCTCGAGACCCAGACTCCCGCAGGGATTAGCGGTCCCCAAACACGGACGGTCTTAACGCCCCATTCCCAACAGTTCACGTAGCCAACAGCCCAGCTTTCTTCAGCCGCTTCCTGATATCGGCCGCGGTCTGCTGCATCGGATTGAGCTTCATATCCCTCGCCATAGCCGCCGTGTCGTCCCCGTGTCTCTCCACCAATTGCCGCAGCCACTCAACCTCGCGCTCGCTCTGGTGCCGCACCGTCTTCTCGGTCGGCCGACTCGCCTCGCGCTCCAGCGCCCGCAGCACCTCGGGCCTGTCGCCGTCCTTGCTTTCCTCTTCCCCGTGAAAGCCGGCCCACTCCTCGTACCGCCGCTGTTTTTCCTGCTCTGCCTTCTGCTGTTGCTGTGCCTCCGAGTCCGAGTCTAGGTCGTTCAGCGGGTCGTTGAGCGGGTTCGTGTCGCGCAGGACGCGAGTGATGCGGCCCGAGGCGTCGCGCTCGACTTTTACCTCGCGGACCTGCAGGAGGCCTTGGTCGGCAGAGTGGACGGCGAGCGGGTCGGAGCCGTTCGTCGGGATGGTCGACTTGTTGGATGGCGCCGTGCCGCCTGTTGTCTTGCCGAGCTTGGCGACCAGGCCAAAGCGGGTATAGTTCTGGGAGAGAGTCTCTTTCTTGTTCCTGGTTCGGGTGGTGACCGTGGTTAGTGACGGGGTGTCCCAAGGGGGTAGGGAAAAGGAGATGGAAGGGGAGAGAGACCAACCAGTTCTTGGCGATTATGCCGTTGCCCAGCGGGTTCAGCGCCTTCTTGCGCCGGTTGGGCATGGTGACTTTTGCCCGCGACGAGCGCCGCTTGCGCTTCTGTAATTCGCGACCCATTGTGTCCGGTAGGGGGCTGGGGGTGTCTTGCTGTGCTTGGTTCGTCGACGGCCTCGGAACGTGGTGAACTGCAATTCTTAAAATTTCCCAGCCAAAAGCCCGATAAGCCAAAGATTGGTGGGGCTCAATGCCTATCGAACTGTGGACCGGCCCTGCAGCCCAGCTGTCCCCTTGGCAATCCACCCACCCAGGCAGTTGCTAATCGCTTCCTCCGGCCCCACGACGATTAGCAAAACCCTCGAACTGTCCATGCAACTGATCAGACCATAAGGTATTCGCTCTTGGACAGATGTCTATTCCCATTTAGGCTAACCTCTCGCATGAGCTTGAGGCTATCGCCAGTCCCAGGCTTTGATGTCAGAGCCTGAGTTCGATGGTGTAGACGGCGCCCTTGACAATCAGTCGATCTCGAGAAGGTCACCTGGTGTGTGCTGCGGCCAAACATTTGCTCAAGGCATGGCATACTACCGTTGTGATGAGGCAACGCTGGTCTCGACTGTGACCTGACAGGGTCAGATCAAATCTCATGATCAAGTCCAAGACACCTCAGTCGGCTCCTCCAAAAAGGGGGATGCACCGACATCTTCACCATAGATACTCCATCTCTAACGTTAGGCCTGAACGCCGCCCAGATGCATCAGAATCGACGCTGTCCCCGACGCTCTCGGCACCATCCATCTCAGGCGGTGCAGCAATATAATGATTGGATTCGTTCCGCGCAAGATACGCCAGAGCCGAAGCCGACGCAAACCTCCTTTTTCCTCCCCAAGACAAGGGATGCCATCAGACCCCGCGTTTTTGCTCGTCCAGCACCGCATTCTACACGGTACTTTCCTTCCTTCCTGAGCTTAGTCCAGGTATCATCGGCTCATGTACGCGAACAAACTCAGATAGGCAGCGGGCAGTCCTCACCGCGGCAACACTTTCTTTGCATTTGCATCTGACAACATCCCCTCAACCGCTATCCCAGTGTTCCCCAATGGCTCAACTACTCAGCCGCCCATCCTTTCCGTAGCTGCTTTCCAAGTTCAGAGATGGCGAAAAGTGGGAAAAGGAGGGGGGCCAACAAGCTCGAATTTGCTGTACTTAAGTTGGTGTGTGACATGCATGCACTGCCTTGGAAAACACCACCTTCTAGAAGCTGTCTAGAATATCATTCCCGTTCGTAGTCAAAGCACGCTGCCAATCGAATCGATAGGGAGTATGTATGACGGCAGTGGCTTTTTGCCTTTCGCCCTGGGTTGGGTCGCGTTGGAACAACGTTTGCAAAGCCAACGCCCGGTACAAGTACATTCTGGAGATACCAGCTCTGTCTCCCAGGGTCTGTTTGCCCAGCTCGCCCAGGTAGGGGAGGAGATATCGGAAGTGACATTTCGGGAAGTTCGTCATGCTGCGGGAAATGGCAAGAATCCAGGGGTGCGCATGCCCAGCTCTCTTCCCCCACGAGCCTTCCCCTCCCAGGCTAGACTCTCCGATCGCTCGAAGGCATGTGTGGTAAATAAGGTACAGTCAGTGTGATGCTGGTTGTTCGGTACCTGGCAGGTACATCCGTGACATGGCAGACCAAAAACATTGGAGCCGGCCGGCATGGTCTCACTCGGTTGTCAAACTGCTGCCCATCGCAGTGATGGTGGGCTGCTTCCGTCCTCTTGGTCTAAAGACACAGTCACTGGGCGAAAAGATTGCAGATGCGTGATAGACCATGACCTGGGGCTGTTTTCTGTTCGCCCCGACGAAGGACCACGGTCGGACTATCTGCTAGGGTTGACGAGAAATGTAGATCACCTCGCTCTTTGCTAAAATTCATGCGCCGTCTCATAAACCATCCAGGGTATGCGTACATGATGGGAGAAAAGAACTACGAACAGCTCTGTAATATATGAACATCAAAAAAGCAAGAAACAGAGCCTGCTCCTACACTCGTGAAACCAAACAGTAGAAAAATGGAGGTATCCCCAATGCCGCCCGCCTTTACGCCAGTCATGTACAACCAGATCATCATCACTTCCCTCCTTTCTGCATCATCCATCGGCCAAACAAACCATGATCAAAACATTATCCACTCAACCTCAACTCCAGGCCCGCCAATACACCTCGCCCAGTTGAACGGCCCTCCCTTTCCATTCCCAAGCATCCTCCTATGGTGATGATTCCTCACCGCGTCCTCACCCCACCCTTCGCCAGCCCACAGCCGTTCCAGCACTTCCAGAGCAGCGAGGTTATTCATGTACCCGCTTCTCGCCATGATCTCCCTGCACTTGGATCGCACAATATTCTGCTGCAGCTCGTTCACACATTCGCTCCCTGCCACAAACAGCGGCCAAAGCAGGAACTTCTCGGCCGCGCTGCCCGCCTCGAGGCTGGTGGCGTAGTAGACGACTTGGCTGACGAGATTGCGGAAGTTGTTGTGGTTTGACGGCACGTTGGGGCTGGCGAGCCGTTCCGTGTAGAGCAGCGCCGCGTAGCGGAAAGCTTCGCTGAGCGAGCCGAGGTCTCGGACTTGACCGCTTGTCGGGGACGGTTGGGAGAGGGAGGTCGACATGGACCCGACCGGCGATGGGGACGAGGCAGACGTCGGTAGAGGAGAGGTAAGAGAGGCGCGCACGCGAGCGGCGTCGAACTCCCAAGTCTGGAGGGCCTGGCGGGCTTCTTTCCACTCGCGCCAGAACATCGTGCGCGGGTCGTCGTAAGCGGTCGGCGCATGGGGTTGAGTTGGGCTAAGCATGTGGTCGTCTTCAAAGCTCGTTGTGCAGAAACCGTTGCCGTCGAACCGGACGCTGCTATTGATAGGGTGCGGGAGCCCTCCAAAAATACTCTGGTGGCGTTCGGGACCGTTGAGGAGGGGTGGAGGTTTGAACGCAGCTCCAAGGGGGGACGCTGATCGGGAATTTGTGATGCGAGGTAGCGGAGATGAAGCGAGGACATGTTGGACGGGACGGTGTTGAGAAAGCAAGTTGAGCCGGCCAAGCTTGCTGACGGTCTTGAAGAGCTCTCGCTCGCAGCCGACGAGATTTTCGGCACCGGGGGGTAATAGATGCGCATCGGGCGGAACGCCGTAAAACGAGGTGGTGAGTTGGGGTTCCCGATCATTGACGCTTGCGGATATAGCATCAAAATAAGTGAAAAGTGCTTCCATCCACGCTGACTCTCTTGACGCCGGATAAGGCGACATCCGCCGTAAACCCAGAATCTTCCTAACACCTGCGAACTGGGTTTGAAATTTGGCCACGCCCGATTCCGCCATCCGGTAGTGACATAATAACAATATGGTGGCGAGGACGGAGTCGTGCATCGACTTTTCCGGATCGTTTAGCTGCTCGTTTAACAGGCGGACGGCCAGGTTCCGGTGCTGGTATTCCTCGGCAAGGGACTGGTCGTTGGGTTGCAAGTCGGATCCGCTGTCAATCGGGCTCATGTCTAACCGCCGCTCCCCGACGTCCCTGCCATGATAACCCAGACTGAGCTTCCTCTTCATCCGCAAGTTGCAGGCCGCGAGCGCGCAGATTGCATGTTGTAGACTCCTGCTGCTGGTGCCGAGGCGAAGGATGTGTTCCCGGAAGGGATTGTTGGGACCGTCGATGTAGACCATGCTTGGGCACATGGTCTTCTCGTAGTAGTCCATAAAAAAGGGCATCTTGGTGATGAGATCCGGGCTCACCTGCAACACAGGTGAGGGCGATTGTGAAGGAAACGAGCCGGGCCACGGTGCTGGGTTCCTATCAGGGACGCTCTGCGAAACAGACTCGTCGTCTCCACTAGAGGAGGCCCAGAAAGGACCATGTGAATGGACGCTGGAGCTGTATGTGTCCATGTCGGGTGTACCGGAACCTTCGCCCAAGGTCAGCAATAGTGATCATTGGATTGGGCAGGGCAAGTGTTGCACAACTCACCCAAGACGTCGCAATCTTGGGCCATCTTGCGACTCAACTGCGCCTCCAGGCTATCTGCATGAGAAAAGTGAGAGTGAAGGCTCGAGGCGGGTTCCGATGGGGAGTACACGAGGCTGGGGCATGAAGCAGGCGGCCGGGATTGTTCGATCATCATGGCGGCCACTGGGCTCTGCGGCACGGGCGAGGCGTGGCTGGGGAAGCTTTCGTAAACCATCGGGCTGTGCAGGTACCCAGAAACCTCTTCCCTCGGAAATGAATGGCCGAGGGGAGACATGTAGTCCACGTCGCTCATTGCGTCGATTGGCGTATGGATCATATCCCGCTGCATCATGTCTCCGGGGGACGACGCAGGGATGTGCAGAGGCCTCAGTGCGAATCGCGAAGTATCGTTCGCCGTCATGCTTGATGAAAATGGGATGTGAGTCCAGCCTGGTGGTGGTGCTGCCTCGGTTGGTGACAAGTGTGACATGTCGTAGGGGTGGAAGGTTGTCGTCGCTACAGATACGGATGGGTTCCGCCGGTGACCCATCTCGATCTTGACGCCGGTTTCCACCTCTTCCCTGGCAGCCCGGTCATCCTTTTCTGCAGGCCATTGGCCCGTCGAGGCGACAGATCCCGTGCGTTCCCGTACCGTCGTCGGCGACTTCACCGTCTTGGCCGAGCTCACGGGGGGGGCCTTTGCGATAGGCAACGACAGGCCGCGCAACTTGCCCCGGCTCGCGACTCCAACGCCCCATGTGAGCTGCGTCTTGTACCCAGAGCAGTCGTTGCCAATCTCCAGGCATTGCGAGCAGTAAGGGCGCCTCCTGTCGCATTTGACATTCCGTTTCGCACAGGTAAAGCAGTCGTCTGCGGCCCCACCGGCGGGGGCTCTTCTCCTGCGCTTCCTGGCAGAGGCGGCATCCTTCGCCGTGGAGGTCGCCGGTGTGATGGGGCCTGTCATCGTGAAGACGTTGGCGAAAACAAGTGGTTTGAAGTATTGGTCGAAGCACCTTCGTTTCTGCAAAGGCACGTCTCAACTTCCCGTCTTCTTTCCCAGTCACCCAGTGTCCTGGGATGAGGGCAAATCCGGGGCAATGGCGCGACAGAGTCGGTGCTATACAACACACGATCTGGCCTTGAGTGAGCAGCAGCCGAAAAGTAGAGGTAAATAGACGGTAGTGTGCAATGATTTGGGACCCATAGCACGCTGGGGTTGACTGACAGAAGCAGAAGAAAGCTCAGCGCAGGAGCCCGGCAGGTGGCTCTTGGGCAGAGGGGCGCTTGTTTTAATCAGAACGGGGTGTTTCCCACTGATGACCTGCAAGCGACAGACAGGACGCCTGCATCCGGGTCCCCTTCCCCCCTTTTGCAGCCAAGGTATGGTACAGTAAGGTACATTCCCGCGGTACCCCCGATTGCGAGTGCCTGGGGACGACGATGGCTGGATGGGAATTGGTGCGGCGCCAAGTGACCGGGGCTGTCGAAGGCCCACCCCATCCATCGGCTCCAAACCCTGGCCACTCAACCAGGGCGATGGCGCATGGCGCTGGGGTTGGGATAAGGTATCCGGAGGAGACTCGGAGCAAATTGGCTGGTAGGATCAGAGCCTGCAGCCAAGTGCAGCTGCAGACCGCATGGCACGAGATAGCACAGGGAGAAGTGAAAGAATGACGATGAAGCGAACCCAGTGCTCGACCGCAAGCCGACTGAGTGTGCGCATAACAAGCAAGGATTTGCCGAGATTTCGCGGCGTCCTTGGTAACTTCAGCGTCAAAGAGACAGGAACACGACAAGGCGAGGGTGCCATGGTCAACAATAAGACCCGGAATGGGTGTAAGGTCGCGTGTGCTGCCGATTACAGAAAAGCAGCACGAGTGGAAAAGTGGGTTTGAGAATCTCAGCCGAAGAAGCATTGCCGGCCACCTTGACAACCCTGTGAGAGAGCGTGCGAAAATGATGAGAAATGGCAGGCTCGATCCGTCGGTTCCTACCTCAACACGGCAACGCTGGAACCTGGGGAAACAGACAGCCTCGTCCTCTGATTGGGCCTTTGTTTTCCTGGACTCTTGAGGCTTTCTCCAATCGACTGACTGCCAGGAAACCGTGGCCTTTCGGCAATTGGCGAGATTTTTGATCGATGTGCTGCTCCTCTCAACTTTTGAACCAGGCACTGCATGTATCTGCTTTCACCTTCTGTTCCATACTTTGATCACAGCCAGGTCCGTTCCTTTCCATCCCTAAATGCCGCGGTTTTCGGCACGGTTAACTTAGCGCTCCACTTCGGAGCGAAGGCGGGCACGCAGCGGCCCACAGACTTCAGCAACCAGGGGTTGGCGGCTCAGAACTGACCACTCGGTTAGCTATCAGACGAACGGGATCAGTGCAATGAGCCCATCTCAGCCTTGCCTTTTGCAAGTGGTCTTCTTTGCAAAGTCATCTACGATCGGGAAAGAAGTGGTTTTGAGATTGAAGCCAGCGGTGGGAGACCGGTGCATCCTCAGTCACTGGGAAGCGCCATGCTCACATAATCGCAGAGGGCGGTCTCTTGGAACCCGAGTGCTCTCTTCATATCATATCAGCTCCACTTCAGGCTTTGCGACAAAGCACGCCAAACGGTGCCACGAGCTACGCGTGGGGGTTCTTTGGATTACGAAGGGACGCACTGCTGGTGCACGTTATTGGGACAAGGAATCGATTGTGGCATACAGGTATCAGACTGCCAGGCATTTGAACCAAGAGGGCAGAATTCGAGCCCAGGCTTAGGATGCTTGGTGACTTCGATGAAGCCATTGGGTGTGGACTTCAAATGACGAGATACCCGGATTCCTCCCGCAAGACTCGGCGCACGACGAGCAGTACTTGACGATGCGAATCCAGTTCCCCCCCTCTCCCTCCCTCAAGCACCCGGGAGCTGCCGACCTTGCATGCTTGGTCCGAGAGCGAATCAGTTGGCACGAAGGGCTTCGGCGCAGCTTCCACGGGCCTTCTTTCGGGAAAGGCCGTACACAAAACCCCTTATCGAACTCACGTCCCTTGCCGGAGCAACCTGAAAGAAGTCTAGGTAACGGCTGGCACCGCAGCATCAGGAAACAAGCCTCGCCGGGCATTGCCAGGAACAATGTACCAACTCCGGCCGCCCTGTCCGGGGACTCGGAGTCCGCCGATGCCGAAGCCCCGAAGGCCAGGCATCCCGGTGATGCTCCGTGAGGGACGATGCACCAGGGTCAGGAACGCTGGCCCTTTCCTCGGTTGATGAGGCTTGCGACAAATGATGATGTCTGTATCTCAGTCCTGGTCCACGACGCGATATCTCCGGTTCCTGGTCCATACCGAGGTACAGCAGCATATGTCCCGCATGTCCCGTATGTCTACGGGAGCAAGCCGGTAGCTTCACGACCGTCAGGGGACGCCACCGAGCACATCTCCCACGAAGACCACCCATGATACGGCATCGGTCTCCGCGGTTCAGGGGTAAGACATATTTCCATGGTTATGGCACCCCGATGCTTGGGAGGAGCTCGGCTAGCGCCACGGACTCCTGCCGCTACGGCCATTCCGGAGGTACAAACTTTATCAGCCTGGTTTCGTCAAACCTCGACCGGGTCGATCGGGGTTGTACTCCGGGGTAAATATCAAAGACAAGTCTTGTAGGACGGTACGTGTACAGAGTCCTTCACGCTAACGCTGTGGTAAAACAAGCCATGCGCCCCAGCAAGCATCTGGAATCACCAATGCCGGATGAATTGGTTGCGGCTCTTCGCCTTGTGGAGCACACCCGACACTGCCTTTCTGCCGAAATGACACTCCTCGCCAGCGAACCCCATGCGGTGTCAGCGCTTATCGCTCGATTTCACATGCCTCGACACGAAGGATTGGTTCATCCATCAAGCGGCTCGCAGATCGACATCGTGGGAGCCTTGCAGCTGAAGGGCTGCGGTGCTGAGGCTTGAGGGACAGGCGACGAATCACAGCGCCCGGGCTTCTGTTTGGCCTACTCTGCTGGGCTGATCGGCGTTTGAGACAGGTCCCTCAAGCCTCAGACAAATGTTCACGATTTCTGCATCCATGTTCAAGAATGTGCGAGCCTCCTAATTTCACTAACCCCTGCTTCCTGTTTCATCAGTCTAACCACTTAGTTAAGTGAGCCCCACCCAGCTTGCCGCCAACATCCTCATCGCCCTCGTACATCAAGGGACTCTATTCCATTGCATCAACGTCATCAACTGTTGTAGATCAAAGAATCAGCGTATCGCTCAAAAGATACAGGTGTATTGGTACGTAAGCCTTTCGAACAATAGTGTGTGGCCGTTTTGATAGCCCACTCCGTGCTGGACCTTACCTCCATGCTGGACCCCACCTCCGTGCTGCTACCCACAACGATACTGAGTACTCTACCCATCGGGGCACCACTCGGCGCCCACGCGAGAACCAGGGAAATGCCAGGCACAACAGGGCGGTTTGGGAGGTCGAAAACCTTTGGAAAGGTGGGAAACAGTGAGACTCAAAAGGCGTATTATATCGCGATACGCACTTGCATTGTAGTGTAGTTTGATGGTGTAGTTGTTCGTGTGTGGGGCCCTAAATTGAACCGGTTAGACCGGTGAAAATAGGAAGCAGCGGTAGTGAGATTAGGAGGCTTGAGGGCTGCGAGTTTTCCAACAGCCACTGGCCGTCAAAATCATGCCCTGGCGCTGGTTACCCCTTGTCATCCAGGCTGAAGGCTACACCAAGTTCGGGCATTGGGCCGTTCCTTCGAATGAACACTTGATTGGTCGAATTTTCATCGAGCCTGTGAGGTGTCGAGGAAGCGATGCAAGCCCAGAGATGTGGCTGGAGGAAACGGCCCTTTTCCAACGCCACCTACGGCACCGCGTCTTGGCTTCGGCAGAGGCGGGGCACTTGAACTTCGCTTCGGTCGAGCGTGTCCCGATCATTTGCAGACGGATCGACAGAGCACAGAGGTACATAGAAATTGGAACCTCGGCAGCACGGGCTGGCCTCATATCCCATCATCTGCTTAGCTCGCAAGCCGTTCGTCAGACGCGTTTCATGCTTAGTTCATCAATCTCTTCGGAAATTTGCTCTAGGCAAACCAAAGAAGCGACGACGCCTGGAGTGGCATTCCTCAAGTTTTCAGCCCGATCAAGTGCAGCACACATCACACGGGAACACTGCATCATGCAGCCTCAACCAGCACTACCCCGTCATCAACGGGCCCTCTGTCAATCAGCTCGAGGGCATTCCAAATCAATTGTCCTTCTCAGCACCCACGATACCCTCCCCGTTTCCTCGGCCCTCCACTGTCTGTTTTTAAGAAGGGAGCACACATATCGAAGACTGTCGCTCATCAACATGTATCAAAGACGCCTCTGATCTTATCACATCCACGCACTTGCCTTCTGACGGCTCTCTCCGACCGTTGGGGTGGATGGAACGTTGCAATCACGGCTACGCCTTGCCGCGTCGGGCATGGCTCCGATCCCTTGTTTCCCCGCGTCTTGGCTAGCTGCTAATCCACTTTCTGTCACCGACAGACAGATATTAAGCTGCCCAGTGGCGGTGTGGTTTCATTGCCGCATGCTTCGCCACGGCTTTCCAACAGGGGAGCTGGACGGATAGAAGGTTGTCTTTTCTCCTGTTGGATGAACTACTCCGTACTCAAGCTTGCCTCAGCTTGCTGGGTGGATGATATCGTCGTCTTCACAGCATTTCGGCTCTGCTGCGTATAGAGTCCATTCCAGGATTGGTACTATCTGAGTTGGGGTTGGAAAACTTTCATCAGTGCTGAACGCCGCCCGCCAGACCTGTCCGCTCCAAGCGCTGGAATGGCCGACAGGTCAGCTCCTCGATCAATCGCAGCGAGTCGTGTCGATCGTTCGCCATGAACAGCTCAATCTCCGAAAGGGCCAGAGACAGAAAGTTCGCAGGTATGCGCGGAGCAAAGGGCAATCGTCCCGGCGGCTCGGAACCAATCTTGGAGCCAATGTCCAATGTCTCTCATTGTGCATTGTACTCTATCCCAGAGTCGCCCCAGTCCGATCGTCTATCCAACTCTCGCTTACTTCAGGTTGGTGTCTCTCTATCGAACGGGGCCGAGACAGGGTCACTCACTCACACGTGAGTGACAAAACGAGCAAGCACTATCACTGAGGCTGCCTGGTGATGTGCCTTCGCTGAGAGAGACACGTCCGTCTGACCGTCTTCTGCATCTGAATTTCATGTCTTGGTCTATGAACAGCATGTGGTCAGATCCTAGCCCTACACACGCGGACTCTCATGCGGGCTAGCACGCGCCCACACAACGGCTGTAAGTAATATCAACCCGTGTCTTAGGCTCCGCCTCTTGTGTCAGAGAAGCACAAACGGGAGCAGCAGTAGTCGACTTCCCACCCCAAATCCCATGCGTAACACATGCCCTCACGTGTACGCCATTTCACCAAAATCCAGGACTCGGAACTCGGGACGTCCTCCTGCAACTTTGAAGTTGTATATTGCTTTGCTTACCCCAGGGGGCCCACTGCAAGTGCAGGGTCATTGTATGGTCATGGTCGTAATGCGTGATCAAAAGGTCTTACGCCAGCCGCTCTGACATCCCTAACCCACCAGATGCCATCATAAAGCACACAGAAGGGTGTAGGGCTAAACCTGAAAAGGGAGGTCCCTTCATATGTTCAGTTACTGCTTTGGGTATCCATGCGTGGGGATCAGGTCTCGATGATGGTGGAAGTGAAGAATGTGTGCTAGCATGTGCCTGTCGAGAGCGCAAACCTTTTCCCTCCTGAAGATACAGGCACAGCCCGTCCCAGGGGTGCTGATGGTTTGCGCTGCGCCTTGGGTATGCCTTGCATTGCCTCCCTTCCAGTCCATCATCCTTGGGAAGTGTGTGCTCGGTGAGTTCCTTACGTACTTGTAACTGCTCACTTTTCCTGCCAATGGACGCAAGAGGCTGGCTCAATAACTTGCCTAGCACCTATCTCTGGACGGGGAGGACAGGCTCTCAGTATCACCCTCCGTCCTACGCTGCACAGTCAGCCGCAGGACAGTAGGGTATTGCGGATAGTTCTATTCTTCTGTGGCTCGGGCCTTTTCTCATTCAATATGCCAATAACTCTACAGATTACCGGAGATGAGGACGCGAAGCCGATCGGCGGAGTCGGTGTGCTTCATCACATTCGGAGAGGGCTGAGCGCATGGGCAAGCCTTCCGCCCGAGTCTCCTGATGAGCCATCGGATTCAACGCTACTAATGTGGGAGACATGTCATCACTTAGGACCGGCGAGTATATGTCTTGAGATCAGAACCGGTGTGTTACACCTGACTTCGAGTGCCGGGGAGGCTGTGACGCCACAAGTATTGGACGAGCTGAAAGCTCGGTGATCTTGCGGGAGGGAATCTGAGATCTCTGTTCAGGCAAACAATTCAACAAGTTTGCGGAGAGGGACTTTAATAGATTACCCATAAATGAAGAAATCAGACCGGGTTTATCGACCAGGGGTGATGATGGGGCTAGGGGTGGTGCCACAGCACGTATTGGACGGCGGTTCTGCTAATGGGCAACATCAGGGGCAGGCGGGTTTCGAGTTCACGTTGCCTAGCTCGCCGAGGAGGATACTGTGGTGGAGGTCCTAAGACGAAATAGTAGGTACCTCCACAACAGTTCTGCGTATGACGGAGCATTTGTACCTGGCTCACGGTTGAGGAGGTGATGATAGTGATTCGCAACTTCGCGTTTGATTTGTGACGTGGCGGGGCTTCTTCCGAAAACTGTACCTCAAGAGAGTATGTCTTCAACGTTCGAAAGCTGTACACTAGAACCGGTCGATACCTTTCTGTTACTGCGATTGGAAGTTTAGTTGGAAGTTTGAGGAGGATCATGATACCCCGGACGCTGGAAAACGGGCCCGTGACTCTGTTGAATCCGTTGTGCCTCTTGTTTCAGGCTCGATTTCGTCGGGTCAGAGTGATGGCAGCCGAAAGGCGACGGCATTTCTATCTGTTTCAATCCTGGAACATGCGCCACTTGACCATCCTCTCCCTCCACACTAAACGCCCATCCCCGCGATGATGGAAAACTGCATGCGCCCGCCCTCCCTAGGCTCTTCCCCGGATTCACTCACGCATTAACAACCCTGATCACCAACAGGTTATACCCGGCTACTATGCTGTCGTCCTCGACCACGCACTCGACGTTGGCAATGATGTGCTCTCCGCCGACCTCCGCCGCGGGCAGTGCCTCCAGCTCAAACTTTTCAAACTTGTTACTACTACCAGCCCCAGGTCGGCCAGATCGACCATGCTGCAGATTCCAATATCGTCCACCGTTTCGGCCATCTCAACGCTCGGGACGGCCAGCACGCACCCACGCCTCGCTTGAAGCCGCGCGTACTTTGCGTCCTAGGGGCCGATGCATGCCGCGATCAGCGGAAGGCCCAAGTGCTGCACCATTATGGAGAAGCCCATTGTCATGACGTTGATGTCAGGGAAGTTGTGGTCCGGTTTTGATTTGGTGGCTGGGCCGGTTGAGACCAGCATGATGGGGTCGGGCTCGACGAGGCGGTAGACTTTGGAGGGAGGATAGGGGTTGAAGGCGCTTTCAAGTGTTCGCTGAGACATGGTATCAGGGGACTTCAAGAGATTCGTTCTTTCGACCCGATTAGAGTTTGGTTTCTTTGAGGTTGCGGATAAGGTGGTATGGATCTTACGCTTCTTGGGGGACATCGTTGATGATGGGCAATAACGTTACATGTAGTGTCAATGTTCGTGGCCGGGAGAAGAAGAGAGTCGGATATAAATTAAAATTCAGGCACCATATGATTATTTGTTGGACGGTGTGGTCGCCTGGACTATTATGAAATCGTCAATCCTCACAGCTGCCAAGTAGCGCCGTTGTCGGCATTCCGTGGCCCCGACGAGCAAGGACCGCCGATGAATATGACGATCCCTTAGATGAGACACTGGAAAGGAGCGAATGTGACGTCACCGGTCAAATGTGATGAAGGCTGGGTTAAGTTGTGGGAGAAATGTATTTGTATAATAAGATAAGTTAACGTTAACGTAGTCACCTTACTTTAGCAACACAAAACAGGGATGAAAATATATTGGTTGCTATTTCGCGGCAACGAGTGTAAATGATCGAGTGATTCGTGTCCATTTCGGCTGCTTCGACTTGCGCCTCGATATACGAATCCACCAACCAACACAAGTACTAAAGGTATCTTACCCTCCTTCACTCATGTACTCCTCTGGCCAGCAGAGGAGTAGCACGTCTGACTCGGGCCTCGGCCCTAGGGACACATGAATGACCACTTGAAGCTTTGAAAGTAGTCTACTTGTAGTAATAGTACAGTGATATATTGAGTGGGTATCTTAATCTCATCCAACCTTTCAAGTTTCATTCCCCATCCATATCTTACAAGCCAGGTATCACCATACACAGACCGACGCCATACAAACTTCCAACTACCCTTGCCACCGGAACCGGCTCTCCCTCAGCATCGTAATCAACCCCATCGGCAACAGCCCCTGATCGACGACATCCACCCCGTCGAACCGAGCAATCATGTCCTTGTGGTACAGCTGCACCACCCACTTCTCGTAGTCGCTCAGCTCGCTCCACGACTTGCCGTCCGGCAGCGCCGCCCGGACGTTGCCGCTCGAGACCACGCAGGTCGCGTCGGGCGTCATCATCAGCTTCCGGTACGCATCGGCGAGCTTCGGCTCGGTGCGCTCGCGGTACCGTGAGAACTCGTCCATCGACATGAACGGCTCGTTGCGCAGATCCTCAAACTCGCGCGCGTCCAGCCAGAAACTGCTGCTGCTACCATGAGAAGACGACGACGACGACAACTCGGAGGCGCTATCCTTTGCCGCTTCGAATATGGCCTTGGCCCTCGCGTACGCGTACTCCTCTTCCTCCAGGTACTTGTCCAGAAGCTTCTCCGGTTCCTTTTCCACGTTTCGGCGAGACAGGAGCAGCGTGATGAAGGGACTCTGCAGCCCGAGCCCGCCCATCGACGCCGGCCAGTACAGATAGCCGTCGGGTATGTCGGACGGGGAGATGCCGAAGCGCGAGGCGATGGTGCGCTTCAGATGCTCACCGACACCACCGGGGTGGTCGGGAAACAGCTTGTCCTGAATGCGGCGGAACGTGGACAACATGCTGTCGATGTGGGCGCGGCCGTAGCAGTTGGCGGGCCGGCCAAAGTTGTTGGCAAAGAAGCGGTTCCCATACAAGTTCCATGCTTGGATGTAGTCCAGCACGCTGCGGCAGGCCGACAGCTGAAGACGCAGCTCCTCGGCGTGCTTGTCGACCTCCTCCTGGTTGATCGAGAACCGGCCTGTGACAGGATCCAGTTTCAGGAAACCCCATTTGATGTCACCTTTTGGCAGGGCGCCCGAGGAGACAGTCGACGCGGCCGTGCTGTTGCCCCTGTTGATTCGCACGGAGCCCGTCTTATCTGAGTTGAGCTCCAGCCCCATGGTATCGGTGAATTGGGTGATGACGCTCCAAGCCTTGGCGCACGCCTCTGAGCTTCCCCAGAGCCATATGTCGTCATGTAAGCGGTACAAGCGCGTACCGTCGGCCTTTTGGTTGACTGCGTAGTCCAGACAGAACAGGATCGACTCGCCCAGGAAATCCGTCAGAGGCGTGCTGATGAGCGTGCCCCGCTTCCGCGTTTGGGTAGGGGTATCCGCCCGGTCCGCCTCGAACCTCATCTCGGGCTCCAACACGCGCTTGAAGAAGTCTTTCCACTCAGCGTCGACGCCCAAGAACTCGAGGACGGCAAAGATGGTCGAGTGCGGGATCGAAGGGCCGAACCATTTGAAGTCGGACCGGATGACGGTCATCTCTCTTCCGAACTTCGTCTGCATAAAAATCTCGGTCTGGAGGCGCTGTAACAATTCCTGAACCACCTGCACATGGCTGGATTTGGTGTCGCCCTTCTGGCACCCGAGGCCCCCGTATGAGTCCCTCACTTCGTCGAAGGAATCAGGCAGCTGATTGAGAAAAATTCCATCGAAGTGAGCATCGCGGTCTGCTTGAACCGAATTTCCACGAAGAGTAATGCTGTCGTTGAGGAAGAAACGGCGCCGGCGGGCATCGGACTTGGAGATGGATTTTGTATCGGGGCTCCAAACGCCGTCTGTCCTGATGAAGTCCATCAGAAGTTCGCGCAGCTTCGCTGCCCACTGCAAGCCGACGTAGTAGACAAACATAGTGTCAAGCAGGTCCTCATCCGTGTGGAACCGGTACCGTCCGTTGAGGTTCCGGCGCTGCTCCACGATCAGGGGCGCGTCCCACTTCCAGTTCGCGATGGTCGACATGCGCATGTTCAGGACTGAGGCAATCTCCGACAACACGACATTGTTTCCGAGGAAATCCCGCAAAGTAGTCCGCTTCGCCTCGGTCAGGATGTCACTCCTGAGCATGCCCTTGATGACGATCTTGAGTTTGGTGTGGTCGAAGTGGACTTGCGACTTCCAGTCTTCCTGGAACTTCTTTAACCGATCTCTGAGAGCCTTTAGCGCCCGCGTGGCTTCCTTGGACGAGAACACATCGTTCAAGTAGGCCTTGATGGCATTGCCGTCGGTCTCCTTGGCTTTGAAGACGTACTCCTCCCAAGTGGCGCGCTGCTGATGCATTTGCTCGCGGCCAACCACAACGAAGCAGGCCCCCTTGGCAGTTGATGCGGGATTCGAGTTCGATGAGGTAGTCCACTCCTCGACAAGCTTGCCATAGAGCGAGGCAAAGTCGTACTTGTTCGTCTGGGCGCGTAGATGGCTGTGGATCTCGGCCTCGTACTCCTTCAACATGGGCTCGGTGACGGAGGGGTCATACTCGGCTTGGTCGAAGAACTCTTCGAGGCTTGAGAAGGCCGGGTTCTTCTTTAAGCCCAGCGGCCGGAGCTCCTCGCAGCCCTTTAGCAGCTTCTTGGCACGTTTGGCCGTGTCGACTTCGGAGACGACGTCCTCGCACAGGCTGCGCTTCTTGCCTTCGTATGCCGCCTTCTGCTTTTGGAGCTGGTCCAGCTTGATCGCGGTGATAGACGAGAGGGTCTGCGACAGGATGTCGGTGGAAGCCATGGCGCTGGCGCGTGCTTGGGCGACGGATGTGGCGTGGAAGGAGCGCGGTTTAAATGAGTTGGACGAAATCTGAGTGACTGATCAAAGGAGTACCTGTGTATTGTGGTTTGGGGCCGCGATGGAGGGGGTGTCTTCCAGAGACATGGTCGGACGAGATGCCGTCCCATCTTATACCGGAAGATCGACACGATTGAACGTGTCACCAGTGGATCGAGCCTCAGTCGCGTCAGGAGTGAGGACGGAAGCCGTGATCAACAAAGCGGAGTAGTGTGATTGAGGACAAGAAAAGTTCGTTGGTTGATTTGCAGAGGTTTTGAGGACAGGTCCAAGCGACCTCGGGGTGACTCAAATGGCGAGACCCGGTCGCTCTGAGCTGTTGGTCGTCCTCCATTCGAAATGAGGCGGCAACTTTCTGCCTGATGCAGAGTAACAAGAGAAAGAACCGGGAATGACGTTGCAAAGCGAACTTGGATAGTGCAAGACAGTAAGACAAGGTGTGCTCGCCCGGACAAATTTGCGATTGGAGTTGCAACGCTGGAGAGGAACATGGTGATGAGATCGTGATGCAGCGGTCTTTTTTCTCCACACCTCCCAGCACCACACCCTCGTCGGCCAAATGAACCACACAGGACCAAATGGCGTCCCAATCGCCCTTTATCCCAGGTATGAACAAGGACAAGATCCCAAAAAGACCATCGAGTTGAAACAAGAGAAACTAGGTAATCAAGCATACTGCCTTCACAGCAGGACTGGTACAAGCTGTAGCACAGATACATGGAAAACAGCCCAACTCGCTCGCTCCCGCCGGCCCGCCATCATCATCTCGTCATGTCCTATTGCCCTCAACCCTTTTCACCATCCACCATCACAGGGTCTGAGCATACGCACACCCGCGCTTCAGCAGCAACATCCGAGAGACCGTCACTAATAGTCCATCGGCGCATCCACAAGCGTGACGCTATGCTGCTGGTGATGCTGCGGCGGGTGCTGTTGCTGTTCCTGGGGCCCACTGCCAGTGTGCTGATGATGAGGAGGGGGAGTGGCCGTCCTCGCGGCAGCCGACGACGCAGGCGTGACTCGGCGGCCGGCCGAGAACCGGGCGCCGCTGCGGCCTAGACTGTTTCGTTTCTCGACCATGCCCTCGTGCTCGCCCACCTTGGCCAGCTGCGGGTCCGCCGCCGTCATACCTGCGATGCCGTTCATGATGAAGTTGCCATCAGACGGGTGGCTCAGGCCCATGGAGGCGTCTGACTCCGCGGGGACCTCGAGGCTCGTGCGCTTGGGGAGGACGGGGCCCAGGCTGCCGCGTTTGGTGCGCTCGCTGGTGGGGCTGGAGATGCCTGTTGAGATGGGGAACCGCGTCTCGGGCCCGCCCACGCTCCTGTCTCGGCGATGGGAGGCCCGTGGGCTCGGCGCGGGTGATGTCGCCCTGCTCCGGCTGCCACTGGCCTTCTCCAGAAGGGCACGGGTGCGCTCTTCCATGTGGGCCTTGCGGTTACTCTCGTCGGTGGAGATCGCCCGCGGGCGGTTCTGGTTACCCTTGATGGACCCAGACGAGTTCATGGTCGACAGGCGCTTCAGTTCGTTAAAGATGGCATCCTTGTGCGCAAACAGGTCGCGAACAAGGCGATAGGCATGCTTTTCCTCCATTGTGAGCGACGTCTCGGTGCGCGGGCGCAGGATGCAGGGCGCGAGGGTGGTCGCCAGCTTGGAGATGTACTCCTCGTCAGCCGAGGTCAGGTCGATCAAGCGAGTAAAGTGGTTCATGCATGCATCAAGCGACGCAATGTTAGTGAGTCGCAGCTGGGAGAGCGTCTGTTGCAGAACCGCAACGCGGGCAGCATCGCCACCTTCTGTCGGGGTGGTGTAGATGGACCTGATAATTTCGTAGACATGGGAGGAGACAAGGGAGTCTGGAGTTCGTTAGTGATGTAAGCATTTCGCGGTGGACGGGTCTGGATGGGACATACCGGGAAGCTCAAGCAAGTAGAGCTTCAGAAGACTTGCGACGGTGGGGATATCGAACTCAGCAAATGTTTCGAGCGCAGGCGGCTTTCCATTATTGACCCTCGCTCTGAGCTTGTGCGTTTGAGAAAGCGGAACCTCATGTAGCCACACGCCCCGGCGGGCCTCATCGCCTTCAAGATCAGGATAATGGTGATCCAGGTACGTGAGGAGCGTGGTAATGATGATAGGGACCCGCTTCCGGTCAGCCCTGGCGCGGGCCTCGAGATCAACGCCAAAGGTTTGGTCGTCAACCTTGTTGTAATAATTCTCATAGACCACTACCTTGGGAGCGAAGCTGCCGGTGCGGTAGTTCTCCAGCAGATAGCGCAGGTCGCCCAGCGGCTGCACAGTCTCCTGAAACAGCATCATATTGTCGACGGTTGCCTGCAAGCTGGGAATCACATTGCTAATGGTGCCGGAGAAGTCCAGAATGACCGTCTTGATCGCCTTGAGCCGGTCCAGCTCGCAGCGCTCGAGGAATCTGAGATGCAGGGAAATAGCCTCCTCCAGCTCGCAGCGCATCTCGTCCAGCTTATGGACCCCAGCCTTGTACTTCTCATCCGCCTCCCTCGCTTCGCGGCGCATGCGCTCGGCTGGCGTCTCATTCGGTCGCGACGTGTTCAGGACGTCCCACTTGGCCAGGTACTCTGACACAGTGCCCACCACGGGCGAGTCGCTACCGTCAGCCCCAGTCACGGGGATCGAAAAGGTCCTTCCCAGCGGCTTCTTTTCCGGCACACCGGCCGCCTCGAAAGCCTTTGGCCGCCACTGGTAGAACATCTTAGAGCTGTTGGCAAAGGTGTTCCCGACGTTCCCGACCAAGCGCAGGAAGCCATGCGTCACTAGGTCCTGGCCAATCCGCTCGGCGTAACTCACACTCGTGCTTCCCATGTGCTGCTGAATGTAGTCGACGATGTCTGCGCCAGCAGAGGTGTTCTGATATGTGCCAAGGATTGGAACCTTGGTCTCGCCCATTTTGATGGTGGAGATCATGTGCGCGAGGATCTTCTTGACCTGTTCCGGCGTATATATCTGGTCGCCGATCTCGAGGGGCTCCTCCTCTTCTGCAGTCTCCTGCTCGACCTTGATCTCGGGAATGTTCTGCAGCTGCTGTGGGCTGGTCTCGGGGTCCTGGAAAGCGAGCTTGTTCTCCTCCTCAATGTCCTCGACCAGGCGGCATTTGTTGAAGTAGTTGCTCCTGAGCTTCTTCACAGCCTCGGCCTGTTTTTCGTGCGCTTTGACCCGCGCCTGCAGCTCCTCCTGAGAATCTTGTATCCGGGCTTCGTGGGCTTCACACCATCGCGAAAATGGGTTCACGACGAGGTCGCGGATGTTCTGAGCGATCTTCCTGTGGGTTTTGGAGGCTTCCTCCATCTCGGATCGCACTCCTTCGTACGCCTTCCGTACACTGGCGCCATCGTCGCGGTTGAACCCGCCTTGGATCTTGTCAACGGCTGGAGGAATCTCGGCTAGTCGCTGACTGTAGACCTCCTCGGCCTCGGCGCGCATTCGGGCGATGGTGAGGACCTGGCGATTCTCGACGACGCCTTGCTGTAGCTTGCCAAACAGGACCCCGAGCCCTTGTATTCGGTCAGCGGTAAGCGAAGTCGAGGGTGTCAGTACGTAGGAGCTCACCTGCGGCGTAGTCGTTCGACCAGAACGAATCTGCGAAGCCCGGCATCTTGCTAGGAATGCCGGCTCCTTGAAGATGCCCTTTCTAACTCTTCAACTGGCGAAACCGAGGTCGGAAGTAGGAGTTTTGGGTGCCGGTGGTCTTGCAGGCCAACCGTTGTTCAGGTCCAAACTGGGATATGCAAGGGTGGGTGGAGTTTTTGTCGGCGCAACTGAGGCTGAGGCTGTTTGATAACTTGGCTTCGGGGGCTTTGGGGGTCAACTGTTGGTGGGCGTCGGGTATGTGGGATGGACAAGGTGCTTGGATGTAACGTTCGAGGCGCACGACGATGACAACCAACAACCAGCGGATTGTGTCGCCAAAAGGGTTTCACAGAGAGTAGGTTGCGGAGCAGCGTTTCGATGTTGAAGATTCAAGACAGCCAACCCAAGAATATGCGAATGCCCAGCCAAAGACCCCGCCTCATTGGACAGCGCACTGCCCGTTGTTGAAGTGACAACATGTCTCCAGCCTGCCCTGCGGCCGCTGGCTCCAGTTTTCAGCCCCTGGGCTTGCAGGGCGGTTGGGTCCACCTGCCCTGGAAACTCCTGTATTCAGGGTCCCGGCACACCGACACTGCAAACCAACGTGGAGCGCCCAACTGCTGCGGCGGAACCAAATTTTGCGAGTGGAAACAGGGTGTGCCAGCTGCTGTCTTGCGACTCTCTCTAAAAAAGTGTGCGGGTGCTCACGATACGTCTTGGTCCCTGATTCACTGAGGTGTCCTTGCGACTCAAACGACGTCGGGTGTACATTGGTACCTCCTTAACGTATAGACCTGAAACATGACATAACCTGAGAAAGACACGACCGTTTTGAACGTCAACCGAGCTAAAACATTACGATACAGGTTGAAAAACATACGTGTACACGCAGGACAGAGGCTCGGACCATACGGACGACAGGACACACTAAACTTAATACGGGCAGCTTTGAGTTCTCTTCTTTGATTTTTGACACGGCTGGAGAAAATCCCCATTGCGTAGTTGCAAAACCGACAGCACCAAGCAGAGGGTTGGTTATCATGAGTTGAGGGAATGTCTTATCTATACGGAGAGTATTTACAAGCCTAGTTTGCTCGTTCGTGTAGCACAGGGAACGATGAAAATTGACTGGGAAGATGGACTTCAGGAAAGTAAGAAAATAGAAGGATAGTAGAAAGAAAAATAATTATAGAAAAGATAAAGAAAATGAGGATTAAGGTTATAAGGGGAGAGGAATAAAAAAGTAAAGATAGAATGTAGAGAATAAAATTGAAAAGAAGATCAACAAGTGTAAATCCGAACATTAAGTTCCTCACTAACAAACAGGATTACATTGTAGTCTCGCTCAAGCCGGAATAGCGTTAGTGCAGCGAAACCTCAACAGTGTGGAGTGAACACGGCAAGTGTTGCGAGGAACCGAAACTCCATGCTTCCAGGTGATGCAAGGACCTGAGGCAGTTTGAAGAAACAAGAACCCTCAGGAGATGCAACACGGCCGAGAAGTCCAATCTGACCCGATTGCCCGAGACTCGGGCGGCCCGGCCGGTCTCCGGGGCATCGGGTCGGGTATTTGTCATCGGGATCGTCGCGTTCCCGCCCCGTCTCCAGTTTTTCCCTGTCCAAGATATCACGCTCCGTTTGGCGACGTGGGGAATAGCAAGCAAACAACCCAGTCAGCAGCACACAAACTATATGCCTTTTACTGTCGAAGCTGTTTGATCTCTTGACCCCATTCCCGATGAAGACGTCTTCTGAGCTGCCCTGGACCGGGTCGGAAGCACGGGATCCCGGCACCGACCGGCGTCCTCAACAACGCCCTCGAGTTACAAAGGCGGCTGTATACTTGGTACTGTCGCTGTTGCTAGTTATGTTCTTTGTCCGACTCGATAACCGTTCGCGATGCCTTGGTCCCAAACCTCGCCCAGAGAAACCCAAGACTATCGAGGAGCGTGTGAAGCATATCTTGACTCGAAATCCCTTGATTGGTATCTTGTCTCTGAATCCGATTGCCGTAAAACTGGCAACTAACTGGACTGGGCAGACGGACATAACGATCTGGCCATCCTAATCAGGGCATTATACAAAAATCACATTTACAATGTGACTTTCAGCAAACCCTTTGCCGAAGGCGGCCTTCTCGGCCACGTCGACATCCCTCGCCTCAAAGCCGGTATGAATGGCGGCGCCTTCTGGAGCGTATTCTGGCCCTGCCCCGAGAACGGCACAGATTACTCAGACGGGAATTATCACTCCAGTAATGCTCCCATTCCCCCAACCCCTCCTTAACACTCACTCACTGGCGGTAAACCCCAGCCGTCCTGCAAACCCTCCAACAAATCGACCTTGTCTCGCGACTCCGCCAAGCCTACCCCTCCGTCTTCTCTCCGCCAACCCTCACCAGCGACGATGCCCTCCACCACTTCCGCCGCAACCGGCTCATCTCCCCGCTTGGAATCGAGGGCCTCCACCAGATTGGCAACTCAGCCGCCGTGCTCAGGCAGTTCCATGCCGTCGGCGTGCGCTACGCGACGCTGACGCACAACTGCGGCAACCGCTTTGCCGACGCCGCGCTGTGGGAGCGCCCGCTCCGCAAGGCGCCCCCCGTCTGGGGAGGCGTCAGTCCGCAGGGCAGGAGACTAGTGAGGGAGATGAACAGGCTGGGCATGATTGTCGATCTGGCGCATACCAGCGTCGACACCATGCTGGATGTGCTGGGCGCCGGGAAGAAGGAAGCGGGCGGTGAGCAGTGGGAGGGGAGCAAGGCGCCGGTGATTTTCAGCCATTCGAGCGCTTATGCGGTGTGTCCGCACCCGCGGAATGTGCCAGATGAGGTGCTGGACCTTGTCCGGGAGAAGAGGGGGTTGGTCATGGTGAATTTCAACCCGGAGTTTGTGTCGTGTTTGGCGGCGCCCGACAGGGAGGACGGGTTGCCCGACTTTTATCCGAAGAATGCCACGCTGCAGCAGGTGGTGCGGCATGTTGTCTACATCGGGGAGAGGATTGGGTATGAGCATGTTGGATTGGGCAGTGATTTTGACGGGATTGAGCGGACGCCCAAGGGACTGGAGGATGTGTCCAAGTTTCCGGACCTGGTGGCCGAGCTGCTCAAGCAGGGTGTGAGAGATGGGGATGCGGCTAAGGTGGCCGGAGGGAACTTACTCAGGGTGTGGCGGGAGGTGGACGCTGTTGCTGAGGAGATGCAGAAGGCCGGGGAGCCGGTGCTAGAAGATGAGCTGCCTGGGCTGTTTCCGGCCCAGACTAGGATCACAGGGAAAGAGCTCTGAGCAGCTGCACTGTGACTAACCGGGGAGCAAGCCGGGGAGCAATGATCAAGGGCTTGGCTGTCCTGAATTATATTCTGTATTGTACATAGAAACACTTTCCGGAGCGCCATTGCTCGACGGAAATCTTCCGAATGCGCCGCAATCAAGCATCGTCTACGCCAGCCGTTCAGCGTGTTGATCACTCGCCCAGAACCGTACCCCATCCGAACCGTTGCCCAATATCGTTGCTTCGTTTACCCCCGACGCTCGACCTTGTTGAGTTTCCTCGCCGTCTCGATCTGGTTTCTTGTCCGCTGGCCACGCACTGGCAGACCCATGGCATGCCGCCTGCCCCGGTATGTGCCCATATCTCGTAACCGTTTGATGTTGTCTTGAAGAATCTTCCTCGCGTCGCTTTCGATGGTCATCGTCGACAGTTCGGCCGTCAGGGCGGTGACAGTCTTGGGCGGCAGAGTACCAATCTTCGCGCGAGGGTGGATGCAGTACTTGGCAAGGATGCGCGCTGATGTCTGCGGGCCGAGGGCATAGAAGGACTCGAGGGCTTTCTAGGAGCGCGTGAGTGCGCAAGCAGGAGAAGCAGGAGCGAGATGCCGTTCGACAGACCTTAACGAGCTTTTGCTCATGAAAGGCAGCCCCGAATATGTTCACGGGCATTTCGAATTATGGGCAGCGCCAACGTCGGAAGACCGGATTGAGATTTGAGTTGTTGCGGGCTCCAGAGACGAGATAGTGTTGCGAAAATCCGGATGTATGGAATACATCCGTACCTGACGCCGATATCTGACCATAACGCTATTCGTATTGCCGCTGTACGGTATTTGAAACGGGGAACTGATGAAAGTTTGGAGTCTTTCAAGGTCCGGTCACCCCCACTCTAACTTTCTCTCCCCCTGAAAAATACACATTAACATCAAACGAACACTACCAAGTGAGAGGCGGCAGCGAGACGATTGCGACCACCACCCACCGCAAAGGCCCAGAGATTGTCCGTTAGAAAAGCATAGAGTGCCCGGCAGCAAGATATGACCAATCTGGAAACGCGGCCGGCGAAGCCGCTCCCGTACTTCGATGACTTCTCCTCCGCAGACGAGTACGTGGACAATCTCTTGCATTTCGTAGCCAGCTCCGACCTCTTCCAGATTTTCGGCGCCGGACAAATCCACATTTTAGACTTTTTCACCAGCAACCCAGGCTCATTCGTGTCTGCCGTGCCTAAAGAATGGCAAGACTATCTCGTACAGATCGAGCCGATGGCCCTGCTGGATCTTCTTTGCCGGGACGATTTCTCGGTCTCCTCGACCGCAGAACCCCCTCGCCCTCCAGAGTCACTCATCCAGTATGTCAAAGACATTCGCAGGCTCTCATTGAACCGGTCTTTCACCCCAGGAACGTCGAAGCTGTCGGTTTTCCCCAGGCATGTGGCGCTTGGGATGAACGCGAAGAAGGTCCATGAATGCTTAAATTTTGCGGGCTTCATCGACCGTCTCAGCGACGACATTGTCCGTGCAACTGGCGCCGAGTTCACTCACTATGTAGACTTCGGGAGCGGGCAAAACTATCTCGGGCGGGCACTTGCAAGCCCACCCTACAACAAGCACATCGTTGCCGTCGAGAGCAAGGAGGCCAACATGGCCGGCGCCAAGGGCCTGGACATTCTATCGGGGCTCGCAGAGAAGGAGAAGCGGGTGCGCAACAAGAAGCTCTATCAACGAATCCTCGAGGCTGTGGATCCATCGCTGCACAACAACGAGGAAGCCCTCAAGCGTGCGGCGAAAGAACTTGGCATCCCTGATGAGGATATTGCTACCATCGACCTCAGATCCAGAAAAGAGCTGCAGGCCACATACACAATCGAAGAAGGAAAAGGCACCATCGAATACGTCGTCGGCCGCCTACAGCACGCAGACTTGACCGGCGTGCTCTCCCAGTTGCGTGGCCAGGAAAACGGAGTCCGACAGGAAGACCTCCGTATGATGGCCATCTCAATCCATTCCTGTGGGAACCTGTCACACTACGGCATCCGGTCCATGATCCAAAACAGGGCAGTGGCGGCAGTGGCAATAGTGGGATGCTGTTACAACCTCCTCACCGAACGGCTCGGCCCTCCGTCGTATAAGCCCCCTTTCAGTCGGCCTACCCTGCAGCCCATCAATGGGCGAGTGGTCAGGGAGTCGGAGCGACGGGATCCGCAAGGCTTCCCAATGAGCGAGAGGGTTTCCACGTACGGCCAGGAGGGCATTAGGCTGAACATTACAGCCAGAATGATGGCCTGTCAGGCGCCGCAAAACTGGACCGAAAAGGAGAGCGATTCCTTCTTTACTCGACATTTTTACCGCGCTGTCCTGCAGAAGATCTTCTTAGACAAGGGCGTCATTTCTCGCGTCTACCATGGGAAAGAGACGGACAGTGACAGTCCCTTCAATTCCAGCACCAACCCGGTCATCATTGGATCTCTGCGAAAGCACTGCTACACTTCTTTCAACGCCTATGTGCGCGGCGCCATCACTAAGTTGACCACCAATTCAGATTTCAGCCAATACAGTCAGACCATCAAGGAGAAAATGGGTGACATCACGGATGAGGAGATTGCCCAGTACGAGGAGGCATTTCGACATCGGAAGCGGGAGCTCAGCGCTGTCTGGAGCCTGATGGCTTTCAGCGCCTGCGTTGTCGAGTCCCTCATCGCGGTTGACCGTTGGCTGTTCCTCCGTGAACACTCGGATATTGTCCAGGACTGCTGGGTCGAGACGGTTTTCGACTACCGCGAGAGCCCTCGGAATTTGGTCGTTGTTGGCATCAAGAAATAACGTGGTCACCCAAACTGTCGGAAGTTGCATTAACCCTTTGCGTTCCAGCCGGTGCTCGGCGAGTGAGGTGGGAGCATCTCAGCTTTCACAGCAGTACCCCTCCACCGCATCTGGCCATACGAGACGTCAGTCCTCAAGCCGAGTATGCACCACAGCCAGAATTTCTGCGCACACAGCGTTCAGACGTGATCAGGCAACGCAGAAGCAACGAGAGGGGGCCCATCGGCGCAGTGAACCCAGCAACAAGACGAACCAGAACCTGCCACGCTATTTCGGTTGCCTCACGTTCACCGACACGAAAGCCCCGCCTGCACCTAGCAAGCTTGCGCCACGAGTGCTGCGTTTTCCCACCAGGACCGTGACGCCAATGTCATCCCAGCGGTGCCATCCCAGTCTGGTGTGGTCGCGCGAGACCGTGGCCAGTCATTCTACCCCTGTTTCTCTTTTCTGCCATTACCCCTACGGTAACTTTCTCAAGGAGCCGTCAGTCTGGCTCTCGCGCAGCGGATATAGCAATCGAATTCCAAGCACCCTAGTCAGCCAGGCAGCAGGGAGTGAGGAACTGGAGGAGACAGAAATGAAACAACACTGCTGTCGTTACGGACCCTGCCTCTTCGACACTCGATCGTTATCCGCTGTTCCTTGCGGTTTACAAGAGTGACGAGCTAAGAGGCTACCACTTCCCTCCGTCGATTTCAACCTATCTGACCAGCTACGCGTCAAATGTTCGACTGTCACAAGGTGGCGATGTGTTCGTGTCTCGTCAAGTCATTGGTCTCCATGTTACCAACTCCCCTTCTCGCTTTTAGTCCGAATCCGATCAGATCAAACGCCAAGTCGCGTTGATTCTGTATGCGACTCGATGACCGCGTAGTGCATGCTTTCTTTGATTTCACCTGCCGAATCAACTCACCTGAAAGTCCAGCGTAGGGATACGGAACATGCCCAAAATTAGCACATCGCTCGGACCACGGCCGCCGTGCCGTGTTCGCCCTTCTCATGTGCCCGGACGCCGAGAATAACTACTGTGATAATCAGTTCCACATGGTCATGGCGCCGACAGTAATGCAAGGGCGCCGACTGAAATGGGACGGGAAGCATGACCCGAAGCTCCTGCGTTCCAACCAATGGAATACGAGTAGGATTCGCACCCTCGGAGTCGGGAGAAGCCGACAGTCGGACACAGCACTGAGGGGACAGGATCCACAGTTTCCCCTGCAACCGGTCTCGATGTTCAACCTTCGAATTGTTTCCCCAAGTGAAGACTTCTCAATGCTCCCCCAAGAGCTCCACTACCCACAGCAGTCGTCGTGGCAGCGTAAACTCCAGTCAGAGTCCCAGGATGCCAGACACAGGCCTATCACACTTCACTACCGTCTTCCGGGCAACCGAGCCCTGCAAGGTCAAGCGCAAGAGGCCGCCCGTCTCGTGTATCAACTGCCAGAAGCGCAAATCACGATGTGATCGTCGTCAACCATGCGGCGCATGTGAGAAGAGGGGCGAAGACCGAGCTTGCCGCTTCGGCCCTGCGTCCATCGTGTCTGCCACGGCGGTGGCGGGTGGTAGTGGGGACGGCATGGGGAGTTTGAGTCGGCTCGAAGTGCAGAATCGACTCATCAAGCTGGAGCAGCTGGTCAGAGAGCTGGCGGAGCAGAATATGAACGACCGACGCGGCGCTTCGCATGAAGGCACCGAGCATTCGGATGATGATAGGCTGAGCTATCGAGGCCCAACGACATGGTCCGCGGTGGTGGAGAGCATCCACGACATCCAGAACTCACTTCAAGCCGAGGAAGAGGAAAGCACCATTTCGGGGGCGATGTATGACTTGGATCTTGGCTGTGGTGACTTGCTTCCCGTCACAACGGACCAGGTCCTATGGACACTACCTAAGCGGCAGGATGTGGACAAGCTCATCACGGCTTACTTCAATGCCAAGTCCGTGGCCGTCCCATTTCTGCACGTAAACCAGTTCCGGAGACGTTACGACAAGTTTTGGGAGTCCCCGGCAACGACGAGCATGCTCTGGATCAGTATCCTCTTTTCCATTTTGAGCTGCGGCGTTGCAATCGCTGGGATCAAAGGCATCTCCCTGTCCTCGAGTTTAGGGGCTTGTGATTCCAAGGCCTACATGGCCATGGCTGCTCGATGCCTCCACTCGGGTCATTATCTCAAGCAAAGAGCCATGTCGGTGGAAGCTGTGGTGATGTACGCCCACTCACGTAACATGCAGAATCCGGACGGGGATCCATCGCTATGGATATTGCTCGGGCTGGCCGTCCGCTTGGCCCAGCGGCAAGGATATCACCGCGACACAACCAAGATATCTCTGAACATCACTCCCTTCGAGGCAGAGATGAGGCGCCGCGTCTGGTTCGTTATAGAGTCTTACGATGCGCTCTTCTCGTACCAGCATGGCATGCCGTCAATCATTCACGATGATAGCTGCGATGCGGGCCAACCAACCAACATGGCAGACGACGACTTTGACGAGGACAGCGTCACCTTGACCCCTCGGCCACATACTGACCCCCTGCCGATCCTGGCCTACATTACCAAGTCCACCTTGTTACCCTTATTTCGACGTATAATGAAACATGCTCTCGGTGTCAAGCCCGAGAGTTTGTCGAGCGTCGCTGTGCTGGGTGAACAACTCGACAAATGGTACGAAGCGATCCCTCGCTGCCTCAAGTACCGCCCCATTCGACACACCTCGTTTACCGACGCGAACTACACCATCTTCCACAGGTCCATGCTCGAGCTGACGTACCATATGAGCCGCTGCGCGCTCTACCGATCCTGCCTTGTTGGTGGCGGTGGTTCCAACATGCGCTCTCTTGCGTTCAGTGTCTGCCGCGATTCGTCGCTGAAAATGCTCGATATGCACATCGAGATGGACCGTGAGGTCCAGCCGGGCGGGCGGCTTCACGAGGATAGATTTATGGGCGAGTCGAGCCTGACCCTCCACAGCTTTCTAGTTGCTGCCATGATCATATGTCTGGAGCTCAATGACTGCCAGGACATGCGGTAAGCCTCTCGCCTAACCATACTCTGCGAATACTCACTCCTCTCCAGTCCCCAAGACAGAGCTCACCGTATCAACCTCCTGCGCACATCTCAGCAGATGTGGGCCGCCCGTAGCACTACTTCATCAGATGCCTCTCGTGCGAATAGGGTGCTGAAGACCATGCTAAAGAAAGTCGAATCACCTTACTCGTCCCAATCTGACAGCCAGACGCTGTCTGCCTCGGCGGCAGAGACGATTACGTCCGAGAAACCACCTCAACCGCCTGAGGAGAATGCGCAGCACCCTGCGAATATCGTGGGATGTCAACCTATAACTGAATACACCGCCAACATCGTCGATCTTCCCTCACTAGAGACCTTTTTCAATGACACAGAAGGCTTAGACTGGGTATGTGGAAGTGGGAGGTTGCAAAGCGTCACTCGGAACCAGCCATGAACTGACGAAGTTGGCAGAGCTCAATCGACAGGTATCTCCGATACGACGCCATGGAAATACTTTCAGTTGATCAGACTCTTCCCGATACGGCATTCAAGTTTCCCTGAATGTGGGCGACGTCCGGAACTGTTTGCTATCTCCGCCGGGGATAGCTTTTACATGTTACCATTTTGGGTAATTCTCTCGCCCGCCGCGCCCGCGATCTGCCGTGTCCGCTTTGGAGATGACCGCGGAGGGCAAGTACTTAACGATGGCCACCGCAGCCTCTTGAGCCTCAACGAATGTGCACTATGAGAACATCCGCCTTATAAGCAAGATTGCGAACAACACCACCTACACCAATCACAAGCCGTCCAACGTCCATCAAGGCATCATCATGACTTCCACCTCCATCCCCGAGACCTCAACCTCGCTCGTTCTCGAGGCCTTCAATCAGCCCCTCTCCCTGAAGTCTACTCCCATCAACACGCCTACTCCAGCTGGTGCCGCTCTCGTCCGGATCCTCTGCGCGACCATACGCCCCCACAACCGGGCAGGCTTCCGCGGCAAACAGGTTCTCCCCTTTCCCGTCCCCTACACACCCGGCAACTCGGCCGTCGCCCGCGTCCTCGACGTCGGCGCGGATGCTGTGTCCCTCAAGCCCGGCCAGCTCGTCTGGGTCGACGGCTTCGTCGTGGCGAGGGACGATCCCGTCGGCACACAAATGCTTCTTGGCCTGTCGGACCTCGCCGCAGAGAAGCCCCGCAAGTTGTTCAAGGCCTGGCCGGGCGTCTGGGCCGATGTCGCCCAGGTACCCCTGGAGAACTGTGTGCCCCTGGACGAAGCCGTGCTCTGCGACCAAAAAGGCTATTCCTTTGGCGACCTCGAGTACATTGAGCGCCTCGCCGTCGCCAACGCCGGCATAAGAGCCGCCCATCTCCGGCCCGGCCAGACTGTCGTCGTCTGCCCCGCGACAGGCCATTTCTCGGGCGCCGTCGCCGAGCTCGCCGCACAGCTCGGCTGCCGCGTCATCGCGCTCACCCGGTCCGCCGCCAAGCTCGAGCCCTTGACGCGTCGCCACCCGCGCATCTTGCCCGTCGAGCTCACGGGCGACGTCGCTCGCGACGCGGCCGCCATCCGCGCCCTCTGTCCCCGGCACACCGGGGCGGCCGACGCACTCATCGACATCTCGCCACGCGCAGCGTCCGCTAACCCCACGCACCTCCACGCCGGCCTGGCCTCCCTGCGCAACTACGGCCAGGCCGTCTTCCTGGGGGCCCTGGGCGACGTGGCCATCCCGTACATCAGCTTGATGCTACGCAACATCAACATCAAGGGCCAGTGGATGTACAGCCGTGACCAGCTGGCGGATGTGATCCGGCTGATCGAGAGTGGGGTGGTGAGGCTGGGGAAGGAGGCCGGCCATGAGGTGGTCCAGGGTGGGTTTGAGTTGGCGGACTGGGAGAAGGCCGTTGAAATTGCCGAGGAGGCGACGTCCTGGGGGCAGCAGACTCTCTTCCTGCCTTGAGGGGCTTTGAATCTCGTAAAAGAGGACGGCTGACGTCTGTTGCCCGAAGGGGTTACACGGATAGTTGTGGTGAGCACATCAGGAAGTGTGGGTAGAAGAGATCTGCAAACAATAGGTATGTATTATCAATATTTTGAAGTGGATGCTAGCCCTTTACCTGAACATGGAACAACGCTCCGTCTCATATTCCTGTATGCGTCAACTCGTGTTGGAAAGCCAACAGCCAAGATGATTGAACAAGCCACAGGAAGCCAGGAGGCCATGTCCCAGGTGCACTTGGACTCGGAGCTTGCCGGTGCATTGCCATTGGAAGCCTCCATGGATTGCGACTTCCGTTTGAGAGCCGTGCAGATGCGGGGTGCACCTCGGTCCGGAGAATCGTCGACAGGGGTATATTGCCGTGGCTTCCAGCTTGGTTCGATGATCCATTCATTGGTCTGCTTCCTGAAGGCGCGCCGTTCGATTTTTGAGCAACTGCATGTCTCATTATACCATCAGTGCCCGTCGTTTATATGCTTCAGTCCTTTCGAAGGACATGCTCCTTCAGCAGTCTGGTAGAACACTCGCATCCGCGCTCGATTGAGGTCGGCCATTGCCTACATGGCACCCAAGATCACGATCACGATCACGCTAATCCACCCCCACGCCACAGCATATCGAATCAAGCTGCACCCCACCCATCGTTAGCTCCTGAGGATAGCCCACCTAATGCTTCTCCCAGATCTTCTTGCCGCTATCTACGGAGCTGCCTCGAGACCCATCGAACCCCTCTCTCATTCGTCTTATCTATCACCTTACCTATCACTTTTACCACCAACCCATTCTGTATTATGGTCAGGTTGTGCGAGCATCCTCACCCGCAATCCTGAAATGGACCCTGGGATACCACATCATGTTGCTAGAGAATGGAAACCCTGTCGACTGCAGGTTCGTTCCGAAGAGGCAACTGTCCATCCACCTTGCATCATTGCCAACCATTGAGACGGCGGACAGTCTCCCACACAACAGAGCACGGCTTTTCTACCCACCCAAATCCATGAGCTTGGCATTGAATTGACATTCCGTGCTTCATTGATTCCTCGTCACAAAGAGACGGATGAGAACGCGGGGCTGGGTCACAGCTCTCTGTGACTCTGAATGTCCTTGCTCGCCTTCGACCACGTCGTGACACATTTGAGATCAGACTTATCACTGGAAACTGTTCATGTCACCCTGTCGGTTCTATCCAACCCAACGACAACCAGGCATCTGCAGGTACGATACCTTTCCGCTGCGAGCGGTTGTCGACGGTACATGTACTGGGCGGAGCCACGCATACACATATGTTTATAATCACAGCTTCGCTCTTCCGGATGTTGAACAGACCTACGGACCCTTACTGATCTTATTCCGATCTATTTTCACTGTTATTGTGCAGAAAGAACGAAGGGAGAGCGTTGCGCGGCGTCTGCCCAACCTCCTGGTTCAACCTTCAACCCTTGCTACACGTCAGCCTTTAACATCGCCAGTTGACTGCTGGTTGAGTGTTGAGTGGTTGCTTTCCGAGGCAGTATCCTGCCTCGGGATCACATAGCACAGCCATGAACGCGCAGGTATCGTTTCTAGTAAGTTTCCTCGCTATCTGTTGGCAAGCTGTTGTCAACTACAAAACAAACATCAACATGGAGCACTCATGGTCTCATTTCCCTTCCCTTAGGTATTAACAAGACCACTCCACAGGACGGGACCCTGAGTCTAATCCACATTCCTCTGGACTTGTACTCGAACCTCCTCCAGTCGATCCTTAAAGTCCTCCTTCCACCAAGTCAGGACCCGACCAGCCTGAAGGCTGCAGAGGGTCTGACCATTGAGAACTACAGCCATGCCTTTCTCAACATAAGCGTCACGCCCATCGAGTGCTCTATCGTCTGCAACTCGGCCTGGGCAGAATCCGTGTTCGAGCCCGCCATCAAACGCCTGCCTAAGGACCAGGCCAGGGCGGTAGCCATCTCCAAGGACACATATGCCGCCCTCAGCGTCTATGGCACGGGCATGGACGCCGGGTCGCGCGTCGCGGATTTGACGTCGCCGTTGGCTCTGGCGAATATCCCGATTTTCTTCATCACGACGTACTGTAAGTCCTCCTCCGCGTGGTCGTCAAAGAAGCGTAGGAGCCGTGAAGACGGTTGAGAGCAAGTTCTCTGGCACCCTCTCCACCATGAAACCCTCCACAAAAGTTGCGGCACGGCTGACGCGCAAGAGCAGATTCCGACTTCATTCTCGTCCCAGTCAAGGACCGGATGGCCGTCGAAAAGGCGCTGCTGGCCAAGGGCTTCGTCTTCTCCGAGGACGACGCGTCCCGTCTCGTGTCAGCCCAACCCTCGCCCACAGGCATCAACCAGCGCTTCAACTTTATCAGTCACTCCAGGGCGCCCAGCCAAGACAGCAGCAGCGACCCTCCCGTCTCTCCACCCCCACCGTCCAGTGTGAACGACCTCCAGCAGCGCACCTTCGACCTCCTCAAGCGGCGCAACGTGGTGCCCCACGTCGAGCCCGACCTCACTCTCGCGCAATGCACCGGCATCCGGCACCACCCGCAGCCCTCGGCGGTCATGGCGCTCTCGCGCGGCAGCAGTCACGGCAGCCGCCGCGGCTCGCGGCCGAGCTCGCGTCCCGGCTGGCTCGACACGGTCGACACCAAGCTGTACACGGCGCTCGTCTCGGCGCTGGCGTCGCAGCCGCGGTTCCTGAGCATGACGCTCGCGCACGAGGACCCGCCCAGCCTGCTGCTCGACAGGGAGCTGCTGGGCCTGTTTGGCGACTCGCTCGTGGGGCCGACCGACGGCGCGCTGGTGCCCATCTTTCTCGACCTGGCCGACCTGCCGTTCGAGGCCACGGGGATAGTTTCGGGCGTGGCTGGGAAGCTGGTGAGGTCCATGCGGATTGCCGACGGGGCGGAACTGTCATATCTGTCGACGGCCAGGGCGGGCGCGGTTATCTTGTCAAGGGAGCAGGCGGCTGTGGCGTTGGGCGTGTTGGGCCCTTTGCTCGGGGAGGAGTGAGCGGGCTGTGAAGGCTGCAAGTGTATGCTTGAAGTGAACGGACGGGCCATTGACAGGGGAAGGCAGAAAGCTACCTAGGTGGTGGCGTTCGGTTCCAAAGGGTCAGGGAGTTGCCGGTTGTTTGGTGGTTGAAACATCCAAAGGCGACCCCGTGGTTTGGCGAAACGGCGAGGCCGCATATGCCCGCCCAAAACCATGGGATCATATCCCAATACGGCAGTAAATTACCACACAATTCCTCTCTCGTTTGACTGCCCGATGCAGCTGTCTATTTGCCTGCCATCCGTCATTTGCCCCCTTTCTTCTTCCCACCGCTCCCCGTCGTGACCTCCTCCTTCAACAGCCCGGCCTTCACAAAGGCGTCCCTTGCCGTCTGGTTGATCAGGGCGAACCGCCTGGGGCCGAGCTTCTGGCCGCCGTACCACCGCGTGACGACAACCATGGTATCCCAAAGATCCATAAGCTGCATGAGATGTAACAGCCGTCCGCCAGCGGCCGTCTCCCCGTCGTCGTCACAGTCCTGGAAGCTGGTTCCGTTGGGCCCGCGGATGCGCCACGCCGTAATGTTGTGCGTCGCGGTGCGGACGCGCTTGTCGGACGCGAGCAGGTGGGCGAGGAACCCGGCCGCCTGTGAGGGTGAGGTTACCGGCGCGCAGCGGGCGACGAAGGTGGATTTGGACTCGGCGAAGGGGTCGGACACGGTCCAGGGTGGCGGCGGGCCCAGGGCGCCACCAGGAACGGCAGCAGTGGTGAGTTCGTCGGGAATATCCCCCAGGTGATGTGAGACAGCGGCATCATCTTCTTCGTCCTCGCCGTCCTTCTCATTGACGGCCGCAAGCAGCTCCTGAACCTTCTCAATCGCGTCGAACAGGCAGACTTGCCCTGGCTCGTAGACTTCACTCACGGCGTCGCGAAACAGGGCCAGGTCCCGGGCTGCAGTGCCGCGCTTCCCTCCGGAACCTGAACTGTGTGTGCCAAGCACGGTGGGCGGGACATCGGGGTAGGTTTGCGGGAACTGTAACCGCAGAGAAGCAGTGTCGCGGGGGAGTGTGAGGATGAAAATGGACGGGTCGTCGTAATGAGCTGAGTGGGTCAAAGTGTGCTCGCCATAGATGGAGTTGATGGCTTCTATTTCGTCCAGCAGAGCCTCCGACATTGCTTGCTGTCAAGGATGTTTAGGTTTGAAGGAGTTCGAGGAGGCATCTAGATCGAGTTGGACAAGTTGTGGTTTGGAAGATAGCTCAATAGTGAGAGCGAGAAGAGCGTTTTCAGCAGACGAAGTGGAGAAGACGGACTGGCGCACCATCAACTTAACTTTGCCCTAACACCTTGCTGATGGATGCAGGCAGTTGAAAACCTGGCTTCTATCCTCTGCGTCTCAAAGCAGAACTTAGGGTATTTTAGATATGAGTATATGCTCCATACCTGCCATTCCTCCCTCATATTCTTGTTTTGGGCGGAGACTGTCAGTACACGTCTCTCTTTGTACCTTAGGTATACGCTAGTACGAGGTCCGCAGACTTCGGTGTTCGAAGGTTGAACCGTCTCCCTTTCACAGATTCGTACTTTATGATGTGCACAGTTCCCTTCTGCTTCAGAAATTGACGAAAACGCCAACTGCAACTGCCTCAAGACTCATCACTTCTAGCGTATGAACGACAATGATGCAGCGGTCTGCCGACTCCGGTATCGTCCGGATTGCTTGGCGCCCCCTAGGCCACCCACCGAGCCACCCAACAAGGGAAACGAACAAGCACCTAAACGATAAGACTCACCGGCGCTCGGATGATCCCACCTCTACACAAGAATCGGCAAACTCACCAAGTGCAGCCTGACTCTCTCTTACGTTGCTCTGCACACTACAGGTAGGCTGCGGTCCACCGGACTGAACTCAACCACATCGCCTGCAAATCCCGAACATCGCCCGACCCCCCCTTCGCAAGTCCCGAGTCGACAAATCGACAATACACTCCCCGCTTTGGAAATCTATTGCAAGCTTTGCCATGGCCGCCGCCGTTGAGGACAAGATAAAGAGCGGCGAAGGCATCCATTGCGCCTTCTTCTATGGTGAGTTCTTGAGCCATTACGATCTGTCCCACGTGACGGACCGACAATGGAATATCACTGACTCTACCCGCATCAGGCACACTGGTATGGATGAATATGAAATAAAGGAGATGCACCCACTAGAGACACCTTGACTGACACTGCTTAGATGGTGCCCGACGTCTTTTACTTGGTATGTTACGGGGCCAAGGACGTCCCCGACGCCTACGCCAAACTTCACACCTTCCAACCAGCCATCCTCCACGGCTACTGCCGGCGCCGGGTGAGGTTTGCCGACTACCCCGGAATCACCGAGGACGAGGACCACCAAGTCTTTGGAACGTTCACTACGGGGCTCACCAGGGCAAACATGGCCAAGCTCGACTACTTTGAAGGCAGCCAGTATGAGCGCAGGACAGTCACGGTCAAGCTACTCGAAAAGCTGGGCAACCTCAAGGGTGAAGGCAACGTCGAAGGCGAAGAGAGGACAGCCGAGGTCTATGTGTTTCTGAACAAGAATGATCTTGAAGAACAGGAGTGGTAAGTACCAACCCCGTCCTCTCAGTCTGCAGGCGTCTTATTCTAGTTTCAAACAAGCCGGGACCGCATCGTTGACACAGGCATCTAGGGACTTGGAAGAGTTTCGCCGCGACAAGTTGAAATATTGGACTCGGGCTGGTTACGTGTTTGAGGGTGAGTCCTCCACGACGCTCTTTGGCACCGCAAACAACATGAATTCCCCAGCTTACTAGGCCCTAGACTGTGACCCAAATGACACGGCAAAGGTGGCCAGCCAATATTAGAGGACGACTCAGAGTTGTTAAAAGTTTGCTGGAGTAGCAGTTGATTGTATTCATTAGATCACAGTCTCTGATTAGGAGCCACCAGAATACTGCTCTACTGCTTTGAAGTCATATTTGGTACATTTGCATATCTCATGATCTCGTCATGATAGACTGCCAGGACCATTGTACCACATCTCAGCTTTGATCATGCAATACAATACGTGATAGCCGACTGGAGGCCGTGTATATCCTACTCGCGTCTATCCAAAAACCGAATCGCATCCTCAGCCGCTTCTCTCGACTCCTTGACGAACCCCAACCCCTCCCCAGCCATAAACATATCATGCGGCGCGTTCGGAATTTCATACACCCTCAACCGGTGCCCCGTCTGCTCCTGCACCTCGACCCACTTCAGAATATCCTTCGCAATGATTTCCTTTCCTCCAACTTGCACCCAAATCGGCACCTCCGTCTGAATACCCCTCTTGACAGGCGATATGTACGCATTGTCACACACCCGCCCGCCTTCCACCCCGTCATCCAACACCTCAGGCAAGAAAACCCGCAACGCCCACTCCACCAGCCTGGGCGGCACAATATCCCACTTGTCCTCCGCCCTGGCAATCAGCTCCCCAACATCCACACTCAGATCCGTCCAGGGGCTCCAGAGCAACACCCCGCCGGGCCGCGGCAGCACTTTTGTCTCCTCGAGATGCCTCAGCAGCGCAAGCGCCAGGTTCCCGCCCGCTGAATCGCCCGACAGGACAACGTCCCTCGCGTCTACGCCAAGCCGGCGGACCAGGTGCGCGTACGAAGTAATGGCGTCTTGCAGTGCGGCTGGGAATTGGCCACCGCCGCCACCGCCGCCGCCGTTGTATGAGTGTGAATGGAAGGCGAGGCGGTATTGAGGGCAGAAGACGGCCGCGCCGGAGTCGCGGGGAGAAGCTTGGAGGAGCAAGGATGCGCCAAAGGCCATGTCGCGGTCGCGACAGTCGAAGAGAACGTATGCCCCGCCGTGGAAGTGCAGGAATACGCGGCGGGGGCGGTTGGGGGCCAAAGTGTTCATTTGGTTTGATTCTCGGTTGAAGGGGGCGGGGAACCAGGTACCACCTATTGCGACTGGTCTGATGCCGTTTGCGTTGGGCTTAGCAATACCCGTGTAGATGGTTTCTTGCTGTTGGTTATGTTTGTTTGAGTCCGCCTGAGCCTCGAAAGGCTCGATGGTCACGAAGCGGTCCTTTTCTTTGCCCGGGTCGAGGGATTGTGCCGGTGAGAATCTAACCACGGATGCGTACTCGAACAGGAGACGCGTCATGGCGCGTACAAAGGCTTGTTGAAACGTCCAGTCGCGGATGGGCCGGAAACGGGGAATAGTATACATGAGCATCAGGCATGGGAGCTTGATGAGGGCCCTGACGACAGAGTAAACCGTGTAAACGAAAAACCCCGGCTGGCGGGTCCATATCGTCACCCTGCCCATGGTTTTGATTGAGAAATCGAATGATGTTTGTTGTTTGTTGGTGAGAGGTTTGGTGAGGGAGGGAAACTGTAGAGCAGGAGGGATCAAGAAGGTAACGTTAGCAGTTGCTGGGGTCATAGAAACGACTGGACGTCCAGACTGTGCCGCAACGCATCAACGTCCGGATCCTTGCATTTAAAACTCAGGTACTCCTCAATTCCTCCTGCAGTACATATACTAAAGTGCTTAGCACCTCTGCGTCAAGCTGGCAACGTGATGTGATGGCCCGGTCATCGGTTGTTTACCTGTCTGTAACGAGCTGAGGGCAGCTGGATTTAATGCGGCTCACTTAACTATGGTCTTCTAAGGTAGGGGGTGACAATGCTGTGTAAATTGCTCTCGAACTGGAAGTACCTCAGAAGCCCAGCAATACCGATTTATGATATTGTGCACATCCGAGAATGATTTGGGTCAGTGATGACAGCGCATGTTCGTTCAAGTGGACGATCACGCAACACGGATGATGAGCCTTAAATATTTGATTTCCCTTCACGAGTGCCCGTCCTCCTATACTAAACTCCTCAATTTTCGTTCTCCCAGAAGTGCTTTCTATAGAGAGCCTAATGTTCAAAGACATGAAAGCGGTGCGCTCCCCATCGACCTGGATCTGCCAAGTTTATGTGACTTCTTGGGAGGACAGTATTCACCGCACGAATGACCTGAAGAGTGCAAGTGGATCTCGCCGAGGGTTCTCGTCCAAATGTTGCCAGTTTGCACCAGTCAGTGGTTTGATGAGTAGGAGGTCGGGGTTCCCGATTTCAACAATCATCGGGTTATCGCCGCCGTGAGCGCTGTTGGCGTCTTCTGATGATTGCCACCGAAGCTTCAAATTTTCGCCTGTTGGCCCGTCTCAGCTCTGCAAAACGATGCAGCAGTCAGTTTCATTGCCAAGTAATGTTGTTTTGGACTTGCGGTTTCTGAATAGTGCCCCGGATAATCCGTACTTGCAGCGAATGATAGATGCTTGTGTGCTTGTGAGGATGCCGAGAGCTGTGGGTTAGGGTTAAGTTACCTTAGCCCGCTGCCCCACAGATTTTGAAACAAGCGACAGGAACCCAACGATCTGCGAGCACCTGGCACGTGTCGAAGGCTTCGCTCCCGGTTCAGTTGACAGAACTTAGAAGAACGTCTCGCAACAAATGCGCCGCCGCGGCGCTTGTGGCCAGGTTCCCGGTTGACAGGTGTTGAATTGCTTGGTATTGTACTTTATTGTACATACTTAGATTCATAGTAACGGCCACTTGGTGGAGATGAGCTGCATAACAACCCGCCGGCTTTCTGGCCTCTCTCTCTTGGGTTTGGGGAAAAGGCAACCTGAAGACGTCTGATTGAACAGCGCTACAAGAACAAACCTGAGCTATGATGGTCCATGGATCTCATAGACGCTTCTGGGCCAGCTCCTACCACTGAGTGTGAATTGAGAGTGCTAAGATCAAGCCCACGGAGATCGGATCCGGACCTGTGGGATTACTGTGCCCCACTCAACCGGGCCGCTTCCACTGCGCGCCTGTTACGTCTGCTAATCAGCTCATTTTCTTTCTCGGATTCACTTTTTCAGACTCACCTGCGTAGCTCTAACGTCGCGCTGGAGTCCCCACTGCCATCACAGGAGGCCACCTGAACGTCGACCTTCCGAAGTATGACAGCGCGAAAGCCCAATAAGTTTCCGTCTCGAAGCCGTTTGGCCTCTGCTAGAGACCTTGGTCTTACCGAGTCACCGAGGCCTCGAAGGATCACTTTTGCCTTCTTTCAGGCCGCGCCTGACATTCGAGAAGCGCCCCCAACACTTCGCCGTGCACCACAGCTGACGTCAACCTCAGTCACTCTCTCGTATTGGCTGGCATGCCGCGCCTGAAACGACAAAGGTTCATGAAGGTATTGCTACCGTCCGAGACCCTTGGTCGCCCGGGATGCGCTTCCGACACGTTTACACTTTTCAGTCAAAGGATCAGGCGTGAAGACGGGCCGCCTCCGGCTTCTAGCCGGCTTTGCTTACACTCTGAGGCTTGCTCATAAGCATCTCCCAACCCAGCTGATGTTCCGGCCAATGTCGCACTATGATTCAAAAGCGGTCGAGATCATAACTTGTCACGAGCCGTTGTTGCTCGCCCACCTTGCCTTTCGGCCATGAAGCCCAGCAACTGGGGAACTACCGTCCTCCTCAAGGCCATGAAGCATCAGCCTGTCGACTTCAACCGCGTTCCGCCGGCCCAGCCGCAACACAAGGGCTCCGTTTGCTGGGAGTCAACTACCCAAAGACCCACGAGGGGCTCCCTACCCGCATAGACTTTTACAGCCTGATGTTAGGTTTCCTACAGGCTTTTGGCTGCGTTCTCTCTCTCGTTGTGGTGGGTACAGGCCAAAATCTGCGCCGTCCATGGAGGCCAACACGTACCTCCTTGAAGGATATAAGGAGCCATCCAAGCACGCTTCGACGGTTTTGGTTTCTCATCCACTCACCCACTTACCAACCGCTCCGATCCTTCCTTTGGGGCTTCACTTCTTGAATTGCCTGGTGCAATCTCTTTTCTCACACTCCTTTTTCTTGAACTAGTATCTCGTTGACCGAGTCTGTCCCACACTCCTTTTTGGAGAACCTAATCTCGAACCAGCCCGAAACCCTCCTTTCCAATCATATTCTGTCTAATATTTCTGCCAAGATGCTCTTCTCCAAGACCATCGTTGCCGCTGGTCTTCTGACCACAGTCTCACAGGCTCACATGGTTATGCGGCTTCCCGTTCCTTATGAGACCCCGAAAATCTCTCCGCAAGACAACGGCCCGATCAAAGCCGATGGTAGCGACTACCCATGCAGGAACGCGGGCGGCGTGGACTACACAGGAACGGCGACCAAGATGGAGAAGGGCTCCAAGCAGAAGTTGGCTTTCACAGGCGGCGCAACCCACGGTGGCGGCTCCTGCCAGATTTCCCTGACCTACGACAACCCGCCCTCCGCGAACAGCGCCTTCAAAGTCATCCACTCGATCCAGGGTGGTTGCCCTATCAGGTCGCACGCCGGAAACTTCAACACCCAAGACGCAACCGTCACCCCACCGGATGAGTACGAGTTTACGATTCCCGACGACATCCCTACTGGCAACGCAACCCTGGCCTGGACCTGGCTGAACAAGGTTGGCAACCGCGAGTTCTACATGAACTGCGCGCCCGTCGACATCACCGGTAGCGAGGGCAGCGAGTCGGCCCTGGCTGCCTTGCCCGATATGTTCATTGCCAACATCCCGCAGGGCAACGGTTGCACAACGGTTGATAACGCGGATGTCAAGTTCCCCAACCCTGGCAAGTCGGTTGAGACAACTCCCGGCAAGGAAGCTGGCCTGGCCGCTCCCGTGGGCAACTGCGCTGGTAGCGCCGGTTCCGGCGGCTCTGGCTCGGGCTCTGCTACTCCTGCGGGTTCCACTGCTACCCCGGCTGTCCGTGGCCGCCAACCCGCCTTACGGGCCTAAGGGATGACCACGTGCTCTTCATCTCGACTGCCGGAAGCATAGCAAGATAAAGCTTGGATTGGCGCACATTCGTTGCGCACGAGCATGGTCGGTTCCGTCATGCTTCAAGATGGGTTAGGCCACTCGTTGCGGGCCACGAGAAACTTGGTGGGATACTCGCTTCGCTACAAGGGCCCGGGAACTCTGACATACAATACGACACATTCACTTGGAATCAGCCAAATACACATTCATTTGGACAGGGTTTTGGAGAAACGGCGGACCAGCTTTTGAACTAGACATTTCCTTCCTTAAGGCTCTGGGTAGCTAGAGTGGTTGGTGGTGGAGGACAGCCATTCCTTTGAGAATAGAACACGTACATTCCTTTGCACAAATAACTGCAATATGATTTGTGAATTTTGCTGGCTTGGGAGGACGGACATGGCAGCTCGAAGTCGAACTTTGAAGGTAAAATCCGTACAGTTGGATGCTTTTGCAGACGAATCCAGGACTTCAATGCAAGAGGTCATGGACGTGGAGGCAGATAAGATAGCTCCACAGTGGGCTATGTCTTGGCCCAAAACGGAGATCTGGAACAAAGCCAATCAGATCAACCCCAGCCTTGCCCCAAGGACCGGGATTCTATTGTTCCGCGCCTAGCGCAATCTGATTTCGCGGCCGCATCGCCCAGCTCTCGCGCCGCTTGGGAATTTTCGATCTACGCGCAGCGTGGAGAGCGCAGCCTTGCCATCCATGGCCATAAGTGACCTCACGTTGGGGTCCCTGAACAGTGATACCCGCCCCGGAATCTCCTCCGGCAACACCACCTAGGAAATTTGGAACCTGATTTTCTATTTCGCAATTTACGACAACGAGTGCGTATCTTGTTTACACCACCTCACTGTCCGACAGCCCTATGGAACCGTAGTGTGTGTCTCCGATAGCTCCCTCGATAGCTCGATGCGCATGAGCTAACTGCCGAAGGCCCTGTCGCAAGCCGATTTCAACTTCAACTGGTCTTCCGGTGACAATAACAGAGGCGAGCTAAGCTGCCTCCCCATCACTCGCAAGGGCGAATGTCGCAGCCATGGCGAGCAGTCTGATCGAGGATGTGGTGAGGAAGCTCAGTGTCCCGGAGATAGGTAGGCTACCGCACCCCGTCCAACCCCGTCCCGGCTCCCACTATTCACTTGCAGCGCTGCGTACGTTTTCCGGGCTAATCACAGCATCCCTTCACAGAGCTTCGGCTCAAGGTCGAAGCAGCATGTGCGCTGCGCGACAGTCTCGACCACTACACCACCGGCCCCGGCTACCCTGTCTTCCTCAAGCGACTGATGCCCGCATTTGTCAACATCCTCCGCCAACCATGCGTCTTCCAGACTACGCCACCCGATCAGATCAACGCGCAGAAACTGCGGAACTGCGTGTTAGAGATCTTCCACCGGCTGCCGACCTCACAGGTGTCCCCCGATCCGTTCGAGCCGTACGCTGAGGAGGTTGTCGATCTCTTGATGCATCTCGTCCGCAACGATAATGAGGATAACGCAGTGCTCTGCGTCAAGATCATTTCAGACATCATGCGGCATCAACACAAGATAATGGGGAACAAGGTTCAGGCCTTCTTGTCTCTAATCCAGGAGCTTTTTGAGCAATTGGACAGGGTTGTTCGGGAGCAGCTGGACAACACCTCGTCGACTGGGGCTCCCGCGCCGCCGTCCACGCCAGGGAGCACACAGACCACGTTTCTCCCACACCAGCAGTCGCCGAGGGCAGGGTCACCGATCGCCTCTGGAGCACCCGACTTCAATGTCGACGTCAGCCAACAGTCGAATCGCACATTGCTGAGGGGGATGCAGTCTTTCAAGGTTTTGGCAGAGTGTCCGATCATTGTCGTCTCGATATTCCAGGTCTATCGGTCGACCGTCGCGCAGAATGTGAAGGCGTTTGTGCCCTTGATCAAGTCGGCCCTGGTCTGCCAAGCCGCGGCGCAAGCTCAGGCTCACAAGGACGCCGCTGCTCGGGGCACCATCCACACCGGTGTGAGCCCCAACATCAAGAACCGCGCCGCCTTTGGTGACTTTATCACCGCTCAGGTCAAGACTATGAGCTTTTTGGCGTATCTGCTTAGGCAGTATTCGGGTCAGCTCACTGATTTCCTGCCCTCCCTCCCAGAGATCACGGTCCGTCTTCTGAAGGATTGCCCCAGGGAGAAATCAGGGGCGCGGAAGGAGCTCTTAGTGGCGATTCGGCACATCATCAACTTCAATTTTAGAAAGATTTTTCTGCCGAAGATTGACGAGCTGCTGGACGAGAGGACACTGATCGGAGACGGCCTTACAGTTCACGAGACGATGCGGCCCCTTGCGTACAGCATGTTGGCCGACCTCATTCACCACGTCCGGGAGAGCCTCACCCCCGAGCAGATCCGCAAGACGGTTGAGGTCTACACCCGCAACCTCCAGGATAGCTTCCCTGGGACCAGTTTCCAAACAATGAGCGCAAAGCTCCTTCTTAACATGGCGGAATTCATCGCTCGGATGCCAAACAAGGCCGACGCGCGCCATTATCTCATCATGATTCTCAACGCCATCGGCGACAAGTTTGCGGCCATGAATAGGCAATACCACAACGCGGTCAAGCTTTCTAAGTATTATGCCCAGCTGGCGACTGAGAACACGCCGGAAACCTATCTCCCTGATAAGGAGCACCCGCCCGATTGGGACGAGGTCGACATCTTCAACGCCATGCCGATCAAGGCGTCGAATCCCCGGGACCGCGCAGCCGATCCGGTTGTCGACAACAAGTTTCTCTTCCGGAACCTGATGAACGGACTCAAGAACACGTTTTACCAGTTGAAGAGCTGTAATCAACCAGGTGCTGTGGATTTGACCGCGGCCCCCGCCCACTGGACGGATGTCGCCTACGGCTTCACGGCCGAGGAAGTCAAGGTTATCGTCAAACTGTTCCGTGAAGGCGCCTACGTGTTCCGCTACTATGAGATCGAGAAGCCGGCATCCGAGTCGCCATACAGCTCGCCAGTCGAATACATGGCAAATTTCTACATGATTTCCAGTAGCAAGGAGGAGAAGGAGCTGCTCGAGACGTTCGCGACTGTCTTCCACTGCATCGACCCTGCCACCTTCCATGAGGTGTTCCAGCAGGAGATTCCACGACTTTACGACATGATTCATGAGCATACCGCCCTCCTCCATATACCCCAGTTCTTCCTCGCCAGTGAGGCGACCTCACCCAGCTTCTGCGGCATGCTCCTGCGCTTCTTGATGGAGCGCATCGAGGATGTTGGCTCGGCCGACATCAAGAAGTCCTCCATTCTCCTCCGGCTTTTCAAGTTGGCCTTTATGGCTGTCACTTTGTTCGCGGCCCAAAATGAGCAGGTCCTTCTGCCGCATGTCGTCGACATCGTCACCAAGTCCATCGAGCTGTCGACCAAAGCAGAGGAACCGATGAACTATTTCCTGCTGCTGCGGTCCCTATTTAGGAGTATTGGGGGTGGGAAGTTCGAACACCTCTACAAACAGATTTTGCCACTGTTGGAGATGTTGCTCGATGTTCTCAACAACCTCCTCCTCGCGGCTCGCAAGCCCGCCGAACGAGATCTCTACGTGGAACTCTGCCTCACGGTGCCTGCTAGGCTCAGTAACCTCCTACCACACCTCAGCTTCCTAATGCGTCCCTTGGTGGTCGCATTACGTGCCGGCACAGACTTGGTTGGGCAAGGGCTACGGACGCTCGAGTTGTGTGTAGACAATCTCACCGCTGATTACTTGGACCCGATCATGGCCCCGGTGATCGATGAGCTCATGACAGCTCTTTTTGACCACTTGAAGCCTCACCCATACAGTCATTTTCACTCCCACACGACCCTCAGGATCCTCGGCAAGCTTGGTGGGCGCAATCGAAAGTTCATGACGGATGCCCTTCCCGTCACCTTCCAGCAGTACGTCGACGATCGGTCAAGCTTCGACATTCGGCTCATTGGGTCAAGGCGAGACAGAGCCTTTCCGGCGCACCTCGGAATCGATCTTGCAATCCAGAAACTGATGGAAGTGCCGAAGTCAATTAAAGGATCTTCACCTTCGTCGTCAAAGCAATACGATCCGTACTACAAGAGGCAGGCTTTGAATCTCATCATTGCTCAGGTCAAACTGCGGGTTGGATATGACAATTTGCCAGATGATCTTCCCCGGCTTGTCCGACTCCAGGTTCAGGATCTCATTGCCCGCAACAAGGATGTCAGCATATCCGTCTTCGACGCCTCTGACAAGGAACGGTCCATCGCCAAAAAGAACGAGGAGGAGCATCTACTGAAGCGTCTGATCAAGGCCCTCATGTTCGCTCAGTCAATCCCCGATTTTAAAGCCGAGGTGGATGCGCTGCTTCTCAACCTTGCTCGCCACTTCACCATCATCGAGGTGGGACGGGCACTGGTCGACATGAAGAAGGCCTACAGCCCGTTTGACACAAAATCTGGCGAGGGCTCTCTCTTCGTCGACAGCAGGGTGCTGTCTGACGCCATCTTGGAGTCACTGGCTTCTGAGAACCCGGATATCCGGGATGCAGCTGACTCTCTCATCAAGGAGATGTACAACTCCGCCGTCACCATCTTTGGTTCTCCCACCCACGTTGCCCGCCTAACTTTCTTCAACAGCTTGGCCGCCACTTTCTGTCATGGCTGCTATGAAGAGGAGTGGTTTACCAAAACGGGAGGTACTTTGGGAATCAAAGCCCTTCTTACTGATATCGACCTCGGAGATATGTGGGTGGCGGCGAAGCAGATTGAATTCGTCCGCGCCTTGATGTATGTCATCAAGGACATGCCGCAGGATTTGCCCGAGAAGACGAGAAGGTCTGCCCAGAATACTCTCGAACTCCTCCTGACAAGGCTCACCAAGGACGTCAAAAAGGCGGACTGCTTGCCTGCTCCGCCGGCACCGGCACCGCAGCCACCCCAAACTCCGCAGAAGCTCTCTCGGATCGCCCAAATCATCGTGATGATGAACGGGGAGCTCTCGCACATGAACCGCCATGTACGCGACACCGCCCGGAGATCCCTCGAATTGATCGCCAAGGCAGCTGAAGCTGAAGTCTGGGAGCTCCTTGAGCCTCATCGCAAGCTTCTGCTCCAGCCAATCTACGCCAAACCCCTGAGAGCCCTGCCTTTCCCCATCCAGATCGGTTTCATTGATGCCGTGGCATACTATATGTCTTTAAAGCGCGACTTTGTTGCGTTTGACGAGAACTTGAATCGGCTGCTGATGGAGTCGCTGGCCCTAGCAGATGCGAGCGACGACTCTCTTGCCGGTAAGATACAAGAGTTTCGGACTCACGACTTCATCGTCAATCTGCGGGTCTCCTGCATTAAGATCCTCAGCAGTGCGATGGGCTTCGATGAGTTCGGGAGCGGTCCCAACAATCCTACAAGGATCAAAGTCGTCTCGGTCTTCTTCAAATGCCTGTACTCGGACTCGCAGCCGACGATTGAGGCGGCCAACGACGCCTTGAAAGCAGTCCTGCAGCACACTAGCAAGTTGCCCAAGGATCTGCTCCAGTCTGGCCTCCGGCCTGTACTTGCCAGTCTGCAGGACGCCAAACGCTTGACTGTCCACAGCCTTGACAACCTTGGCCGGCTGCTCCGGCTGCTGACGACCTACTTCAAGGTAGAGATTGGAGCGCGTCTCCTTGAGCATGTCAAGCAGATCGCCGAGCCCAGCTTTCTCCAGCAAGTCTCGTTTACCTTCTTCGAGCAACACAACTCGTTGAAGGTGATTGCGGCCGTCTTTAACATCTTCCACCTGCTGCCTGAAGCCGCCAAACAGTTCAAGGAGCGCGTCATCGATAACGTCCTTGATCTTGAGGAAAAGCTGCGGCGGACGCATCACAGCCCGTTCCGCCTGCCACTGTACAAGTATCTCAACAAATACCCTTCAGATGTGTGGGCCTTCACGTTGGGTAAGCTCGAAGAGCTGAAGTATGGCCGGTTCCTGTCTCAGGTCCTGCGGCATCCGGACAGCCAAGTGCTCCGGGATTACGGCGCAGCAAACGTCGAGTTCATTATCAAGACGTGCAACAATATCGTCAGCCAAGGCAAGGATACCAAGTATAATGCGTTCATCAACACCATCAACATGCTGGATGCCCTCTGCCAATTTCCCAACGCCCAGTCATGGCTGGATAATAAGGAGCACATCGAGTGGTTGAAGCAGGTTGGAAAAGAGCTTGAGCGAAACCTGAAGATGAACGCTTTGCCGCCAAACCTCCGGCTACCGGCCGATCAAGCCTCCGAGCAGCTCATGACCATTCTAACCAAGGCCCTGGCGCGGAATCCCAAGGATTTAGACCAGCTTTTTGGCCTCGTTGAGTCCATCACCACGGATGACTTACGTGAGACACCAGCCTTGCTCTCGCACATCTACAAGTACATCATTTGCAGCGACTCGGTGGAGTTTTGGAGGACCGTGGTTCTCCGCTGTCTTGAAGTCTACGCCGGGAGGACGGCATCGCAGCGAACCAAATGGTATCTGCTGCACAACATCGTCAACCCCATCGTTGCCATGGATGTGATGAGGCACTGGAATCGCGGGGAGCAGAGTAAGGGCCCGCGGTTCCTTGACAAGACCATAATCGACTCGATCAACACCAAGATCTGGAAGGTCAACCTGCCCGACCCCCAGGAAGATCTGTTGCAGCCGCGGATCGACCACACCCGCATGGAGGTGCTTCAGCTCTCGGCAATGATCGTGAAATATCACCACGCCATCCTCCAGGATGCTCGAAAGGACTTTATCAAGTTTGGATGGACCTACATCCGGCTGGACGATGTCATCAATAAGCATGCGGCCTATGTCGTGATCGGCTACTTCATCGCGCACTACGAGACTCCGGCGAAGATCGTCACGCAAATCTACTTCTCCCTCTTGAAGACCAACCAGAATGAAGGACGGGCGCTCGTCACTCAGGCTTTGGAACTGATGGCACCAGTCATGGCCAAGAGGTGCAACACAGCATTGACTGACCGCAACCCGGTCTGGGCGGTTGCTCCCCGCCGCATCCTCGCTGAGGAAAGCCAGAATGTGCAACAAATGACGTGCATTTTCCACTTTCTTGTGCGGCATCCAGACTTGTTCTACCACACTCGGGACAAGTTCGCGATGCTGATCATCCAGTGCCTCCGCAAGGTCGCATCCCCACCCAATCCGTCCAACGAGAGCCGGAAGCTTGCGCTCAACATGATGTGGTTGATATGGCAGTGGGAGGAGCGGCGTGTGGAGGGCAAGATGAGCGAGCCACTCCGCGATGCCTCCGAATCACCCAACACCAAGAAGCGCATGTTGGAGGACCTGCAGGCATCCTCCCCTTCGGCGGCGCGGCAGCCGGAGAAGGCTGAGTTCCAGATCCCGGCAATGGGCCGCCAGAAGATGATCAAGTATCTCGTGGAGTTCATTGCCCAGCTCAACGAACGGTACCCGCTCCCCTCAGCCAAGCCACGCGATCCTGCTGCAGCTGCCCTACAATCACCGTCGACCGAACTCTGCAAAAAGGCGATGACTCTGCTGTACAATCTTCTCCAGCCGCAATACTGGGGCGACTTGGACGTTGATCTGTTCCCCAATATCACCGACGTGGTTTTGGCCAGTGAGAAAGCAGCAGGCCTCCTGGCAGCGGATCCCTCAGACACGGACAAATACGATGATAAGTTCATCACCAACATCGTCAACACGTTGCAAGTCGTCCGCATTATTCTCAACTTCAAGTCTGACGACTGGATCCTTAGAAACATGACCCAGGTACAGAAGATCCTGGAGAAGTGCCTGAAATCAGAGAACCCCGAGATCCAAGACTGTCTGCATGTGGCCGACAAGAAATACGATGGTGACCGGGACATCAAGCCGATCGTCAAGCGTATCCTGGATGCCGTCCCGGAGGACGTCCCAATGGAGGATGCCGATGTCGATGGGGAGTCGGAAGCGCAAACCTCAGAGGCCATTGCGTTTCTCTCGGGAATCGCCACCGAGAGCATGGCTGCCTCAAATTACGTCTCTGGCATCAACCTCTTGTGGTCCCTCGGCCGTCGCAAGCCATCCACCATTGACCAGCACATACCCGCCATCATGAAGTCGTTGCAGTCAAAGCTTGCGCGGGATCACGTTTCGCACTACGCAGCCTTGGCGCATCAGGCCAGTGGTATTCGACCGCCGCAAGACCCGAATGCGCCGACCGAGATGAACGCCTATGATCTCGAGATCCAAACGGGCTTAATCCTCAAGGCAATCGAGGTGACAGCGATGCGTATGGAGATCCTTGGCGATAACAGGCGGCCCTTCCTCAGTGTTTTGGCGACCATCGTCGAGAAGTCTCTGCATGTGACTCTTTGCGAGAAGATCCTCGAAATGGTGGAAGGTTGGGTCTTCCGCTCAGAAGGCACGTGGCCGACGCTCAAAGAGAAGACAGCGGTACTGCACAAGATGATCTCGTTTGAGCATCGCCAAGATCCAACCATGTTGATGAAGTTCCTTGAGCTTGTTCTCCGCATCTACGAGGACCCCAAGATCACCCGGACGGAGCTGACAGTCCGCATGGAGCATGCCTTCCTCATCGGCACCAGAGCCCAAGACGTGGAGATGCGCAACAAGTTCATGACCATCTTCGACAAGTGCCTTTCCAAGACCGCGAGCGCCCGGCTGGCCTATGTCATCCTTTCCCAGAATTGGGACACTTTGGCGGACTCATACTGGCTCGCGCAGGCCTCTCAGCTCCTCTTGGGTGGCGTGGACATGAACCCTATCATCCAGCTTCACCAGGATGATTTCCGGACTCTGCAGCTTTCTCAGCTTTTTGGCATTTACTCCAAGGACACACGCGAGCCGGCCAACATGAGCGACGACAAGTACGAATCTTTCATGGCGAATCATCGGCGGTTTGTGGCCGAGCTCGGCGATATCAGGGTGCGCGACATTCTCGAGCCTCTGACCCAGCTGCAACACATTGATTCCGATTTCGCAAATGAGCTTTGGGTCGCACTCTTCCCGATGTTCTGGTCGGCGACAGCTAAGGAGGACCGACCTGATCTCGAGCGCGGCTTGGTGACCCTGCTGACTAAGGACTACCACTCGCGCCAAATGGACAAGCGCCCCAACGTTGTCCAATCGCTCCTGACTGGCGCGGTCAAGACATGGCCACATTGCAAAATCCCGCCGCACGTTCTCAAGTTCGAAGCTAAGACCTACGACGCGTGGTACACGGCGCTGTATCAGTTGGAGAACTCGGCCCTCAAGCCTGAGATTGACTCTGCGGCTGTCCGGGAATCTAACCTGGACGCATTGGTTGAACTCTACGCGTCTCTTGGCGAAGATGACTTATTCTACGGGACATGGCGGCGCCGTTGCCAGTTTGTTGAGACGAACGCTGCCCTGTCTTACGAGCAACATGGCATGTGGGAGAAGGCTCAACGAATGTACGAGACGGCACAGATAAAGGCTAGAACCGGTGTCATCCCCTTTTCCGAATCGGAGTACATGCTTTGGGAGGACCATTGGGTACTCTGTGCTCAGAAACTGCAGCAGTGGGAGGTTCTCCAAGATTTTGCCAAGCATGAGAATTTCCAGGATCTGCTCCTGGAATGCGCGTGGCGGAATCCCGAGTACTGGCAGAACCAGGAGAACCGCGACCAGCTGGATACTTTGATCAAGGGTGTCATGGACGCGCCGACACCGAGGAGGTCGTTCTTCCAGGCATTCATGTCCCTCCTGAAGCTGCACAACAAGCAGGAGACCATGCAAGATTTTAACCGAGTCGTCGACGAGGCCATCCAATTGTCCATTAGGAAGTGGCATCAACTCCCCAAGCGCCTCACCGCGGCCCACGTCCCGGTTCTGCAAAACTTCCAGCAACTCGTTGAGCTCCACGATGCCAGCGTCATCTGTCAGAGCCTCACTGGCACAAACGCCAATAACCTGGACGTGAAGTCAGGAGAGCTTAAGCTGCTCCTCGGGTCTTGGAGGGATAGGCTCCCGAACACGTGGGACGACATCGTTGCATGGCAGGATCTGGTGACTTGGAGGCAGCACATCTTTGGTCTCATCAACGGAACCTATCTGCAGCTCGTGCCTCCCCAACCCCAAAATGCGGGAGGCGTGTCGTTCGCATACCGCGGATATCACGAGACGGCTTGGATCATCAATCGCTTCGCTCATGTTGCCAGGAAGCACGCCTTGCCGGATGTCTGCATCAGCCAGCTTAGCCGCATTTATACGCTTCCCAACATCGAGATCCAAGAAGCGTTCCTCAAGCTCAGGGAGCAAGCCAAATGCCACTACCAGAATCCCGACGAGCTGACGAGCGGGCTGGACGTGATCAACAACACGAATCTCAACTACTTCAGCGCTCCGCAGAAGGCCGAGTTCTACACGCTGAAAGGCATGTTCCTGGATAAGCTCGGGCAGAAAGAGGAGGCCGACAGCGCGTTTGGCACGGCCCTTTACTTTGACATCACGGCGGCGAAGGCGTGGGCAGAATGGGGCTACTTCAATGACAGGAAGTTCAAGGAGAACCCTACCGACCTGGGGGCGGCAAAGCAGGCCCTTACCAGCTATCTGCAGGCTGCATCGAGCTACAAGAATCACAAATCGCGGAAGCTGATTGCGCGGATCCTGTGGCTCCTGAGTCTGGATGACGCGAACGGCACAATCGCGGCAGGGTTCGATGACTTTAAGGGCGAGATCCTTGTGTGGTGGTGGATCACGTACATTCCGCAGCTCCTAATTGGGCTTGGGCACAAGGAGGCACCCAGAGTGCAGAATATCCTCCTCAAGATTGCTAAAACATACCCGCAGGCGCTGTATTTCCAGCTCAGGACAAACCGGGAGGACATGCTCCAGATCAAGAAGAATCAGGAGGCCAAGGAGCGGGCGAAGCGCGGCCCGTCAGCGGCCAGCAAACCCAACGGTTCTCCTCAGTTGACTAAGAAGGACCCTACGGCCGGTGGCGGCGATTCCCGACCAGCCACGGCTAATGGGGAGGCGGCCGGACAAATCAAGCCGGAGCCGAAGGCGGAAGGGGCAGATGGCAGCGCAGCGGCCGCTCCGTCAGCCGCGGCAAACGGTCCGGCACAGAGTGAGCAAACCGGCAGCGCGCAAAAGAAGCAGCCTTGGGACCTCAGTGAAGAGATCATGAGCGTCCTGAAGACGGCCTTCCCGCTGCTCGCGCTGTCCATGGAGACTATGGTGGATCAGATCCAGAAGCACTTCAAGTGCCCTCCGGATGAGGACGCTTATAGGTTGATCGTTGCCCTCCTCAACGACGGCCTCGCCTATGTCAGCCGCATGCCGACGTCGTACGCCAAGGATGTGAAGCTTCCTCCTGCCACCGAGAACAACATAACGCGTTTCGCGGAGACAATCCTGCCGAGTCACATAAGAGGGACTTTCGAGGCAGATTTTGTCAAGGTCAAGCCGACCATGTACGAGTACATCCACAACCTGCGCAAGTGGCGCGACAAGTTTGAGGAGAAGCTGGACAGGCGGGCGTCGCCGGTGCCGCTCGAGAGTTTTGCCCACTACTCACCGCATCTCAGTGAGTTCCGATACCAAAAGTTTGACGACGTTGAGGTTCCGGGCCAGTACCTTCAACACAAGGACAAGAACCAAGATTTCGTCCGCATTGACAGGTTCTTACCCAACGTTGACCTCGTGCGCACCATCGGGACTTCGCACAGGCGGCTCAAGATCCGTGGCCACGACGGCAGTGTGCATCCGTTTGCCGTGCAGCACCCGGCGGCGCGACATTGCCGGCGTGAGGAGCGCATCCTGCAACTGTTCCGGCAGCTCAACCAGACGCTGGCTAGCAAGAAGGAGAGTAGGCGGCGGGATCTGCAATTCACGCTACCGCTGATGGTACCTCTTGCGCCTCACATCAGGATCGTGCAGGAAGACACCACATACATCACGCTCCAGGGCGTCTATGAGGACCACTGCCGCCGGAACGGAATACAAAAGGACGAGCCAGTGCTGTTCACGATGGAGAAGCTTCGGGGACTTGTGGATGTTAAGGGACCAGTAAGGTTCCCCAACCACACAAATGTACAAGGACGCGAGCTGACGAGATGTGACTTACAGAAACCGCCTGAGCACGCAGTCACGGCGCGGATGGAGGTGCTGCGGGCGATCCAGGAAAAGTACGTGGACAACACAGTGGCGCTCGAGTACTTCCAGGGTGCTTTCCCCGATTTTTCCGAGTTCTGGCTCTTCCGGCGGCGCTTCTCGTACCAGCTGGCGGCGCTGACGTTCATGACATACATCATGCACATCGACAAGCGGTACCCGCACAAGATCAACATTGCACGGGGGTCGGGCAACATCTGGGGCTCGGAGCTCGTCTGCTTCATGGCGCCCAACCGGCCCTACTTCCACAACCAGGAGCCGGTCCCCTTCCGGCTCACGCCCAACCTGCAGACGCTCATGGGCCCGCTCGCAACGGAGGGCATCTTTTCGTGCTCGGTCATGGCCATCGCGCGGTGCCTGACGGAGCCGGAGCTGCAGCTCGAGCACGCGCTGACGCTGTTTGTGCGCGACGAGATGATGTACTGGTTCACAAGCTCGCACCGGGCCATGAACGTGACCGAGAACCAGCTGCGCGAGACGGTCCAGGCCAACAGCGAGATGATTGTCAGGAAGGCCGTGTCGCTCGCGCAGGCGCCGGCCGGAAACCTGCCCGCGCATCAGACGGTCATTGACCTGATTGCGAAGGCGGTGAATCCGATGAACTTGGCCATGTGTGATGCGCTTTGGATGCCTTATCTTTAGGCTGGTGAATGGATGGATGAGTTGGGGGTTGGTTGACAGTGGCCGCCTGGGTTTTGCTTGGTTCGCTGGAGGCAGCGTCTGTGTAGTTCTTGCTTGCGGAGTAAGTAGTTCTTATGTTTGTGTACTTTTATGGGAGTTGGGAATGGCAAATGGGGTAAAAGGGGGAGGCATTTGGAGTCGAGGTGGATTCAGGTCCGGAACAGGAGGCATTGGTGGCAGTGTTGTTTGACAAATGAAGACTATCATAGGGCGCCACGCATCTCTGAGAAAATGAGTTAAAGTCTCAGTTTAACTTCGTAAAATACCTCTACCACGCCAGATGCTCAGGTGAGTGTTTCATAAGCACGAAAGATCGTCCCCTCACATCTTAGAGAGCAACTCTCTTCAGGATCAAGGGAGCTAATTTAAACTAGATAACCCTCTTCGAGGGGGAAGATAATTCTCATTTAACATCTATTTTCAGGTTAAGATTCACTTTAGGAAGGAGCGTCCGTTAGATCCTCTTTTCAAAGTTAGAGATTCTCCTTCATACTAAAGGTATGTTGGTGTCAGTCACCTGAGCATTTTGACGGTTAAATATTTCAGCTTTGTCACGAGCAGAGGGCCACTGGCATAGGCAAGGCTGCGGAAAGACCTCTATAATGTGTAAAATCACAAGAGTGGAAGAAATAAAAGAGAAGCTGGAAGAACTCTCGCGATGTAGGAGATAAAATGCCAGAGCAAGTGGCGCACGCGCGAGCAAGGCAAGCGCGCACCTCGACGGCAGATGCCGTCACAAGCTTGAGAGAGTATTTTACAGCGTTGGGAGCCTACTACACTTCATTTTCGTAGATGCCGGTGGCGTCCTATGGTAGTCATGATTTAATTGCAGGGTTCGTACTCATTCGGACCGTGATGGGGTCCAAGAACGCCAGTGATGTTGCTGCAACAAAACGGCCGCCCGAGCCGATGCTGGAACTAGGGAGGTTTGACCCGACCTGAGACCGATCAGCGGTTCCGAATGGGGGATCCGGGGCTGGGTTGCCGACAACCCCGCATTGCTTTCCGACGGGACTTGTACTACAGTGTGTTAGTCTCCTTTCGTTCCCCAATGTCGGTCGAAACTGCCTCGGCTTCAGTCATTCGTTCCTTCTTTCTCGGTGTGACTGTGCTTTCTTTCACTTCCATTCTTTCTCTCAAAGCAATGTGAGACGAACCCCGTCTAGCTTACAACTTACAACTGGACCCGAACATAGGCCAACAAGCGTTTGTTGACTATCGGACACAGGGTCAGAAATAAAAAAAAAAAAAAAAAAAAAACATGGCAGACCATGGGCAGCAAGCCGTGCCAGTGCCGCGGAAGTTATGGTGTGTCTTGTCTCTGTTGCTCAACACTTGTAACCCAATTCCATTTCGTCGCCAACGCAGTGTATGCGGAGAGCTCAGGACTGATACCGTCGTGACCATGTAGGCAACATTCCAACCCAAAGGACACTCAGATGTATCGGTTCATGCAGGATATCAACCGCAAGCATAACCTCCAACTCAAGGCAAGTGAAATCCTTGTCCCCAGCCTACTCTTCTATGAACTGCCACATTCACATTCGCTAACCGGAACCACCCCCCAAGACATTCCAAGACCTCCATGCCTTCTCCCTCGCCAACCGCTCCGCCTTCTGGTCCCACGTCTTCGACTCGGCAAACCTCATCCACGAGGGCTCCTACTCGGCCGTGGTCGACGAGTCCCTCCCCATCGACGCCGTGCCCCGCTGGTTCGACGGCGTCCGGCTCAACTTTACCGAGAACGCGCTCTTCTCGCGTCCCTTTGGTCATGCTGACAGCACAGCGGCATTGCCTTGGGTGAGGGACAAGGAGGACGGGAAAGTGGCCATCACCGAGGTGCGCGAGGGCGGGAGCGAGGTCAGGAGTGTCACGTATGGCGAGCTGAGGGAGATGGTGGGGAAGATGGCGAGGGCAATGAAGGCGCGCGGGGTCGCGAAAGGGGATCGGGTCGTGATTGTCGGTGCGAATAGTGTCGAGACGTTGGTCATGTTTCTGGCGGCGGCGTGGCTGGGCGCTGTATTTAGTAGCAGCTCGACGGATATGGGAGTGAAGGGGATTTTGCAGCGGGCGGTGCAGGTTAACCCGAGGGTGAGTTGTTTCCGCTGTGCGGGGGGTGTTTGTGAAGGCGAGATGCTGACTGCAGGGTACCTTATCAGTTGCTGTTTATGGATGACGCGGCGCTGTATAACGGCAAGGTTGTAGATCTGAGGGAGAAGATGTCCGAGGTGGTGGACGGGCTGCGGGAATGTTCTAACTTTGCGGGCGTCGTGTCCATTCGCCGGTTTGCCGAGGCTAAAGATATCTCGCGCGTCGCCAAAGCCGAGACGTGGGAGTCGTTCCTTGCTGCGGCGGACGAGAACGCGCCCCTGCCCGAGTTTGTTCGCATCGCCTTCCATGAGCCCCTCCAGATATGCTATTCGTCTGGCACGACAGGTGCACCAAAAGCCATCGTCCACTCTGTGGGCGGCGTGCTGATCAATTACTACAAGGAGGGTTGTCTGCATGAGGGACTAGGTCCAGACAGCGTCACGCTACAGTACACCACCACAGGATGGATCATGTACCTTGCCAACGTCGGCGTGCTCCTTTTTGGTGGGCGCACGATTTTCTACGATGGCTCGCCCTTCCTGCCTGACGCCAGCATCCTGATCCGGATTGCTGCCGAGCAAAAGGTCACCAAGCTGGGCATCAGTCCGCGGTGGATTTTCGAGGTGGCCAAGTCCGGCCTCCGCCCTCGCGACATGGCTGACCTCTCGCAACTACGGATTGTCACCTGCACGGGGATGGTCCTATCGGACCGGCTCTTCGAGTGGTTCTACGACGTCGGTTTCCCAACGCACGTCCATCTGGCCAACATCTCGGGCGGGACAGACATAGCAGGCTGCTTCGGCATCATGAACCCGCTCAATCCCGTGTATGTGGGCGGCACGCAGGGTCCGTCATTGGGCATCCACGTAGCCATCTACGACTCACTGCTACCGGACGGGGCAGAGGGGAAAGAGGTATCGCACGGCACACCGGGCGAGCTGGTGGCCACCAAAGCGTTTCCCAACATCCCCTGCTTCTTCTGGGGCGACAAGACAATGGCCGGCGGTCCAGCTGCACCGGGGACGAAGTACCACTCGTCCTACTTCGCCCGGTTCCAGCACGTCTGGGCGCACGGAGATTTCTGTGTTGTGCATCCCGTGACGGGGAACATCACCTTCTTGGGGCGGGCAGACGGGGTACTCAACCCGTCAGGAGTTCGATTTGGGTCGGCTGAGATCTACTCGGTCATCGAGAGGCGGTTCGCCGACCGCGTGCAGGACTCGTTGTGTGTCGGGCAGCGAAGGCCGCAGGACAGCGACGAGTCGGTCATGCTGTTCTTGCTCATGAAACCTGGGACGAGGTTTGACCGGCGCCTGGTGAACGAGGTCAAGCAGGCCATCTCGGCAGACCTGAGCAAGCGGCATGTGCCAAAGTACATCTTTGAGACGCCCGAGATTCCGGTAGGTCTTCCTTCTTCCGTCTTCAAGCAGCACATTTTGAGGCTAATGGCTGCGCAGACCACCGTCAACCTCAAAAAGGTCGAGCTCCCCGTCAAGCAGATCGTGTCCGGGCAGACCGTCAAAGCGAGCGGTACGCTGGCCAATCCGCAAAGTCTAGAGTATTATTACCAGTTCGTCAGGGTGGAGGAGCTGGTTGAGCCCAGGGAGAAGCTTTAGTTAGATATTGCTATCCTGCTAGAAGGCGACACGGACGGTGTGGTTCTGAGAGTAGAAACTAGAACCTCTGTTTGTCCTGTTGCATTTTACAAGTACAACTCACTACCGAAAGAACGTACTTTCTGACGGCAGCGGTGATGAAGCAGAACAGAGGGAGGTTTAAGGACACGGGATGCTCACACCTCGAGGTTCTGGCCCGTTGAGAGATGAAGATCAAGGGGCGAGCGCGAGACAACCCGGTATTTACCCTTCCCACAACTGATTGCATGGCTGTCGCCGATGCGTTTCTACCGACCCCTTTTGATCGTTCCCATAAATGCTCCGGCGCCGATCGCTATGCATGCCAGGCCGTACCATACCAATGACAGTATCCATCCCAGGCCGATACAAAAACACAGTATCCCTCTGCTAATACAAATGAAACAACCCTTTTCAGTATTCGTCGCTCATATCCATCATAACGTCTCCCTTTTCATCGACCTCGCAACCCCCACCACCGCGCTTCCCGCCCGCGCCCGCACCCGCATTCCCCGTCATGACCCCTTTCCCTTTATCCCCAGCCACCGCCGTCTTCCACCTCGCCTTCCGCTCCAACCTTGCTCTCGCCGCAGCTTTCTTCTCGTCTAACTCGGCCTCGAACCGATCCATATCCGCCAACTCCTCGTCCTCGGCACCGGCCAGATCAAGCCCCGTGCTGAGCCCTCCTATCAACACAGCCACGTCCCCCCTGGACGACTCCTCGAGCGCCTTATTCAGCAGCTCCGTGGCGATGGGATCCTGGGGGTTCACGGCTAGGGCCTCGTGCAGCACCCGCGCCGCCTCGTCCGGCAGGCCCTTATCCAGCAGGATCAGGGCCTTGGCGCAGAAGACGGCGGCGTTCTTGCCGCCGTCGCGCAGCACCGCGTCGAACTCGTCGAGGGCCTCGTCAAATAGCCTCAGGCGGCGGTAGGCGTGGCCCAGGTTGGTGCGGGCGCCGAGCCAGGCGTGCGGGTCGGCGTCGGTCTCGTCGGCGATGCGCAGCGCCTGGCGGAAGAACTTGGCCGCGTCCTTGAGGCGGTCCTGGTGGTAGAGCACGATGCCCATCTCGTTGAGCAGCAGCGGGTCGGTGCGGCAGAGCGAGTAGGCTGACTTGAGGTATTCCTCAGCCGCCGTCATGTTGTTCACGGCGTGGTTCTGCATGCCCAGAAACACCTGCGGGAGGTGGGTGCCCGTGAAGAGGCGGGCGGCCGTCGAGTAGGCGGTTATGGCCTGGTCGTGCTCGCCCTCGGCTGCGAAGGTGTGCGCGAAGCCGATCCAGGCCGGGCCAAAGGTGGCGTCCATCATGGACGACTTGGAGAAGTAGCGGCGGGCTTCGGCAATTTTGGACGTGGCGAGGTAGTAGGTGCCGACGGCGAGCCAGGTGCAGGCGTGGTCGGGATGATTGTCGGCGAGGTCGTGGGCTACGAGGAAGAGCTCGTTGGTCCGTTTGAGCTCGTACAGGCAGGCGAGGTGGACGGGGTAGGCGGGAAAGTTGGTTTTGTCTTCTTGGAGGACCGCTGCCGTGATGGCGAGCGCGTCCTTGAAGCGACACTGCGTGTATAGCAAGTCGGCGCGGGCGAGCAGAAGGTCAGCGTTGTCCTCGAGCCCGTAGTGTGTAGACAGCGACTCGATGGCTGTGTTGAAGGCGCGCGGGTTCCGGTATTTGGAGAGCTGTGTCTGGTAGAGCATGTGCACGTAGTCCCCGGGCTCGGTATTCAGGTCTGGGTCGTCGCCGCCATTGGGTGCCCGCACCGTATTGAAGTCGAGCGACTGCATGAACTCGTCTTCCTCGTCGGGAGACATGAGCGAGTTGCGCACCAGCTGCGTGAAGGCCTCGTAGCACTGCACGTCGATGCGCAGGGCATCCTTGTACGCCTCCTTGGCCCGGTCAAAGGCATTCTCCTTGGCGTAGCAGAGCCCTCGCAGATAGCACATGCCCGCCTCATAGCGTCTTGTCGACCACTCTTCCTCGCTAATTTCGTCTGGTTGGCGCTCGCGGTTCTTGGACCCTGCCCTGGTGCCCCGGGCTGTTGTCCGGTGTGTTTTCCGTTTGGCATTTGTGGTGAAAAGGTGCGTCGGGGTGAGCTCGCCCAAGAGGGCCAGCGCATCGGTGAAATTGTTTTGTCGAATCAGGCAGTGTGCGGCCAGATAGCGGCAAGAAGGGTTCGAGCCGATCAGGCTGTGTTTGGTCAAAAGATCGTGGGCGCGCGTGTAATTGCCGGCGGCGAAGTGGACCTGGGCAAGCCAGAAAGCGTCGTTGTCATCTTCTGTGGGAGGGAGAGGGATCAGCGCTGAGTTGTTACAAGTAGCGAGGCTGGCCTACTTGTCATAGCCAGCAGCTTGTCGCCGATGAAGATGGCCGAGTCGTATTGCGCCTTGTTAAGGGCATCCTGACGCCAGTCCCGGAGGAATCTCTCCATTTTTGGTTGTGACGAAGCCATGGTCGGAAGTCGTGCGTCGCATCGGTGTGGCCCTTTGGACGGCTGGCCGAGGCTGCTTAGGCGAGGTGTCAAGGACCTTAGTTCACCCTAGAAACCCTTGGGAAACAAGGTCAACTTCGAACGCGGTTGCCAAGGGGAGAAACGTGGGACGCGCCAAAGGCGGGGCGCGAGTTCATGTGAGCTTCCCTTCCTTCTCCGTACCAAGAAGGCTTGGCGTGCCGTCAGTGGGATTAATCTTCACTCAAAAGTCTCAGGACCGAATTTCTTTCTCCAATTCTCACAAGCAACTTGAATCCCTTCACTTTCTCGCCACTCACCAATCACACTAGGACCTTTCAACGGTCTTGGAACACATCTTGGTATTATGATTTAAGAAGCAAATCACCACCCCCTAACCCAACCTGAAAAGATATTCAGTTGTGTGCATGTACATGTAGAACCCCAATCCTCCTCTTGCTTTCTACTAAGTTTAATTATCAAAGCTGAGCCCTCTTGCTCTTGCACTGGCTGCCGTCGCCGTGCGTGACATTCTTGCCGTGGCCCAGCCCCAGGCACGAGGCAATCTTGTAGAACACGTCGATGTTGTTGTAGGTGCCGCCAAAGGTCTCCTGGCACGGCCCCATGGCGTATACGGGCACGTCAGTCAGCGAGTGCACGCCCTGCGTCTCGGCGGTCGGCAGCGTGCCGTTGACGACGAAGCCACTGGGCCTGTCGGAGGGGTTCACGTAGGCCTCGCCGTCGGCGCCCACCACGGCCGGCGTGCGCGGCTTCTTGCCCACGCCAAACATCTCACGGTGGTCCGGGTTGGCGCCCAGCCCGGCCGCGATAACGTACCGCGGGTCCCAGTTGAGTGGGAAATTTGCCCCGGTGCCATAGCTGACGCCATCCTTGGGCTGGGTGTACTGCGAGAGGCCCGAGTTGGCGTAGACGCCGATGGCGTTGCGCTTGGACCGGTCGTCCTCCTGCGCGGCGGCGTACTTGGTGTCCGAGTTGCCAAAGACATCGAAGCCGTGGCCGTGGTCGGCCGACACGACGATGAGGGTCTCATCCAGGATGTTGAGCTCCTTGAGCTTCGCGATGGTGGCGCGGACCGTGTCATCCAGCTCGAGCAGATCGCCCAGGGCACGGTCGTAGTCGAGGGCGTGCATCTGCTTGTCGATGGAGGCACCCTCGGACATGAGGAAGAAGCCCTTCTTGCCGCCGCGCTCGTTCAGCACGTCAATCGCCTTGAGCGTCATCTCTTTCAGACCGGGCAGGTCCTTGGCCGGGCCGCTGCCACCTGCGGGATCGTTCTTGAGCGTGTCGAGGTTCTCGGGGAAGATGTTGCGGTCTAGCCAGACAGGCAAGTTGCTCTTGCAGAAAATACCCAGCGCCTTCTTGTCATTGGGGGCCGCCAGCAGTGCCGTCTTGTTCAAGCTGACCGAGTAGCCCTTCTTGGCGAACTCGGCGTAGTAGTCCTTGCCCTGGAACGAGCCGGAGCCGGGCAGGAACTGCTCAGCGCCACCCCCAAAGTAGGCATCGGGCCCGTCGGTCCTGGTCCACGAATAGTTGCTGACGCCGTTGAGCGCCTGGTCGATCAAGACGCCATACTGCGAGCGCAGGCGAGAGTGGCCGCTTAGAGCAATCGGGGTAGCGTCGGCGATGAAGGCGGTGGAAACAGCACCCCACGCGGAGCCCTAGGCCGTCATCAGCGAGCTGCACTTTGTGAAATAGGGGCCTTTTTTGCTTACCCAAATGCGGTGCAGCATCTCAACAATGGTCTCGACCTTGGGGTCGTCAAGCGGGTCGGCAGACGAGTCGGCGTAGACGCTGCGAAGCACGGTCAGCTCAGACTCGTGCATACCGGGGGGCTACTTTATGCTTCCGCCGCTGACTTACCCCATGGCGTTCACCGAGCTCTTGTGGCCAGTGTACAGCGCAGAGGCCGAGTTGGCGCTGTCGGTGATGAAGGAGTCGATCGAGTGAGTCTATTGCTCGTGTGTCAACCCCATTTTCACCTCCAAATCGGAGTCTAGAGACTAACCATCTGGTGACCGATGACCGGGAAATCGTCAAAGGCAAGATGCGACTTGTACCGGCCGTTGACGGTCTGATGTGCGAGCAGGCGGGCAGCCGTGATCATGTTGGTGGTCATACCGTCACCTGGTCAGGCTGGTAAGCTCAAGCAACGTCACTCGGCCGCTCACTCTCACCGAGACATACCGATGAAGAAGATGACGTTCTTAGCCCTCTTCTTGGTGGCCAGCGGACGGACAGTCCACTTGGCCGTCGTCGTCTTGCCGTCGTAGTACTTCAGCGTCACGGTATAGTCGCCCGGCTCATACAGAGCCACCCGGCGGTATGCCTTGGAGGCGACATTGACAACCGACGGCGTGTTGGCGTCCTTGGCGAACAAGTCCTCAAACCAGGAGAAGGTCCATTTCTCCAGCTCGGGTTCGCTGTGCTCGAAGAAGTCGGCGATGCTCTTGGCCTCGCCGCCATCCTTGGCGATGGTGGCCGTGAATTTCTCGTCGGGAACGCCGTCATTGAAGGCCTCGGAGCCGTTCTTGGGAGCGTGGACCTCGAAGCGGATGTCAAATTCCTGCCCGGGGAGGAAGTCCTGCTGGTCCGGAGGGATCACGCAGCCGAGGTCCGGGCAGGTACCAAGTCTCTGGAAGGTCTGGGCTGAGACACCCGACAGCGAAACTGCCAGGCACAGCGCGACCGCGTTGGCTTTGAGCAGCATCCTGGCCATCTTGACGAGCAAAGCGAGCGACTGAAGATCAAAAGCAGGCTCACGCGCGAGAGGCCCAGCTAGGATCGACAGAAGCCGGCCCAGTTTATATGAATTGCTGCAGTGTCCCCAAACAACGTGCCTCGCCTTCGGCTACCACATTGTCAAAATTGCTTGTCCACTGGTTGATGGCGATCCCGCCACCGGGAAGCAGAGGGAACCGCGACCTTCCCCAAATGGAAACCGAGCTCCTCACTTACACGCCACGGGAATCACGGAGACCAGCTTGCGCACGTGTTTCCACGCTGTCGTCCCTGGGGCCTTGCTCCATCGCCCGCAGTCCCCCAGGAGCCTCAATTGGAAAGAATCGGACTCTGCTGGCATCATTGCCTGCGGGGCCGTTCATCCCATGTTCCCAGCGTCACATTTCGATGATTTCAGTGCCAAGAGTTCGTCCCGCTCTCCAACGTGCTCGGGGCCGCCAGTCTGATTGGCGACCGCCACAACCGTCCGCCAAGGACCGCCCGCCGCTGCAGGCACGCAGCCCCGAGCCTTATGCGGGGCAAATGAGAGGTGGGCGAGGAGGGTTGCAATGGCAAGTCAAATTGGGGAGGATGGCGATAATCTAATAGGCTCCTCTTCCTGCGGGACCGCATCATGGGTATCCGGTCTATCGGGCCATGATGTTGCAACCAATCCGCGGGAAGCAATGACCGTCGAGGAAGAAACCTGAAGGAAGATCGAAAGAGAGGGGAAGGGAAGGAGACCATGCCTGGATGTACGGATACGGATACTACAAAAAGTCGGACCGGTGATAAGTTCGAGAAACGCCCCAGAAGAGGCGGACCGCTTCACTCCACGCGAGTCCCTGCCATCGATCGGGGGGCCGGGGAGCGGTATTGACTATTGAGAGAGAGGAAGTCAGACCCACCAACGATTTGATCAAGACGTCACTACGTCTGTACGGATGTGGACGCAGATGAACACCTAGGCGGGTTGCTGGATGTGTTCCTAGGCGCAACAAAAAGGACAGGATTTCGTTGGGGTGAGGCACTTCAGTAAGTCTGAGACGGCGGCTGAGGTCCGGAACTGGCCTATGTACCGTAAAGGGTACCTCAACTGACAACATCGAGAATTTTCATGATCCGGAGGAGAGTGAGCAAGAAGGGGTAGGAAGGAATTCAAGAAGATCAATTCGAATGGGACAGAGTGAATATAAGTGCCCGCTTAAGGTATGCGTGAACCTTGATGGCTACAGCCCAACAAGCAAGGTTCCCACAGCCTATCTCAGAATCAGACCTTTTCTGTTGACGGCGCAAGCGCCTCCCTCGCATGAAAAGCCACCTGCTGCGCTATCCAGAAGCAACGCGCCGGGGAGCACTACTGTGTAGCTTGGGCATGCAGCCGAGGGCCCCGCCATTGTTCAGGTCCACAGCCGTGGAATCGCGACAGCCCGCGATCGATTCGAGACTTCATGGAACGAGATTTGGTAGGGATGACGTCCGCCCTGCTGCTCAACGCAGGCCGGCGCCTGTTCCACCTCTCCTCTTCCTGCTCCTCCACCTATGCGCTCGTCTCCGCCCGTCGCTTCTCCTTTCTTTGTCTCCAGCCGCAGACTGGACTTGGGCAGGTGCGAGAATTGGAACCGGAACCTAACGCCGTTGCTGGATGCCTCGACTGCTCCGCCGCACGAATGCGGGAGTGTCTCGGTTGGATCCATGATGAAGAGCTTCTCGGGGTCGTGATTAACTTGTGAGTCGAGGTAGGACTTGGCTTCGAGATGGTCCTCGAGGAACGTCCGCATCGGCGTGTATGTGGGTGGGGATCGCGACGTGAGTACCCGGTTCGTCACGCGGTTGACTGAGAAAGTCCTCGACATTGGATTGGGGCCAAGGAGGTACCACTCCCGCTAAGTGTACTCGTCCAAGGCATTGTCGGCATTCCGCGTCGCACCCATGCTCGACACGAAGACCCAGTCTCTCAGCTATGATGTCCAAGTGCGTAACGGATATGTAGACCCCTCGAGCCCGGAGATACCGCGGACCTCATGACAAAGCGGTAGGAGATGCTTCAAGATGTCGGGATTGGACCCTGTTGAAGCCAGAGTGCGGAGGTGCTCGAGGTTGACCAGGCCGTAACGAGACAAGTACGAGACGGGGGAGGTGAGGTTGAAAATGATAGACCTTTTGATGTAGTACTTGTCAGGCAGAGACATGAACAACCTGAGGCCTAACAGAGAATTGGAGTGCCGGTCCTTCATGCGCTCCCTGAAGGAATAAAGTCTTGAACGGTAATGTGTCCAACACGGGTGCAGGGTTCAAGGGCAGCAGATGCCCTTTTGAATGAGACTCTTGACCTGTGAAGTGGGAGGGGGCTTCCACAACGCAACGGACGGCGTCCTTGGATAGGTACTCCTTCATATCCTCTGCATTCGGGTAAGACACATTCTGTTGGGAGGTATCCTGAAGCGGAAGCCCTTGGATACCGTGATTGTTCTGGGTCCTTCCACGTTGGGAAAAGGCTGATGCCAGAGAGGCAGCAAATTTCCTGGGCAATATTCGGCCATGAGTCGCTGCCGAACTGACAGTGGTAATGTCATAAATGATCGAGATGCTCATCATCCGTCCAGCACCCGGGAGGAGGGGACCGCTGATGGAGACACTCCCGAACGGTCCAAATACTTGAAAGCAGTCGTTCTTTGCCCTGATCATGTCTGTGGAAGACTCGGAAAACCCAGTAAGAGAATGTTGTCTAGCATAGAATCTGAACCGAGACTCCCAATCACAAACGGCCAGTGTTCAGAACGACGATCTGCGCTATGTCAGATTACGACAGCGTTTCGATTGAGAGCAACCCTTCTGAACGAATAGTCGTAACTGAAGAACTGCTTACGTGTCATCGCAGAATCCATGAGCAAAGTCCGCATCCCGTCTATTGGGGCCCGCCATTGGAAACCCCCAAGGCCAGAAGCGGGTCCTGAGAAAACCAGGTCTAGACTGAGACGGATACTGGGCGGCCTTGAACAGCGGCGAAAAGGGCATGGCCTAAGCCGCGGCCCTGATGGGAGGATGCGCAGTCTGAAACTCGAAGCTAAAAGCCGAAAGACTGCTCCGCGACCGACAACCAGACCAACCCTCTGACAGCACTCCAGGACCACGCCTGAGCATCCGTCAAAGGGCTTCCTGCTCGCTCTTCCAAAAATCCGGGCCATGGTGCGGCCATCGCCTCTGGTGATCGGGGCCATTGCGGACACCTATCACTGATGTCTACTCGCTAAGAGGGCTGGAACCACAGTAAATGCCAGGTCAGTCGAGCAGGCATCCCAGCGTTTGTTGGAAAGACACACCCGTCCAGCTGTCCGATGCCCGCTGGACACTTGAACCTACGCCCAGGATCTACTGGGCCGAGCTTCGGGAGGGAAAGGTGGCGATTAACCTCTGATTTTCCGTCGAGGAATCCAGGCTTGCCCCAGGATTCCGCCATTCTTGTTCAGCACATACGCCGAACAGGTCATTGAGTGGCGAGCATGGCCCTAAACGCAGCATGCCAGCACCAACCCGGGCTTACTCAGTCGCTGGTAAAGCTAGAGTCCGTCCTGAGCGGGGCGTTTGGCGTTGCTGAAACCCCCAGACCTGTTGGTGAATTCCTTCTCTAATCAGGAATTGCTGGGACCTGCTTTTTTGTATTATTCCGTTGCTCAGCAAGCTCACGCCACGGTCACGGCAAACAACACTTCATGTTCCTGATCTGCTCCGCCAACCCCTCAGCCTCCTGCTCATCAAACATTCCTTCGTGTCTCAGACAAGAAGAATGAAACCACACTCCTTCCCAAAGCCCATCATCTTTACTTAAACCGCCTGCCAACCCGCCCAAGTTGCCGCTCCTCACCCCTCCACCAACAATAACCTCCACCCCATCCTCCTCAGCAACATCAACAACCATCTTTAACCTCCTAACGTTATTCACCGCCCCACCCCTCCCACCAGAAGTCAACAACCCATCGAACCCACACCTCTTCACTTCCTCCATCACCTTCCTCACTTCAGCCCCTGTTCCAGCACTAGTCAGCAGGTCATCCACAGCCCGATGCAAAACACACTTGAACCTAAACCCCTCTTCCCGTCCACTCGTAGTAGCCAGGGCAACCAGCTCCCGATTCCTCTCTAGATCCAACTCCAATCTCCCAGTAACACTGTCCTGTTTCAAGATGCCAAAGACGAAACCATCGCCATGTCTCGGGGAAAGCAGGCCAGACGAGGCAAATTCCCCAATGGAGGAAGCCATGACGGACAACTCGTCGGGTGTGTAGATGAAGTCTTGCGGGGCACGGTTTGGCGTCGCAGAGGAGGGGCATTTCCGGGGTCCGCGGGGACGGATCATGATGCGGATGGGTGGGCGGCTGTTGGGGGAGCATGTGTGGGTGAAGGAGGACAAAAGGGCGCTAAGTTCGGCGAGGGCGGGTGTTAATCCACCGAGGACTTTCTGGATGGTTAGCTAGATGTAAGGAAGATATTTCCTTGGGTCTAAGCTGGTAGTGGGATGGGGCCTGGTTTGGATGAGTGGGTTGGGAGTTCCACGGGCACCAGAGAATGTGTCAGCTCCTGATGGAGAAGTGAACGAAATATGGGTAGAAGACAAGTATCGTTGTGTTGTGGTGAAGCGGTTGAATGCGCTTTGACCACCATCATCGGAGAGACAGAAGGATAATGAAGGCTCAACAATGAGAATAAGACGTATAACAACATGTTCTTACTCACCGTAAGAACCGGCGTGATTCAGCTCCAGACGGCTGACCCCAAGTGAAGCAGCTAGTTGGCCGTCTTCTGGGCCAAAGATTGGCACTTCTAGCCGCGGTCGAACTCTCGCAGTTTCATGCATTCTGGCTTCTGTGAATCACGACGCAGTGGGCACCGGTTGTTGCGAGATTGGTGCACTGTCCTACACCATCAGTCCTTGTTCCACCTGGGGCGAAATCAGGCGCCTGCAACCCGCGGTCCTATATCCTCGAGCGGTGTCATCGCCCTGCGGGGACTCCGGCGATTTCGGAACCCCGCGAGGTTTACCCCTAGCAGGTTTGCATGATTCCGGATCTCGGCATCCGATCTCCAAACCTTATCTCGGCGACGACCTCGATAACAAACGCCCAGGCTTCACCACCTAAGCGTCAGGGCAAGTCACGAGAATTGCGCGACGCGGGGGAATTCAGCGAGATTGGTGTGTATGTGTATGTGTGTGTGTGTGTGTGCGCGCGTGTGTGTGTGTGTCATACAAAGTCTAGGCAGAAAGAGCACGAACATCCACCCACCAAGACTCATCACACCTGCAACCGCGGTTTGAAACTCACAGTTCTGAATGAATGGAGCGACTTTGATTCCCTCTCTAATGACTAAAAGCCGAGTATGAGTATGTAACCTGTCCTAGGGCTCTCTCCCGCACGTCGGACAAGCGAGGGTGCTCTCCACCGAATCGCCGCGGCGACCAGTGTTGATGTTGACATTGCCTCCTTTCGCGCCCTGTCTGCCCCAGAAAAAAAGATGTGCGCTGCTGGATGCCATCTGAGCCAGCGCCGTTCAGCGGTGGTAGTAGTAGCCCCGATGAGGGACCATGCCATCCATCCATGAAGCGGGCGACTGGATCACGAAGAGGCTTTCCTCCTCTGTGTCTCTGTTCACCATACGATCATGGTTAGCCAGGAACTGGTGGAAGTAGTATGGGGACGGCGGCATGTAGCCCGGGGGAGCGAAGTTCGGGGCCGGCGCCGATGGGACCGCGAGCCGGGGGATCGGGGGGGCGTGTCCGGGGTAGGACGGGTTCGTAGGATACTGACACTCGATGACGATCGGGGTGTCCTTGTCGCCCGCGTCGACCTCGATGGGATTCTCGGCTTGGCCGGCCGCCGACTTCTTGGCGGCACGACCCTTGGGGGCCTTGGGCTTGGACTCCTTCTCCTCCTCCTTCTGCGGAGCCTCAACCTCCTTCCGTTTCTTCAGAGCTTGCTCTGAAGGCTTGTGTCAACTCTGCGTAGTCCCGGCGGGTTGGGCGTCTTACCATGCTTGTAGTACTTGAGAGGCAGAGTGCCAGCATTCGGCGAGAAGCGAGCCAGGTAAGTATTCTGGAAGTAATGCTCAACTAAAAAAGCAATTAACCACCGGTTCGTCCGACGCACATTACATCGGCAACAAAAGAAAATAACAAATACTCACAGACACAGAGCTGAGTGTAATCGCGGCGAGCTTCGTCTCCCATGTACTCCTTCATCTTGCTCCCGACCCAATCCCACGATTTCTCCTCGTTCTTACGGTCTTTTCCAAGACGCTTCGGAGAGTGAGGGACTAACTCGAGCCAGAAGTGCTCCTCCTCCTTCTTGGACCAAACCTTGCCACCCATGGTGATGTTGAGAATGAAGTCAATGCAATGTTTGTGCTGTAGGCTGGGCGGGTGAAGAGAGCAGTCGGAAGTAATGGCTCAGGATAGTTGGTGTTGGATAGCGAAGTGGTGGAAGCGGGATGGACCGAAAAATCCTGGCCTTTTAAAGCTTGCAAGTGCAGCGGCCAACAGGCTGCGTCGTGGGCCATCTGAAGTCCGCTCTAGTCACAATAGGACCCCACGCTCGAGTGAATGGCCGCAATCACCTGCCAGTGACGACGGGAGCCCTACAATAGAGGGTGCCCCACGCCGAATAGCAGCGTCAGGCCACGCCATCTGAACCCGGAAGCTGCCGGATTCCCCGGCCGGAAAGCCGAATTCTCCCCCGTGGCCCGCTGGCCATTGTCCGGCCACCCCAAAGCTCACGGGGCCGAGGGCACAATATTCGAAATGTATCATGAAGGGCCCCACACAAGCCGATTTTGACCGAGAGCCCTCGAAACATTCTTTGTTTGGCTGTAGCTGCATGACGGCTTCATCTCTCGTCTGGTTACTGGCTCATGGCGGCGGCATCTCTACCACTGCCAGGTGTCCCGGCGGCCAAAATACCACCACACCGTGGAAAACAACCCGGACTTCCTATGGCGCCCTTATTCAAAAGGGCTGAGAGGCTCGGGTGCCGAGTATCCCCGCGAGAGCAGGTAGGGTACCAGTCCCCTTTCAATCCTGGAGAACTAAAACACCAAGTCAGTCAAGAATTTCACAATAGCACTGCACTGCCCAAGGCTTACAATGCTCTTTTGCTGCAGCGGGACGACCCCGTCTCTGACCCAGACGCCCCAGCTGCCCATCATGTTGGCCAGCATCATGTCGGTCGCCAGCCGGTCGCCCACGATGGCGATGTGGTGAGGGCTCGTGACGCCGGTTTCCGGATGTTGTCGAAAGTACGACAGAATCTCGTCGCCGCAGCCCGGCTTCTTTACCGCATGAGAGAGGACATCCACCCCAGTCGACCTCTGAACGGCAGCAGCAAGCTTTCCATCGCGATCGTAGCTTGTCGCTCCGGCAGTATTGGACACAATCAGGAGCCGGCGTCCCGGGTAAGCTGCTCGAAGAGCCTCAAACCGGCACTGTTGATTTGCTTTAGCACAGAACCCCAACGCATGTACAGAAAAGAGGAGAAGAGCATAACACTAAGCAAATTTACACAGTTGAACGAGCAAGAAGGGCAAAGTCGGGCATACAAAAACATGGTAAGGAGACAAAATTACCTTGTATGGGTCATGGACTTCGTGATGGTCTGGGATTGCAAAGCAGTCATCCTTGTCCAGAACCACGGCCCTGATGTCGACCTGCCTGCCGCTTCCAGCAAAGGCCTTGTTGAGAGGGACAGGCAAATCATCGAAAGTTGCGATGGTTGCGTGAGGAAGACATAACGATGGCTTGGACAGGAGTTTGAAGACGTTGAGAGTGCCCGACAGGTTAAGATTCATCTCAGTCGGCGGCCCCCACACTACCAAGGGCATTAACAGCGTGACTGTGTTTCAATGAAATTTATTCCAGTTAGGGAGCAGAATATCAATGTATAGAAAGAAAATGAGCAGCGAGGAATTGATGATATCTGGAGTTCAGATTGAGAGGCAGGAGCAAATGCTCGAGCTGTTTTGTTCACCCCTGGAGGTGCAAGGTGCTCGGGCCACCTTGATAATACCACCTACAGGGATGTATGTCATTGAAATACTCAAGCGTCGCTGCTGGAGCGACAAACGCGTCTTCGCATGTCCAGATTCTCGACGTTATCAAGAAATCAGGTTGCACCTATCGACTCTGCCTTAGACCACAGAACATGGCGAAGCTGAAAGTCAGGTGACAACAAAATGGCACGCAAAAAGACCGCGAGAGAGGCCACGGCGCTTCGTCCTTCTCGAAAGCGGGAAGCGCCCGTCGATCCGTACGAGGTCCCTGACGAAGGCGAGACTCCGAGACGGCGACGGCGCCTGGAAACGACCGATTCAGCTAATGGGAACATGCAAGAGAGACGAAATGGTGCTGCCGAAGATGCCCAAACAGCTGTCGAGACAACCCCTGCCAAGCGGCGTGGCCGACCTCCCAAGTCCGCAGCAGCAGGGACGCCGATGGCCCAGGCAACGACACCCTCAGCCAAGCGACCGAGATCACTGGCTGAGACCCCAGTCAAAGTCGATGGTCTCGACACTCCAAGTCGGCGAAACATCGCAGACAGGTCTGCGAGGAGGAAGAGCGCCAGAGCCCTCATCGATCGAGTGATGGGCGGGACGGTCAGCGAAGACGAGGTTGAGGAAGGAGACATTGCCCGTGAGATCTACGAGTCCAGCGAGGCCGAAGAAGAAGGGCAGGAGGGTCAGGAGGAAGCCCAAGAGCCTACGGCACCCTCAAAGTCACCCGGCCGAAAACGAAGGGCCGCAGCCCGGAAAAGGTCGCCAACGCCACCACGAGACCTTCCTCCCCATGAACAGTACTTCTACCAGAACAAGCCCGGGCTTGCCAAGACATCCAACAACACCCTGTCATCCCTCGATCTCCTCACACACGACGAATACTTCTCCGTCCTTCGGCAACTCAAGGACCCTCACGCCGCCGACGTCAACTTTCTCCAAAACCTCCATGCCGAGTCCTTCGCGCAATGGGCATTCGAGCTCTCCCAGGGCTTCAGCACCTGCCTCTATGGCTACGGCTCGAAGCGCCGACTCTTGCATAGCTTTGCCACCTACCTCTCTTCCCAAAACCCCCACCACAAAGTCGTCATCGTCAACGGCTACGTCCGCACCCTTACCGCGCGCGACATCCTCTCCACCCTGACCGCCGCCTTCCCCTCCCCGTTGACCTCAAACAGCAGTGGCGGCGGCGGAGTAGGCCTCAACCCGTCCACCACCCTCCAAACCCTCCTCACCCATCTATCTACCACCTCATCCTCCTCCGGCCTAACCATCCTGGTAAACTCAGTCGACTTCCCCGCGCTCCGCAAACCCGCCCTACAATCACTCCTCTCCCGCCTCGCCGCCCACTCACGGATCCACCTGGCCTGCACCGCGGACACACCCAACTTCCCCCTCCTTTGGGACGCCGGCCTGCGCGCGTCCTTCAACTTCCTCTTCCACGACTGCACCACCTTTGCGCCCTACGGCCCTTGCGAGCTCGAGGTCGTCGACGAGGTGCACGAGCTGCTGGGTCGCAAGTCGCGGCGGGCCGGCGGCAAGGAGGGTGTCGCGTTCGTGCTGCGCAGTCTGCCCGAGAACGCGCGGGCGCTGTTCCGGCTGCTGGTAGGCGAGGTGTTGGTGGCGATGGAGGAGGAGCAGGGAGGCCGGGGAGTGGGAGGGGGAGGAAGAGGGGGAGAAGAAGTTGCGGTGGAGTACAAGATGGTGTATAACAAGGCGGTGGAGGAGTTTATCTGCAGCTCTGAGATGGCGTTTCGGACGCTGCTGAAGGAGTGAGTTTTTCTTTTTCTTTTTCTTTTACTCATACACGCCACCCATACCAAAGGACGGAAGGATGGGTTTGTTGCTGACAAAACAAACACAGATTCCATGACCACCAGATCATCACCAGCCACAAGGACTCGATCGGTACGGAACTCCTGAGTCTTCCCTTTAGGAAAGAGGAGCTCGAGTCGATTTTGGAGGAGTTGATGTCATAACATGATGGTATGAAATTGTTAGACGGACATTAGAACGTGGTTGGCATTGCAGTCGGTGTTCAAGAGGCGTCCTCAACTTGTGTAGTACGAGATGGGACAGTGGGCTAGCAGCAGATAGACCTGATACCCTTGTTGGGATGAGCCGCATTATACAATATACCGTGAACTGTCCTTCTCTCCAGGTTCCGCATGCATGAAAGTCAGGGAGTGAATCAGGCTTACAGGCGGAAGACAAAAGGAATCTTGCCACAAAACATGACACCCAAATCTCCTTAGGAATGCTGTCAAGACATTTACTGCCCCTCTATCGCCGTCAGAGTTGGTTATCGAATGGCAACGCACACGTTGCCATACCTTGAGAATAAACCAACCCATATAAAATGAATAGTAATCGTACGGACCAATAGATTCGACACAAGCTTCACGCAGCACGACGAAACAAGCAGGGTCAAACCGGACGGAAACCACGCCATGGTCACAAAAAAAAAAGAAAAGAGGAGGACCCGACACGGGCTTTCGAAACGAAAGCAACATGGTTTTTTTTTTTTGTTCGGACTCCTCAGTATCTAGACTGCGGTCTTGAGCCACGAAGAACCGAAGCCACGGTTCGAGTAATTTGCTCGGTCAAAGAAACCGAGGCCCTGCAAAAGCCTGACCCGTTGCGCTCCCATATCTCTGCGCGTTTTGCCCGTCCTTCGCAGGTCGCCGGTGGTGTTCCAGTGCCAACGCTGAGAGCCAGGAAGCATTGTTTCCCCTCTTCCGGCCGAAATCATCAAAGGGGTATCATGCTCCATCAACCGCTCCCAGTCCTCAACTGCCGATAAATTACCAGTTCATCATGCCTCGAGCTCTTCAGGAGCGCGCCTGACATGCTCCCTGGACCTGAGTCCGCCTGGCCAAGGTCGAATCGCCGAGTCGACCAGAGATAACAACCGAGAAATCCACTTTTGTCTATGAGATGATGTCGTCAAAAAGGAAATAAAGAGAAGATGAAAGAGCCTGCGGCGTGCCATGACCCCCCATTTCTATGTGAATGCGTCGAGCCCTCTCCGAAAAACAGGCCCAAAGCAGAAAAGTGACGACGACCATCCTGAAGGTCGATCAAAGATCCAGTCTCCAGATCACATCAACCGGGCCCGCAAATCATGCCATCCTTGGCATGAGGTGACAAGCAATGTCGACGTTTCGAGTCTTCTGGTCTAAGGGTATCAAATCGTCGAATAGAGTCGTCCCGCTTCAATAAACAGGAAAACCCCGGTCTATCGTCAAAGCCAGAGAGGGAACCTTAGCATCGAAACCTGTCGGGCTCCTGTCGGAAATGATAAGCCATGTTCGCCGCATTAGGAAGATCCCGAACGTTCCAGAAGTGAAACCGAAAAGTAATGCATGGCGTGAAAGAAATGCAACACCAGGTAGGGAAAGCCGATGCGCCGAAGATATTGCGATGAAGATGTCGCGGCATTCGCCAGGTGATTTACCACCAGGACTGGCCACCGGCACCACCGGGGTTGCCGTAGCCACCGCCGTAGCCGCTGTAACCGCCGCCATAACCCCCAGCGCCGCCGGAGGGAGCTCCGAAGCCACCTCCATAACCGGCGCCGCCGCCGCCACCAGAGCCGTGCTGCGCACTGCCAAAGCCACCGCCGAAGCCACCGCCACCGTACTTGCGGAAATCAGAGTTGCCACCACGACCACGGCCACGGCCGCCGCCCCCGCCGCCACGAGCGCGACCGCCACCACCGAAGGACGACTCGCGGGCGATGGTCTCAAGGAAGCCAGGAACCTCTTGATTGGCCTCTTTCAGGAGATCAATAAGCTCCCGGACAATACCACGGTTGCCACGGTTGAAAAATGCAGTTGCAATACCCGTGTTACCGGCACGGCCAGTACGACCGATACGATGGACGTAGTCGTCAACGTCAGTGGGAAGATCGTAGTTAATGACGTGGGTGACGTTGGGAATATCCAAGCCACGAGCGGCGACAGCGGTGGCAACCAGGATGGGGCACTTGCCGTTGCGGAAGAGCTCGAGAGCACGCTCACGTTCGCGCTGAGTGCGGTCGCCGTGGATTGAGGTGGCCGGGAAATTCTGGTTGATGAGGAAGTCCGAGAGCGAATCGGCCATGCGCTTGGTCTCGACGAAGATAAGCGTCAGACCAGCGCCGTGAGTGTGCAGGATGTCGAGAAGGACAGAACGCTTGTCAACGTCCTCGACATACTCAACCTTCTGAGTGATGTTCTCTGAGGTAGAACCAACACGGCCGACGGAGAGGAAGACGTAGTCGCTCAGGAAATCCTGAGCGAGCATCTGAATGTCGCGGGGGAAGGTGGCCGAGAACATGAGCGTCTGACGCTGACCAGTGGGCGGCATATCCTCGCCCTGAACGATGCGGCGAATCTGGGGTTCAAAACCCATGTCAAGCATGCGATCGGCTTCATCAAGCACGAGGTACTTGATGTTGCAGAGAGAGATACGACCACGCTCTATGAGGTCGACAAGTCTGCCCGGGGTAGCAACAAGAAGATCGCAACCGCGCTCAATTTGGCGGAGCTGAGAGCCGATATCCGCACCGCCGTAGACGACGCAAGGGCGAACCCACGAGCGGTAAGCAAACTTGCGTGACTCCTCGTAGATCTGCGAGACCAGCTCACGGGTAGGGGCCAGGATCAAAGCGGTGGGGTAGGCCTTGCGCTGTCGGTAGCCACCAGCACCCTGGGCAGGAGTGGGAGACGGACCCTGAGTGAACGACTGGTGCATGATGGGGAAGAGGAAGCCACCAGTCTTGCCGGAACCGGTCTGGGCGCAAGCCATGAGATCACGGCCGTTGATGACGATGGGGATCGAATACTTTTGGACCGGAGTGGGAATCTTGTAGCGAGCGAGCTCAATGTTGGCGAGCAGGTGAGGATCCAGCGGAGGGTTGCTAAAGGTCAACACCGGCTCGGGCACATCACGGCCAGAAGGTGTGACCGGAATGTCGTCGTACTTCTCAAAGTTGATGCCAGTGTGCTGCTTGCTGGGGTCGTCGGCAGTACCGAAAAGGTCACGCTCCAAGCGAGGGTCGGGAGCACCGATAACGTGCTTGCCGTCAACCCAGCGGCCTTCACCACGGCCGGCACCGCCACCGATGGCGCCGCCGCCACCACCACCACCGCCAGCAGGGCCGCGGTACGCGTTGCGGTTAAAACCACCGCCCCGGCCGCCACCCCAAGACTGCTGAGGCTGTGGGCCATCGAAGCCACCCCAATTACCACCGCGAGCGTCAAAGTTGTTGTTACTACACGCGAGTTAGCAACGCAAACGAAAGGTATGTTTGGCTGCTCTTGCAAGCTTATGACTTACCCGGCCCAGGCACTATTGTTAAGACCGTTCATGGCACCCGGCTGGGGACCAGGAGGGGGGCCGTTCATCGGGGGTCCACTAGCAGCCACCTTATTGCGCATGTGGGGAGGGATGTAAGAACGACGAGTGGTCTCCTGGCTCGCGAGCTGGGCAGCCGAAGGAGCTGAATCAAGGGACAGGTTACCCATGCCACCGCTGAGTTGGTCCGCCATATTTGCTGTCGTAAAGTCGATTGAGAAGGGGTATCGAAGACTCGTGTAGACGTTCGGACGGTCGATGTTTTTCTCTGAACTCTCAAAGAGAACCCGTGTTCAAATGAGAGCAGTCGGGAGAAACGAAAGTCGACAGACTTTTAAAAAAACGCGAAGGAATAGTATGTTCTGGCGAACGAACCACGAAACTGGTGTTTTCTCAAACTCGTGTTCCACGTTCCGCGAAATTATGTCGCTTGTGGTCGCCGCGCTCGCCTCAATAAACGAATTATTAAGAGGGAGCGTGTCTCCTGCGATCCTTTCGAAGAATCCGAAGATGCAGATCCTCAAAAAGGAAAAGGAAAGACGGTTGATAAGGGAAAATGCAGTTCGGAAATGGGTTGGATTCAAGAATCCTGGGTGTTTGTGGGAAGAAGGGGAAGATTTTTCGAGAGGAGGGAGGGAGGAGGAAAAGTGTTTTGGAGAGGGCGAGGGACCCACTTTGGCGTCGGATGTGGTAAGGCGAACTCAGCAGCCGTGTGGCACAAAAAACCCGTGCTCGATTTCTTCGGTCTGGGGCTGTGGCAAGGGCCACGCTTTTCTCTTGCCTGGAACTACGTGTAGATGAAACGACATCGATTCTCGTTGGCGTTGTGGGGGGGGGGCGCGGGCGAGTTGATGGCGAAGAAGCCTCATCTCAGGGCATGCTAGTGTTATTTTACGTTCTATCCCGTGGCAACGTTCAGCTGAGAACAACCCTCATTGTTTGCCGGTAACGGACGACCCGACTTGGCCCAAGTTAGTCATCCAACTCATAGACAGCAGTGATCACTACGGGAGCGAGTTTACTGGGCTGAGAGGGGCGAAGGCCAACTTGCACGTGGCGTTGCTTCTCTACCTACCAACATGAATAATCAAAATCTAGGGCGTTGTTAACGGCGATGTTTTCGAGTTGAATGGTGCAAGTAGCAGGATTCACCTTCTGCAGCCTTGTCATCAACTCCAGCCTGTTGTGGGCCGTTGGCAAGAACGGGCAATGTTCCGTCACGGAGAGCTGCAGTCCTTTGATAGATTAGGTAACTCGCGCAGCCTGCCACAATCCTGCATTACCATCCTGTCACCGCACCGCCTCGCAAAATCTTCCAATCCCAATGATACCTGGACTTGAAGTCTTGGTCTTAGCGCCATTTCGAACGTGGAGTATGGCTAGTAGAAGGAGTTCAGGTACCTACAGCCATGGAAGTGGATTGGCCGGTTTTACCGTTTCGGCGGGGTTCATGCGTTGGGAAGATGTCACATCGACCTCAGTAGAGAATACACATGTATAAAGGCACCAAGTCCTCACTTCCCTCCGATGCCAGGAGAAGTCCGATTGCCCCAGGAACGCAATTTGTATTGGTTATGGGCAATGAGTGCAATGGATGGAAAAGCGACATAACCTTATGCTCTTTTCGCCACACTGAGCCAGGACGGAGTTGCAACAGAAGCAAAATACAACAGGCATATTGAGAGGAAATGCGACGACCTTCGGAATGATCCATCCTCCGCGCCCCATCGCGCAGTAAAGTATGATCGTCCCCCAAGCGCCGCTGTTGTAACGATTCAGACCTTGAACCTCCAATGGGGCCTTGGTGCGTATCACTTGGCCGAAACGAGGACGCATACTGAAGAGAATCTCAGCAGGCGTTGGCCGCGCCCATTGTCCTATGACCAGGTATCATACACAACTCATGTGCCTGCGAGACTTCATGTCCACCCGAAAATCAAGCGCTCTTGACGATCCTGTCGTCGTCGAACGGCATGTCGATAATCCCATCCTTGGTGACCGCCTTGACCACCAGCCCCTTGAAATCTATCGGTAACCTCCTCTTCAACTCGTCTGCGCAGAGCGTAAGAAGTTCCATGCCCCGTTCGAGGGCAATGTCTGGCTGGTGGTGTTTGTCCAGGATGGAAAGGCAGTAGTATCTGTTGAACAGTCAGCACGCGGTGGTCTCACATGCCAGCTAAGGCATGCATCGAAGCAACGTACTGAGCATATCCATGCGCCGCATATGGCACCGGAGCCAAGGATGCAAGGTAATCAAGCCAGTACAGGCTCGGCTTATGTGTGATGGGGTCGACGCCACCGAGAAGGAGGTTGACGTTGTAGGGCTTCCGCGATCGAAGACTCGACGCTAGCTCACCCCGAACAAAGTGTGCCAAAGCGGAAGGTGACAGATCCGTCTCGTTGCGCATCGAGTAAAGCTGGGCGTTGGCTTGGATGTATTCGGCGAATTGGACTGTTGGGTAGCAATTAGCCGCGCTGAGGTCTGTTTGTCGTGGTCTCCGAGCCACCAACCTGTATCGCCAGCCTCGCCAGAGAAGGCCATCAATGTGTGTTTGTTCAACTGCCTCGTCTTGTCGTCGGCTGCCTTCAAGATCGTAGCTCCGCGCATGGCGGCTTTGGACGCCGCAATCAGGGTGAAGTCCTTGCCCGTGATTCCGAGTAAAACCTCCCTGGGAGTACCGTTAGTTTATAATTCCGTATGCTACCCAAATTCGCAACCCACATTTTGGCGTTGTATGTGTTGGTCGAGGTGGGTGGTTGGGTTGGGTTAGGATGCTTCTGTCTCCCTCGGTCTCTTGGTTCGGAGCTTCCGGTTTGGCAGGCAGTCATGAACGCGCACTTGGAGCTCAGCCTTCTAGGCTCGCCAGGTTGGGCCCCAGGTTGCCAAGCTGGTCCCATTCAGCTGTGGGGATCCTTTGAGGTCCAGGCCAATCGGGGCTCAAGCTGTGTCGGCACGGCGTCGGCGTTTTGCTCCACCGATGCAGGCCAACTTTTTCTGGACCCGCTCAGAATTTTTGAAGCAGCTGCCTCACGCAAAGGCAAAAGTCAGCGACAGCGCAGACAGGCCCGACAGCCAACTCCCACCGGCCGCACCCAGCCACAATGTCGTCCTTTTTCACGGCACCCGAGGCCCAAAAGAAGAGGAAACGTCCAGCAGTGACGGAGGCACCGAAAAAACGGCTTGCAGCGACAAAAACAGCCCCCAAGCCTGCAAGCAAGGGCGCCGCGAAACCCGCCGCTGCCCCCAAGACGAAGGCCATTGAGCGAGACGAGTCGATATCCGGCAGCGATCTTGAGAGCGACGAGAGCGGAGATGATGTCCAGGACCGGAGCGGCTCTGAGGCTGGTTCAGACCAGTCGGATCGAGAAGGAGAGACGGCGGCCGAGAAGCGCTTGAGGTTGGCCCAGCGCTATCTGGAAAAGGCGCGGAAGGAGGTAGAATTGGAGGACGAGTACGCCTTTGATGCCGAGGAGATTGACCGAGACTTGCTCGCGGAGCGGCTACAAGAGGACGTGGCCGAGTCGAAGGGTAAGGTCTACCGTCGGCTTGCCTCAGAGCTTAATTTTGGGGAAGCATCACATACCCAGTTCCGCTGGAATTCGGGCTCGGTGACGTCGGTGGCCGTGTGCGCTCCATACGCCTACACGACAACCAAGGACGGTTATCTTACGAAGTGGAAGTTGCAAGATCTGCCTAAGAACCAGTGGCCTCAAGCGACACGGAGGAAATCCAAGAAACCCCCTGCACCGCCCAAGAGGCGACCTGAGAGGATATGCTTCGCCAAAGCCAACCCAAGCAAAACCAAAGATAAGACTTACCAAGGCCACACGGGAGCTCCCATCGCCGTCAAGGCCTCTCAAGACGGCAAGTACGTTGTGACGGGCGGTGTCGACCGCCGTCTCGTCGTTTACAATGCCGCCGATCTTAAACCCATCCGCGCCTTCACCCAACATCGCGACGCCGTAACAGGCCTTGCCTTCCGCCGCGGCACGAACCAGCTCTTCTCCTGCTCTAAAGACCGCACCGTCAAAGTCTGGTCGCTTGACGAGCTAGCCTACGTCGAGACCCTTTTTGGCCACCAAGACGAGATCCTCGACATTGACGCCCTTGCCCAAGAGCGCTGCGTCAGCGTCGGCGCGCGCGACCGTACCGCCCGGTACTGGAAAGTCCCCGAGGAATCCCAACTAGTTTTCCGCGGCGGCGGTGGCGAAAGCGGTAGCAGCAAGAAGCACAAACTCCCGCCCAATATCGACCCCGCCTCCGCAGCGCACGAGGGGAGCATGGACCGCGTCGCCATGATTGACGACGAAATTTTTGTCACGGGCAGCGACAACGGCGACCTCTCGTTGTGGAGCATCCAGCGCAAGAAGGCGCTGCACGTGGTGCCCCGCGCACACGGCATCGATCCGCCCCTCAAGCCGTCCGAGGCGTCGGCGGACGAGGTCCCCGACCCCAAGGTTGTCCCCGCGCCGCAGCCGAGAGGCGTCACCGCGCTGCGGACAATCCCCTACTCGGACCTCATTCTGAGCGGCAGCTGGGACGGCTGCATCCGCGTGTGGAGATTGAGTGAGGATAAGAAAAAGATTGAAGCTGTTGGTGTGCTAGGCGGCGCTTCATTGCCAACAGTTACAGCAAACGGGATACAGTCGGAAGATTCAGGCGGTCGAGGTCAGTACCGAGACTTAGTCCGCGGTATAGTTAACGACATCGCCATCTTCGAGCGTGGAGAGAGGGGTCGGGATGGGCTGTGCGTCGTGGCCGTCACAGGCAAGGAGATGCGGCTGGGCAGGTGGAAGGTTTTGAAGGAAGGGCGATGCGGCGCCGTCATCTTTGAGGTGCCCAAGGTGGCGCCTAAAAAGCAGGATGGCGCAGAGCTGAACGGGACATCGGCGGGGTCAGAAGGCGAGGAGTAATGGAAGTAGTGTATTCCGTAGGACAGGCACAGATTTGTTGTGGACTATACCCTAGGGGGCAGGCAGGAATTGTCACGCTTCTCAGTCAGATGTGCATCAATTTGCGGAATAGAACCTGCGCAAAGCTAGGATGTTGTCATGTGACCTTTCTCTTGGGATTCTATGTGCTTTTCTCCCGCGCTGGCTTCGTCAACAGCGGCTCGCTGTCTGAGATTGATTCCCACTGCTCATACCACTCTAGATCGTACTCCTCAACAATACTTAGCAGGGGTGTGCGGCGTAGGAGCAACGCTCAGGAAAGCCAGCAAGTCTGATATTGAGAACACCGAACCAGCCTTCCAGCAGTTCCAGATCATTCGCACAGGGACAGATAGATGGGACTGAGAATAAACCGATAAGGCACTACGTACCACCATATGACACCGAATCCGTGCCGTGCCATGCAATGCCACGCCAATGGTACGCCGCGACCAAGACGCCGAACCATGCTATGCCGCTCCAGAATTCACCTTCCTCCCCAACCCCGGGGACGAGCAGACAATGAGATGCATCTCATGCGAGGGAACGAGCATGTACCAAAGAAACAACAGGTGACGCCAAGTCACGATTTTATTGATCGAGCATAAAACCAGCGGAGTACTGAAACTCTCTTTCTGTTGTTACAGTCGACTCGGTTGCGATCAAGTCAGATCGATCGGGTCCGAATTCCGCACCATCTCCGCGCTTTCCACGACCGGCTCGAACCCCGGACTGCTGCCGTCGTCCACGACAAAACGGCTTTTGGTATGCACCGCCGCCATTGGCCGGGTCCCGGCCATCCTTGGGCGCTGGCCCGCCGCTGGGGAGGACAGAGAACCCCTGTTGGGTCTGCGCCTTGGTTTCGTGGACGAGTAGAAGGAGGCGGGGCCGACTTCCCTGACAGTGTCATCGTCTTCTGGCATGCCTGTTGACGAGGAGGCGAGTGGACGTATGAATCTCGGCTCATCGTTCTGATACTTCGCTGGCGGCCTGGGAAGCTCCTCCACGTCCGGCGTCTCTATCGACGGCAGGACGTTGTCATCATCCTGAGGAGGAGCCAAGACCACGACTTCATCGTGGCTGTTCTGCTGGAAGGGCTGCTGTGGGGGGCGGTGGGTAGAACTCGATGATGAAAGTTGAGGCTGTTCCTTGTCATTTGGGCTTGGGTCATAGCAAGCGCGGTCGGCAGTGGTAGTATCCGCCTTGAGGGAATCTCGATTTGCAGAAGTGCCGGTGGTCTCGGCTGAGGTTGCTTGTTCTGTGGAATCTATCCGAGTCCCGCGCTTGCCGTTTGATGCATTGACAGTCTCACTGGTTTCTCGTGAAGGATCACGACTCGTCTCTGTGCTCCCTTTCGGCGTACGTTTCGCAGACGAGGCTCTATGGTTTTTCTGGCGCGCTTTCTCCCCAAAGATCGTGTCGCGCCAAAGCTCACGCAAATGTGACGGATTGAAATCCCATTCCGGGATTTCTTTTCGGAGCAAAGTCTGAATAAACAAATCTGGCTGTTCAACAAATTGTTTGATGTACCCGAGAAGGTAGACGCCGCAGTCGCAAAGGTTGTTTTGCACAGGAATGTTGATCGCCCTCATCCCTAGCTGCGGGGGCAGATCTGTGATGACTTTGTTGCGCTTATGCTCAAACTCCGCAACAAGATACTTCTTGAGGAGGTTGATGGCCTGAGGATGGGTGGAGCCCAGAGAGTCGAGCGTGATGATTCTCGGGTCCTCTGGGTTGTATGTTCTCGCTCCAGACTTTAACTTTCCCGTCAGTTTGGCCTTCGGTCTCGAAGTTAGGTCTATGCTGACGTTCTTATCGTCAGACACCAAGTCGACGAGGTCGCATGCGCCGACACATGGATTGTGCGAGGGAATCGAGCTCCGCGATTGATCGGACTTCTGTTCAGTCACGCCCTCCATTTCCACGTCCGATGATGCTCCATCAGCTTTGACCTCTTTGCCCGGGCTCTCGGCTCTACCCGAAAGTCTTCTCAAGTCCGGATCCAGCTTGCCTGGGTTGCAGATGATCGCGACCCACCAGTGGTAATGTTCGTTAACGGGGACGACGATGTAGTCGTAGGACAGCAAATCCACCTTTGCCGTCCAGCTCTTGACGCCGTCGTAGTTGATGGTACCCCGACCAGCCTTGAGTTTCTCGTAAAAGAAGGAGTTGTGGAGATAAACCCGCTTGTGCAGGTCCGGATGCCTCCCTTTAAATCGGTTGAAGAGGTATTGAAGACCGTATCCGATGAGATTGTCATTCAAGCATTGGCCCTCGTCTAGTCTTGGGATGTCTTCCTTGTCCACCGTGGTACGTTCGATGATCAAGGGCGCTGTCCAGTCCTTTGCCCAATCTCGGTTCTCTTCGGACCAGCGACTGATGACATGCACGATGGGCGTCGGAGACCTCGGCACTAGATGAGCGGTTTGCCTCGTTCTCAAGGAGCGTGACCCGGAAGGAACCGCGTCAGTGGGGGATCCGGTACGAGGGGGAAAAGGGGTCTGCAGCTGTGCTGAGACTTGCATCCGGTGTCGAATGGGGGTCCGGGAAATGGTTGGCGCTTTGTCAGGCAGCGCAACATCTGCCATTGCCGAATCCGCGATCCTCTCGGGGCGCCTGGCAATTTCTGCATCTGACAGACACCGTTGTTCAGCCCGATTGCGAGCTCGGGTTATCTCATTGCTCATCTTATCCCACATAAGGTCCAGCTTCCCCCTGAATGCCGTCAGCAGGGTCCAACAGCAAAAGAGCTTTTAAGCAACATTACCTCTCACTCTTATCGACTCGTATGTTCAGAATATCGCGGGCCCAGTTGACGACCTCCGACGCCTCGGCGCTACTGCGGAGCTTAAGAAACAACATGCTCCCAATGGAGATGGGTGAAGCTTGGTCTGATGCCTGGGTGACTTTGACAAGTTCCGACTCCGGATTGTAGGCCAAGCTTTTTGCTTTTGCTGTGATTTTGAGCCACTCATACGGTTGAGCCTTGTTTCCGTCGTCCCCAAAAGCACGTAGCTCAGAGGTATCGGTTGGCTGTAAGAAGCATGAGCTTTGCCTGTCGTTGGGCATATATCGGAGATTGGGTTGGCACACAGCTGCTGCCACACTGACGCCGCCAGCAGCCATGATGCCGCCTGAGTTGCTCTTCCACTTGGTCGGCTTCAGATCCCCTCTTCGAGACAGACTTGGAGGGTCACGCTTCGGCGAGTCTTCGGTCGCTGGTCCGGCACCAGCTCGGGAGGCTCCTCCACCGCAGGGATCTTCCACCAGCTCGTCCGGATCATCAACAATAACCTCATAGCTTGTACGCTTCCTTCGCTTGGGTAGCCCGGAGGGTCGAGCCGGCTGAGCTTTTTTTAAGATCCCCAGATCGACACCGTCCCTGGGGAGAGCACCGGACCTGGACTCGATGGTGTACTGCAGACGAGCCTTCCGTTGCTGGTGGGTTGAGGATGCCGGTACCGGTGCAAGCTCATCAAAACTGTCGATCGATTCGATTGCAGCACGAGGCACTGCACCCCGACTGCCATGGTGCATCACCGGAGGACGATTGGCCTGCGGTTGGCGTCGGCGCCTGTTGGAACGTCCCATTCCCTTAGTGGATGCCTCCACAGTCTGAAATTCATGGAGTCCAGGAGATACTGAGTGAGCAAAGCTCGACTGGCTGCCACGGCGGTCTGCCATTGGCGCTGCATCCTGCTCATTGTCTTCGACTTGCTCATCCACGGCTACGGGGCGGGCGTCGAGTTTTTGCCGTTTGGGTGCGGAAGGTCGATCCCGGGCGTAGATGGCGCTCGTCTGGAGAGGGGCGGGGCTGCAACCGGGCCCCGAATCGAGAGTGTCAGCATGCGGCTTGAAATACGCACTGAGTTGTCTCTGCCGTTGTTCAGTTAGTACAACCCGTCTTCCTGCTAGAACGAACACTTACCATAGCGTCGAAAATCGGCATTCTGACTGGTCCCTTCAGAGATCTGTATGTGAGAGGGCTCTATCGTCAGCCTTTGACCAGTCGGCTCACAACGGCGGAACGGTTCACAGGTTCCATACCCATGATCCGGGAACGAGTGTGCGGTTTTGTGGAATTCGAGACGAGCCCTATTATAGCGCCTGTCAGACAAGACCAGAGTTCGCTTGTCGCGTGGACGCACTTTTTCGACCATTGCACATCCTGGGTTTCTGTCGCAGCGGCGGGCTTCTGTCCGACTTCACATCCTAGTCTGGCAGCAAAGCTGCGTCGCAGTTCGGTCAACGTTCTTCAATCTCGAGTGTAGAACGAGTGTTCGGGTGGGTCGCTCGCAGATGTGTGGAGCATGAATTTTTAGGTAGGGAAGCAGGACGTTGTTGTGGGGCGCTATCAACCAAAGAACAAATGCACAATCGTGACAACAACATTACCTTTGTGGATTCATAAAGTTGAACGCAAGCCAGAGGCGTCTAAAAGAGGGCTGTTTCTGTCGTCGTGCCTCCAAATGGAACCAGACAAGGTTCTGGAAGAACCAGTGTCACGAGGCTGCAATCACAAACGCCCCAATACAGCGATACCGGCCGTGGTTGGTAGACGGGACTGGACCCATGTTCTTGGCCCTGCTAACAAAAGCCCCTTGTCGGGGTCCGGCAGGGCGGTTCACAGCAGGACAGGAGTAAACGTGAACCATTCAATAGTGGCTCTTGACTGTGCTTATCCAATGGTTCTATATACAGGAGGGCCCCAAAGGGAATAAGATCAGAGCAGGTAAAGTACAGTTGCCTGCTTCTTGCTTCCAATCCTAATCAGGTACCGATTCATGTCTCCCACTGGAAGCAAGTGTCGGGTGGGGCACTTCGGCAACCAAGACCGGCGGGAGATGTGGCGGGACGGGGCCGGATACTCCGGCATCGAAACAGACCAAATCCACCACGGCATGATCGGGCACCACCGGCCTGTCACCCGTACAGAGATCAGCTCATCCACGATATCCTTGTTTTCCTAATGCAACATGAGCAAGCAGAGCCATATCGAACGAACGGCTCATGAGCCTCGCGACCCGGTGGGTTATGGGCTTCTCTGCCTAAGGTAGTCCTCATTGATGTGAGAGTGCACTAACCAAACTGTGCCAGTTGCTGCATACCGTCATTATTTCCGACATCACCCAAATAACGCCAACCATCCGCCTCTTTCGTCTTGAAATCCCCCTGGGTGAGATCATTACAGTGAGCATCCCTCACCCTTCCACCACCGCCGCCGTCGCAGCCTAATTCAGAACTCACAAACCTAGTTCCTTCCGGGCCAATGGGTAGACCTCTACCCACCCCCGCAAGCCAATGTTCCCGGACCAGGCGGCTTCACCATCACCTCCTGTCCGACCCTAGCGTACATCCCTTCTGCCTGCCCAACAAGTTGGGACCCCTCCTCGGGGCCTACCCAGCCATACCGGTACATAGAACTAGCCATCCAATTCTCACCGCAAAACCCGCCTGCAGCGTATTTATTCCTCCCCAGCCCCCAGCTCCTGCACACGCATGTCCGAGTCCGCATCGGTGGGAGCTTTGTCTTCCCTCCTCTTTCTTCTTACCTAGCCAGCAATGTTGCTCCGGGCGCCTTACGCAAGCTCGTATTTGTCGCGGGCGGGATGGGCATCAATCCCCTCATGAGCATGCTCAGTTTCATTGGCGAGCAGCAGCAGCAGCAGCCAGGAGAGATGTGGAGAGGCATTGAGGTGAGGGTTTTGTATAGCGTCAAGGATCCCCGCGGTTGTGGCGTCGACCACGTGAGGGATAGTAAAGGGATTCTCTTTCTGGACAGGATTGTGGACTTAATAAAGAGTGGGCGGATCAGGGGTAGGTTGGAGCTGTTTCTTACCGGAGGAACAAGTGATGGGCCGAGTGACGCAGACGGAGCTGAAAGGCATATGGTGAGGTGCAGTGGGGCTGTTGTGCCATTCTCGAGGAGGCGCATAATGGTTCGAGATGTGAAAAGGGCTGTAGGGGTGGATAAGGAGGCTGCGCTGGTCTACATTTGCGGTGTTCCGGCCATGACGGATGAGTTCGTGGAGGCACTAACATCGCCTGGAGGAATCGGGATGGAGAAGAGCCGAGTTCTGTTTGAGAAGTGGTGGTGACTTCCCAGTTTAGGGTAGGAGGAGCGGAAAGTTGCGAGGGTGATGGAATTATGGAGGATGACAGTGGTTGAGGGTCTGGTAGCAGCGGGGAACAAACACGAATAAAGTGCCATGTATTGGAATTAGACAAGGAGACTATGCCTCTTCAGCAGACCCAAGGACATGGTTTTCCCAAGGGTGGTCGAACAAGTACATAGCCTTTTTCCTACCTGCGCTACACAGACAGAGCGTCCAGTGGTCGTTGTTGCGAGTGTTTGCAGTACCGTGCCTTATAAACCCTTCCCTTCAAGGCTGCCACCTGTTCAAGTTCTCTCCCTCAACTCATGTGGGATTTTGCCTCTCCCATTCACAGAGAAGAAAAAAATGGAGGAGCGCATGAGATTGACTTGCTGCTTCTGGCAATCATCGTCAGTTTGAGATGCTCGCTCAAGGATGACTACTCCATGTTGCCTCATGCCCTAATCGATTTGGGCTTCCATGTCTAATTCAGACACTAATACACAATCACCAGCCTTGCTCAGCTACTGGGCAAAATGAGCACCTAATGCCGCGACAGAATTTACCGCCCATCCCCTTACCATGATAAACCGTGCTTAGTCGGAGCAACTCCGATGTTCCCGTCCATCACTATCGCGTCTATCTATGAGGGTGACAACAGAATAGGCCAGGGTATCACATCCAGCTCCCAATAGTTCGCTTGACAATTCTACCGCTATCCGCCAGGTTGCGATTGTCGCGACCAAGACGCATGCCTGTGGGTTTACTCGGCGACTCAGTGGCTTTCTTCTTGCGTAGTCCCGCAAACAGCGACATGCCAGCGCCTCTGCCTATCGAGGGACTAGACTCGCGCCGGGAAGGGTCCTTGTCAGCCGTGCTTCGGGCTGCGGATGGACTCCCGGCCACGTAGTTCGTGTCTCTCAAAGTGGCTCCGTCCAGTTGTGATTGGCCTCGTGGAGAGCAGAGATCGCTCGGTAGGTACTGCCTGGCGTTTGAAGCCCTTGAAAATATGGACCGTGTCGGCGATGTGAAGAGCGCGATACCGCGCTCGAGCCCGTTGCCGGTCATGGGCAAGTAACGGCCGGGCGAGAGTTTTCCAAGAAAGGAGTCGCGTGTTGACTTAGAAGAGGTCTCGTAGTCCGATATGGAGTTGTCCGCATGGTTGGGTTCTTCATCTGGAACGATACGGAGAGACGACTCGGACGGTGGGAGCTCAACAAGCTGTGCCACGCCAACCTCGATCTCGTCGGGGTTGATGGACTCTTCGTCGACATACTGCAGAAGCGACGGTGTTATCGACAGGGTGGACGATACCGCGGAGGCCGCAGAAGATCGTCTCGAGTCCCTGATCGGCTCCTCGACAGGTAGCTCCGGGAGGGGCCGCTGCAGGTACGACTCGCGGGATGCATCGCGCAGCGCCTTACTTGGCTGAGGAATCCGGAAACCGGACGATACAGCCGGGAATATCTCGGGCGGCTTCTTGAGGAAACAGAATGGTGTCTCCCTGTCTCTTCCGTCACTCCCATCGGGTTCCTCTTGGCAATCGTCAAACACGGCTTCGTCCGAGTTCCCGGATGGAGACGAATGTTTCTCCGGATCATCATCATCATCACCCGACACCTCCAAGGCGGCTTCCATCTTGGCGATCAGTCTGAGGGCCTTCGGCGAGTGGGAGCAGAGAAGCTCTAGCTCAGATGACGGGATGAGGTTGAGCTGCTTGAGATTCTGCCATGAGCGGTAGTGCAACCTAAAGCGGGCATACGGCGAGTCCTTTGCGTCCAGGAGATGCCAGTCGTGGAAGCACGCATTATGAGGCTCGTCGAGAAGACCAATGGTGGGCGAGCTGAAGACCCCATTAGCAAACGGCAGGGCACACTGTCGTGCTCCGGAGAAACTCACGCAATACCGTCATTCTCTTGGAAGCCGAACTCTTCCAACCTCGGTGCCCGAGCACGCCTCTCCTGGGCCCGGAACACCTGTATCTCGATATGACCGCCGTCCTCGGCCACGGACTTGTGCGGCTGGTCAGGAAGAAACACATAGTTGCGACCCTCGAATCCGATTTGATCCTGGTATCGGGCGCGGGGTGCCCACAGCGACTTCACAACCCTGCCCTTCGGCCGAGCATCGGGATCTATTCCCCAGGCAGCAATGGGACGGGCGTTTATGTACAGTCGGAAGAGAATGTACTTGCAGGGGGCAGGCGGCGCATTGTTGATGCTGTAGTTGACGGCGAATCGAGTGCCTGGTCCCATCAGCTCTGGTTCTTGCGCCAATTTGTGCCAGGCTTGAAATCATACCTGGTATCGACGGTATGTACACTGCCACGGTCGGGCCGGCCTTGCGATGTACCGCCTGGCCGTTCGTACGGCTCGTGAGTGCTCCGAGAATTCGAGTTGACACACCTTCAGGGTGCGGATATTCAGGGATCGGCTCGTTCTCGGGTTTGGTGGTCAGCGAGACCTCAATACCGCGGAGGCAGGGCATGTTGAAGTATGTCAGATCTGGAGACCATCCACACCGGCGATTAGGTTACTTCATGGCCAGAGCCGCAAATCAAAATCGCTACCAGAAAAGGCAGTCGATCGCAAGTTTGGACGATCATAACAAGGAGGAGCGACCCGGTATGGGTGGAAATTGGCAGGTACCTTCCTCGACCCTGCCTTTTGCGATATACTGTGTGCGGACCATCAATTGATAATTGAGTGGTTTTGTCGCGAAATGCTGCTTTTTATCGTCAATGAAACTGGTACAATGTTGCGACTAGTGAGGTGAATCACATCTTGCGCTCAAGGCATTCGGCACCTGGGACCAAACATTCACCAGCACACCAATGGACCCGCAGTGCTCGGCCGGCCGACAGCCACTCGAGACTGTCATCTCGAACGTCACTGCTCATTCCGTAAAGATTCCTTGGTAGTAACCAAATATACACATGCTTGGGCGCAGTGTGGTTGGCCATGCTCTAGCTCGTCCCCAGCACCTTCTTCGTGTCCTCCTCCTTGTCGAGCAGCCCAAGATTCCGTATTTGTCCAGCAGTCGGAGGGTTTTCTTGTAGCTTCTTGGCCTCGGCCTCTCTGTACGCAGCCTGCAGCAACTTGACTCTCGCAGCCTGTAGAGCAAGCAGTTCGTGTCAGCTAGGGATTCGAGCGAGTTTTGCGACGGGACGGCTTCGTGGGGAGCGCGCACCTCTTTTCGGTGGTGCAAACATTCATAGTAATCCTCCATTGCAGGTACGCACTTCTTCTTCCCTGTATCGTCATCGTCGGAGCTGTTGATCACGTAGCATGAGAGCAGCTCCTGCCAGAAGGGGAAGCAGCGGGACGGGCCTACGGATGGGCAGAGCCAGGTCAGCAGAGCTCGCATCAATGCCAAACTTGTCGTCGAGATCGAGCCATTGAAGCAGAAGATTCCAGTCTGACTTACCCCCGTTCAGGCCGTATCCAGACGCCATGCTGGGCTGTGTCAAAGATGGAATGCGAGGTGGTAGGGAGCCAATCCCTGGGAAGCGTTGCTGCTGTTGACTCGTGGTCGATGAAGTTGAGCGCACGGACCGCGCTGCTTCACAATGTGTCTGAACGACGCTCCACTTTTTAAAACGGGTTAGGGTGTTAGGTGCTATAAATATGACGTAAGCGAGCCAGCACCCTGACGGTGGACAGCTGCTCAGCCGAACAGTCCGCACCTCTTGCCTTAAGTTGACGCAAGAGTGTCGAAGTCGGGTTTCTGACCTACGTACACATCGTCCGGAACTTGAAAGCAATCGTGACTGTCTTTGCAAAACTACGGGACTATGGGACTGCGGGACGCCTCCTCGATATCCTTGGTCTGTTCCCGACACGCCACGCCTTTCGACAGCAGCGATGACGGGCATGGCATCTAAGTCGCTGCCAATCCGCCTCATCACCTACAATGTTCGCTTCGCCATAGAGAGCCCCACTCCTGGAGAAGAGCCATGGTCGGTCCGTTGCCCGAGGCTCTGCGCCCAGCTGAGGTTCATGACTGCTGGACAGGACTCGGTTTTCATCTGTCTCCAGGAAGTCCTGCATTCCCAGCTCAGCGATATCCAAACACGATTGGGTCCAGCGTGGACATATATCGGCCAAGGACGGGACGATGGCGACGAGGCCGGAGAGTACTCTCCCATCTTCTTCCGGCCTGACCGCTGGGAGTGTTTACGCAATAGGACGTATTGGTTGTCTCCTACACCGGATGTGCCGTCGAAAGGATGGGATGCTGCCTTGAATCGGGTTGTCACCATGGGCTTATTTAGGGACCGCGGATCTGGGGCCACTATTGTGCTCATGAACACCCACTTCGACCACAAAGGTGAAATTGCGCGTGAAGAAAGCGCACGCCTTCTCCTCAAGCTTGCCGAAACCTGGGCCGGAGAGCGCGCCACCCGGTCACCCCTCCCCGTGTCCCTCACTGGCGACCTCAACAGCACCCCGACAGAAGAAGCTTACAAAATACTGACCGCCAAGGACTCGGGGATGAAAGATATCGCAGATCTCGTGCCGGAAGACACAAAGTACGGCAACAGGGAGATAACTTTCACCTCATTTGGGAACCCAGACGAACCACCGTCCCGCATCGATTTCCTTTTTGTGCGAGACACGGGCAGCCTCCGCTTCTTGACGTTCGGAATTCTGCCCAACCGATTCGATGACAAGATATACCTCTCAGATCATCGGCCCGTGGTTGCAGATGTGGAAGCCCTCGCGCCAGCGAGCATGTGACAGCCAGCTGTCTGGTTCTCGCTCCGTCCCCGTTTCGCTAATACGGTCGAGCGCACGCTTCTCCAGACACAAGTATCTGCCTCGTGTGGATGCTGCAGGGCCCGGATACCGAGTCACAGTAGCCACCTCCAGGTTGCCATCGATGGGCCAGCATGCGCGGGTAACTGTCCATGAGCCGTAACACGATCTTGTTTGCCTGGAGGCCCGGACAAGCTATTGTCTGAGTCATGAGGTTCCCAAGGACAACTCAGCGGACTTCCTCGCGTTACCATTGCCGCTTCCAGACCTATCAACTCGGCCTTGAAAGGTACGCTGGTAGCAATTTCGCAATCACCGCTCATCTACCGGTCTTTCCTCATGAAGATGTTTGCATGTGCATTCATCAACAGCCTCAACCAGCATCACTTGGGTCGTGTTACCGATGCATGACAGTACGGCGCAGGAATGAAAGGGCGGCGTGAGTGGATGGTACAACGGGCCTTGTTGAACATCGTGCGGCATAGGGAACCTTATGTGGCTCCCTTACACTCAGATTGTCAAACAAGAATATCTGCTTCCTTGGTTCTTCGCAGGCAGACCTCCTGTGACACTGGCCGGTCATCGTTGATGCAATCTCACCTGGAGACCCGCTCTCCTTTCGGAGGGACCGAGTCGTGAGAGGGCGAACATGCCTCGGTTTTCGTGCCGCACAGCAGCCACAAGAACACCATCTCTTGCGAGATGTGCCTGCCCCTTGAAGATGCGGAGTCTCAATCCGGAAGATCCAGCCCTGCTTTGCTGGTTAGCGTGGAACTCAGGAGGAAACAGGACACACTATCTAGAGAAAAGGGAAGTAAATTTTTATTCTCCATCTTCAATTCCTTCGCTTCAACATCTTTCTCCTTCAGACCTCCCTATTATCCCTCCTGTTCCCTCTATCCTTTTCATCTTCCTTTTATAACTTTACTTTTCTCTTCCCTTGTTTCCTTCTCTTACTTCTTTGTCATGCTTCCCTTTTCCTACTTCTTGTCCAGGGCCTGTAATGTGCCACGCTAACAAATCAACCAGGACTGGATTGTACGAGTGATTGACTACCAACTACTTTCGGCAGCAAGACAGTGTCTCTTAGGCCACGCGGAGAGGTCCGGTTGCCTGGTGAACGCCTGTTGATTAAAGCCGGTGGACTGCACTGTCGATCAAGATGATGCGGCACGTTGTGCGGCTGCTCGTGCATGCAATCGCCATGGACAATCCTTGATGTGAGAGTCCGCCGAATCAATCCGGAGACTCGATTGACAGCTGCTGCCGAAATTCCATCATCACCCTCGTATGGGGGACTCTTAGCCCGGGACGCCAAGTTGGAGGGTATAAATTGGGAGCCATTGGTTCTCGGTGCTGAAACTTGAGTTGGATGAAACCAATGGGGTAGAAATGGCGAAAATGAAACCGAAACCAAGCACCTTCCTGAGACGGTGACTTGATCTCCTCCAGTGGCAAGTCAGGATATGTCAGCAGTCCCGATCCTTTCAATTTAGCACCGTCGTCTTCGAACGGCACATTATCCCGCACGAGTAGCTCTGCAGCGATGGCCCGGGTCGCCGGGGAAACGGACAGCGCATATTTGATACAGCAGTCTGCGAATAGCGACATTCCAACGCCTTGGTACAGCCCAGCGGCATTTTGCAGATCAAAGACCGATGACTGCGACGTGCAGGACTAGGTCTGACTCTTCGGGTTCGCTGTCCTATAGGAGCCCTTGGCCGGGCTTTGGCCCGCAAAGTCTGCATTCCAACCCTGATGTCTCCAATGAGGAACCAAGCATGGACGGAGAGGTGTGCTGGCGTGTTGCCTATCCTGTCGTTGCTTGGGAACAGACATGTACGGGTGCCTCTTCTCATTCGCAAGGCATCTTCTGCCGACACCTGGCGGTCCGCGGCTCAACTGCTTGTTGCCTTGCCCAATTCCAGCTTGCCACCTTGGACTTCTGACGAATTCGGGGATGGGAACACAGCAGCCGCCTTCGTTCAGCGGTCATTTGTGGCCTGTTTTGAGGACAGGTTTCCATTGACGTCGTGGTCCCTGCGGATTGATACCCAAGAACGCTGTCGGGCATTAAGACGGCGGAGCGAGGGGAACAGAGCGGGAGGCAGTTGGTCCCAGCTTTGTCGTGCCGTGTCCCCACTTGACGACCCAGGCGGTTGAGGCCTTACGCTGAGCTCAACCACACAGCTATCCCCAAGTTGCCAGAAGTGCAAGCGACTTTGCAGTAGCAAGCTTACTGGGGACCTGAGCTTCGGCAGACACAGGTCTATCCGTGCACTCGAGTGCTTGGCAACCACTTCTCCCCTTTGGTCGACGGTATTTTCATTCACTACCTAGGTAGGAAAGAAAGCGACAACCGAGCACCTTGTCCGTTTGGCGACTGTTGGGCCGTCTTTGCTAGGGCTTTTTGTTACCTGGGCTCCCTGGCCAGCAGATCTCGAGTTGTTCCCTTCGACCTTCACAGGGTTGCAAGGGTTGACTAGAGTGATCCGCATTCCAGGCTTCTTTCCCGTCTTCGATCCCCCCACGAGAGTGTACAGCACAGCCCTGGTTTGCTCGTTAGCACAGAACTCGAGCATTCACACCTCTATCTTGCTTTCACTCAGATAGTTTTTCTTGTTTTCTCTTTCCCTACAACTTCACCTAATTTTCCGCTCCTTATTCTTCTACTATTTATCTTATACTTTATCTTTCTTCCCTTTTTTCCCTCCTTTGTTTCCTTGAACTCTCAAGGTATTTTGTCTACTCTAGGGAGTGTAGCGCCTGCCATGTGCCACGCTAACAAACGAACCAGGTTGGATTGTATTGTAGTTGCCAACCAGACAAGCGGAACCGCGCCGCCTGCATCATCAACCTGAACCAGTGTCCACTGGGTGAAAAGGGCCCGGTTGCCTGGGTAGGAACTAGAGTATTTCAGCGTGACCAGCAATGGAAGCGCGCAGGCAGCTTTGGGGACTATGATATAGTGCCCGACTCATCATCCGGTCTGTTCCGTCCCGAGCAGTGCTGACAGAAGATACTGTTTGCGATTGTTCGTTACCTTACGGTATTGGCAGTGGGCCTTGCCGTCCCTGTCTTTCTTGGGTCGCTTGGTCGTCCTTGTACAATTTCTGGGCTGTCCTCTTCCGCTCAACTCCCCCGCAGTGGAATAAAACTCGACCCTGTCCCTTTCACTCCACCTTTTTCGTCCCATGGAGCCTGACACTTCATCCCAATTATTTCCGCCCTAGTTCTGCTGGCGCCATCCCAACCCACGCAGTCTACTTATGTCGAAACCGTTCCCTATCGCTGATCACAATACCATCAGCACCGGCTGCTCTTGTCCAAAACGTTTGCATTTCAACAACCGCATTGTCACCGCTGCGAATTTTCTGGCGTAAAGTCTATCTGACCGCTTTGTCATCGAACCACCGCTCGAGAGCTACGCTACCCTAACACTGGCCGCCTCCAAGCCGAGGCATTGTTGCCTCCTCTGCAACAACCCGTTCGCCCAGACTTGAACCACAACAATACCCTTCATTGCGAGCGTGGGCTCGTAGCGCCATGTCGAGGCGAGACCGGCCAATAGTCGCGTCTGTGGAAGACGCCGACGAGTCTGGGAACCCGATTGAGGAATCCGCCCGCTACGCATCCTCGGTTGCCCCAAGCAGTCCGGCTAAGGAACAGCCAAACACTGGCCGAGCGCGAAACAGACCCAGGAAAGGTTCTTCGTCGCCGATAACCACCAGCGTTCTTACAGACTCCGATACGACGGTGCATCCGCGGAGACACTCACTCAAAAAATCCAGCAAGGACCGAGACAGGTCGGTTTCAAGCAAAAAGGCCCTCATGCCTGCCTCACGACCCCCAGTCAAGCACGCCAAGACGACCTCGAGCATACCTCATACCAGGAGGGACGTGGAGGCGACCTACTATGGCGTTGACCCTACCATAACCCCAGCAACCTCCCGCCCCCCGCCCCATTCAAGGCCATCGAGCTATTACGGCGCGCCGCCGAGGCCACCACCGTCAAACTCTCGATTCTACGCAAGTCAAACACCCGGGCCTCCTTTGCCCACCTCCTTCCCCCCTCCTCATCAATGGATGGGACCGCCGGGGCCAAGGCCGGGACCAGGCGGCATGCCAGCACCGTTTGGCCCGCCATCAACGGCGCCTTTGGTTATGCACCACCCACCTCCTCATCCGCCATTCGATTACCCTCAAACGCGTCCGCTTGAATCTCGCTTTGGGTCCGCCCGGCCGCAGTCCGCGATGGGCTTTCGGCAACCCCGCGCCATCGAGTACGACGAGTATGAAGAGCCGGTGGAACGGTCCCTCACGCGACGCCCTTCGACAACGTCTCGAAAAGTTTCCAAGAACGACGAGGACAGGAAGGCAATGCCGCCTCCACGCCGACCCGCCTCTGCTCGCCCAACCGCCCTCGCGTTCCGGCCGCCACCATCTACGCCGGCCAGGCGAAAGGTTGACCTGGATGATTATGATCTTGACCCTGAAGATCACCTCTTCGACGTATCGCCGTTTGCGCCAGGGAGCTACGAGCACATCAGCCCTTTTCAACCGCGGGGGCCCAGCTTCGGTCCAGATAACGGATATGACCATGATTACCACACCGAAGTGGCTGGGAAGAGCCTTCGGCGTAACTCTTACTACGGTGGGAATTCGGGCTCTTCTGGAAGTGCCTATGAGGACAAGATCCGGCAGGCCACCCGATATCAGGATGACCATGGAGGTGGGCCGCAAATGCCATTGACGGCTGAGACGCTGCGAAAGGCGGGCAGAAGTGGTGCGAGCAGCAGGTCCACGAGGAGCTCGGGAAGCCACGACGAGAGCGAATACAGACAGTCTGCAACCACCCGTACCACGAGATCGACGGCGCCCAACGACGAGGATGTCACGATCCGGGTGAAGGGCAGCACGGTGCTCAAGTTTGGCAACACAGAGATGCAGTGTCAAGACGGAGCCGAAATCAACATCATCGCGAGGGGTGGCAACGCCGAGATCCGCGCCACGGGCAGCGACAGGTCCAGCTACATTGATCCCGCTGAGGATCGTCGTACCAGGGTCGACATACCGCATTCGCGGGCGCGCGCGGCCTCGCGGGCCAAGTCTCGCCCAAGGTCGTACTCTGCACGCAACTTCTCGAAGTACGACGTTGCTTCACAGTACGACGCTGGTCTGGATTACGACGCGTTCACCACCTATGGTCCCCCGCCGCTGCCACCAGCCTACCCCGAGTTCCCCTCGTCGTATTCGTCGCGACATGGTGACGGGTTTTTTGGCTCTCCGTTCTAACGGACCACACTACACACCGGCGAAGGATGGGGCGACGATGATTGGCCTTCGCTGGTGGAACTTTGGCGATGCTGATGACCACTTGATGATGATGGGGTCGATGTGGGGCCTCGGAAAGATGATGAGAATGATGCTGATGACGATTTCGTGTGCATAACGGCCGGCATTTCTGTTACTTCATTTCTTGTTCTCTTATCTTGGCGTATCTGATCTGATCTAAGCGAGCGTTGTTGGTTTTTTGCTTCTCTTCATTTCTCCTGGTTGGGACACATTTGGGAACTGGGGTTTGTTTCTTATACCACTTCGTTTCGTTTCTTCTTGGATGGCATGGCTCTTTCTGTAACCTATTACGGTGCTAAAACACGGCGGCCGCTCTTCTTTCGTGTGTCGAGTTCTAAAAGAGCGGTTGATACCCGAATCTGGACTGTATGGGAAACTGGCAGCTTCGCCTTAATATCACCACACCACTTCCTATTTTCACGTCACTTATGTTTCTCTGAAGCTGTCATTGGGACGTGCATAGGGCTTGTTTTCTTCTCCCCCCTACCTTACCATCACAAGAGATTGATACCATCTGTTTCAGTGTTCTACAGAAACTTGGCTGTGCCAGTGCTTGCGTTCTAGCTTCACATCGGAACTGTGGCTGGAGAAAGACTGTTCCGAGGCGCGAACAGCATGTCCAGCAAGGGGAGATAGTTCTGCTTCCGACGGGTCCCTATACCCGGGTAACAGGACTCGGATTTTCTTTCCCTGTGGACATGCACTGTCGACACGCAATCTAGCTCTTGAAGACATGTCTGGGTCCCCCTCGATGCTAGCTGTAGATATTGATCAGTGATGGTGCTTCACCCCCAACATTGCGATATGCCTTGTGGTAGCTTAGCCTGACAGCAATCAGCGAAGAAGGCGGCAGGTTACAATTACTTCACGTGGCCGCGTCATTGTTCGACACGGCGATTGCGTGATACAGACTGAGGCTTGAGGACTCTTGGAGCTTGCTCGTACATACGGTGTTGTATAGGTTCACATACCATATCATACGGTGCGATTCAAATCCTGATCTAGATATGGAGTGATGAGATCGGCCTTGTAAGGGGAGCTTGGCAGAGTAATGCGGTGTGGTCAGCCATGCCAATATGGACTGCTGTACGCTTCGATGTTTCTCCCTCAGTCCGCCGCTGAGAAGCGAGGCTCGCTCCATCAGATCACCACGTGTAATGCATTCAGTTGAGCGCCGTGGCGGGGTAACCGCAGCACAAAGGCAAGGCATGAAGTGGCGATCCAGTTGTCTGGCTTGAATCAGTCGGTTACACACGTAGGCCTCTGCTCGAACAAGCGAGGGAGAGGGTGCTGGAGGGTGTGTTACATTCGAGATTGAATGGAAGGTGTGGGCTTGGCCTCATGGTCTTCCTCGTCTCAGGATTGCCGGTTCTCAACCCTCTTTTGCAGCGTGTTCGATGCCGCAAAGGGCGGTCAAGTGCTCGGGGGCCCTTTTTTGGCGCTACTGGTTTTTGCAATGCGGATGTCCGGTCCGCGATCTTAGGGAAGCATGGAAGCACGTGAGTGCGGGTTACCTAGTCGTTTCTGGTGGGCAATTAATTTGTGACAAGTGTCGGGCATGGCATTTAAAGGCTTATTATCTCTCTATGGCACCTTGAAGGAGACAGGTACGGAGTAGCTACTGTAGATGAAGAAGAAAATGCGTGAAAGTGAAAGAAGGGGATGAGATACAGCTGGCGAACTGAGGTAAAAACCATCGTCCGAGAAACCAATAAAGTTACCGTACACGTATGTACTCAATGAATTCGACAACCTCCACAGGGCGGGCCACTCATCCAACAGCTGGCGAAAAGCTCAGCAAAGTCTGTGCGTGGTGCTGACATAACACACCGGCCTAGAGAGCTGGAACCTGTGATTGGCGGTCGAAGCAGAGTGGAGGTAGGCGAATTCTCTGAGTGCACGAGGAGCGGTCAGTTCCAATATCGCAACTTACCGTATTGATTCAACGTACGGATTCGGAACCAATAAGGTCCGTGGCTTGACAGCTGCTGAGCGGTTGCTTGGGCAACGGATCGACTTCGTTTACGACGTCATCAATTCTCCTTAACGTTATCAATGGGAAGCAGCATGAGTATCCTACGGAGGTAGTGGTGACAAAGTAAGGCAACTCTTGCTACCTAAAGGCGACCCCAAATAACTGTTGCTGAGGATTGCACGTTGAATGGGATAAGTCGAACTCTGCCAGGGTTGAATTTTGGCTGGCGGCCTGTCGCTGTTTTTGTTCTCATCTCCCAGCCTCTCGAGTAGAGGAGGCCTTGTTCCCTGAGCCCCGGCCCCAGCCCCTCGGTTTCTGGGTTAACCAGTCAACACAACACACCCTCCCCCGCACCTAATCCTTTTCTCTTAGACGGAGTACGGCGACTACGGTTTTGGCGTCAATCACAAGTTCGACTTCGGTTGGAGCCTCTACACTCATCACTGCGACTCAATTTATTCCCCGTGTCGCCCTTTGATTTTGGCCAATTCCCCAGATCACAGCCATTGCATCGGCAACCTCTCCGGCTTCTTGGCTGGTTGACCAGCTCGAACCAGCCAAGGTAACCGTCTCACTTTCTTACAGCATCCTGTCGAGTAAAGCTCACATCGTCACCACATGACATGGCGCCTGCCATCATCAACAGCCTCTTTGGCCGGCCCGATGTGGCGTCGCTTGGGCCGCTGGCTGCGCGCTCGGTCCTTCTGGCTCGGGCTCCGGCTGAGCAGGATAGAAACCCAGCAGCCGGCGCACTCCGTCCCCAAGAAATCAACAACAACGCAGTTTTTGCCGTGTTCGGCCTAATTGGCGCCGCCTTCGTTGTAGGAGGCATCTGGTTTTTCTTTTGGGCAAAGAACGGCGGCTTTTATTTCAAGAAGAACGATTGGGAGGATTACAAGTCGACGGTGCTCCGGCGCAAAGGGCCCAACGGCACCATATACTCCGACGCAACGCCCAGTACAGTGCTGGGTGGCGGCAGCGTGTACAAGGACGTCGACGATGGCACAACCACCATTGGCGACGATCTGACCACGGTCGTGAGCGCTACTACAGGTGTCACCGGCATTACCGGCGGCGTTTCCGACATTTCGGGCCGGGAGAAGCGGCGAAAAAAAAGGGAGCAAAAGGAGCGCGAAAAGGAGCGCCGACGTGAGAAAAAAGCCCGTGAAAAAGCGGAGCGCAAGAACAAGTCCCGCCGTAAAGTTGACGCAGAGGGCGTCATCGTCGACGAGGAGGCCGAGGCCATGGCCCAGGAACAGCTGCGCAACTACCGTCACGAAAAGCCCGCTCGCGTGGGCGGTCTAAACCGCGAATCAGAGGCCTCCACCTGGGACGGCTCGACGAACCCAAGCTGGTCGACGGCGAGCCCGAGCCATGCGGCCGAGTCCACCACCGACACAGGCAGCACCGTCACCTCTGAACTTATCAGCAACCGCCAGCGCACGCCGACTAGCACGCCTACCAAAAAGGACGCGAGCGAGCGCACAGGAGGCGGCATCCGGAAAGTCTATTCGACGGCCGACAAAAACGCTATGCGCGAGAACGAGCGCATCCGCGCCGAGGCCCGCCGCCTGCAGGAGAAGGGACGCGCAGCTGCCTCTGCCTCGGCATCGTCCAACATCCGCCGAGACTTTAGCTTCACGCGCGGCGCCGACGAGACTATGGCGCTGCGGCGCATCGACGAGGCGCCCGGCGAGAGCGTCGTCAGCGGGTCGTACGTCAGCGAGAGCACCATCAACGACTACTCGGAGAGGGAAAGGCGCGCTCGGTCGCGCTCACGGCACAGGAATGCTGCCGCGGCGCCGAGCGAGGACTCGCGGGTGCCGGGGAGCTGGGTCCCCAGTGAGGTCGGCTCTGCGAGCGACGTCGGCACCAAGGTGTACACGCACTCGCATCATATTCCCGTGGGCGGCAGCTCGGTGGCGGGCAGCTCGGTGACCGACTTTGCGTACGCCGAGGAGAAGCGGAAGAAGAGAGGTGGTGCTGGGGCGAGGAGGAACCGGGAGAACGCTGCCTGAGGGACGGTATCATGATAATGCAGGAAGTGTGATGGATCAGCAAAGACGGGTTATGACATGTGGCTAGGGGGTGTGACGACGAAACGTGAGATGGCATGGACGCAAGCATGGAAGCAGCAATGCAAGCAGGATGGGGGCGGGCGTTTGTGGGACACTGGCAACCTAGTATCTGTTGGTGGGCGGGTATATGGTTCATGTTCTGATGTACAGTACGGCAAAGAAGCGACTGTTGGATGATCTGTAGGTCTATGTAGCTATCAAGCATACGTTTCTTAGGTCTGTGGCCGCGGCTCCCTCGTTGTGAAATACGCCATACTCCGTACTACAGCCACAGTACAGATTTAATTGGCGTCAGCCTCTGGCGGGCTTCTCAAATCGTTTACGTATGTTAAGCCAATAAGTACGTATAGTAAGCCAATAAGCCAAGCCCTGAACTCAAACTGTCTCCATCTGATCTTCATTGGAGTCCTGATGCCGATCCTATCACCGGGCTGGCCCCATGTCTGGCCAAAGGTCGTCGTTCCGGCCGGCCCGGGAGTCTCGGCGGTTCCGGAAGGTTCGAAGTTGTTAACAGAGCCCAATCTCCTCACACGGAGGAGGGGCTCCCTCGAAATGGTTTGGCGAGCTGGATTGGCCGAATCATGAGATTCGTAGCCGGGTGAAAGCAGGTGGGTGAAAGCAAGCGGAGGGCGTTCAACGACCTTAGGGTGACCTGGCGCGCAAAACAACTGGAAATCGGACGTTGGCCTGTTGTGTCGTTCTGGTGCTGCCTCTGAAACTTGGTGCAGCCCCTTCTGCAGGGCGAAGCTGAGCAGCCCCGCCGCAGTCAGGCGCCCAGCCGCCGACACAAGGGAAAGAGGTTATGCATCCGGAAAACAAAGCGCGAATGCACAGAAGTACATGCAACACTGATGCAGATGGAGTCCAATACTTGTAAAGAGAGATGTCATCAAACTTGGGTAAGACCGCCTTGAGTTTGGCGATGCCCAAATGTTCTCCATTGCAGATGACCAAGGCGGGCCAGAGGGTCCGACAACCAGGTCGGCGTCATCACTCACCGAACCCTTTTCTCTTTCCAGGTTGCCAAGCTCTTCCCCACCCACTGATAACGTTTGCGCTCCATCCTCGTGACACTAAACCGCTATTGGATCACTGATAAGCGGCCAACAATGCGCCTGGCCCCTTCCAGGTTGCTTGCTTGTGTCGAACCCAGGCGCATTACCAGGCGACTCGTTCCCATCCTTCTGTTGCGGGTCGGCATCAGCATACGCATGTTCACGTTCCATCCTTCCTTTCTTCGTCCCCTCAACCATCATCCCTATGTACCTTTGTACAATACACCCACATCACCTCTGTTGATTCACTCTTCTTGTTTCATCTGCGTATTTCGTCTCGAAGTTCCTTATCGTATCTCGGCGAGCCAGCGGTGCCTTCCTTTCGATCATCCATTGCTGTTTTCGTTTGCCTCCGTCATTCGTCATCCATCATCTCGGCGTCTCTCGGCCGCACCGTTCTCCCCGCCAACGTGACACACCGGCGCCTTGATCGCCGCAGCTGACGCCTCGAGCTCTGAAAACTCCTGCGACTTGCAGGTCTCACGAACGAGTAACGAGCACACGCGATAGCGTTTCAGCTGCACTCGAACCCATTCCCACGGCCGCCGCATCTTTCCGCTCTTGTTCTTTTGCAAATCGAATTGAACGAGGACCGCCTTCGCCCCGAGTCCCTGAACCGTCCCGGATACAACAACCACGAAGCCGCCGTGTTTCGGCATCGACACACCTGTGCTGGCGCCAACGTGAGAAAGCAAGACGACCTTGTGTTTGGCGGTCGCGCGAACCTATCGCTGCCCGGCAGCGGCCGCCATTCTGGGGTTGTTCGACTCCCGACTTAAGCACCGGCTCGAGTCCTCCTGGTCTGATCGCTTCAGCGATCCTCCAACATGGTCAACAACAGCCCAGGGCTGAATGGCATTGTCATCGGCCTGCTGTCGTCCTTCGGGTCGGCAATCCTCATTCTCTGCATCTTCCTGGCCTTCTACTTCTTCAGATACACAGCGTCCGGGCGCATATTCCTCGACCGGATCGGCCGCCCTGGCGAGTACGATGATGAGCAGGCCTTTGCGCGCGAGGAGGCCGAGGCCCTCGAGACGATGGATGAGATGCAGAGGACGGAATATCTAAGGGCCAAGGGTGTGTTGACTGGTTCCGCCCTTAACTGTGAACCGAGTACTAACTGCGCTTGGGCAGCTTTCATCGCCGCAAATCCTCCAGAATCCGTGCAGACCGATATCTCATTGTCGCAGTACTTGGCTATCCAGGAGAAGGGGGTATCTGCATGGGAATTCGAGCCCGAGCTGGAAATCGCAAACTGCTTCGTCGAGGCCAGGACAGAGGTCGAGTTCTTCGACTCCGAATGCACTGTTTTGAGTAATCTACCCGTTCCTAAACAAAACGATGTTTATTACTGGGAAACAAAGGTCTACGACAAGCCCGAGAGCACATTGCTAAGCATAGGCATGGCCACCAAGCCGTACCCGCTGTTCAGGTTACCTGGTAGGTGATTGTCTACTCCCCCGGCATGGGCAGGTGAGACTAACGACGACAGGCTTCCACAAGTTCTCGGTTGCGTATCTCTCCAACGGCACACGTCGCTACAATCAACCGTTCAACGCGACCCCCTACGGGCCCCAATTCGTACAAGGCGACGTTATTGGCGTCGGCTACCGGCCACGGACCGGAACGATTTTCTTTACACGGAATGGCAAAAGGCTAGAGGACGTGGTCCACGGTCTGAAGTCACAAAACTTCTTTCCAGCGATCGGCGCAAACGGGCCGTGCATCGTTCACGTCAACTTCGGCCAGGCTGGTTTCGTCTTTATTGAGGCCAATGTGAAGAAGTGGGGTCTCGCGCCCATGACGGGCTCTCTGGCGCCTCCACCGCCCTACGGTGTTGAGGCGGATACCATCTTGCTTGCGACGGGGACCAAGGACGGTTTCACTAGTTCACCAGCTCGCAATCACCGGTATAGTCACTCGGCCCAGCTATTTAGGCAAGGTCCGAACGTTTCAGATTCCGGCCGCGCACGGTCCAGATCAGGCAACTTCCGCATGCTCTCTCCTACGAGCCCTGGGCCTCTCCGCAGCCCGACCGACATCTCCCTCGCTCACTTGGCACCCACAGACGAAGGCGGCGAACCCAGTAGCAGTGCTGCGGCGCTGGTCCAACCCAGTTATGGCCACGACCCATCATCAGTCACTGGGCTAGGCCTGCACGACCACGACAACCGCCCGCCGCCGGAGTATACAAGTCCAGAGCACTCCGACACAGAGGAGACGGACAGCAGGAGGAGCAGTTCCGACAGCGAAAACGCCCCCCTAATTCAACTCACCAGGAGTCGTGAAGCGTCGTCTGCCCCGGCCTGGGGAAGCGGTAGCAGGTCTGAGCCTCCGCAGGTGGGGAGACCGCCCAGCCCGCCGATTCCAACATACCAGGATGCGATCCGGCAGGGCGCCGGGCGGGATAGGAGCGATAGTGCTAGGAGTGCAAGGGGTGCGACGTGATGAAAGCCCGTATTTGATCTGATGTTTTTCTTTGTGCGGGGTTACAACGGGGTGGAATGGAACTATACCCTCTGCGGAGTTGAGACAGTGAACGGGCATCATGGTCATTGAGACTGGGGATACGGTACCAAAGTTATTGCACCGTTTTTCGTTGTTTCTGAGAGGCTGGTCGGTGTGGAGCTTGCCTTGTCTTTTGCCGGTTAAGTTTTGGGCTGGGGAAGTGGTGAATGGAGTTCTACAAATTCATGGCAGGCGGTTTGAATTATATCGTGGGATGGCTGGCAAGCAACTGTTTATACGGGAGGTGGTGGTTTGGCTGGTGTGGGCGACAAAACGTTCAGAGGGGAGCAACTATCATCCCTCACCGCATGTTACTAAACTACCTAACAATCACATCACAATCGCCCGTTACGCTCAAGTTAACCCCCTCACCCCCCTTGTTCCCAGTTTGTCTTTGGCCACCAGAACTGAAACATTTGTTGGACCCGAAGGTTGAAGGGGCCAACGGTACAGAATTGCTACAGACATGAGCAGAAGTGTTCACACTTCCACCCATTTTATATAGTCCACTGTCCAACAATAGCATAACCTGTTTGTTCTCTCTGGCTTTCATTGGCCATGGAAAGTGAGAACACGAACTCAAGCAACACGTTGGAGGATGAAAGGGGCCACTGACGGGATTCCGAGGAGCAGATCTTAGAGTGGCTCGAGGGGGGATCTGGCCCACGGGCTGTCGCCTTCGAAAGCCCAACAGGTGGACAGAATAAAAGCGCGAGACACGAGCAGACTCAAGAGGAGGCCGTATATTAATGTTATATAAGAAGACAGGACGGAGCAGGCAGGGCTCTCGCTGCGTATCACGAAGACTCAAAAGTGGTAGTAGTTCAAGCGAGACAGTCAACAGTCGACTGCAATTATTACTATCTCTTCCCGTCCTTCCCGTCCTTCTCGTACATACAATCAGCCTAATTCCAATTCGAGAGATCGCCAGCACGAGAACCCCTTGAGCAATATTACTTCCATAGGAGGGACACAAAACCGTGCAACCAGATGAACGCCGCCCAATGCAACCAGAAAACACCCAGTGGTTTCCATACAAAAGGCCAAATCCTCCGTTTTCTTCGCTCCCAAATAGAGACCTCGCCGGACTAACGTCAACAGCCTTGCTGCTTCCAGAAGCCAAAGATCCGAGATGCCCATGTCCAGAACAGCCAAACCAAATCAAACAAACCAAACCAAAACAACAGTCGCTATGCAGTTGGGTATCGTGATCATGCGAAGATGGGAGTCCGTAAGGAGCGAATTCTATGCCGATGAAATACATTCATCATAGTACAGTGTATGTCGTCAAAGGAGTGTCTATCCCGTTGGGGTATCAACCGTCCCGATCCGCAAAATGCAAAAGGAAAGTCTATAGCTTGTTTCGAGTGGACCAGCCGGTACGATAAAAGGAGCGTCGTGAGTGGGTATCTTCGATGATGATGTGGACAGAAGGAGCGTCGTTGCAAATAAAAGCATAATAATTAGGGTGGGTGAGATCGTCGCAGTCGTAAAGGAGTGTAACACGTCATGAGAATGCCGTGGAGTCGCTGCTGTCGAGCCGAGTGTGTGATCGTTGAAAGGATTGTGGTGTACAATTGCGTCTGTGTTGAGGCGAAGAAAGCAGCAAGCGGCGTGCTTGGCAAAAGAAAATATTTAGAAGGGAGTCGTAAACTTCGTAGCCAGGTATGGGAGAATGTCGCGTCCCCTATGCGGTCCTGCCTGCTCCCTTGTCCTGGGCGCTTGGCGGCGCGGAGAGCACGGTGTGGGAAGCCAAGTTACTCTCCTCTTGAGTCACCACAGTGACGAACTGGGAGCTGGGCGACGCGGGAACTGGGAGAAATGGCTGCTCAGGACTCGGGAAGGGCGATGGTGCGAAGGTTGGGTGTTGAGTTGGCAGCCAAGGAGACCGATTTTCAGGAGGGGGGTAATCCGGGGTGGTGCTCAGATACGAAGGCCTGATCGTCATGGTTAATCATGTTTGCCCTTGCGCAAGGCGGATAGCAGCCATTGGTGCAACCTGGATCAGGTCCACACTGTCTGGATTGGAGGAACGAACCCGACGCCGTAAGTGTTGGCACCGCCCAGCATTGGTGAGGTGGCCGTGTAACCGCCGTAGGAGCCGTTGTCTTCAGCATCGCTGTAGACAAGTGAAGACGCGTCGCCAAAGTCGCCATAGGTGCTCGACGCAGGGCTATACCCCCCGTACGACGGGCTGGGGATATTGAGGTAGTGCGGGTTCACGTAGGGCGACGACAGCTGGAGCGGGCTAATGGCGCTACTCGGGCCGGTCTCCGGAATGACAGAGAGATCCTCGGTGCTGTAGCTGAACGCCACGTTGTCACCGTATGGCAGGTACTCGGAAGACAAGTTGGCTGACATCATCAGGGGGGAACCTTCGTTCATGTAGAAGCTGGGCTGATCGAACTGAGGGAATGACGGCGTGCGCACAGGCTGGACCCATCCCATCCGCGAGCGGAACTCATTGACCGTCTCAATGGGGAACTCCATCAGGTTGAGGGGCGTCTGGACATCGCCGTCGGCATGACCGGAATTGCGGATGGCATAAAGACGGCGAGCGATCTGCTCAACCGGGCCGATGGTCATGCTTCCAAAATAGGCAGCGCCGATCTCGGGGAAGAGACGTTCCATCAGCAGGGCGGCCGTGTAGTACTGAGCAATCACTACCAAGGCGCTTGGCGATGCACCATTCCGCTGCAGGTACATGACGGGCAGCCAAAAGAGCCAGGTCCGCAGAGGCTTAAGCCGGTCGAACTGCTGGGCCACGGAGAGGGACGACGTGACCTTGCGGGAGCCTTTCATGAAGGTGATGAGTTGGGCAACCGCCTTAGTATCTTCGCGATTCTTCTTGAGGAAAGTCTCGAGTTTTTGCAGCTGCTGCAAGGCGCGTTGGAACGCTTCCAGGTCATCCTCGCGGGGCTGGCTGGGCTGGTGATCCGGAGTGGGCGATGGGGGAGCGGTTGGGAAAGTGCTGCTCTCGGCGATGAAGTCACCAAACTGGGACTCGTGCTTCCAGGGGTCCATGGCCTCGATAACCTGTTTTGAGTATATTGATTAGCGTATGTTCCCGAAGGCTTTGCTGCACGGCGCCAGACTGAACTTACAGAGGAGGTTCCTTGCATGAGTTGGGTCCAGCTCCGCCTGCAGAAGGTAGGTTAGCCCCCCCGTATGTGTAGCTCGGCTAGCTGCATACTATTGCTTACCAATCCGTGGCTTGCCACGAGAGGACAAGAGAAGCGGCAAGGATGGCGTCGGAAGTCTCGCGGGAGAACGTACTGATGGCCTCTTGAAGGCCCTTCAAGGCGACGCCGCGATGCTCGTAAGCCATATTCCCAACGGCTGGGCAGCCAGTCAGATATGCAAGGTGCATGGCAGAGAACGCCAGCAGAGCATGCAAGACATAGCGGTGGGTCGCGCCGATCCTGATGATGCTGGAAGCAGAGAGCCGTTAGTACGACAGCAACGTCTTTCAGTGTCTCGGAACATAGCCTTACGTAGGAATCTGCCGGGTCCAAAGGGTGAAGTCGCTGGCGTCGAGTTCCTGCATCTGGTGGCTGATGGATGCAACATGATGGATCAACCTCAGATCCTCGAGCGTCAGGAGCTCAGGGGCAGGGGCGGGGTAGATGCCCAGACTCGGGAAGGGAAACACTCCGGTGCGGCGCCACTGGTCGATGGTAGCTTCGGTCTCCGGCGTCCACATCAGATCCGGCTTGTCAGGCGAGCCAGCCCTATCCTCTGGAACGGAAACATCATTGTACGGGCAGCGGATCTTGTGCTTGGTGCAGTTGCGGCTGGAGTGATGTCAGCTTTCTGACCTGCTTGTTTCGAGCGCGGACATCATACCATTGAGGGAAGTTTTCATCACACCTGATATGGCGACGCTTGCAGGTGTCACACCCTTTCCGGGATTTGGTGTGGCTAGAAAGACTGTTAGCAGGTGGGAATCAACTTGCACGATACAAATGGCTTGAGAACTCACCTGCGACGAGGAGGGCCACCACCGGGACCAGCCATTATTACGAATAGGTAAAAATAAGTTTAACGAAAGAAACTGCGAAACAGTCAATAAGTGAAACTCGAAGGTTTTCGGGGGAAGCGCGGGCTTTGCTCACATGAAGTAAACACACGATGTGCCCCGGAAGGCAGCGGGATAGCGAGCGTAACCGTTTGCGGTGAGGAGAGGCGCGCGAAGGGTAGTGTCAAGGAGGCGACACTATTTGGAGTATGGAGTGCAGCACGCAGGGCAGCAGACACTCAAGGCACAGCGTGCAAGTTGGATTCAGAGCGCAGCGAGGCGGTTCGGCAGTTGCGAGCAGAGCGGACCGATTAAGGTAGAGCTGGATGACGTTGTCGTCTCGGAACAGCAGATAGATAACTCTGTACCCTCGGTCCTTAGGTCTCAAAGGCGTCCTCCGTTTCGATCTGCCAGGCTCTTCTTCTCTTTCCTTTGCCTTTCCCCAGCAGTAGCGATCGTGGTTTACTTCTGTGTTGAGAAGAGATGCCGAGAACTTGAGCGAGAGTGTGGTGTGGGTAGCAAGTGAGCTAGGCCTTGCAGACAGGCATCTACTTCTTAGAGTCGTAGTTGCAGATGGCGTTTATGAGTTGTTCACTGAAAGGCGGTATTTGAGGACTTGGCGGGTTTCCGGTTCTCGAGATCTCTCCAAACACAAACAAAAAAGAAACAAGCGAATGACAGGAGTCGACGAGGACTTCCTTGGGGTGAGTTGCTAAAAGCGAACGTGAGTGATTGAGATACAGCGACGGGGCTGGGTCAGCGATGGTGATGTCTCTGTGAGATTCAAAGAGGAGGAGCCGGGCATTTGGGGGAGCTGCACAGTTAAATAGCGCCTCTGTCGCTGAGTGGTTGCTTGGGTGCGTGGGAGCTGACCCCATCCCCAGCCAGTGCGTTTATAGCAGGCGTCGACTCTGGCACTGGGTCCACTAGGTGCACCGAGGCTTGCCCAAAAGAGGAACCAGCACGGCCGAGAGGCCGCTGATTGTTGACATGACACACCATGCTACTGGGCGCCCCACACCGAGGGACCGAGACCTTTCCTCATCAGGCGACTCCGTCTCATGTGCCCACTGAATAAAGAAGGAAAGCGAAATCCTAAGCCAGCACCGCCAAAGCACAGTATTTTTCTGATCTGCGATCAGTTCAAGGCTCATCTTCCTTCACCATTAGCAACCTGGAAGACGGAAGCCCGACATCTTGTCCGAAAAGTCCATCAGGTGCGACAGGCTCGGATGCCGAAGCCAGCGGAGAGCAACAAACCGAATAGAGAAGGGCCGACAGACAAAGTGGCACAGCGCACAAGTGGCGGGTGCTGAGTGGGAACAACCGAACAAAGGCAGGAAGCTGGGGATCCAGAGGCTAGACATCACCGTCACCGCTCATGGTTCGATCAATTTTTGGGGCGGCTGCCGCTCAGGTGCCGACGTTGGGCTCATGCAGGATCTTGACATCGAAAGCGCCGTGGAAGCAAAGCCGCTCACAGGCGAGTCAACACTGTGCAACACTGTGCACGGCTGGGCCCTGCTGTTCTGTGGCCTGACCTCGCAGCGCAAAGTTCATGCGGGCATGCTCCCGCATCCTGTAGCAGCTGTCGAGCACTTGACCAATGCGAGGGGCCTGCCGAGTTGTGTCGTGCAGACTGTGCCAGAAAGTGTCGCCGTCAGGGTCCTGTGGCTGCTGAAGGCTCCCCCAATGTTACGTTAACTTGGGCCACAGTCGACTGGCAGCCGGACCGGCCATTGACCGGTTACTCATGGCTGTGTACCCGCCACATCTTGAAGTGAAAGCTTTGAAGGATTACACTCGCTTACCCAAGACTCACATTGGCTGATTGTCAATTCTTTCATTCCGCATCCGAGTAAATTCAAGCATGAAGGCTTGCCCTTCCGGTGTATGGTCAGGTGCCAGAGGGTTGAGGTGGTGATGACAGCGTCCGATCTACCTACCACAGTTTGTACATAGCCAACCAGACACTCCGACTGAGGCGGAGCATCAGAACTTCAGACGCTCGCTTATTATTGGAGATTCTGCGATAAGAGTTGGGCCGCTGTCACGGATGAGGGTGGCCGCCCTTTGCCGACAAGATGCCCATGTTGGAAAGTTCAACAAGGCGTGTTCAGCAGAGGAGGTTACAGTGTACCTGACCAGAGTAAAAACTAACCGGTGTCGCTCGGATCCTTCAGGTTCTTTCTCTCCGCCAAACTACAGCAATGAATAGATGCTTTTACCAACCTCAAGCACTTTACGGAGTACGCCCTTAGCGTGACATCCACCGGCGTCATCACCATGCCCAGCCCTCTTCCCGTCCTTGAAATCTGGCTTAATAAGGTAGGCCAAAGCAACGGGAGGACCTGGCCTCCACTCACGGCCTGAGATGACGAGATCAAGTGTCGTGCACAGACTGAGTCTGATGCTGTCGGTGCGGGGTTCACACGGCCTTGAAAATCGCTATTGTGTCGGTAGGCTGATGAGCTGCCAATCAACGTTAGGTGATGTACGCTACATACATAACACATTTGTTGGAGTCGAAGTCGGTGATACTCGGCCGTGGCTCCCCCGAGGCCGGGAACATGCTGCGAAGCCTGAGGCTAAGACGTGAGCCATGAGACGGCAAAGTTCTCGTTCTCTTTCACTCGGCACATACAACATGTCATTGGATGAAAGGCCATCCCGGAGGGGCTTCTCAACGAAAGCATTTCGAAACTTCCTACAGGAAGCTAGTGATTCACATCCACCACAGTGTCGCGGACCTACCTCGAAGGCACTGATATGTTGGACGGGGTAGCACTGTATCGGAAGAGCCGTAGAGAAAGTCTCTAGGCCGGTGATGCTGTAACATCGTCTATCGTGTCAACTTTGTCGACATTAGATGTGCAAAGATGATCGTTCTCCCGACCCGTCAACGAAGCTGTCCGTCTCAGGTCCTTCTAGAAGCCCTAGCAAACAACCTGTCTGCAAATCGCGTTGTGCCGTGCCTGACAGAGCCGTGATCGTGCTGCAATGTTCGCTCAACCAGGAGACGAAGAGGCTCGGGGAGTCTCAAGTAGACCGAAAAATCTGGGTGGGCCATCATTTTGAGTAGCGTGTGCAACGCCGAAACATCATGCAAACCTTGTCAAACTAACCCATGCAAGGGCGGTGGGATGGGGATCGGGACATTCGATTGCTGCACCTCTGATTGGCTAATGCAACGGTTTTCTCGTGTCCATTTTTGGCTTCCCGCCTTCCGCTCATAACCCATGTTCGCACTCTTCTTCTACCAACAAAACTCTCCTACTGTTGCCTTCCACAACCCTGTGGACATTTGAGCTGCAATAGTTACTCCGCAAGCCGAAGCCCGGAACATGATCCCGGTAGTCATTGCCCTGATTTTCTGTCTATGCTTGATCCGATCTCCTGGGGAAGGTCCTCGGTAGAAAAGGCGGAGGCTGAGCATCTCCACTTTTGATGATGCAGTCGGTTTTACCGCCCTCCATTCTCGGGCCGTGCTGCCAGCATATCTGCTGTCGGACGGGCCAGGGACTCAGGGCTCGGGGTTTGCTAGCGCCGTGAGCTCTAAGGACCCCTCCTGCGCCGTCAGTGCAGCTTATGCACAACCCGGAGGCTCCACACATGTTAGGTACAAGTACATGACATACCTCCCCGAGGCGATATTATCAACCTTTGGTAGATCCCACTCGGGGTTAAAGGGCTTCTTCAAAACCGGTTGCCAGCACGTGTGGGAGAGCGGATGAAGGCCGTCGCATCCCGCGGGCTTGCCTAGCGAGACCGGCTTGTCTGCTTTTGACTTAGTGGTTTCTATTCTTAAAGTTAACCTTCTGAGAAGTTTCCCCACTCTGACGTCGCTGCCACATTCGGCCGAGAGGCAGTCAGAGACGACCGCCGCACCAATCAAGTCCGGCCGACCCGAACCAAGCATGAAGGCCCACAAGTGAGTTGATCTGCTGCGATACAACGTTTCACTCCTGCCGTGGATTTTCCGTAGCTTTTCCAGACTGTTCGACCGCCATACCATCCTACGTCTGCACGTGTAGGTCCAGCCGAAAGAACTCTACTGCGATAGAGTGCCGATTTCAAAGACCCTCCTCGGTCGGTGGCACTGGGAAAGTGATTTACCGGGAAGGAGATGGCCTCCAGGGCAACAGGATGTGGCTCGATTTCGCAATCCATAGAATTCCGCCCGGTGCTGGGAGCAAAATAAATGGGGCTGTTTCTACAACACCACACAACATCTCTGTATATACGTTGAGCCTTACTGTGGTTTGACTGCCTTGGACGGTCTCTCTCGGTCAGTACTGGGACCGCTGTGTCTTGCGAAGACAGGAAAGCTCTCACGGTTGTAGAAGCGGTGATGATCTCCAGGGGTGGCAGAGCATTGCACAAGGCGTGTACTCAGGGTTCCCGAGGCAACAATGAGCTCCCTCCGCAAAGTCACGTTTGTGCTACAAGAGCAATCATACCGAATTTCAACTATCCCGTCCTGTCAGGAAAACAGCAAGCATGGCGGAAGACTCGGAGGCACCCCAACCCCGACACTCTGGGACAGGCTTTTCCATCCCGTCGCTCCTGCACCAGACGATGTACATCCACACCAATCATTCAGTAACCAGATCCAGAGTACCGACCGTGAGAGGCTTTTCTAATTATAGCCATTTTTGGTTCGGTTTCCCGATTGGGACATGCCGCCTGAGTATGGACGTGGTGACCAGGCAGGGCGGCTGAAAACGTCGGGCCGCACGACACCACGCGTCGCGCAGGCATGATGATGAAGTGGTACGGCCATGTATCTCGCCGCGCCAATGGACTTCTTCTCTGTCGTTCTTCATTTCGCTGTTCTTTGCCCCCTTGACATGAATTATTCCACCATAGCCCCTTCCAAACTCGCCGCTTGCTCATTCATGAGCCAATGCCGGGATGCCCCCGGGGTGGTTTTATCTTGCAACGTTCCCGAATAACGCAAGCCATCATGCGCCAGGCGGCGCAGGTGGCTTGCTTCGCTTACGTGTAAGTCAACACCAGACCCGAGCCAAACAGGCGGGACACGCGAATACCCGGCATACCTGACGTTTGACAATCTGCCGCCGTTGCAGCAGAAAGTCACCTCCGAGGAGACCTCCTTCAGCAGCTACAAAGCGGCCTTCTCCTCGGTGTTATAGTGGTTACACGGCAGTCACAATAAGGGCACTGAGGCATTGCGTTCTTCTGCTCATTTGACTCTAACCTGCAAGCCAAGCTTACATCCTACTGCATCCTGGACGACCTACGGCGCCGGGCACATGTGTTACCTGTGGACACTTGGACAGCAGCATACTGACCCTTGTCTGTCGTCCAATGCCAAACCGCGGTGAAGAAAGACAGAACGGACACCATCTGTTGGATGCTATTCGAGAGTGAAAATTCTCCGAGTCACACCGATGACGCGCAGGATTACACTGCCTCGGGGAGACGCGGTCGATCTGATCCCGGCTGCTTGCTTGGGGAGGTTGGAGATTGTATCTCGTGCCTGGCTGTAATTCAGGGAATGTCTCACTCTCCTCCAATGGAGAGGGCTAGGTGGATGTATATCCGGGCCTACTGGGCACTGTTGTGGCGTGAAGCAGTTAAGGGCGCTCGACGAGGGATCCGGTGCGGGATGTTCCCCCATCTCGTGGTGAGCCTGGTCTCGGGAAGGGCATCAAGCGGCCTTGTTGTAAACACGCGGCTGTTGCTGTATCGGGCAGGTGCTAAATGTCTCGGTACAAGGAACGCCTTGGTTGCCTCGTGGCGGGCAATGGCGTTGCTGGACTCGGGGAGAGCCGTCTTCGAGACGCACAGCAAATTCATCACCAGCCTGTCCCTGATATCCCCGGCCTTCAACATGCAGACATGATGCTGGAAACGCGCAAGCTTCCTTGGAAGGCCGGCGAGATGTACGTGACATTCAGGGGCGTCAACCGCCACTGACCGAAGGAATCATGGAACTTGACGCTCTCGCTCAGGGCGGAACAGGCAGGTAGTTAGCCTTGACGGGCTCTCTCCATCACAACAAGCCAATGGCACTCCTGAAACTCCGACGTTGGTCGGAAAATTGACTCGTTCCCAGTGCCTACATGTACACGTTCCAGGCTTGACACTCAGATCGTTTAGTGGCTCGGAATGCGGCCCGACAGTTGGATATGAACCCTAGAACGTCCCCTCCGGCCTGGTGACCACTTTTGGAAGGAGGACCCAGTTCGGAGGTACCCGCAGTCTTCAAGACTGATGAACTGCCGAAGGGCAACGGATAACAACTCCATGTGGTGGATCATCGACTCGAGATGCTTTTGGGTGCCTGGGCTGGACGTTGAATCGCGTCAAGCACAACCGTGGGACAGAAAACGCGATCTCGACGTCCGTACCTCGCACACGGGAGATGAAGGGGTCAATGAAGGCCCGCGCCGGACCCGACTTTCTTGTGTCACACGGAAAGCCAACGCCATCATTGGGCGAGAAGTATCCGAGGAGCATGGCCAGAAGACGACCATCTAGCCAAGTTGTTGGAGGGCTTGGAAACCTCGGCGAGCTTCGAGTTACGCAACATTATTCTGAGCAGCATGAGATGACATGCACAGCAATCCATTCGCAGCACGAACCTCTACGCACCGGTGCTCACTATCGTTCTGGGGTCAGCTCGTCCGGGTGACCACGCTACTCTTACAATGCCATCACAGACATGGAAGAATGGGTTCGAAGCGCCGTGGCAACTCGCCCCTGGCGTGCGTCCATCTGTGATGCTTGCGCAGCCCCATTCAAAACAGGCCATGACATGAAAATCCCGCTCAGTCCCGTCATCAACCCATCGATGATGCGCTCGAGGAAGGAATGAGGAGTCTCAAGGTGCACCTTCCGCTACTGTATCGAGAACAGCCGGCTCTGAAGGAACGACTTTGAGTCCATGTGACGTGGGTCCTTGCGAACAAATGACAGCCTGCGTTGCTTCCGCCCGCAGGTGCGTTCGAATCTTATAGAACTACAGTCGTCGAGTTATGACCGCGTCGACCAACAACACATGGTGCCTTGGGACACTTCCAGACTGCCTTGCCCGTAACGGATGTTCTCACGATGCCCAACTGCTTTCTGATGCTGCTGCAATCCCGTCTACGTGGTAGTCCCCATACCTCGGCCTCTGCATCACTCAACGGACAGTGCCTACTCCACCAACAGCGGGACCCGCACACGCTGAACTTGATACCTCTGTGGCAATGGATGGTGTTGATATCGTTGACGGTGCGATTCCAGTAATTAAAGGAGGCTAGACTGGAAAGGACTCGAGGAGACGGAGTGACAGCCGCATGAAATCCAAACCGCTATTAGTCATGGGACGTCTTAAAGAATGGCAATTCTTCGAGCCATCAGTTTGGATTCTGCAGTTCGTCAAATGCTTGTTCCGCAACAGTATCGAGTACCATGTGTCGGTTGGCCAGGTGAGGGCAGAGGCACACAAGCAGAAGGCGTATCAGATTCCCTGATACACCTCAGTTTGGTGACTGAGATCAGAGAGACCAGTCGAAGCATTCTCGAGGCCCCGCTGATCTACTCTTGTTACAACCTACCATCCTTCTCTGGAGCATAACTGCTCAACAACCCATTACACTACTGTCATTACCACATTGTGCCGAGCCCTGGTGGTTCAGTTTGACCCTGAATGCCCTGACGACTCCAACGCCCAACACATGAATCCATGGACCTCAACATACACCACGCTCCTTGACTCCGGAATAACGACACGATAAAGCTACCTACTAGCTATCTAGTGACCTATCTAAGTGCAAATGCAATCCAGTTCGCCGCCAGCTATCTACTGATTTCATCTAGGCCATGCTATTGTCCTCTTATGTACTTGCCCTTCCCAAAAAAAAATCTCCATTCATCAACCCCTCACAGTACCTTAGACATCAGACGTACCCATCTCTCAATCACACCAACAGCAAAAATCGCCAACCACCAGCATTCTTGTCCAGATCCCTCATCCCGCCCATGCCCATGCCATCGAGACCGACCGGCTCCCCTCTGGTCCAAAACCATTAGCATGTTTTGTCTTCTCCCTCCTGGAAGCAACGCGAAACTTTGTCTCCCCTTCCAGGCAGCCATATTCCCCGTCCCGCCCTTTCAAATGGCTGAAACCCCAGCCCGATATTGCTTCCTTATCCATCCTCGCAAGAAGCAGCCATCACTGTTCTGACGCTCCAATTCATCGTACAGCGTTAGAAGCAAGCAATCAAAAAGATCGGGTTGCTAGCTTTCCTTCGACCAGCCTAAAGTTGCCCCTGCCATTGCTCATTCCGAAGCCAAACAGACAGGATCGATCCATTGTTCACTGCTCTTTTGTCGCCTAAAAGAGTCGCACCCTGGAACTATGCCACCTCTGTTGTTCCCACACCTTCCTCAACACAACTTCATCAATTGCCAGGGTAGGTCCGCACTCTAACAGGCAACATAAAGTAGCAGAACCAAAGCTCCCTTCACTCCCAAATTAGCTCTGAAAGCCCACTAGAGCCCATACCCCACGATGTCTTGAACAAGCCCATGAAACCATGCATGCCACAGGGTATATTCTTCCCAATTTCTGTTCCCCAAGTTGAACCCACCCTAAGAGGACAGCTATCTACGTGTGCGTGTTTTTCGCAACAACTCTCGACTCGCCACCCGTGTTGCAATGCCAAGTCAGATCAGAGGGCGTAGGTGGCCTTTAGTGCCTGTTGATCCTGGGGCTGGAGCTGCGCGATGAAGTCGTTGAACTGGGGAATGAGTTGGCGGTAGATGTTAAGCACCTGTGAAATGAACTGGGTTAACACCGCTCTCATCGACAATGACCAGAGAGAAGGAGATGCTCACATTCTGCAGGATCTCGTGCAACTCCTGCTTGACGGGGTTCTGCAGCTTCAGATCCCGATACCGGGCGATCGAGGTGAAGAAGTGCAAGAGATCCTTCTCCATTGTTTGTGGGTTGTGCGCCACCACCATGCTGAAACCCTTGAACGCCGTCGCCTTCTCCTCAGACGGGTCGATGTCGTCCATCGCCTTGAGGAACTCCTCAGAAAACTTGGCTAGGTGTGGGGCAAGAAGGTCGTAGTTATCGAGACCCAGCCTGCCGAGCGCAATCGCCGCGTTCTCGGTCACGCCAGGGGGCACGCCGGGATTGGAGATGATCTCGACACAGCGCTGGAGGAGCTCTGGTACGAATGGCGCCATGCCCTTCTTGTACTGCATGGCAATCTCGCCCGCACTCCAGCAAGCGTTGTTGACGACGGCAAAACTCTCATCCACCTCCTCGTCCAGTATGTTCTCCAGGTCTAGCCGTTTGAGCAGAATAGGAAGGATGGAAGGCAGGAAAGGTTTCAGCTGCTCAAAGACGAACTTGGAGCAGTCGCCGAGGAGTGCGTATGCCGACTGCTGCACCTGATCGGCTGGGTCTTCCATGCAGAAGCTCAGGAGCTCAAAGAAGGCTGGCTGACTGCTCTGGACCAGCTTGACCGCCTTCACGTCGTCCAGAGCCTGGATGATGGCGCTCAGAAGGTCCAGACTGGTGACCAAGAAATCCTTGTCGGGCTGGTCAAAGTCTGGGTTGTTATTGGCGGCGAGAGTCTGCTCCAGGTTCTGATGGATGATGTTGACGCAACGAGCAAAGATAGGTTCGGCGTAGGGAGTGAAGGCGTCGCCAAGCGCGATAGCAACGTACGACAGGCATTCCAGAAGGGGAAACATCTCTCTCGACTGGTCAGGGACCTTCTGCCACCGGTCGATCAGAGCGGGCATCAGTTGGTTACAGAGTTCGGGCCGTGCCAGCACAGGGCCGATGTGCTCGGCCAAGGTCTGAACGCAGTCGTAGAGAATCCACCTGTTCTTGTCCTTGTACTTGTTGAAGCACACGACGTACTGCTGAATGATGGGCCCGCAGAACGGCTCAAGTTGCTTGCCTGCCTTTTCCTCCAAGTTGGCCATGGCCGACGCGCCCGCCTCCTGGACCTTCTTGTTCTTATCCACCATCTTCCGGAGAATGCCATCCATCATGGGTACAAAGTAAGTCTGTCTTTGGGCGGGATCCCTCAAATTTGCTGCCCACGCCGAGTACCGTCCCAGCGTCCAGCATGTTATTGTCCGGACGACGGGTTCCGGATCGTCAAGTAGGCTGATGAGGTAGGGGATGAGTTCGGGGAGATGGGGGATCACAACATCCATGCAGCCCTCGGCAACAGCGCCGAGTGCCAGTACGGCGGCCTCCCGGTACGGCCAATCTTCGTGCTTTAGGTTGGTCTGCAGATACGGCAGGATGGAGGTGAAGACGGGGCCTCCAAAATCGGTGGCGAAAACGTCGAGGGCTGCGGCCGAGCACTTGCGGAGGGTCCACTTCTCGTCGGGATTCTCGTCGCCCTCTTCGTCCAGCTCATCATCGATCTCGCCCTCTTCTAGGTCGTCATCCATGCTCGCCAACCTCTCATACGCATTGCCGTTCTGGCTCGCCTCCGCCGATCCTTCCGTGTTGGCGCCGCGCTTGAGGTTCTTCTTTGCGAACTGGGGCTTGATGTCCTCTTCACGATCTTCCTCATCCTCATCGTCCGATTCGCCTCCCAGCATAGCGATATCTTCTGGACTGTACACCATGCACTCAAGCAACACGGGGATGATCTTTTGAATGTACGGTTCGAGACTCCGCCACAAATCGTCGTGCTCACCAACCGACAGCCAGAATTCGGCAGCTTCGCAAGCAAGGTCCTCGTCATCGCTCTTTTGCTGTGAAATAATGTATTCGACGAGACCGCTGAGGTGGGGCAGGAGCTTGTCTGGCCTGGTCTCGACGAGGCGGACGAAAGCACGGCAGACTTGGCGCCGGACGTCGGCCACAGGGTCCTCTGCGAGGAAGAAGAGATGCTGTAAGAGGTCGTCGATGGAATTGAGCATGGCCTGGGATTTCCTGGGCGTGAAGATGTTGATAGCCGTCAGCGCCTGGGCGCGGACCTTGGGCAAGGGGCTCTTGGTCGCCTGGATGAACTTGGGAAGAAGGACGTTGAGGGGCCGCTGGCCATTGTGCTCCCGCTCCAGCAACTTCGTGTTGTCTTCGCAGATCTTGGCCATAGCCGCCATGGCGCCCTCTTGGGCCTCGTTGGACACCTGGCCCGACCCGTTGCCGAGCAGCTTCAATAACTCCTGCAGCAGCTCAGGCCAGCTGTAGAGGCCGCCCCGTCGGATCATCTCAGTCGCAATGTTGCCGGCATGACTGCGAATCTGGGAGTTGCTGTCCTGGATGCCCTTGGGGACTGCAAGCTTGATCAGGGCAATGCTTGTCTCGGGGATTTGCTTGTAGTTTGACTGTCAAACAGGCCAAGGTTGAGCTGGGTTGTGAGCTTGGAATCCGGACACGCCTTGGCCGCCTCGACAGTGTCTGTCCACAAAGTAGTCGGGGACATAGGAAAACCGGTATGGGGACAGTAGATGGACGGATTTACATTCTGTTTTCTCTTCTTAGGTTATCTTATTTGGGAGAGCGTGACCAAGAATAAGGAGCCGGCGGCAGATGATGATTTCGCAGGCGTAGGAGTTCCCAGAGTAGTGCCTGCGAGCGGCTCGGCGGAGGGTTTAAGGCTAAGCTCCGGATTGATATCGATGTACAGTAATTGGTACAGATGAAGCGCAATCTTTCTATCTTTCCGATGAGAGAAAAGTTGGATGGGGGCCCCGAGTTCTGTTTGATCTCCATGCCACAGTTTGAGATGCAGGTGCTTCTGAATTCGGGAAGCTTGGTTCCTGGGCCGCCGCCTTCGGGAGCGTGGATGTCGCAGTGTTCGGGAAAGGGGCCACAAAACCCCCAGTTGCTGCAACAAGCCTTCAAGGGGCAGGGATTGAGTCTGCCATGGGGATGGACTTGTCGGTCCACTCGGTGCCCGGGACAAGCGGACCACACTGGGTGCCCTGCTGTGGCGGAGGAAGCGGCGGTGTCC